TCATTGAGGACAATAGTAAGCGGAGGGATGATATCAGGTAGACTGGCGGCCAATTGTTGCGGATCAAGATAAGCCATGGCACCCAAGAGCTCGCAAGCTCCCTTCTGACTGCGCCACTGGTTATCGTCCAAGCCGTCCAAAAGGGTAGGCAGAATCTTCTTCACACCATACGAACTGAGGTTTTGGAAGCAAGCCTTCGAAGCATCCAGACAGGAGTCACGGACATCAAGGCTCATGTCACCGAAACCAGCAAGCAATTGCGGAACGATTTGGATGACATAGGGCTCGAAGGTACGTCCCAGAACGGTGGCGAGAAGTTCATATGCCAAGACGGCACCCTGACGCCGGTGAGGCTCCTTCTTGTCATCAAGTGCATCCGTGAGCAAGCTCATGATGCGGAACTCCCGTAGGGTTGAGATACCCTTGCCACTCACAATACCAGCCAGGCCGTACGCGGCACCACGTTGGGTGGCATAGCTCTTGACATTGAGCAGCTGATCAAGCATTTCTTTGACGTATTCCGACGTCTTAGGACCAGACAGTCGGATAAGGGGAGGCAGGCACTCAGAAACAGCAGACTGCACGGATTCCGAGGGAGTAGGAAGAGTCGCAAGAAGCTTCTTGAGGACTGTTTGCAAGCGAGGGTCATCGGCTTTCAAATGTCTTGCCAATGATCCATAGAGAACAACAACCGCCTCGTTGAGAAGATCGGAGGTTTGGGTAGCCTTGTCAGAAGTTTCCAGCACTGTTTCGAGAAGCTTCATGAGATCCTCAACCTTTTGCTGGCCTCGCTGGGCGATGATCGATTTACCACTCTCTGCCATCTGGGCACGAACGGAGGAGTTCTTGTCGATAAGTGGGCCTCGTTCAATCAGGAATTGCAAGAAATCGATGATCTGGTCGCCGTCAAAGAGGCTAGTCATCGCATTGAACGCAAGTGCGATACCACTCCGGCTCTCCCAGTTATCAGCGTTTTCCACCTTCATTGGCATACCATAAGCATCCTTTTCGGGTGCCTTAGGTTTGATGTCATCAGAGTATTTGGCTTCAAGTTCAGAAACGATACCGGCGAACTTCTCCTTGTCGAATTCGATGGCATGAGCCAGAGCACGGGCAGCCGCACCCCGGAGTTGAGAGTCCTTGGAATCCAAGTACTTCATAATCTTGGCAAAGGCGGAGTCGTCGACTTCCAAAGCATTATCTTCCCAGATTGTTTCCGCGATCTCGACATTCTCCTCCACATGATCGTGACAGCCAAGCCAGATATGTTCCGAGAAGTCAAGGTCAGTCAAGTCGATCTCATCCTCGATAACCTGGAGAACGGAGCCTCTAACTGATGAATCGGTAACAATGGTGCCCTCCAGAAGAGTCTGCAATTCTTCGCTGCTGATGTTGGGAGAGATGCACCGGCAGAAGTTAAATAAGATATCCTTGATCAGCTTATAGTGCTGAGTATATCTTTGCATAGCTGTAAGCAGCTGCTGAAGAACTTCATTTCGGGGCATACGAGTGTCGGCGAAGGCACTCGTGTGGAAGGATAGAATGTCGAGGGCAAGCAGGACTTGCTCGCCTTCTTGTTCGCCCTTGACTTCCTCGATTCCATTTTGGCTCAAAACCAAAGAAAGAAGGGGCAGGATGTAGGCAATAGATGGGATATCCAGAGGGCGCTGCTCAGACGTAAATCGCAGCTTGTAAAGAATTCTAGTGACGAGCTCTCCCAAATTCTCCAATTCCATGGACGGGGGAAGGTTGGTCTTCCCAATGGCTCGCAGGGTCGCAACACCTACAAAAGAACGAAGGTTGCCCAGGCGCGATGTTAGCTCATTAGAACAAGTGACATATGTTCGAGAAACAATATCACCGACGAACAAGCCAGCACCAGCGCGGGAAAGAGACAGAAGGCATCCGACAGCACTGTTGATCCAGCCCTCGGCATCGTTGGCGGGACCGGTTGCCAAGCCGTGGATAAGCCCAGCGCCTCGTTCGATGCGCTTGACTTCTTCGAGCACCTCTTTCCGGATGTCGGCTTCCTTGGCCAGCTGTGCCTTGACCTTAGATTGCTCCTCGGGGGTAAGCTTCTTTTGCTTCTGACCATTCTTCTCCGCAAGCTGTGCCCGCAGCTCCTCTTCCCACTTCAGAGTGTCATAGTCTTTAGTATTCTTGTCGAAGGCGGGCTGCTTGGATTTGCTGCTCAGCACATCGATAAAGGCAGTTCCCTCGGGGGTACGAGCAATGGCGGCATCTGTCGCGGTGAACTTGGAAAGACGAGCACCGTTCAGATCTTCTTGAATTTGACCAACGAGACGAGGAATCATGACCTCGGGGGCCACAAAGGCCAGGTCAGCTGCAGCCCCCCAAACAGCAGGATTCACATCAGGCACGATTGACTGAACGGGGTCGGCATTGACATGGACTAATTGCTCGATGCACTCTGTCTGGTGGCCACGAACCAAGTTTCCGGGATCGATACCTGCCTTGAGGCATAGACCAATCCAAGAGGCATTTGGTACCATCTCTGGCCGACTGAGAACCAGCATCTTGATCAGCTGGTTCTCGAGATCAGAAACATTCTCCAAGCCATCCTTGATAGCCGACGTGGGACACAAGGCCTTCAAAACTTGGTGAAGATGACGCTCGCTGCCAGGACCGGCAAAAACAGCGGCGGATTCCTTCTCCTGGAGACGCGAAGAAAGGATCCAAGCCCAGATTGCGTCGATAACAACGCGCCCGATGGATGCCACATCCTTCACATGAACACTGGACAATGTTTCCACTGCATTGTCACGGAGGTTTGTGGGCATCGTCGGGACGGTAATGGCGAAAATAAAGGTCTGTCCCCAGGCAGTCTTGGCCGCATCTTCGGCATCAGTGAACTTGGGGCTTGAGGAAACAGCAGCCAGAGACCGGACGAGCCATTGCATCTCTGCCTGTGTTGTCACCTTCGAATAGGCCCTCGGGTTGAGAAGGAATGAAGGTTTTGAGCCCATGGTCATGGCCTGTGAAACCTTTTCTTCCCAAGTGGACTTTTCTGATCCTTCGATTTCTGAAATTCGGTGGAAGAGAGCTAAGAAGATATATGCCGATGACAGTGCACCGCTCTGGGCCGAGGGTAGGGGGTAAGAGGCGACCTCGTTAAACAGGTCCTTCATCTTTGCGAGCAACTTGAAGACGAGCTGCTCGACCTCGGAGCTCTTTAGGGAAGCGACATCAGCCTTCCAGAGCACCTCACCGATATTAAGCTGCCAAAGCTTTCTAAAGGGGATTCGCTTGTCGGAGATACCTTTGACCATAGCATTGATAATGTCATCGCTGACCTTGACCGTTGATTGAATCAGGAAAACGAGGTGCTTGCTGAAAGCCTTGAGCTCCTCCTCAAGCGCAGTCTCGTTTGACTCTCTGCTGAAGAGCGGGCCAAACCCATGGACAATCTCTTTCGAGACATCAATCGAGAATGGGATTGCGCCAACCGTTTGAGCGTACGCAACTCGGTGCTCGGGGGCGGTGAGTTTTTGCGATTTCAAAGGACCGACGATTTCACTCGAGATCTTTAGGACCAGAATGTCGTTCTTGCATCGTGAAAGCAAAGATGCAAAGGAGTCAGCGGCCCCTTGTCGGATGGCCGGGTTATTCGACTTCATACTGGCTAAAAGGTGCTTTGAAAAGCGAGCCTGAACCACCTCGGAGAGGTCAATTTCTTCTGGTAGAGCAGTACACCAAGGTGCAATGACACCAGTCAAGACCACCTCTGGTGCTCGCAGCATGGACTTCTCCATTGGAGGCACCAATTCGGTGGCCACATCCTCGGATGTCACAAACGAGGTAAAGAAATCCGACATTCCCTCGGCGACGTGGGCGGGCACTACAGTTTTTGAGCTGACGATCTCCTTGACATAGTAATCCAGAATGGCCTTCTTGGACTCCTTCAAGACAGGTTGTCTGGCGGGGAGACGTGCGCATACCCCAGAGATGACGCCTAGGAAGAGCGCATTCTTGTTTCCGGCGACCGAGTCCGTCGTCAATTGGGTGACCGACTGGCGAATGGCCTCTTCACCGAAGGCCGGGGACGAGAATACTGCACGGAGAGCACGTCTGGTGACCCGGAGAGCCGATTGCTTTACTGGGATCTTTGGTGTGTGCGCAAAGCAATTCTCCAGCGCCTTGGCGTCGACATTGATCAGATCCAGCACAGTCGATAACGGCGTGGCCTGATCCTCGCTCACTTGCTGCAAGAGGATAGAGCACCATTCCAGCAGAACAAATGCGGACGACGAGGCCAGACCGGGCTTGATGGCCTCCACCTTTAACTGCTGAGTGAGGTATTTGACGGATTCCGCGGCATTCGGGGTTCGGAGAAGTGTGCGGATGCATTGTTGAACTGCATGTCGGGATGGTCGATCAATGTAGAGGGGATAGGTTTGGAAGAGTAGGGCGAGGAGATCTTGGTGGAATTCCACAGGTATATCGGTCCCTATAAGCCAGATAGATCAGTATCCCGTCTTTAATAGCGAGGCCAGATCCAGGTCCAACTTACCCTTGTCGCGAAGTTCTTGAAGGGCCCGGAGCCTGCGCGAGGTCGAACTCGAGAAGAGTGCGACCCGCAAGACATCCAGGTCCCCAGTCTTGACCTGATCCCATGGAATTGGATCCATTATGGGGAAGGTCAATACAGGGGGGGAAGGAGGAGGAGAGGTGGGAGGGGGAGGGGAGGTGAGTGAAGGAAAGATGAAGGGTAGAAAGTGGAAGTGGAAAGGTGGGCTGGGATCGCTCGAATGCTGTCATAAGAATTTTGTGTGGGGAGGTGCCCTTTCCTCCACCATTCCATCCTCTCTGCACTTCTCTTTCTTCCTCCTCCTCCTTCTCTCCTCTCTCCCCTCTCCCACATTTTCCCGGTGAGTCTTCATGATTGATCACTTTTCAATTACTCTTTTCCTTTAATGATATATTTGCTAATTCGATATTTGTTGGTACTCGTCCAAAAGACCCCCCTCATCCGTCCTACAATGCCTCCGAATAACAAAAAGAAGAAGAAGCCCGCCTCAAACCCAGCTCGTGGCTTTGCCACTGTCTCAGTGCCTTCGAAACCCAAACCAGAGACTACCGAGACTCCTTCCTCGACTCCCGGAGCAGCAACTCCGACGCCGCCAAGTGAATCGCAGGCCACTCCTACCACCGAAGATCGTTCACTACCTACTACCACAGCCGGCGCAACACCAGCCGATGCTTCATTAAAAAACCTTTCCCCCGAAGAACTAGAAAAACATCTGGAGGAATCGGAATTACAAATTTTAGTGGATAAATTCTCTGCCAGGTGCAAAAGTGATGCGGCGCGTCAGGTCACCAAGCTTGATACTGAGAAGCGGGTGTTTCGACAACAAGCGGCGACATTGACCCTTCTCGAATGGCTTCCGGTCGAGGTTCAGGATAGGATTCTGGAACTGGCCCATGGGGAGGAACATGAATATCTCACATCGGGTGCCCGAGGCGCGAGCGCAAAGCAGGCGGGCTCGGAGGAAGATCTATACACCAGACTCTGGACCTTGAAAGAAACGCTTCTGAAACTTGGCTTCCCCGAAAACCGAACAGAGGAAGCATTAAAACATATACTCCAATACTTTGCCGGTGCTCCGGCCAGCGCCAGTCGTGAGGCGGTATGGAACTTGGACGAGTCGCTAGAGTGGCTGGCCATGCATAGTGAGAAGAAGGAGCTTCCTTCATATACTCAAAACGCCGGCACAAGGCCCCAGAAGGATGCGGATAGTGTTACTTCATGGATGATTGGTAGGGTTGAACATCGATATCAATATTTCTGCCAATAATGTTGCTGATGATCACTCAGAAGCGGAGCCATCGCGGTCTTCGACTCCAAAGAGCCAGAACAAACAGGATAAACCAAAGGATGACTGGAAATCTGCCAAGGTTGCGCCTCCCATTTCTTACGACTCAGATAGCTCCATTGATCCCGATTCAATGGTCCCAGAGTGGCTGGATCTTCAAACACGACTTTACACACTTCAACCAGACCTATTCGATCGCCCAGGTAAGGGCAAGAAAGGCCGGGGCATTGCTGCATCCGGTCAGTCAGACGACCCAGAGGCGGCGAAGATGCAATGGAAGATCGCAAAAATTGAACGGGACGTCCTCTTTGAACGGCGAGAGGCTGAGTATATCTGGAAAGACAAACTGGAGGAGCTCCGAAAAGATGCTACGTTTCTGCGTCAGACATCTGATCGCAAGAAGCAACAAGAAGCGGCGGCTGCGGAAGAGGACCCCAACCTGACCGTCCCCTCATTGGAGGAGATGGATGACGGACTTCTCGGGGATATGTTCCAAGATGAGCCCGAGAACGGTTCAATACTAGGTCTGCCCACACCCTCGAATGTTGCTGCTGTCACTATTCGAGACTTTGGAAAGTTCTCCGGTCTTAGCCCTCGGCGTATTCTCGAGGAGACTTGCAAGGCAAGGGACACTGCATGTAAAATCGTCTTCCAGGATATCTCGTCCTCAAGTCATCAAAACAGGAAGGCCGTGGAGGTGCGATGGTCGAAGCCCCAGGAGGTGCCTTTCTCGTTGGCGGTGGAATCAATCACTCACAAGTCCAATGCCTTTGCTACTTTTGTATCCATGGATGCGCTCGCAACACCAAATTCACAGCAGGCTGAGGGATACGTATCATCACTTGCTCTCTTCATCATCTTCCCTCAAAACTCGAAAGAAGGCAAAGCGTTCTTGCGGCTTCCCGCCGTCTGGAGAGATCTTTGGACAGAGTTTTCCAGTCTTAAGAAGACACAGGAGGATGAAATTGACAAGGAGGCGGTTAGAGATCTCAAGCGCCTTGTTCAGGAGAATCAAAGTACCCTTGAAGATGATGTCGTACTTCTGGACAATTTCCGAAAGCGAAACGGAGTTGGCAGCAAGCCGGGCAGTCCTATGAGAGGACCCACTAGAGATGTTGGCTACCTTGGTCATGATGATCAACTGCCTGAAGCATGGGCAGCGAAATCGTCAACTCCTTCATTCCATCGGATGATGCAAGGCAGAATGAATCTTCCTATTTGGCATTTCAAAGATGAAATCCTCGATACCCTGGAAACTCATCGCGTCCTCATCATCTGCAGTGAGACCGGAAGTGGAAAGAGTACGCAGATTCCGTCATACATTCTAGAGCATGAGATGCTCCAAGGCCGTCCCTGCAAAGTGTATGTGACGGAGCCTCGTCGTATTTCGGCAATCTCACTGGCAAGACGAGTTAGCGAAGAGCTCGGAGAAAGCAAAAACGACGTTGGAACTACCCGATCCCTTGTCGGCTTTGCGGTAAGATTGGAAAGTAAGATCAGTTCGACGACTCGTCTAGTATATGCGTAAGTGGCTTCACTTCCCGTCCAGACCTTTTTTGCCCAGTTGGCTAACTGAACCTAGAACTACTGGTGTTGTCGTGCGGATGTTGGAGCGACCAGATGACTTCCAGGACATCACCCACGTTGTTTTGGATGAGGTCCACGAACGCACTATTGATAGTGATTTCCTACTTGTCGTTCTCCGCAGGCTGATGTTGAAGCGTCCCGACTTGAAACTTATCCTCATGTCTGCCACGCTTGAAGCACAGCGCTTCTCCACTTATCTAGGCGGTGTTCCGGTGCTGAACATCCCTGGTCGAACATTCCCTGTTGAAATGAAGTATCTCGAAGATGCAGTAGAGCTGACTGGCTATCGCCTGTCTGAAGACGAGAAAAACACCGTGCTCGATGATGATCCAGACGAGATTTCAGACAACACCGGAGACAACACAGGAGGACTTCAAGCAAGTCTCGAGGGTTACTCCAAGCAAACTCGGGAGACTATCGTCAATTTCGATGAATACCGGATTGATTATCAACTTATCAAAAGGCTTCTGTTGAAGATTGCTACAGCGCCGGAGATGGAGCATTACAGCAAGGCAATCTTGGTGTTCATGCCTGGTTTGGCTGAGATTCGTCGCCTGAATGACGAGGTCTTAGCGGAGCCAACTTTCCAAAAGGGATGGATTATCCATGCTTTGCACTCCTCTATCGCCAGTGAAGATCAAGAAAAGGCCTTCAACATACCTCCCGAAGGCTTCAGGAAAATTGTCATTGCTACCAACATCGCAGAGACTGGTATGTAACATCGATGGAAACTAGTGAGAATTAGTTCTGACCTCCTCTAGGTATCACTATTCCCGACATCACAGCAGTTGTCGACGTAGGAACCGAAAAGACCATGCGGTATGTTTCAAAATTCTATGCATCGTTACGGACTGCTAATCATTTTAATCAGATTCGACGAAAGGAGACAACTTTCGCGACTCGTCGAGTCATTCATCTCCCGAGCCAACGCCAAACAGAGGCGGGGTCGAGCTGGTCGTGTCCAGAACGGCATTTGTTTCCACCTTTTCACCAAACACCGTCATGATAAATTGGTACGTGGATTTCCCCCCAATGCGTTCTATAAATTATACTAACTGCTATCAGCTCGCTGGACAACAAACGCCAGAAATGCTCCGACTGTCGTTGCAAGACTTAGTGCTGCGAGTCAAGATCTGCAAACTGGGTGAAGTGGAGCCAACACTGCTCGAAGCCCTGGACCCGCCATCTTCAAAGAACATCCGACGTGCCATTGACTCTCTCAAGGAGGTCAAGGCTCTCACCAGCAACGAGAGCTTGACACCTTTAGGCTCGCAACTGGCGAAGCTCCCCTTAGATGTATTCCTGGGCAAGCTAATTATCCACGGTGCATTCTTCAAATGTCTCGATGCGGCAGTTAGTATTGCGGCCATTCTGTCCTCCAAGTCGCCATTCGTCAACTCAATGGGTTCCAACACCCAGCGTGATGCAGCACGCGCGTCATTCCAAAGAGGTCTGTACCCTCAAGTATCCTCCGTCTTCAACTCCATACTAAACTGTTCCAGGCGACTCGGATCTTTTGACCATCTACAACGCCTACTGCTGCTGGAAGCGCGCAAGAAGCACACCCGGTACCAGCGAGTTCAGCTTCTGCCGCAAAAACTTCCTCAACCCACAGACGCTACAAAGCATCGAAGATGTCAAGATGCAGCTAGTCGTATCGATCGCGGATACGGGTCTATTAAACCTGGACGGCGCACAGAAGACCGCTCTCAACCGGTAAATCTTATTCTTCCTACATAGCATATCAATGCTTCCAAATTGCAAGCCAGGCCATACAAGCTAACAACACTCCCATCACAGCGCCCGATCCGGCGGCCGCCAACGCCAATTCTTCACCATACCAGAAGAACACGACCTAAACAGCGCCAACGACACAGTCGTAAACTCCGTCGTCGCCTGGAGCTTCTACCCAAAACTCCTCACCCGCGAAGGCAAAGGCTGGCGCAATGTGACAAACAACCAAACCGTCTCCTTACACCCGACATCCATGAACAAGCACGCCGATTACTCGGTAAAATGGCTATCCTACTACCACATCATGCAAGCGCGGAACCGAAACCTAAACGCGCACGATACGAGCGCCGTGGACGACTTCGCGATCGCGTTGCTGTGCGGTGAGGCCGAGTTCAAAATGTACTCTGGCGTTATCTCGATCGATGCCAATCGCATTCGGTTCAGTGTGCGGGACTGGAAGTCTATGCTTGCGTTGAAGATTCTTAATAATCGGCTGCGCGATCTTCTTGCTTCTACCTTCCGCAATCCTCATCGGCCTTTGTCGTATAAGCAGCAGCAGTGGCTGGAGATTTGGCAGTTGGTTTTTGCGCAGGCTGGGAAGCGTTAGGATGGGCTGGGCTGTATTATCCCAACCTTGCTTTTCTTTCCCGTCTCTTTTATTCTCTCGGTCTCACTTATCACGTCACATACTATCATTTCATCTGCGAGACTTTGTTTATCTTGATCACTCGCAGATTGGGTATATACGCATGTTCCTGGTTATAGTCTGGCTATTTCTTTTGCTTTTGTATCTGTTCTTTCATTCTTTGTTTTTTTCTTTCTTCTTTCTTCTTTTCTCTTCTGTTCGTTCTGGATATGCCATGCTATCTATCTATCTTTGGCTAGTTTGGGTTTGACGGGGTTAGTTACGGTACGCTAACGATTGGAAACTGGGTATGATATGGTTTATGATTATCGATGAACGGTATGTATGGAATGGTCAGTTATGATGATGGTTTTTATAGACAAGGTTTCAAATTCCTGGGTTAGGATTGCGGCGTCATAGAATAGACTTGGACATACATCGAATGGAACGGTTTTATTGCAGACTTTCCAAATGCTATATGATTAAAGTTGTTCTAGAACGACCAATCAACTACCTATACCTACACCACAACACTAAGTGATGGTAAATTGAGCGTTCCTGAATTGTTCCCTAGTACTTTTATAACGAACAGGTATATCATCGGTACCTCTCTTCTCGGTTGTCCGATTGTAGCTGCTTGTACAAGAACAAAAGATCTCTTTGTTATTAGTTTTGCCCCTAATACCTGCCCATAGAAATTTCTTTCAAGGGTATTTATTCAAAGCGCTCTCTTTCGTTCCAGCCAACATGTGACATAATTCCCGGTGAATTTCCATTAGATATACTATACTTAGGCTTCAATTCAAGGGTTTGAGTGGAAACCTAGATAGATAGATGCCCAGGTGGTAGATAGATACTAGTAGATGGATGGATAGATAAAGAATTCCTTTTCTATACAGATTAAGCACCCAGGTCACAGTCTCCGAAACTTAAAGATTACCTGTATTGGTTAAGTGAGAATTTGATTTGAGGCACTGTAAATAAATCCACCGGGAATTATGTCACATGTCGACCACTTGAGCCTTCACACAGTACAATAACTCTATACTAACGGACTCTCAAATGGCAATCCCTGACAAGTACTCAATTGACTTTTAACCCGGTGGCATAGAGAAATTACACCCTCTGGCCAGTATATTGGATCCCTCCTGCGGGAACCAGTGGCAGCAGCGACGTGCCTCTGTTGATGGACTTAGCTCGGATGGTATAGCTGGCAAGGCTATATGTAGGTTTCCCTGCGGGGCAACTGGAGGTCTGTGGTTTTCAAGGTTGTTGGGTTGATTAATTGGCTGGGGCAATGCTATTCTAGACGCGAGAGAATGCGGTAGGGTAGCCCTGGTTGAGATCACAATTCTCACTACGTATTATAGATACCCCGCCAATATCTCTCGTCGCTGTCACCACTATTTGTATGAGAGCTCAGCTGTTTGATACTGTAAAATTACATTGTCAAGCGCTAATGCACACTAATGCGGCTTCAATATACTGGCCAGACACTGTACCTAAATGGGAATGCTCTCTCGGGTTAACATGGAAAAAGCAATATACAGTCAGCTTCATGCCGGGGCCAAACCCTCCCAAAGGATCGGCATAGGTAGCACACACCAAAATTATGCAGCTCGAGCGCTTCGCCTGACCCTGTTGGCTGTTTTCGCCAATCATCATCGTATAGTAGGTAAGAAAGCCGCTGCTCGATACGGATACCTACAAGGGGCGCCCCGAGTTATCCTCTATCCCGAGATGCAATGCACGCTAAGAGAGACGGGTGGAACCTTTAACAGTGGCATTTGGCGCCACTGCTTGGACCCTTTTCAGCCCCATGAGAGGGGGCTTCAAGTCAATGGACTAAAATGTACTCCTGGGTTCCCACAAGTTTACTTTGACCATATTTATAGGAAATACCCGAAGTCTATCCTGTCCTCCGAGTCATACTGCGGACCAAGATACTCTCTGGAATGGCTGCGGAATTGAGTGACTCGTCTACTAAGAATGAGCCTGCGTGGTCACCTACCGAGAAGCCGGAGCCGCATACAGACCCCGCAAACAAACCACTCGTTGCGAACAGACAAGATTATGACCCAAATATCAGCATAAGATGATACGGCAGGATTCTCGCCAAGGTGAAATTATTCGAGTTTGATAAGATAGTACTATGTGAATGAATCAGAATGACAAGGGATTGGAAACAATGATAATCCAAGACCAGATTTTAAGGTATTTCAATATAAATACTCTTCCCACGCTGCTACCATTGGGCCTATTCTATGGAGCTCAGTATCGTTGGGTAATAGGCTTGAGTAGGCAAGGGCTTGAGATAGGAAGAATTTAGTTAGTTTCCGGAAAGTAGCTTTCATTTTCAAAAGAAAATAGAATCAAGTAGATTATGAATTATGGCAAGTTAAGCATAGCACACGTTTGGCAGACGACGGATAAAAAAACCAAGCATAAATGATAAGAGGGTTGAGATTCAAGAGCAAACTTCCAGCAAAACGTCTTCAGGTCAAGCGAGATTGCATCATCTCGAAGTATCAAGCAAAACACTCCTCGTCTCCATGACACATTTGTGAGAGTCCCGAGTTGCCACACCCGTAAACTTGTTGTCGAGCCATTCTAGCCATTCCGGAGATGATGCTGCGACTGAAGAATCATGATCAAGGCCCGGATATAAACTCAGGTGAACGATATTGCCTATTTTGCATGCATCTTCGTACGCAGCCTTTGTAGCATTAACATTTATAACCTCATCATCGATTGCTTGAATAACGAGAAGCTCCTTGTACCCTTTTCTCCCAGTAGCTGCGCCGTATTTGTTTTGAAATGCGATATAGGCTTCATGATTGTGTTGAGTAATGGAAGGTGTAAAGTCCACAATGCCATGGTTTGGAAGGTCTGCATTCAATTCAGCTTGCGAGGTGTCGCAAAGCTGAAGCTCATACATAAGGGGATAACGTTTCAGGGCTTCCGGGGTTAACACGATCGGCTGGATCGGGAATTTCAAGGCCTGAAATATATTCACGACCTCATTACCAAAGCCCCATCCCACATTAAGCGGCACAGCTGTGAGAATATCATTCAATCTGGAGCTAGGAGCAATTGAAACACCCCCTAGGTAATCGCCGCTCTCTTTGGAAACGACACGGGGGTTCTCACTCAGTCCCCAAACAGTTCCAGCGCCTTGCGAATGGCCAACAGCAGCCCATTTATCTGTGAAAGCTCCTGGAAAGGCCTTGCGAGCAGCAACCACTGAGAAGTAGGTGTCCTCGGAGTTGAGTACTGGATTGCCGTACTTGTGAGAAGTATAGTTGTTTCCCAGGCCAGCGTAGTCTGTAGCAACCACAGCATACCCGGGACCAGTGAGGAGCTGCCAGCTGTGATAATCAAATCCGTTGTAGGATGAGGATGCAGCGCAGGCAGAGACAACTCCAATGGTCCCATGGGCATATGCGACTAGAGGGGTCTTGTGTTCCGGAACTTTCGTATAGGGAAGGGCAATGAAAGCAGTCGCCGGTACATTCGTCCCATTAACTCCGACGGATGTGTACTGCATAGTCCACAATGAAGTCCCAGGGGGGATGTCATACGCAGATGCATTTTGTTGCCGAAGTTTCAGCATGTCACCAGGCCGTGAGTGGCTGAAATTGGCCGCCGTCTCGTAGAATTCATAGTCGAAGGGAACATCGCCAAACACCTGACGGTCCAATACTTCATATTGTCGTAGATTTTGCTGGCAAACCAGGCCACAATTATGGGCCTCGGCCTGGGCTTGAGTGAAGTCAAGATCGTTCGGCCGACTGGGCCTATAAGCCTCTGTGCTTGAAACAAGTGACAGAAAACCCGCAGATATGTAGACAAAGGACTTCATAGTGGCAGAAAGCGGCCAAATACAGATTGCGGCTGTGATAATCTTAACCACCGGTGTCAGTAATCTGATGAAATTCGAGAAGGAGATGCAGTAAGACAGAAAAATATACCCTGGAAGTGCTATATATATGTTATAATTCAAATTTATCATCCTAAACGAAGTATTGATGTAACGATAAGTTACGACTCCCTTTCTTCTGCACACCTAGAAGAATGATGTACTTTTGGCGACCTACAACCTACTCCTTCTGCTTCTTCTGTACAAGGCTGGTTATAGATCTCATTCTCAGACCAAAAAGTTAAGTTAGTGGCTTATTGAAGGGCTTTGGAATCTAGTGTGAATATGCAGACGAATGATATGTAAGCCATCCCGCCAAGGTATTTTGATTATAGTATGTGAAAGCCAGCCTTCCCATTGACGGCAATTACGGCCGCGAATAACCTTATGAGTCTTACGTAACAATGGAAACCTTAACTACCATTCTGATAATGGAATTTGAATCGCCACAAATACCGAGGGCATTTAGCTGCTGTACTTTTGTATATGTCGCAAACGCAAAATAATTTTGATCAGATGATATTTTGCTAGAATGAACAAAAAGTTAAACTAAGATTCCACGCTGCTAGAAACAAAATTATGGCTCAGTTCACATGTGCGCGCAAATAGTTTTGGTATAGTTTGCAAATTATCAAAATACTAGTATAGTAAAATCTGACATCTTGGAGTGACTTTAGATTTTCGATGCGCGGGCTCGACGATAGCAACTCTCTAGTCATCCCCAGAGAGAAGCAATTCGTGGATTTCTTAACTATAGTAGAAGACTGACTATTCTACCTAGGTCAAGTTGCGGATCGGCTAAACTTGCTAACTTTTTGACCTTGGAATTCTACTGAATAATATCTTATTGAGTATGCAGAATACGACCCTGCTTCAAAGTTAACCAAATAGTATTACTTGACATACCTAGGCAGGTACCTCTCGGAAGATTTAAAGCTTGTATTGGCTAAGAGGTATAAGCTTTAAGAACAAAGATATAAAAGTCCGAAAACTGCCAGTGACCACTTTGCTTTCAACCCAACTACTCAAAAACCTGTTCGTGATCACAGTCCAAACATCAATTACTCCTCTTTTATACTACAGCTTTATTACCTTCCAAAATGAAGTACTTCGCCGCAATCCTTTCCATCGCGAGTCTTGCTATCGCAACGACTCAGATGGCACCAGGAACCGTCATCAAACAGCAGGGCGTGGGAAACATCACTATCAGCGCGGTGGAAGCCCTTCGCATCCTGGTATGAACTGCCAATGCACAATTCTCCCACTCCCGTTTTAGCCACTCAATTACCTTTATGAGACTAACTTAAACCTTTTTAATTTATAGAAAGATAATTCCCAGTTTTGCTCAGCAGGTGCCACCTTGCCTGCACCACGACCTATCACTCCCGACGGAAATTGCTGTACAAACAACAACTATTGCAATGACGGCATCTTTAGCGTAAGTAACTCACATGTGGCGATTGTTTCGAGATTGAGAGCTAACCTGGATACCTCTGGCCGAAAAAGTGCGTCATCTGCGAGTTCCTTTGCTAGAGGCTTCCTTTCATATCCAGATGAATTCCTTGGAGTCCAAGGTACTGCCAACCCAAGTGAATCATCTCCGAGGTCTTGGTTGGAAATTGAAATATATGGACCATATTGCTCCGGTCGTGGCTTTTGTCCCTGAATGGTTTTCCCACACCCGATGCGCGAATGCGGGAGTGTATGATATCATGTTAATTAGGTTGGGGCAATCAAGTTCATATTCATCATTTAGTGAAATAATTACTTTCCTTACTGATGAACCATGGGAGGGTGTTACTAGTACTACGTGCCAATCGAGATAGGAACAGATGTCTTCATTCTGTGCTAACCAACGAAGATATCAGGCCGAAGGAAGAAAGGGAGGGAGAAGATGCGGGGTTGGTTCGAATAAACCATACCAGCAGTCAATAACTACTATTCCTGAGGTCATAATACTACTGCTACTAGCAAGTGCCCTGTACTTAAGAGAAATCGAAGAAAAACCAGGCAGGGAATTGTATATCGCTATGAAAGTCATACCCAGTTCCTTAAACCCATTCCCGTTCATTCCGTGCAAACCCAAAATTTAAAATCCATAGCAAGTGCAAGTGCGAATCAAATCAGAAGAAATCAAATCATGATCATTCATTACCATCATATCGTCTCTCTAAAACCTAACCAAAGCTCGAGTTGATTTAAAGAGGGAAAAAAAAAAAGAGAAGCCCCCAAAACCGGAATGCCGGTAAAGACAATCACACAACACAGCCGCTGGCAGCACCTTTTCTGCGCGGAAATAAATATGAAATGAAATAAAAACAACCAAAACGAAACAAACAAATAGCAGACGTCGCCGCGATAACCAACCCCCCGTTCCTTTTCCCGCTATCTTCCAGCTTTGCAGAAAAGCGAGAGAGGAAAAGGGGGGTGATCAATGAAAATCAAGCAAGAAAAAAAAACCAAAACCAAAACCAGAAGCCATGGCGATGTAGAAATCGCACACATAGAAGATTCGTCATAAGAGATTCGTTACATCATTGTCGTCAAGGTGCGAGAGGAGAGGGGTCCAGTTATTTGATGTTGAAAAAAGAAGAAAAGAAAAACAAAAATCGATCGATCAGAACTCCTCTCTCTCGTCGGGCCCGTTTCATCATGCTGGAATGGAAAGAGCGCGCTAGAATGGGGGGGCCGTTATATCTCTCAGGTCGGAAAAAAAAAGCGATTTGATGATGTGGCGCGGTCGTGTCAAACACCCGAGATATTTTCCCAGGAAGTTTCGTAAAAGGAGTGCATCGCAGAACGAGGCAAAGCAAAATGCAAGAGGCAAGGCGAGGCGAGGCGTGTCGTGGCGTGGAGTGAGATCAGATATAACCAAAAGCTTTTCATGCAATGTCGTCTTTTTTTCTCACTCCTTGAAGCCCATATTGGATAAGGGTTGCCGTGGTGGAAACTTCAAGAAAATAATAATAGGGTGAAAGGTGAGTGCTAAAATAGCAAAAGAAATTTCTTGTCGAACGTCCATAGTCTGCGGTGATGTGGGATTATGTCGACATAAACACCGAAGAACTATTAGAAACAAAACTCCGGACCAGTGAGAAAAGCTTCATCATCACTCTCGTGAAAGAGAGGTGGTTGAAGAGGAGGAAACGGGGGCACAGCTTATCGACGGCGCGCCATGACTGCACCAGTCTTCATGGGCTGCAAGATCGGGGCAGCGCCTACGGGACCACCAAGGCTTGCGTCAGTGATGGTCTTGCGGCGCTTGCTTTCATACTCGCCGCCGCTTTCGGGTCGGATCACATCGTCGTCCTCGCGCATGCGCTTGCTGCCTGAGCCCAGGGAGCCACCCATCGAGGTAGAGTATACCGGGGTGGTAGTGGACGCCATGGAGTATGGGTCAGAGGCACCATTCGCGGGCGTGCCACGGGTATCGCTGACTGCATTATACAGGGTAGTGGCGGCCGGGGGCCGAGGGGGAGTGTTATACCCAGAGGCCCAGTGAGGTGGAGGACCACCGCTGGTTCGGGGGGTCATTCGGCCTGAGCCGTTTTGCTGGGGGGGATCCCGTCATCTCGGGGGTCAGCTGTGGGTGTTCACCAGCAAGAGATCCGACGGAAGGATTCGTGGTGTAGGTATACGAGCCACGGTTGGGGTTATAGCCGGTCCCTTGATCTTGCAGGTACTCCGGTTCCTGCTCCGAGACTGAATCACCGGGACCATTGCTCTGGGAGTAGCGATCAGATTTGAGATCAGTGTTATCGCTCTCAGGAGCACCAGGAGCCCGACCTGTTGGAGGCGCCATGTCGTTCTTCAAGTAGTTCACATTTGGCAGCGTTTGTCCATAGCTGGAGAGGCCGGACTGTGTCATCGGCGTCTGCGGTGCGTACTGGGAGTGGTTTGGAGGCGCGGCTGAGTAGTAGGGCTTGCTTTCATAGCCTGACTGAGCTTGATATGGGGGCATGGCCTGCATGTTGTTACCGGGGGGGAGTAGTGGCCGGGGTGGTCGGCATGGAACGTTGGTTGCTCAGCGCGGTGTCAATTGACAGAGGCTGCTGTTGTTGTGGCACTCCCGAGTTCATTCCCTGGCCACCCCATTCATATGAGCTCCCCTGGTTGGTCACTCCCATCAAACTCGATGCACTAGCGGGCGGGGTGGGAAAGGTGTTCGCGCGGTCAATGCCTGGGCGCGGGCCACCGCCCATGGACGATGGTTGAGACATGTGCGAGGACATTGGGGTCTGCATCGCGTGGTGATGCAGAGTCGAGGGCTGAGGTGCGGTCGGAGTACGCTGGGGTCCTGTGGGGGGGACCTTCCATGCGTCGAGCCTGGGATTCTTGCACCACCAAGTTGGTCCGAGTCTGATTTGCCGGGTGGTACAGCAGACCACCAATATTATGCACGAAGAGCGGATACAAAAGATCCGTGATTTTCTCCTTGTTTGCAAACTCCAATGCGCGCTCGAACGGAATCCTGCAAGATATTAGCATCGCTATCAACCTTGTTGTTGCTGTTGCTGTTGCTGCTTCAACATAACAGTTCAACTTACCAGACACCCTTCAAATGCATCGGGCCAATTTTCACGACATGGCGCAACTTCTCGCTCTTCAGGATCCCATCGCGACGGCCACGGGTCATGCCAGCCACGTTCAGTAGTTTTGTACCGTTGATCATGTGGTTGTCTGGGGGCAAGTTAGTTAAGAATTTGCTGGGTGTCCCAGCGGAAGAATTTCACTCACCCTCTCTCCGAGCGACGCAGACTCCCTTGGCTTCCACTTGGTAGCAGAGACTACCCTCATCCTCCCACAGAGTCGCTGTGACGCGAGGCTTGGCTCCTGGAGGTGCCACCTGACCCGTGGAATCGTAGACGAAGCCTTGCAACGGTGCTCCGGTGTTGTTCCCGTATCCCGGTGGGGCCGCGGAATGGTTCACTGGTGGGGCGGTTAGCTTGGTTTTTACGTTCGGAAACATGGGAAAGCTCGGTTATCCCGCGATTCCGATGCGATGAACATACCAGGGAGAGGCAACAACTGAGCGGGCATCTGACCGGCCATGGAGCTCGCAGGAGGTGGGTGTCCAGTCGGCGGGGACGTCACGCCATTGGGATAGCCGTACTGCGGGTAGGAGTGCGGAGCATAGGATGATGCAGGCTGCAGCACCGGGGGCTGCTGGTGATAAGGGTAGTGCGACATGGCACCAGCGGTGGGGGCTTGCGAAGCGTAAGGTTGAGCGGAGGACATATGGGAATGAACATCCATGTAGGGTTGAGCCTGATTCATAGTGCCAAGCGAGGTTGGGCTGGGGTAATAGCCCTCTTGGGCGACTTGGTACTCCGAATCCAGTGAGAGGCGACCTTGGGCCCCCAATTCAGATGGAGGGGGGCTTCTGGGCTCGTGAAGGGAAGCGGCGCTGGACAAGCTTGTACGGGCGCTTGAGCTGACGGAGCTCGGGTCTGGATAGACGAAGCGCGATGGAATCTGAGAGGCCGTCGGTAGGCTGAGTGCGGGGAGCTTGTCGCCTGGCAATAATGGACGATCGACGGCGTGGTGATTGTACCAGGGGGCGTCAGCAGGACCGCGGGTGTGGACCTGCGAGATCGACGGCAGCTCCAGCTTTTCGGTTTCACGGGGAGAACTGGAGGAAGAAGAGGGAAGACGGCTGACGGATGGGGAAATCCGACAACGAGTGATCAAACGGGGGAGGTGAGTGTGGGTGTGAGGAGTGTGAAGTCAAAGGGAAGTAAAGTGTGGAAGTGGAAGTGGAAGTGTGATGTTGCACGGCGTGAAGAGGGGTTGGCAATGCAGGTAGCAGATAGCAGTAGGCAGGCTTTTGTGAATTCAATCAAGTGCAATGCTCCAGGTCATCAAGTTTCATGAGGTCGTGACAAACATGAAAAAGTATGCAAGTAGTCGGTAGTAAAAAGCAGGCAATCACGAAGAAATAAGAATCAGGTCGGAGTCAAGGGGGAAGACCTAAAAAGAAGAGGTTTTACAGAAGGCTGGCGTGCAGCAAACGCATCCCTCTGCAGTTTACAGGAAGGGGGAGGAGCAGGAACACATTCAAGGAGCCGCAGAGATGACTAAGTCTCGAGTGGGAGACTGTGGGAGTGTGGATGTGGAGGGAAATAGAAAAAGAAGGCTGGGAATGCAAAGACAATCCCGGGCCCTTTTGAGTGTTGTGCTCAACAGAAATAGCATCGAATCATTTCAGTGGGGGGTGGGGGGGGGGGAGGAGGAGAGATGGTCGATCGAGTCAACCGCCACCAGAAGCAAGGACCGAGAAAAAAGGAAGTGGGAATAAATGGGGAATAAAAAAAAGAAAAGAATTGGGAAATTGAATTGGGAAAATCAGAGAAAAAGAGAGGAGAAAATGGGAAAAGCGAAAATGAGAAAATGAGAAAATGCAGGGACGAGAGGGGAACATCTGTCGCCACGCACGGATGGTGGGTGCACGCACTGTCAGTATAGAGTATCTACAGAGTACGAAGTACTCTGTAGATACAGAGCAGTAAGAAGTAGCTATACCCTGTATAGCTACTGTATAGCTACTCTTGCAGTTACTACAAGAAACAACCACTACAACTACTACAACGGTTGTTGCTACTCCCATGGTCGATTGCCAGAGTACCATGGTTGAGCGTGGAGTACACTGTATACTCAGTATATACTCAGTGTATACACTCAGTGAACTAGTACTAGCATACAGTTAGTACTCGCCCACACCATAATACTATTACTCCGTACTCCTGTCCTGGCCAGACCAGCACACCCTATCCCAGAAACTAGTCACAGTCTAGTCGCAAGTGGAGCGAGTGATCGATCAACACGGACTCCCGCCCGGATATGCTGAGGCGGCCCGTCGATCGTGCGGGTACGAGAGAAGAGAACAGAGAACGGAGAGAGTGGAAGTACTCCGTACTCTCCCTCTCTGTACGAGTACTGCGTACTCATTACTCTATGGCAGCACTCTGAGTACTATGGACTTCGTCAGAGTACTGCGATAGTACTACACTACACACTACGGTCTCTCCCACCCCGTCTGAGCGTCAAGGGATAATCCACTGGTCCAGAGGCCACCACGCACGGGTGGCTTGGGTCGATCGAGGGTCTGTTCTCTCCACCATCCCTGCCAGTACGACGGCTGGGCATTCACCGACCGGATCGCAAGTCTAGCCCCGTGACGAGCTGCTCTTGCTCGACAAGGCTAGCTCAACTTGCGTGCTAGTCATGACGTGGGATAGAAACAGCCGAGCAGAGAGCAGTGAACAGTGAACAGTGAGCAGTGAAGCGGAGCATATCCGAGTAGTACGGAATAGACCAGACCAGGGCAGATCAGAGTCCTCCATAGAGCAGAGCACAAGAGAGAGCAGCAGTGGCAGCGGTAACAGCAGCAGCAAGGGGAGCAGACTCTGTTACAAATCTCCTCCCTCGGAATACTCTCCTCCTTCTCTGACGACTTCCAATTCACCGCCAGTCGCCCTTGCTTCACAGTCTCGAACAAGGTTGACAGATGTCAAAACATGACAGGGGCCGCGATTCCCAGCTTGACTTGACTTCACTCAACCGGACTACCCTGAACTGACGTGTCTGCTAATGGACCCTCCACGCTATCGGATATTATTGGCATTATTTCCCTCATCCTCCCCTCTCCCCTCTCTCCCTCTGGAATCATCCATGTCCATCTCGTCTGAATTCAATAATGCTAAGCCCGGTGAAGAATTAGTGGATGGATGAACGGGGGTCCGGGTCCGATGGGGCCTCCCCGGCTCCCCGATAGCCCTGGCTATGATCAGACCGACCATCGATTATCGATTCCTTCTGCTCGTCATGTGCAGTGGGTTTCTTCAGTGGCGTCCTGGCCAATCCTCTCTTCCACACAGACCCTTGGCTCTCCTCGGGAAGAAACGGGGCTTAGCTTAGGCAGCGGTGGGGTTAGGGTTGGGGTTGGGGTTGGCTGGTGTGATCCTCTGGTGTGGTGGTGGTGGTTGGTGGTGGTGAGAATATTCCCTCCCTGTTTTCATTCTTTTGGGAATGAGAAAAAAGATGTAGGAAAGATAGTTCGAGAAAAACTTGAAGTACTCTTGCTATTACTATGTAGTATCTTATAAGGTACATAGTTATAATGTATGCTGTCTCCTGCCTCCTCCTGCCTCCTCCCCGTGGATGCTTGCAGAATACATCCATTGACAGCACTCTAATTTCTTCACCCAGCTCGAGTCAGCATCCTCGTCCATGGGCCACTCTGATCCCTGCACCGCAGCTCGCTATCGACGGCCCGATACCCGCTGCGCAGCGTACAGTAGGGGGGATCCGCTTGTCGACAATGGAAAAAAGAAATGCAAATCCGAACAAGAAGAGGGGAGGGGGATGAGATGGCGGATTGCAATTGGGGGCTGGGTGGAGTCTGAAACTACAAGTATCCAACCAGCTGAGGAACGGCTGGATTCATTGGCTTTGGCTTTTTTTTTTTCTTCTTCTTTTCTTCTTTTTGCTTTTTCTCTCCCTTTGCCAGGTTTTGATTTATTTCTTTATTTTTTTTTCTTTTTCTCAAATTTCTCCAGCAATCCTCCGTACCCAACCTCCGACTACTGTAACCTGGGCGGGGGTCACCGAAATCAAATCGAATCACAATCACATTTTCCCAAGCTTGGACCAGGTGTGGGACTCGCTAGCCCAGTCTAGCGCCCCATCACACACCCACACGATGTAATCTATCAAATTGCGTCTGAACGTAGGAACCGTTGAACCGTGAAGATAAGCAAGGGGATCGAGGTACTACGGCCACGGCCACGGCACAGATCATCCATGACAATCCTTATTCGAAGCATTTTTCCTTAATTAATCCCATCTCATCTCATCTCACCCTGATACTTAATCTCACTACGGAGTACCCGATACGGACACAGTCTCCCAAATTACCAGTAATATCTTCTTTTTGTCCGTATCCCTACGGATACTCGTAATGTGATAGACCCTGGCTCCATAGTTCGGTCTTGGTTTAATGAGCAGGACCATTGTCCTCCGCAGCCCTGATTCTCCCTCCTCCACTCTTCCCTCCCCCCGGGGTTCCTAGTGGTAAGTTAGGTTCAGCTCGGAACAACGGTGCCTCTGGCGAGTTCTCCACTGAGTCTTTTTTACGCTATGCCTGTTGACCAACATAGACCATCGATCGACGGGTTCGCCCGTACCTTGCAGAGCGAAAGACCCTGCAGGCCCGTCCGTGCAGAGCGACGACAGTGACAGGTTGCACTGGCGCTGGCACTGGCATTGGTGTCGAACTAAGATGATCACCATGACTGGACTACGGAGCACAGCACCTCATTTAGCAATCCCCGGAATCGACGTCCTTTTGATATGATTTGATATATGAAATGATTTGAGTTGATTCCTCCGTAGGATCAGCAATTATTGGATCACAGGCATTTGCCAGGAGATTCCTCGGTGGGACGGAGGAAATGGGACTTTTGGTCGGTTGAGGAGAAACTAGCGGGCTTTTCGTACAAGGATACCCTGTCTCCGCGGGCCGCCGGGGTCGTACAGGAGGATTTAGTGGGGATTCTCTCCGATGGTCTGTCTGTATAGAGTAATCCGTATGGAGTACAGAGTGCATCTCTTGCAGCTTGAGGTACGAAGTACTTACTCCATACTCCATACTCTGTAGTCGTGAGTCTGGCTAGGTACGAGTATGAGTACTCGTACTCCGTAGTTAGCATGATCTTGTTATGGGATACTACGGAGTACACTTACTCTACCCCGGTTACTCCGTACTGCTGTCGCTGTTAATTACTACTATCACCACATTTCCACGCCCCTCCCCTTCCCTTCCCTTTCCCTCACCTCACGCACATTCCTCTATCTTACCGGCCAGGTTTTCAACTTTGCCACGAATGACAGCACACCACGACAAGACCAGGATCTGGAAAGCCGCGGGGCCGTGCGACCCCGATTTAACCTCGCATTGCATTGTCCCGTGAGAGATCGACTGCACGTTCATCTTGCTCGCCTAGCGTTACTGCTATGTGCTCTATGCTCTGCTTCTTTCCTGCTCCTCCTCTTCTCCCCTTTCTCCGCTGTGCTGAACAATTTCCCTTTTTCTTTTCTTTTCCATTTCACCCAGGTCAGGATCCGGCCATTCCATGTCGGGTCTCTCCTCCGAGAACAAAACCCCATCATGATCAGCTTCGCAGGCTGAACGGAGGGGGCGTCAAAGGTGTAACGACGCTAAATTCTCAACAGCCTCCCCTATTGGATACTCCGGAGGGGAGGAGGGGGGAGGATGAGCTGCAAGCGCCCGCCGATCGACGATCCGACCGGACAATGACTGGCGGTGGCCACGACCACGTAGCGGGCGGCCTAGATCGTGGTGGATTTCACCGCCAGTTGCCCCCTTGCGTGCAGACGTGGCACAGGATGATCCACTGGCCGTTGGTCCCAGGTGGGTTTCTTGTGAGTGGAGTTGTTCGGGGGATGCTCGTCCCCCCTCCCCTATCGCGAATGGGGTTATTTGCACGCCCACGCTATGATTTTCTCCTCACCCTCTAGTCACTCTCAGCTGGATGCTCTGGGCCCTCTAATTTTTTTTTCTCTCTCTTTTCTCTCTAGCTGTCCGAGAGAGGAAGAGATGTGACCTTTGCCCGCTCAGGGCCGGTTCGAAATAAAATCTTGGAATTGAGATTCCGATTGTCAATGCTTGTGCCAATCAATGACAATGCCAATGCTAATACTAATGCTAATGCCAATTCCCACGCCCTATATACTATATTCCCAGTACTTCAGTACGGATACTCCGTATCAGTCTTGTGCCCGGATCCATATCCATATCCATTGGGGCAAATGTCCACGGACCGAAGCGAGACAGGCCCATAGAATTCAAATCAAAATCAAAATTCATCTTCAATCTTCTGAAACCTCCAATGATCGGCACGACGTCAGCGTTCCAGATTACCGTGTGGACTGGTGTGGTCCCAATTCTTTTGCTTTTCCGCGCCTGTCCTGTCCTGTCCTTTACCCTTCCCTCCCTTCGGCCCCGGCTCGACGGAATTACGGAGTTCCCTCCCCTAGCTAACTTTGGATATTCTATGCCGATGCATGGCTCCCAAGAAACTTCCTTCTAAATGGTAGGGCCGAGGAACCAGAGTTGATGTACGACATTCGGCCCTGCCCCCCCCTAATGCACTTCACAGACCCGTGCATACACCCACCCATCCACCCGGCCGACCGGCCGTGCTCTCTGATCTGATCTGCTTAGCTTGTGCCCGGATCTGCTCTATCGCTCTGTTCTGCTCTGCTCCAGCTCTTTCCTGTTCTGCCTTTTTTTGCTTTTTCTTTTTTCTTTTTATTTTTCCCCTTTGGTTGCTCGGGGTGCCACAGTGCCACTTCCCCGTACGAGCTTAGCAGAACAGAGCAGCGTTTCTGCACGCTTCACCGTCTTGTCAGACACTCCCCCGGACGATCGAAGAATGCATGCACAGACATCTTCCCTCGCCTGCATGTATCTCTATGTCCACACACAATTCTGCAAGAGACACCATCAATAGTTACTGCATACATACAGCATAGAGGTAGAAGGCCATGACATGACTTACCGCCGAATTCATAGATTGACGCTGATGCTGATGCTGATGTCGATCCTGTTCCACTGTTCCGTCCTATCCTGACCTGTCCCGTCCTCTATCGTCGCCGTAGCGCGCGCGAATTACTGTATCCCTTCCTGTCCGAAACGCGTGGGTCGCCACATTCTCGAAGCATGCCATGCGTGTCTTGCTCGTTCTGGGCCCGATGGTCCAGAGAGAGAACGAGACCCCGTCGCAGAATCGTGAGCCAGACAGGATAGGTCTTAGCCTGTCTTGTCTTGTCTTGCTGGGATATGGCGACTACTGTTGCACACCGCTGGTTTCAGGCTCGCGCCTTTTCGTTTCTGCCCTGCCACTCTCGTCTCGTCTCAGACACCCACCCTCCTCCTCCTCCTCCTTCAGTCCTAAGAACCCGGGTTTGAGCTTGGGCTTCGTTCGGCTTGGGCTTCGACTTAGGCTTGTGCTTGTGCTCAGGTGCACCCCTCTCTTACTCCCCCATCCCATCCCTTGTGGCTTGTGGTGCTTGGTATCACCCACCTCGTGTCTTTTCTTTTTTGCGTTTTTTATTATTATTTTTAATTCCTCCCTTCTTTTCTTTTTCTTTCTTCCCCGCCCCTCCCGACCGGACCGAGCTAAGTAAGACCAAGTGGAATGTAAGTCTTGCGTAGCCTGCATTGGATTTGCGCAGATTAATTCCCTGATTGTAGACCGACCCTTTTGAGGAGAGGAGAGGAGCGTTTTGTCTCGCTTGCTCGTGTTGGGGCGGGAACTTAGCAGATGCGGTTGCGGTTGCGATGGTTGGCTCTGATATCATCACCTAGTAACTATGTATACTATGCATGTACTCCGTACACACTGCGTGTTAGCTACGAACTCTCCGATGAAATAATGCCGGATCACCATACGCACAGCGGACCGGTTAGCCACAATGCATCGGGTCCTGGCACGGTGTACAGAGACTGTGCAGACAGAGATCTCCGAGGCGGGTTGCGGCAGGCTTCTGGAAGTGTAGTGCATTTGAACACGGGTGATTCCGAGATTGAGGCGTAGATTTTATGTCCCGTACCCAGGGAGGTCTGCATGTCTCTCTCTGTTTCTTTGTTTTTTGTTTGGCAACTATGTGAATGCCGCTGGCTTGGTTTGAATAATAGGCGAACTGCAGAGTACTCACTCTGTATGTGTGTTCCTGGATCTATATTTCGCGTTGAGTTTTAGTCTTAGGTTTATCTAAGGTGGGCGCGTAGTACATACATGCATAGCCAGAGCCAGCGATCTCAGGCAGAATTAGACTGATCAGGGTCTTTTAGTTCTCGTTAGTACCTTCTCACCTTCACGGCCACAGGAGGTCATTCTACAATTAAATGTAAATGTGTTTCTGCTCGGATTCTATCGACTTAAGCAGGGCGTGTACTGTTGTCAACCATCGGATGCTACGAGCTCAACCGTTTATAATCGGATCATATACTTCCATACATGTACCTTTAACTTTGTTGAACAAGGAACGTACATCTGAATTTCATTCATCTCCCTGTAATTCATTTGCTAGTATGGGACGCCCTCGTGATCTAGAGGAGCCAAGGAACTTGAATCTTAAAATTGGCCGTTTCTAAGCTACTTGCTAGGGAAAAATCTCGTACAGCATCCAAGACTCTAATTCATTCTTGTAGGATATTCAACAATACTCTAGCTTAGCTGAAACTGATGCTCTATCCCATAATTGACCCGGGGGGGTGTTGAGCAGAGTCTGCTTAATATCTTCCGGTTTGTTGAAAAACAGTCTCTGGGTATTGAGATGTGAGCCATGTGGAAGATGAACGGCCATCCCAGGTTCAAATTGAATATTGTCATCACAGATTTCATACTGTCTATCTAGGCATTCTAGAGTTGAGGGGGCCCTGATCCAAAAAAAAAAAAAGAAAAAGAAAAGAAAAAGAAAAAGAAAAATAGCTTCTGGGTTTTTTCAGCTTATGGTCCTCGTATATACTTTGTTACTGGTACTGTTCTTGTTCCGCAAAATATATATGACCAACTCTTTCCCCGAACTCACCACATAAGCATTAAATCCAGCTATAAACATTACTGCCAGTATGAACAGCACTTTCAAGAATACCGAGCCATAATTTACATCCAAATAGCTTCAAATAACCCATTTCCTCCTACAAAGACATAAATCTCTACATGCCAACGGTTGCCCACGTGACTGACCAACCCTATCCCAAAACGGCAAAACCCAAACACGCCAACCACGGTTCAGTTTCTCCCCACGCCAACGTCATTCAACATCGACAAAGCGAGAAAAGAAAATCCCTTCATTAACTCTGGCAGGAACTGCCCCCGCCCACAAATGCAGTGACCACCAACGAAACACCGCGACGCGCGCAATCCAAAAAATGAAATAAAAAATGAAAGCAGAATCCGGCACCTTCCCCACCACCGAACTACAGAATTTGAAACATCGCAGCGCCAGCGACTTGACTGGAGCCTGAGCCAGCGACCGGACAACCAACGCCAATGGCGCCCTCCAAACCTAGGCAGCCGACCCTCCAAAATTCCAATATCTACGATAACTGGGTCTCACACTCAACAGGCCACCAAGTAGCCGATAGCCCGTACTCAAACACAACCGCATGGCGCGACACGCGAGCAAAAAAACTCCGGAACCAGTACCGCACTGGGGACTGTCTTCTGCGAAGCTCGGGGGAGTGGAAGCGGGGGCAAGAGCAGCTCAGCGGTGGGACTGGGACTGGGAGTGGTGCTGGTGCTTTTGACGGAACACTGGGACCTGATTCACCGGAGACTGATGCTGGAGCCGGAGCCGGAGCCGGAGAGGGACGCCAGCCTGTACAGAAATCTTCCAGGCCGAGACCCGGTGGCGAATATCGATGGGTTTCGGATGCGGAGGCCAAGCGCTCGCAAATGGGTGTTCGGGATATTCGGAGCTTTATGGGGGTTAGTAAACGCAAGGCGGATGATAAGGTGCATTGGACGGAGAAGAAGTTGAAGTGGCTTCATACTGTGGAGGAGGAATTGAAGAAGAAAAGGCAAGAGAGTGATAGAGATGGAAATAGAGATAGAGATATCTCGACAGGAAGGATGGGGGTGGAGGGTATGTCTTTGCCCAGGGATTCGTATGGATTTTTATCTTCATCTGCATCAACGCCTGCGTCCGCTTCTACATCTGCTTATACTTCCGAGCCTGCCTCTGCCTCTGCTTCTACTTCTGCATCCATACCCGCATCCGCACCTGCATCATCATCAAAAACAAACCTCGAACCCGCAGAGCCGACACCAAACCCGACACCGACATTATCTACCCCCAAAGACGAAAACCAAAACCAAAACCAAAACCAAACCTCCAACCCGAATCCTAATCTCAACCCCGATCCCAAATCCGAATGCAAATCCACCCTCCTAACCGGAACATCAATCTACATAAACGGCACAACCCTCCCACAAATCTCCGACCACAAACTAAAACACCTCCTCGTCGCGCACGGCGCCAACGTCGCCTCCTTCATGGCGCGGAAGGGCGTAACACACATCATCGTTGCACCACCGGGAACAACAGGCGCCGGTGCGGGCGGTGGTCTCGCGGCGAGAAAATTGCAGACGGAGATTTCTAGGGGTGGGTGGAAGGGGGTTAAGATTGTTGGAGTTGAGTGGTATGTTTCTGTTTCTCCCTCCGGGTCTCTCTGTCTCTATATAAACATTTCCGGTATTCATCGATATGGATGCTGGTCTAGATTAGCGTTGTGCTGTGGAGGCTAACTTTAGTAATATCAGGGCATTGGAAAGTATCAAGGTAGGAAAACGGCTTGCGGAGTCGAAATTCTCTGTTCTGACTATCGCGCCTAAGGGACAGAGGAGTGTTACTGGGTTTTTTGGCGGTGCTTGATTCTGATTGATACATTATTTCACTCCCCTTTTTTTCAACCTTCTGTTCGCATCGGCATGGCGTTCGTTACATGGGTAAATTACATATTGCATGGTATGGCATTGGCAGGATTTAAGTTTCTGTTTTGGCTGGATACCCTGGAGTTCAAGAAATGATAAACCTAACTTAATTCAAAGTGACAAAATCGTATCTCTTGCCTTTCTTTACTCTGTATCGTTTATGCTTAATATAGGAATGCCTAGTGAGACGGGGTAGAATGCTCGAAGCAGCACGATCGGAACGTGCGATGTGAAATAGCGTTGGGACAGGCGCCAAAACCACCACCAAAGACAGCATATATAGCAGAGCGCTATAGGACAGAGGGAGCAACGAGATGGGTGTATATTGAAACTATTCTAGTCCTTCGAGTTGAAGGTATTCGCCAGCCTTCCAAAAAGGGCTTAGCCTGCTGTTCTAGAATCCATCAATCAAAGCATTTTGCCAATAATGACCGTTCTTCCCCAGTACACTAGGTACTTCCAGTCCTCTAAACAGTACGTATGGATGAAGATAATGATATTGGGGTGTGTGTTGGTCAGGGAAGGAGGTGGAGATTAAAGTTAGTTAGGCTTTTGAGGGAGCTGACTAATACGAATAATTAGCTTGACAGTGAAGACTGTGTCAATTCACAAAGCTATACTGTATCAAACACACTATAGAGCATTTCAAGACGAATAGGCTTAAATTGATAGAGTTCATAGTGCAAGGTAGATGAGGCCAAAGGAATGTATTAGGTAGGATGGAAGCCTGTATTCTGTTTGGAGATGTCCTTTTATAGGAACAATCTCATTATACAATCTACCGACCAATCAAATCTCGTCTTGAGCGAACAGGTAGCGGTTCCCCGCTACACTAGGTTAATTCATCGTTCTTTCCCACTCATATAAGTGGCAAATCTCTACCTCAGAAGTCCATAGATCGCGTAGATCTGATTTTTTGAAGATCGCATCATCCAAATGAACGTTTATTCTTTTGGAAACGACCCTTATAAGCAGATAGAATTTCTCTTCTCACTCCATTCTATCTGAGATGGAACTGGGAGACATCGCGTCCCACATTTGTCTCGTCGTCGTCCTACTTTTGAGCCCCATCTTGGGAGAATGGATCTAGAAACTTCCAGTCATCATCCCTCAACCGCCACCAATCGGACTGAATAACTTGTTCGAAACATCGAGGAGATCCTCACCGACACCGTCACTGTGCTCAAACCCACAGCGAAATTCCTACTCATGGGACACGTCCGCCTCTAGAATGGTTGGGTGCATTACCTCTCAGATTGCTAGAAATATTCGCCGCCCGACTAATCGATGATTTTGCTCGGGCCTTCGGAATCGTGGCCGTTGGCCAAATCAGATCTGGCAGAGCTTTCTACGTTTGCGCTTCCTCTCACTCCCGAAGCACTCTCACCAGAAGGTAGCGCTTCCAGCTGTCCAGGTTTGGCCCCTTCTGTTCGAGGTCCCCAGGATACCACATGTCTGGCTGCTAGCGGTCCGTTTGAAATGTCCGCTGTGACCTTTCCGACCATTCGGATGGTCAACAAGGCAGCTTACCCCGATGCAGCTAGTGTCAAGGCCAAGGTGTCGATGGTGACCCAAATAGAGAACTCGGATGAAGAGACACTTCTTCGCTCAGTACATCCTTCGTTGAGAGACTGTCCCCATGTTGCAGTCATCGAGCTGCTCCTCTGGATCGGCCTGTCTGGATAACAGAATCACGCTGCCGCTGATCGATAAGAGCAAGTTATTGCCCATAGTCATATTTATGCTCTCGTCCCTTTTATTGTCCCCGCGAATCATGGCCCAACTCAATGCTGCCCCGAGACTCCGGGAGCAGCTGCTCCAGCCCGAAAAGAATTCCACCGACGCACGTCTGAAGCAGCTTATCAGATCCAGACCCAGTAATATCGACTTCGAGAAAATTCAGGCAGTCAGTCGCATCCCCGCTCAAGAGTGCACATGCTGTCAAGCAGGCAAAGGCCCTTGGAATATTTGTGTGATTTTCCAGCCCGATCCCAAGGCGAGTCCTGCCACCAAGTGTGCCAAATAGGCGAACCAACCAAAACCGAACAACTTCACCATACCGTGTCCATAGCGGCTGTCTGCTCTCTATTTCAGATCGATCGAATCAACAACTTTAGCAAACCAGTCGCTAAATTAAAAAGAACGCGTTGATAGTGATTGAGAAGGTGCTATCGTGCCGGACAGCAGATTTCATCTCTTACAAAATCACCTTTAGCCTAGGTTTCTAGTACAGGATCATGCTTTTGACACGGAGAAGGTACAAAATACGTTCTGTCTTCACCTTATGAATACATTCTCTGAATAGTATATATTTCCTGTTTCTGCTGTGTCTACTACATACGACCATAGGGTGTGGAGAACAGGGCTTCCCGTCCGCTCAGCCGTACTTAAGCCACATACTAAACGTGGTCAATAGCCATAGAGCCCTGGATCCTAAATTATCGTTAGTCTCTGTGTTGGGGTGAGTGCGGGTGATATGGGTGAGATAGGCAAATCGTCAGATTATCGATAAAACGGCAAATTTCCTAATCAGTATACGTTAATAAATTATTGCATACTACACAAACTCCGTATATTCTTAATAGAGATACACATAATTAGAGTGGGCAATTTGGATCCAGCAGCAGCAGTAGCAGCAGCAGCTTCTCCTGGTGATAATGATGGGCATGACGGAAATCAGTCTACCCTTGCCTCTAGCCCGGTCCCTGCCTCGCCTTCGGCGAATAGGAAGAAAGCAGCTACTTCACCCAACCCAAGGTCTTAAAAGACCAAGAAGGAGCCAACAACTGAAGAAAGTACCGTGGAGAATATCAAGCCCGAAGAGCAGCTTGTCAATTTGGCAGGACAGGGGCAGCATGAAGAGACAGCTCTTGAGGAGGATGTGGTAATAAACTCCGAGGATACTGAAGATGAGCTTACCATGGAGGCCTAACTTTGTATCATACACCTATTTTTTGGATCAGGGCTGGGATAATCTCCGTTGAAAAGCTGTCTGAGCTCGCTCGGCAAATAGAGGCTCATACTAGTAACTCATTCCTTCATGGAGAGCTACTAGTGTCTTCAAGTTGCTACTATTACATTCAATACAAGCAGCTTCAAAATTGTTAATGTCTCTTAAGTCCACTATGTCACATGTTGGCAACAACAGCCAAGGAAAGAGACCCAAGAGAATTTAAAGCCGCTTGGCTCTGGGTACATATTCATCAAGCGTCACGGCTCGGGTTTCCAGCAGACTCGTCGTAGTCTTGATTTTCTGGCCCAGAATCCGCTTCAAAGACATCGATAGACTCCGCAAGTGAAACGTCTTCCGCATTTTGAGGAGGTTGATCCTGAGCTCTCGAAAGATCATTTTCTTGTTGGTCCTTCTCATCCCCCAAGCCAGTATCGAGCAAGCGAATTCTCAGCGTCGATCCGGCGGACACCAAAGTTCTCCAATTTTGCTCAGTGACTGGAGTCCCATCCATGTCCATGATTTCATATGACCCTTCCTCCATGTCGGGCCTCACGATGTGATTATCCCGAAATTTGGCTCGAATTTGTGACTTTAACTCCTGAAAAGGGAATATTAGAATTCATTTAGCGAATCAAAGGGGAGGGCTGGAAATTACTGTGAAGCTTTCGCACGCAGCATGTGGAACCAGGAATGCCCTGTCATTCTCATCAAGCATCCTGCTAGGTTCCGCAGATGTGACTGGACTGGCTCGCCGAACTCGAGGTGTATCCGGGCTTGCAGAAGACCTCTCATTGGCAGTCGTGGTATCCTTTGCAGTTTCGGGCTTTCGGGCCGATTTTTGGTCCTTCATTCGCAGCTTCTCAGGGAGCATCTCGTCAATGTCCCAGACATCAGACGATATTTCAGGCTGCCTGTGAAGTGGCAAACGTTCTCCCGAATTGTTCATGTTTCCGGGCTCTGAATATGCCCTGGGTGCTCGTGGCGGACGCTGATAATAGGGCCCCGCCTCACCCCACTGTCGGTTACGTGTATTAGTACTAGTACCAGTAGTCAAGGGAGCAGCACTATAATGGCTAGGCCGGGACAAGTGGTATACATCATGGTTCGTATTGTCACAATATTCGCATCCCGAACAACGATATCGACCAAAGTGGCCTTTTATGGGGTTCTTCTTCGGCAGATGTTCTCCAATACTGTCCATGTTTGACAAAGCAAACTGTGCTCCAACAGGGAGATCCATGGCCAAGAGAAGCCGTGAAAGGCCTCGCTTCTTTTCGTCACATGCGGCGGGTACGTCGAAAAATGTGATATTTCGGTAATGTCGCCTTTTATCGAAGGGGGTGTAATCAAAGTGACAAGGAAACATTTCCTCAAACTTTTTGAAACGAAGATAGAGGTCTTGACGCCTATCTGTCAAATTTGGGATGTTGTTGGAGGATTTTTGAAGCATGCGAGTCTCACTTTCCAGACAAAATGCATATCCAATAGTGTCATTCATTTCTTCATGGCACAGCAAGGATAAATCCTTTGCTGTGTAGACCGCTCTTTGGTCATCCTCAGACATGTTTGCAAGCCTAACAAAAGCGTCATACCTAGTGCAAAGATCCCCAAGTGCCGCGGCGTTTCTTTCGATCAGTCTTAGCTTGCTTTCCAAAGTATCTGGAACAGATCGTGTTTCGGGTTGTTTCTTTGTTTTGTCCGCAGATGATTGCTCATTCGCGTTTTTTCGACAAAGGTCGCTTGTTGAGGGAGGAGTCCTTCTAAATTGTGGCTCATCAAAGAGAAACGACCTCGGATTGGATTCTGCCAATAACCACCCGAAGTATATTCTACTATTGATTAGTTCCCAATGATCTGTGAAGATCTTGCCTGCTATTGATTTTGCTATTTTCCGAAACTGGTCTTGGACGGCAAGAACTTTGTCGTTTGAAGGGACGTTTAGAAAAGCGATGAGCATTGTTGCATTTGCAAAATTTGTGAGGAGAATCTGCTCGTCTTTTCCCTTGTTAGGTTTGCGCTCACAGAACTTATCGACTGCGTCTTGCAATTTCTCAAGGCCGAAGGCTAATTCAAAGGATCCATCCTGAGGATAGGAGCCGTATTCGTCACAAATAAGAGTTAATATAAAACTCAATAACCTGTGTGATTCCCAGTGATATCCCTCTTTGACAAGAAAGTCGTACCAGGGGCCAAGCCGAGGAAATGCTGTGTCTGATCCCGCTCTCCATGAAGCCTCCGAAACTGACTCGTCCGAGTCTGAGGCTGGTGGCAAGTTCGATGCCCTTGCTTTGATTGAGGGATAATAATTTTGACCTGCAGTTCGATGCCGAGACCCTTTCATCTCGAGTGGAGACTTGTGGTCTCTAGTTAAGGAAACTAACTCATCTTCAGTCACGCCCCAATTCAGGAGAGGTCGAAACTGCTCAGTTTCTAGGTAACTGGACAGGCTGTGCGCCAAGGAGATAATTTCCAAAGATAGCTCAATAATTTGAATCTGAGTCATTCTTAGTGATATTTCGGGTCAAATGAGACATATTAAGGGTCATACCCGCATCCCAATAGATGAGTGAAACCATGAACATTTTTGTATGCGAAAAGATCCCTCTGGCCCAAATTTTGACTTTTCCGTTGACTTTTTCATCTGCACATCTTCCGACAGGTGTTGTGAAGTTGTTTTCGGTAGAGAATGGGACCGATACCGAGACAGATTCTCTTGGTTTGAACCGTCATCAAGTTCCTCGCTTTGTCCTAGAACCGACTTTGCCATCTCAAGAGCTGGGAGAAGTGCACCCTTGGTATGAATGTTTGCAACACACTCCAGCAATTTCAACAAAGTCATCTCATTGTGAGAGTAACTTACTGAAGAATCATGGCATCGGGTATGAACAAACCGGGACATATTGCCGAAGGCTCCTTGTTGCTGCAGAAGATCAGCGTATTCTGCTACAACCGGAAAAAAGTCCATATGTTGAGCGAGTCGAGATTCGAAAAAGGATATCCCGGCTTTGAAATGGCCCAAGCGATTCAATCTCGATAAGTGTGACAATTCATCGGAGAGATCGAGTGAGGCACCAAGATCGAGATGCACGGTGATATCTTTTGCTTCATCCGCAGAACACAATACCGTGTCGAATGTATTCTTTTGACTTTTGATGCTGCTATCCGACTTCTCTCCAGTCTCCGGGGCCAAATCCTTTGTTTCGGAACTAGCCGGAGCAGGATGCTTCCAATGCACTGATCTAGATGGTCTCTCCACAGAGGTAGGGTATATAGAGCCCTCTGGGTCTCGACTATCAGTATAGAATTTGCGAGACCGATCGTGACTCAAGGATCTTTCAGGGCGGTGTACTGTCAGTCCTCGTCCTCTGCGACGACTTCGAGGCGGCGTATAGCTCCAATCCCGATGATGAATATCCTCATCCTCGTTCATGGGGCGCAACACATGTACAGGCGAATTATCCCGGTCCGACAAATATTCGGTTTCCTCATCCGAATCAAGGCGACCGGTTGAAATATTATAAGTCATGGTGATTCTGGAGGTGTCTATGTGTGAACCAGAGTTGAGCAGCTGAAAGATGAGGGGGAAGACATGGGGCAGTGCGCGGCTCAGCCACAGAGCGCGCAAAAGTACGTAAAAGCAACGAGGAGGCATTTGAGCCATTACCTGGGTCCCGTTCACGGGTGCTACCTTTTTGTATATTAAACACTGAGACTCAATGATTATTACCTGCTTGCTTTTTCTACACAAAAGTCAGTATACTCTGTATCTTATAAGTTATTAATGAGTATCTGTTTGAGCATGACCCTGCTTGTAAACAAAAAAGTTGGCGTGATCACCTCGGCGGCAGGTAGGCGGGGGGCTGAGTTACTAATTTTTACCCACTGGCGGCTACGGACTGCCCTATTTGAGACGTGAACTGCCGTCTATTCAACCGAATTCCCCCTTTTTCCCCCTCCCCCCATCCACTGGCATAAGCATGGGATTCAGTCGCTCGGCTTCCAAGCCTTTTCGATATGTTGACTTGTCCCAAAGCAAAACAAGCGCCAGTCTTTGTGACCTCCAAGTGGAGAATCTCCGAGTAGACTGTTGTTTCCTCATGTCAAAATCGCGATGGGGCCAATTCAACAATCAGGAGAGTGGCGTTATGTACGTGGATTTGACATTTCATCAGCCAGGAGAGTGCAAATTGTCAGAAGCGACGATTACCATGGACTTCTCTGAGCTCAATCCAACAGCGTCTCAATCCAGCCCCAATGGACCGGAAATTACAGAATACTTTGGCCCTCGAATCATGACGGGACCAAGGCGTGAGTACAAGGTCTCGAGAAATGCGTCTTTGAATCCCAAAATCGGGACACCAGTTGGTATTACTGCTGAGGCAGGTGGTCTCTCCAGGACATCCGAGGTTATTCACACATCCAGATGGATGTTTACCGGTACAAGACATCCGGAAGAAACACCGGACAAAAGTCAGACACGACGGAGCTGTTTTCGACGGCTTATCTGGCATCTAGAGGAGAACAAACTGGATGATCAAGCCGTTCAACAACCTACGGTTCACTCAGCCGTCACTATTCATCATGGTTCACAGCCCTTTCTGCTGGATCTGAAAATCGAGGCTAAGATGCATCGATGGCGGGATCGAATCAAGCAATCATTTATTCTGCCGCCGAGGAGTCGAAAGTCGTATACGAGATCGTTGATAGAGCCAAGAAAGGAAATCGAAAGCGATGAATCGTTTCGCGAGACTGTTCTCGGTCTCGAACAGGCTATGATTGACAAGAACCTCCATCCAGTACCAGGTAGGTTTTACAGAGCCTCTGGCAGTAGCGTTCTTTATTAACAAAAGTCTACAGAGATCCGATATCCAAAGCTTGATAGCCGAGCCGGCGATATTGGAACTGAGTTGAGCGATTACGCATTGGAAAGCCCAAGTGAAGACTTCTCATTGTTAGTGGGGACTCTGGTTGACCAGAAAAGGCCCTGTCCTCCAGAGTCCACCAGATCAACGCCTTCAGTGAGCTCCAGTACCACGCTTGTGGAACCGATGGGGGTGAGTAGGACCATAGGAAGGGAGGAACCGACCCCATCGATCACAGAGGACAGGCCGACTGCTCCACCAAATGATCCAAATTTCGGCCCTCCGCATGAAAGAATCGATTATCCAAGACCTATTGATCCTAGCGGGGATGTCTTTCTGTTCACGTTTCTTGTGCTGTTTGGTCATATTTCCCAAATTTTAGCTGGCGCGATTCATTTTCTGATTCTCCGGCTCAATGATTTGCATTCGATTGTGGAGAAGGCTGCTCGTCAGGGTCATGGTATGAAATGAAACTAGGATAATTGGAGTCACTGGCACTGCGAATTTTGAGCAGATTTGATCTTGTGCACACTACTTCCAGGAATTTATGATGTATTTCTCTATTAGGGACTATTTAGTACATACGACCATAGGGTGTGGAGAACAGGGCTTCCCGTCCGCTCAGCCGTACTTAAGCCACACGCCGGCAGGTTAGTAGTATGGTGGGTGACCACATGCGAATCCCTGCTGTTGTATGTTTTTGTTTTGATTCAATTCTTCCAAGCATGATGAAGCTTGGCTACCTAGGTAGGAAGTTAAGCTCTCACGTATTTCAATGAGTTACGGATGCCTTTAGCGAATCGCCCCCAGCGGTGCGGGTTCGAGCGACATAGGATATGTACTTTATCTAATATTCTGCTATTCTGCTTTGAGTCGTTCATTGTAGTAGAAAGCTCAACACTGAATAAATAACACCTCGTTGTGGGGTATTAGAGCTTTCTCTGAGCGTTATAACAATACAAAAATGTGACCAGGATTGATAGGGCTGGTCTAAGAATAGTTTGCAGGAGGTTGTGGATAATATGTGAACTTTAAATATCATCCTTCCTTCCTATGTTTGTCACCAAAAAGGGCCCCTTGTGTACCAAGAACTCAGTAGTTTCAAATGTAGATAAAAGATAGCTCCAGTATAACGTGTTTTACCCACGAGTCGGCCACCCCTGCGAGTCGGCGTCACGAAAGATATCAAAAGCATCGTCCAAGAAATCCACAATGAGGTAAACTCCATAGCCCCAAAAAATTATCTAATACACCGGGGGTTAATTAAATCATACATAGATGGACAAGTCTTGGTCTGGAATATCCGACAATGTCAATGCAATTCACCGCGGCCAAGCACCAGACCACCCGGGATCTAAAAGCTCCTACTTTGCTGCCATGCTCTTCGCAAATAGTGAGGTTCGGACACTGGGATATTACGTCTTAGACAATATCCTCAAAATAGCCGCAACACACCCTGAGTTCGACCTTCGACATTTGGTCGTTCTTTACAGAGAACTTGTCTCCGCCCCGGCTGAGTTTCTAGGATACGTCGGCACTGAATCCCTACGCGACAGTCACAGAAAGATTGACGAGCTCATTAAATGCAAGGTGGAGACAAACGCTAATCAGGAGGAGGCACGGGAGGATTTGCTCGCCGTGGTGAGTGTTTTGGCTCAGTATATCAATCCCCTCAATGCCCCGAATTTGCTTTTATTCCCTTTCCCTTGGAGCATACGTCCGAGTATCCTATTCCCGGGCCGTCAGATTGAACACTATGTGCCCAGGTGGGTTGTGTCTGGGGTTTTGTGTGATTATGTGGCCTTCAGAGGCGCTATTATATAAGGGTTATGGAAAGAAGACGAAACCAGGTTGCCATGGATGGGAACGGACAGTCACGGAGATGGCCAGTGTATAGTGGCAGTTACGGCTCCAGGATCGTTTCATATAGTACCTAGTATGGAGACTAGCAAATTGCAAAACAGTCACTGCAATGAAACCGTTCCATTCTGTATGACTTTGGTGATATTACTGTAATTCATAATTTCAGATAACCATCATCCATAATTCTCATTATCATCATCACTGGCATCTAATATCATCTTGACATGATGCCACGGTCATATATGTACAAAACCAGCGCGCTCATCCATTCACCACTGAGCCACGCAAAACGAAGTCAACATCACATCACATCACATCCTCCAGTTTCCATTCCCATTCCCATAATTCCATTCCACATCCAGTGGAAATAGTGTTACACACTAGTAGTACACGCATAGATCGAAATAAAAATCCAATAATCCCAAACGCCATCGCCATTGCAGATGCATCAAATACAAACAAATAAAGTAATATGTCCAAATAACTTCAAAACGGTCTCGCATAAATGCCAGCCTGGACCTGGACCTTGACCTTAACCGCCTCTTTGTCCCGGTCTGCTGCGCTCTTCATACGTCGAGCCGTCATCGCTGCTAGCTTCAGACATGTGTCTGCGCCAACCACTTTGTTGACGGGCGAGACTGATAGGACGGGCACTATGAGCGTTGTCATTGTGACCATTATGATCATAAGTAGACGAAATCGACGTCACGCCGAGATCGGAATCAGACGAAACAGATCTCACGCCTGCTTCGCCAGTAGCGGGCTCCTCTCTATCCGGTAGAGGGGGAAGGGGATTTGGGTGGCGGTGCGTCGAGAAAGAAGACTGCGAGGGCGGAGGAGCGCGAGCATGAGCGTGAGAGGAAGAATTGGTTCGTGTGCGTGATCGTTGGCCGCGGGGGTATTGCCAGCCGTCGTGTTCAGGACCCGATCCCGATCCCATTCGCTCTGGAGAGGTTGCGGCTTGATAGGGAGGGGGTAGGTAGTATGGGTTTGAGGAGTTTCCCTGGGCGTAGAATGCATGGTGATCTTCGTAGGGTGGGAAGGCTGCTGTTGACATGCTGGAGACCGAGTCGCCGTGGGGTCGACTGGCCGGGATAGGGCCAGGAGGGGCCAGGGAGAGGGTAGGCGCAGAGGCAGAGGCACGGGCAGGGAGAGGGGCCATGGGCTGGGTTTCGCTGATTTCGGATTCACTGCTGGACCAGCGCTCTAGTTTCTCGCCGAGAGATTCCCCAGCTTCGGGGTGGGCGGTGCGTGAGTCACCCTTTACTAGACCGAGTTGTTCTTCTTCTGTCGCTGTTCGGCGGAGGTCGCCGCCTGGAACGAGCTGGGATCTGCGGAGGATACCCCGGGGTGGACTGGTGGAGCGCTTGGGGGAGGTCTCACGGTGTTGTCCTATCATCCGGCTGACCATGTTGTTGAAGGAGAATTGGCGGCGGGCACTACCTGGTCGTGAGTCGGTGCCTTCATCGCCTTTTTCATCGGCCCAGGAGATTGATCGGGGTGTGTCGCTGCGCTCGCGGCCTATGCGGTGCGTTGGAAGTTGGAGTCCTGCCTGGTCAGCGCCATGATACTCGGTATCAGTGAGGCCGCCACTCATGCTTTTCTCGTTCTCGTCTTGCTCGTTTAACGGGGTGAAGTGCGGGTGGCGAACGCTTGAAGTGCGAGATCGGACATCACTAAAGAATGAGCGGCCGCTTTGCTTGGTGGTAGGTCGGGTTTCGTCTTCATCCTCGTGGTCTGGGAACCGAGACATGCCTAGTGGCGGCAGCTGTTGTCTAATTGAAGGGGAGCGCGGAGTATGCGGTCGAGACATTGTTGGGCCTTCGCCGACAACTGTCCTGCGGCGGCGAATACCATCCCATTCGATTATCTCATTGTCACCGGGCGGCTTGAGGAAATCTTCATGCTTCTCGTGAACATATCGCTTGGCCTCGTCGGCCTCTGCAGTGCGACGGGTGGTCGAGATACGGCGAATGATAGATGCCGCGCCGCGGATAGAGTCTGCTTTGGGCTCATACTCGGGCTCTTCCTGTGTAGCAACCTCACGAATCTGATCCAGGTCACCCTTGAACACAGCGGCATCAGGGACGTCCTTGGCAGACTTGGACAGTTGTAACAGAACAACGCCAGCACAGATCTGCAAGAATCCCATGATCACGGTGGTAATCTGGATCGCGGTACCCTTGAAACCCTGGAACAAGACGGCAGAAGTCACGATGGTCGCGGTGGTGAACATGACGTAGTAAGTAGGGGTGACTAGAGCGGCGTTGAATATATTCAAAGCTTTCTGTAAATAAAGCGTGGTTAGCAAAACAAGAACTCGGGCCATCGTATATCATCGCCATCACCAGAGTCGGACGTACATTGAGATAAATAATCTCCGTAAGGAGAGTCCCAACAACAAACACAAACAAGACATAAAGAAACCACTGCTTAAACTGCGGTTCACCATTAATCTGAGCCAGAATAGCGGAGCCCAGACCCTGCGTCGCAACCACACTCAGCCCACCAACCAAACTGCAAATCCCAATATAAACAAACATGCTCTGCTTCGCATATCTCGGCGCAACCCAAACAGCCGTAACCAGCGCCCCGACCAAAATCACACCAGCGTACGTCAAAAAGCCCGGCGTAATGACAAAATGCTGCATCTCCTGGATATTGCTGACGGAGGACTGTTCAGGTGCATTCATCGCAATAACAACGGACCCAACAATGCACGAGAAACAGCCGACCTTGCCGACGAAACTGAGTCGTTCTTTCAAGAAAATCGCCGACAGAATCGTTGTTATCACGACGGATAGGGCACCCAGGGGCGTTACCAGAATCGCATCGACAAAGGCGTAGGCGACAAAGTTACAGATCTCTCCGAGGATCATCAGGGTCATTCCGCACCACCACCAGAAATTCTTCAGATATCCGTAGCCCTCGCCGGCCTCCTCGTTGTATTTGACGTTGGCTTTGAGAAGGCCGATTTTCTTGATGACGAAGGATATTCCGATGAAGACGCCTGATGCGACGGCTAGGCAGATTCCGATCACTTTGTAGACGGGTGGGCGGCCGCTGGAGTCGGCGCGGGCGAGGAGTGTCGAGGCGTGCGCCATGGTATATTCGTGGGTGTCCATGATGGGTGGGGGTGAAAATGAGTCGCGAGGGAAAAGAAGAGAGAAAGAAGAGAGAAAATAGAAGATCACCGGCCAGCAGTGGGTGTCGCTGGGACGGAGTCGTCCGAAGACGTTACTCGGCGACTAATGAGACACTCCGGTTCAGGCCACTGCGTTGTACGGCGTATCGCCTGAGAGGTAAGCACAGAGTGGTTGGATGATTTGTGAGAGGTGAGAGAGGCGAGGTAAGACAGCGAAAATAGCGACAATATTGCTGAATAGATGGTGAATGCGATGCGACAGGAGGAATGGTGATCTGGAATGCTTCTGGAAGAGCCACGAGGAGAAAAACAAGGCGGGGGCGAAAGATCAACACTCGTCAGTGGCTGCGTGGACGTGCGACAGGGGGGGGAATTGGTTGGAGGAATTGTCGAATTCAAGGTAGTTTAAAGAGGAAGGAGAGAAAGAACAAGAATAATCAAGATAAAACAGGAGCAGAGCTGAACAGGAGATTAGCGACTCTCTAGAATAGAAATAGGGGAAGGGGAGAAAACAAAGAGGTTGGGCCTGTGGGGAAGTGCGGGTCGGTGGGGCGATGAGACGATGAGATGTCAATGTCAGGTACTGGGGGAATTAGGGAATCAGGGGATATGTACTTTAAATTAGGGAGTACTTGGTGATATTTAGATATTTGTTCATTACTGTATACCTTGATCATAACTCGTCACTCATTCCATCCTTTCACCTCAAATAAAGGGTATCCAGCAGGAAAGGAGAACTAGAACTGAAACAGTCCCAAGAAAATGAGAAAATGCCTAACCGGAACTACTAAACGCAAGGAAACAAAAATACTAAAGTAAACTCATGCCCTCCCATGACGGCATCACCCTTTACCCCACGTGGTAGCTTGGCTTTCGTTGGCGGTTGACCACCGGCGGTGCCTCATCAACAGGGTACGGCGGTCGGACCTTGCCACTCGACAAATGAGGTGATGGTTGAGAGAAGAGCGGCGCTGGCATCGACACTCCCCCGTTATCATCGGTTGATGGGTACGGAATAGGCGTCTTGGGTGGTACGGGAGGAGGCATCCCATTGAGCGCGGAGAATTGCTCTGCGCTTTGATGCGGGGAGCTCTGCTGTTGTTGCGACGAGGGCCGAGAGTACTCGTGGCTAGGGCGGAAACTACCAACCTCGCCACTGGAGTGTCGAGTCGGAGATGTTGGCATGTGATTGTGGTTGTGGTTGTTACTGCTATCATGGGGTGTGGGATGAACTGGGAGCGAGTCGTCGCCCGGTGGTGCTGTTACCGTAACACTGGTCGGGATCGGGGGCGCGCCATGGTTAGGTGGACGGGGGAAATGATCCAGCGGGTACTCCACAGGCTCGGCGGGTAATTCAACCGCGAAATGATTCGAGGGCGGCGGTACGGTATACTCCTCGGCGTGGGTTGAGACGGAGATCTCCTCGCGCTCGAGGTCAAACGACATGTCATCCCGATCTCCGCCCGCCGCCGCGTGTGCAGCCATGCGCTTGTTCATGCGCTCGATCTTGGCGAAGCGGACGCTCGAATCTAGGATCTGCTTCTTGACCTCCGGTCGAGAGAGGTATCGTCGGGTGTTGGTGCTGATATCCGCCAGTCGGTTCCACTCGTTCATGCCGAATTCTCCAACGCCCACCTCGACATTGAGACGGCAGTAGACGTCCTTACTGACGTGGCGCTTAGCAAGAATGTCTTGCAGCATTTGCTGGTGAATATCCTCGCAACCCTCGATCTTCGTGATAAGTCGTCGCCGCGCCTCGGCAAATGTACCTAGCGCGTCGCCAAAGAAATCCTCCCACCATTCATGTTGTCGGTTATTGGTTCCTGACGGCCGTCTACCGGTGCCGATACTAACGAAAACTCCGACCTCACGACCAGGCCACTCGTTGACAACTGCCTCTTCGAGAATTTGTGGTGCCGGATTGTAGGTTCCGGGGCCCTCGTCGATAAAGTTGTGTTGTCCAATTCGGATTGGCTTGAAGGCAAGACCAGTGGCCGATGTAGCACGGCCGGCTTGCCAGATCGTACAGTCAAACTCCGGCGGGGGTTCGCGGCGAGAGTCGTAGGAACGTAAAAGCACCGCAGGCGAATTCTTCGGGGTGCCCTTATAGAGAGCCGTAACGGCACTAGTATAAAAGGGTTAGCGATTTTCGATTTCTCGCTCTGGCCAGATGCCAATGCATCAAAACTCACGTTTTCGTCCGGTTTTCCCGGTTATCATATAATAACGCCTCCGGATTCCCCCAGCGTAAACCGTTCAGAAAAGTGGAACCTCTCTGGTTATTGTTCTGCGCTTGAGAATATGACTGGCCCGAAGTACTGAAACTTCCTCTGCTCACCGAGCGCTGAGGAACAGAGTTGGGAGGACTATATGGAAGACTCGCCATCGAGGATCTGGGGTCGGCGTTGTTATGGTTGGTGTTGCCGGGCATATCATTCCCCTCCGCCTCCCACACCGTATGTTCGCGCACGCATTCTCGAATCGCCTCTTCTAGCTTTGAGGCCTTGAATAAAGTCGAGCGATAGGGGATACCGGCAATTGTCTTATCGGTTTCGAAAACTTTGCGAGTCATGCGGACGTAGACTTCTTTACTGGTTTCGAGGTCCAGGCGGAGCCGGCCGAGCATGATCGCGATCAAACCGCCAGTGCCAGTACCCGCGATCAAGTCGAAATGGTCGCAGGGCTTAGGGATCTGGTCGCGACGAGGTGGTTTGCCCTCGCACTCGACATAGGTTCGGTACATAAGTTCCTGAAGAATAATGAGCATGGAGTAGCCGCGGACACCGCCTCCATCTATTTCATTGTCAGCGTTGCTCAGCTCCGAGGGGGAGAGAGGGGGGAGCCATGGATGCGCTTACCGAGGGAGAGGATCCGTAACGGCGGACCCTTGGTGGTGTCTTTGCGACGTAAATTAACCTCGTCCATTGTGGCGGCGGGGTTTGTGTGTTTGGGAGATCGAGGTTGTCTTCAACTTTTTTTTTGGTTTCCTCCTGCAGCCAGCGGCAACCTTACCCGCGCGGGGCTGAGCGGCGCCTTATGCAGCGAGGTCGCGGACGCCTGACCGGTCCGATCAGAGGTCTTCTGGCGGCGTGACACTGGTGACACCACACGCGGTCAAATGCGGCGCTGTTTGGGGATGTGTGATGAAGTCAACGGGAGAGTTTGGTATACAGTCGAGTTCCGAATAGGCAGCGGCGTAAGATCGATTGGAGGGGTGCGGCTTGGCCTGGCAAGCCACAATTTGGTGCAATTCAGCGGATGAAAGCGCGATCAATCCCTTTTGCTGTATGTACTTCGATTATTTTCTCTGACAGATCTGAATGAAGAGAGAGCTCACAATCAAATCGAATCAGAAGAAAAAGAATGTAATGTTATTCTTGGAAACTGAATCCACCGGGGCTTCCATGGAACAAGCTGGGTCATGTGACTAGTGGCGGTGCGAGAGTCTGACGTAATTGTGGCTGTGTGAGTCAACTGTGGGCTGCCCTGCATAGTACTGTACTATTGCATTGCAGTGGAATTTTCTGGAAGGCGAGGAAAGATGATGATTTGTGTGGAAGAGAGTGGATCGATGCAAGTTCACCTATCATAGGGCTGAAAAAGGGTCTAGAGGTCCGTTCGGTACACTGCCAGCTGAAAAAGCAGCAGCTTGGGCATCTGTGTATGTCTATGTCTACTTGTGCCATGTATAACGATGACTAAAGTCATGAATGATTTTCATTTTCCATACAATACACCATTCAAATCAAGCCCACACTGAATATCATAAATGCTTAGTGAGAATTGGTCAGACACAACTGTAAATTTTTCCAGCCTGCTGCCCTGCCATGCTCTGTCCTGCCGTCGGGCACTAATTAGTGAGACCGGGCCAATCTAGTAGAAACACCGTCAGCCATGAACCACCATTCAACCAATTCCACAAATAGCTTGAACTTGAACCCAAAAGAAACCCAAACACGACTCACCTAGCACCGAACGTTCCGCACCCCGCGCCACCACCTCAACCACATCACCCACCCTTACCTCCTCCCCATCAAACCCACGATCCAAAAACGAATACCGTCCAAACACAGGACTAAACCTCGCCCCACGATCTACCCGACGATCCTTCATCAACTTCTTCAACACAGTCCCGGACTCACCAGTCCCCATCTGCCCCGTCTGATAATCCACATTAAGACTTTGACACCGAACACAATTCCCCGTCAACAATAACCGAACTCGCTTCGAACCAATAGCCAACTCCGTCCAAAAGTCCTCTTCAAACGCAGACTCGGCGCCAGATACAACAATGTTCGGCCGGAACTTCGTTCGATCCATTTCTTCGCCTGCCGGTAATCTCCCCGAGACATTATTCACCGAAGTCTCGGATATAACGAGAAACGGCGCACAGTCGGCGAATGTAATCCGGTCTTCGTATTTGGTTGCGAAAACCCTTTTTCCAAGGACGTAAATCATAATACTACCCGCTAGCACCATAGCAATTGCACCGGCTAGAATAACCATCGATGATGGAGTAGAACTCGCGTTGTTAGCGATCCCATGCTCGAATTGTCCAACAGCATACGACACCCCAGAAGCGCCAATCGCAAGAGCACAAATCGGAACAAGGAATTTCTCCAAAACAGTCGGTCCAGTCCCACTGCCTGCTGACTCCAAGCCCCGCAACAAAATTTCCTGCCACGCCCATCCACTTGTCTTCTTTTTTCCGTTATGTTTGGCTTTGGCCGGCGCCAGAGTCCCTAGTACCCCGCGAGTGTTGACACCCAGATAAGCCAGGACAACGGGGTATCCGAAACACTCACTGAACCAGTCGTTATACGCGGAGCCCATGTTATACCCCGTCGTGGGGCTTTGGTGCATCGTTACCGTGAAGCGGGACAGAGAGTCCACGTTTGGTTCGAGGGGGATCTCCAAGTGTTTCGTTTCATGTGGTCCGGGGTTTTCTGCGTTTGGAGGAGAGTGATATGTAACCCTCACTCGACCTTTATCTTCTGCAGTTGGCATGTCCAAAGCTGTTTCGAAGAGGGCCATTTCGGGGAAATGTGGGACATGCATATTCTTTAGGGTTCCTTTGCCATCTTCCCCGTCCTCGACTTTGAGGAGCATGAAGCGTCGGTCATATTTTAGACCGAGCGGTGATAGAACGCCCTCACTTACGGGTGTTGCTCGTAGGGACTTGATGGGGTATACGTAGAGCTGTGTGTGGGATATTGGGATTAGTTACCATGGTAAGATAGATGGAGGCGGGGTAGTTTGGACGTACCTGGCTGATCTGCATAGCGGCGATCGGATTGTGCTGTACGAGTATGCCGAATGGAAATGGCAATTCCAGCTGAGCCTCTAGTCAAGGGTGGACTCGGTGGAGAATGAATATTTACACTATCAGACGACTTGTAGATAAGTAACTCAATCCAATTGAGGGGGGGTCTGTCGGTCTTGACTCCGTGATCGGCAGCGGCTACCGGCAACGCACCCGAGGCTCCCATGTCCCAATGACATCATTGCGGACTAGGATCGCTAACAATAGTCAGATAAGGGAATATTTTGCGATAACCCTATTCAAAGGACTCCTATCCTTTGAATAGGGTTATATGGCTGGCTTGTTTAAGAGTGCGTATCAATGAAATGTTGTCAATCCTATTCGTGTTGAATCATGCTGGGAAATATACATAAAAAAAATGAAAAACGTCAAGAAAGGTCTACTATCTACTGATCCTTAGCCCAAGGCAGACTGAATGTGCCCACCCAGTCCTCCACCTCCTGGCGGAGAAGCACAATCTCTGAAATCTCCTCGCCCTCGCCCAGATACTCGTGGAACGCCTTGACAGTGCCGGGGTTCTTGGCACCGCGGGCCTGCGCCTGCTCCCGCGCAGCCTTGTCCAGCTTCTGTGTCAGGATAACAACGCGGTCGACAATCTCCGCAACGCGGCGGAAGTCCTCGGGCTGGAAGCCACGAGAGGTCATGGCGGGGGTACCCAGACGAAGACCGCCGGGCTTGAGAGCGGACTTGTCACCGGGCACGGTGTTCTTGTTACTGGCGACACCGCACAGCTCGAGAACGCGCTCGACACGAGCACCGTCGACACCACGGTTCTTCAGGTCAACAAGGACCAGGTGGTTGTCGGTGCCTCCGGAGACGATGTTATATCCGAGACCACCGTTGCTGGTGGACTCGCCCAGGCGCTCGGCCAGGGCTGCGGAGTTGGCAAGGACGGTCTTCTGGTATTCCTGGAACTCGGAAGACTGCGCCTGCTTGAGGGCCACGGCCAGCGCGGTGATAGTGTGGTTGTGGGGACCGCCCTGGTGGCCGGGGAAGACCGAGGCGTTGATGGGGTTCTCCAAATCGTACATCTCCTTGTTACCCTTCTTGTCGGTGCGACGGAGACCCTTGCGGTAGAAGATCATGGCACCACGGGGACCACGCAGAGACTTGTGGGTGGTGGTGGTAACGATATCAGAGTATGGGAAGGGCGAGGGGAGGACATCGGCGGCCACGAGACCGGAGATGTGGGCCATATCGGTCAAGAGGTAAGCGCCAACATTGTCGGCAATAGCGCGCATGCGAGGGTAGTCAACTAGACGGCTGTAGGCGGAGGTACCGGCGACAATCAACTTAGGGCGGTACAGTAGAGCCTGCTTCTCCAGAGCATCATAGTCGATCAGACCGGTGGACTCATCCAGGCGGTAGGGTAGGGTCTCGAAGTATTTAGAGATGGCAGAGATCTTCTTGGTAGGGGTCTGGTAGCCGTGCGACAGGTGGCCACCGTGGGGGAGATCCAGACCCATCAGGCGATCGTGAGTGTTGAGCACGGCGGAGTAGGCCATGAGGTTGGCGGGGGAGCCGGAGAGAGCTGCGCATCTGGTTAATACTCTGTTGCTAGGGATGAGGGACGAATTGACATACGCTGAACGTTGACACCCCATTCCTCGGGGTTGAGACGGAAAGTCTCAAGCGCACGCTGCTGGCACAGACGCTCCGAGGCATCAATGTGTTCATTACCACCATAGTAACGGGCGCCGGGGTATCCCTCCGAGTACTTGTCTATCATGCGATTAGGATCCGCTTATCTGTCGGGGGCCCGGAAAGCCACCTACTTTGCATAACACTGCCGAGGGCATCGAGAACGGCTTGGGATGTGAAGTTCTCAGAGGGGATCAGGTTGATGAAGTGCTGCTGACGGGTTTTCTCCTGCGATTGGTATTAGCATGTTGCCGTTGCCGTTGCCGTGGCCGTGCGGTGCGGTCGGTTGCCCGGCGCTGTGAAGCTCGATTGCATGACGTACCTTCTCCAGGATGCTGAACACGGCGGGGTCGGAGTCCTTTAGAGAGCTAGCGAGAAGCTGTAGAGACTGTTAGAATGGTCTAATTCGTATTCCGATCACCCATTGACACGAATCTCACCTTGTGCTGCGCATCGCGGCTGGTGGAGGATACTCCCCGCACGAGGGGGATGGATCCGGCGATGAAGGCACGGGGGGCCGCAACCACAGGGCGGGCACCCGCCAGAGAGAGACGGGCAAGACGCCCACAGCGAGAGAGAGACATTGTACACAAACAAGCAACGATTCCGACAAAATCCACGCGGATAGAAAAGTCGGCCGGGGTAGCGTTTTATATCGTGGAACCCGGCGGTCGCACCTTCCCCGTTACCCGCGGAAAGCGGAAAAGGACACTATTCCTAAAATGGTAGTCACCCTGCTAAGTCATCTATCGAGTCACCTGACTGTTGCGTGGTCCGTGCCCCGCCGCGGAAAGTTTTAAGCGCACAATCCCTCAGCCTCCTTTCTCTTCTTTACACAACTAAATCCAAGATGAAGAGTTGGCGTCCAATCTGTATCAGCACTCGTCGGTGTTGGCCCTCTGGGCCGACGTTGGACGGGCGCTGCTGAGAGGTCCCGCGCCCCGTCACCATCCTTTAGGGATCAGTTTTTGTCTGATTGGAGGTTGTGTTGCTGTTGCTTGAGCTCAGCTTCAAGTTCAGCTTGGATAATGAGGATAGAGGAGATGACACAAGGAGATGGGGGGGATGGGTAGATGGAAGGGACAGCGAGGGAGCTCTGGTCTTGATCAATTATCTTGATTAACTTCACTCGGAGTTATCATCAAGATGATTCTCAAGACGTGGCCTGCTTCACGCGTCCCATTCCGCCCCGCCCCCGACCCGACCGTGTCACTCCCAGTAAATCCAGATCCCTATAGTCACCTGTTTGTTTACGGGCGTATTCAATTAAACTATTTGGAAACATCATAAAATATTACCTACTCGTACTAGTAGCTCGTAGCTGTACCAACTCCGTTGCAAGACGAGAATGGTTGCCCCGAGGGTTCTCATGGGTTGCTCTTATCTATCCTGAGGCCACACAGGTACGGCCGGATGAGAGTAGTTCAAGTTGCAGTCGCGAGTCTCCCATGGTTTTGTCAGGCTTAGTGCCCGGCGATCCAGCCCTGTAGTAAGAAGTTTGGTGTCCGAGATGCTTGGTTGCTCCGGTCGGTCTTAAGTTCATAGCGAATTGAGTTACTGGGAGGTAGTGGTGGTACTAGTATCAACTCAGGTGCCCAGGTGTTTCCCTATCGGTCGTTCTAAATATATTTCGGAGAACGTCCCCGACCGAGTTCCTCGCCAAGACCACGAAACAAGAACAGTTACCTGGCTAGGAATAACGTGAAACTAAGTTTATGTTCACTCTAAAATAAAGACTTGATGTAGATCGTATATGGGCAGTCCATATTGAATTTGACTATGAAATAAACCACATCTACTCCGTACCAGTACTAGTATGTACTATTCGCAACAATTACTAGTAGACGATAATGACTGGCGACTTGCATCTGATTTCAGTAAACCCCACCATTTTTCTGGCAATCAGTTAGTTCCGATGCCCCAAAAACAGGTCGATCCTAGACCTAACCCCAAACACGCTATAAAACTATGATCCCTCGTCAACCCACGGCATCGGTAGCTTGCCTACATTGTAGCCCCGGGAACCAGGCAGGATTAGAACTGCACGTGGTACAGCTAGGCAGCGCATCGGTCAACTGGGGATATCATAATAAAGCCCTCGCATAGACTGACGATTCCCATCATCATCTCTAGTCGTCCCTTGCGGAGGTCTAATTACACCTCTCCCCATGTCGCAGAGTGAAACCCCACCGACCCTGCATCCAGCCCTTGCGACGATCGTGTCTACACATGAGCGATGGAAATCCTTGATGTTAGCCAGGACGGCCCAATCATAGTACTTTGGGCTGTGTAAAAATCATCAGGGTCCACTGTGGAAATGACCTTCATGGCGTAGACTGGAACGGTGGCACCAAAATGATGTTCTATATACATAGTGGTAGGAGTATCTTAGCATCTGAGTATGAAGATTCACTCAAAGTAATAAGCTATACCGTTAAGTTATGCATACTCGGTATACTTCTTCTATGTCAACACCCAAGTACTGTCTGCGTACGAGTAGAGTACCTTCACTTGGGCATGACGAATCTAGACCCTCCAGACAAAGCCCTAGCCTCCACTGCGGCCCAAGCGGGTAAAGATCCCCGGACCACACAAACCGGTTCGTGGGCGTGTTCTTAAGGAGATGCCTTCTCTGATTGGAGCATATTGGGTCAATGGGGCTAGATTGTGGAAATAAGCCCAACAACAGCAGTTAATTTCCCGTACTGCCACCACCGCCCCTTTTTTCTCATTTCTCCTGCGCTAGTGGCCCCGGGTACCTGAGAGTGGCCCATGGTCCCAATCCCGTCCCTGTTCACCCTATAAACCTCCTCGCCCCCGTCTTCTTCCCCTTCTCGTTCTCCATCCACATTCTCTTGCTCACTCCGGTTCTTCTTGACCGATTACATTCTTTAAACAACTCCAGTCACTCTTTAGACTTTTGTCGGATCTTTTCAAGGAACATTCCTCGATCAACTTTATCTCCCAAACCATTCAAAATGCGTTTCTCCATTGCTACCGCTCTTACCCTGGCCGCTGGTGCCTTCGCCGGTGTTGTCACTGAGACTGTTACCGACTACACCACCTTCTGCCCCGAGGCTACCTCCATCGTCCACGGCGGCTCGACCTACAGCGTCTCCACTGTACGTTTTTTGTTCAATTTTCTATCGATTTTCTATCAATGTTTTTGCATCAAATACCTTGTTTGGATGTCACCCTGGGTGATGACAGATGAGATGAATCATCCGTCGCATCACTCGGACCGACCACCAACATCCCAATCCTATATATCCACCCATCGCTATTAATCGAACATAACTAACTCCTCAACAGCCCGGAAGCGTCACCCTGACCGGTTCTTTCACTGTCACCCGTCCCCTCGTGACCCAGACCGTCACCCAGTGCAACAAGTGGTAAGTATCCATCTCATCAAGATCAATCTGAATATCAGAAAAGATTATGATCACCACCAACCCAAAACACAAAACTAACACACAATCCAGCACTTCCTCCGCTGTCCCCACCTCCCCCGCTGCCTCCTCCAGCGCCCCGGCCTCCGTCTCGACCCCCCTATGTCCCCTCGGGCGCCGATGCCACCGGTGTCCCCGCTGCCTCCGGCTCCGGCTCCACCCCCGCTCCTTCCCAGCCTGCCTTCAACGCCGGTGCCATGAACGCCGCTGGCGCTGGTGCCGGTCTGGCCGCCGTCCTCGGTGCCGCCGTTCTGCTGCTGTAAACCCCTTCACTTCCAATGCGAATCTGAATGTGTTTTCGGTGCGTTTTGAGCGCTAGCGCATCGACGGTGTTGGCAATTTCCCGCCAACCATCTCCCATCCCGTTCGTTTATCGCACGGTTTGGACTGGTTGTACCGGGTCGCTGTCGACACCAGGCGTTGACGGCCAGGGTTAAGGGTCTCGTTTTTTTTTTCTTTTTCTTGATATCTTATTCACTAACTGATTACGCTTTTGCGTATGTTTTATGTCTATTTTTTGATTAGATAATACATAATAAACCCGTCTGGGTTGCTTATGTCTTTATTTTCGTTGTTTGTGTTGACATACTGCCTGGACATAACGTTTCTTTGATTCATTTGATGACTACAATTCTTCTTTACCGGATACCTCATTACCTTGTAGCTGATCCTTATCATAGGGCATGGTCAACTCTATCCTATCATGCCAGCTGGGATACGGTACCTCCATTCCCGCTCTTATCACTTGGTCCTTTGATCCATCCCGGTCATCAGTAGGATCACCAGTAGGATTGGGCCATGATCGCTGGGCTTTCCAGGTTGATGATTTGGATTGACCTCAAGTTAAATAGATCTGTACTGCCTGTAATATAGGGCAAGACCAGATCTACAACTCTATATCCCCCCCTCTACACAAGGGAGTCGGGCTCTACCTAACCAAGTCTTATTCAAATGCTATAGTTACCAGCATCTCGATATGGCTGCCTGAGGCACCGCGCCCAGCCCAACATGACTTGCGTATAGGGTTGAGCCGAAACCTCTTGCGTGTATACAGCGACCTGAGGCTGTGATCGTCATGTTTGTCTCTAGACAACGTCCTACCACTGCCGTAGAATTAAGAACTAAGAGGCAATCCATCAAATGAAGTCATTAAAGCTAAGTACACTTTTACCAGGGCTACTAAGCATGATTCAAATTTGCGGGGATTTTAATCTCATGAGAAATTGCAAAGCCGCAGTTCTTTTTCGAGATTCCCCGATTCCCCAGTTTTTCCTTATTTTTCAGCTCCAGGCCTCATCTCTTCTCAAGAATACCCTCATCGCAGTTAATATTCTAATCCGAATGCAACTCTGGCAGGATATTGTTTTCTCTGGAGACAATTTCGCACATTTCATCAGGGAGGAAAGAGAAAAATATTTTGGGAGCGAGCTCTAACGACTACTAACAAACGAGAAGTGGCAGTTGACCTCCCAGTCTAGCCTTCGTGGTACTAGTAACATACCCTCTTCGAATGATAATTGGTCATGAAATCAATTATAACAGCCATGGGCATAATCTAGTAGTACTGATCAGCGGTCTGCATGTCCAAGAATAGTAACTAGTAACCATACTCAAATGTGGCTGTGTTGCTACCTAGACTTGGCAAATCCCAGGGCGAATCGTATGACCCGGAGTGAAAAGACGCGGGATCATCGAAATGAAATCGAGATAAACGTGTAGGTTTGAATATAGCCGAGGAGAAAGGGTAGGCCTAGCGGGCACTATCTAGATCGTGCCGGGTGAGGTGTTTGTTTCAGACCATATTGCTCAGCATGTCTGCATCATGACGGAAAATAGATGCTGGAATAGTCAGCTTAGATTAAGCTTGTTTCACGAGGCTGTTCTTGCAGGGTAATAAAGTATTGTAGCCTGTCCAGAGTGGGTCCATGTCTCGGATCGCACCATACCTCCAAGACTTCCCTTAATCTTATTGGGTAAAGATCAACTTTTCGTACCAGGACTATGGGTTCGGGCAGCAAGGAGGGTTGGTCATCGGCGCGGAACTGTACCGTTGTTATTATCCTTTATCATTCTCCTATATCTGTTGTCCGAAGAGTAGCTAACTCAGCACATCATCCGGTCCATTTTACTACCCGCAGGAACTTTGTACTTTTGCTCGATATGAAAACTGCAATCTCTCTTTGGGGCTTCCTCGGCCTGGCTGCCGCAGTATTGCCAGAATGGAACTCTTTCCCAGGACACTCTCCTGCCATTGAAAACCGTTCACTGGACCAAATTTACGCCGCTGCCAAGAGAGAACACGGTAGCCTCGTTGTTCTTTGGGGAGGAGATGGTGCGTATTATAGAATATGTATAAAGAAGCAAAGCTGACATGATGTAGATGTGAGCCAGGGCCAATCTACCATCGATGCATGGAAAGCCCGTTTCCCGGATATTGAGCTAAACCTCACTGTCGATGTCTCGAAATATCACGATAGCCGCGTCAATCGCCAGTTTCAACGTACCGGGTCTGCTGGCGCCGATATTGCAGTCTTGCAAACCGTCCATGACTATCCTCGTTGGAAGAAGGAGGGTAGACTGTACCCCTATAAACCGGCCCATTGGGAGGATATCTGGTCAACTATCAGAGATCCTGATGCCGCATTTGTGCCAGCTTTTATCTGTAAGCAAGAGCTCACGGAATATCTTATACTTCGCTTGCTAATCACAATTTATGTTAGTCAACTTCGGCAGTATTGTCTACAACCCCAAGCTCCTCAAGAAATCCAATGTTCCGTCAACCTGGGAGGAATTCACTCGCCCAGAGTGGAAGAACAAGCTCGTTCTGACTTACCCCAATGACGATGATGCTGTGCTGTATCTATTCTCTATAATCATAAACCAATACGGTTGGGAATGGTTCGATGCCCTTCTCCAACAGAATGTGAAATGGGTCCGTGGCACCGGTGAGCCAGCAGCCGAAATCGAGCGAAAGAATTCAACCCGGTCTCTGTCCTTTACCACCTCAGTCGGGGGAAACCTAGACAGCATCGATCCTAAGGACTCTCTAATGTATTGGCCTCAAACCGGTGCTATCTTTGCTTCGACCCCTCGTCCCGAAAGTGCCAAATTGTTCATGAGCTGGCTACTAAGCGACGACCACCAGAAGACGTTTAATGGCAGCTACCTCGTCCGAAAGGACTTGTCGTCTACGGCGGGAAAAGTTTGGGATCACCCTTCCTCGTCTCTCACCCAGTTTTCCACTTTCATGGAGAATCGTGAATCCGTCGAGTGGTGGAAACTTCAGGTCGAGACTTCTATTGGAACTGCCCAGGGTGATATTTCTTTGTTACGCGGGAGAAAGTAAATGGCGATTTTTTTGGAGCTAAAATGCCTAGATTTTGGATTATGAAAGGGAGGCTGGGTTTGTATATAGAAGACACGATTTTGTATATTAGAATTCGGCAATAGCAACCGTCAGGCTTTTGGCCTATGGGGGTTCTACTAGTAGGGGGAAATATAGAATACATTTATTTGGCGAATGTTTTCATCTTAATCTATAAATAGGTAAGCAACATACTTCTTGGCTCACACGTAAGGCTGTGCCCTCTCGCTGTGTGGAACGTGAACTGAAACCCGACGGCGATACTGAAACCTATCGGGCGTCGCTTGAGTAGGCCAGGAAATACAACAACAGCTTTTAACATAATTAGATCTAGCTTTACTCTTAATTTGGAGCTAGCGGAAGAATTCTGGCTTATTTCCCTTGAAACATGATTGACATTTCCAAGCAAATCTAAAAATAAGTGCTTCCATTTCGAGAAGACAGTAAATCAAGGAGAGAATCAAATCCCTGGTTAGACACTCACCGACACTCTATGTTTGTCCTCTTGCAATTAAGACATGATCCTGGCTGTTTGCTGTTGCAGATCGCATTTGATCTGTCGATTCACCAAGCTGCCAAGCCTTCTGTGTCGAATTTCCATGATCTCGCTTACCTTTCGCGCATGACATTGAACACACACTAGGCATGCACGCCGTCGCACATAAGAATCCGGCATTTTTGCAAGGAAATTCAGGAATTGGGTAGAACAGAGCGTATCCTGATGGCAACAAGTGCCTCTTGACTGCCGCGAGAGTTCCCCGCATTTCGGTTACCTCAGCCCTTCTCCGCTATCAATCGGCTCTCGGCATCCTAAGTCTTCAGAATCTCACCACTGTTTGAATAGAAAAACGTCAGGCTCTATTTTCGCGCCTAGAGAACATTCAGCGCGAGTCTGCGTCAAATTTTTGAGGCTATCTAATCATGTCACACCAATCCACCACCTTCAACGTGCCTCCGGGCTTCCAGAGCGTCCAGGTTCGCATAATAGATTCCACAACCCGAATTGGCAATATACTGTTGGAATTTTTAATGGAACCTCCCATGGAATCTATGAAACACATGCCTATCCTTCCTGCCTGGTCATTCTTGATCGAACATCCGTCGGGTCAGAAGATTCTCTATGACCTTGGTGTTCCTCGAGACTGGCACACATTTGCGCCAGCAGTCGCAGAACCTCTCAAGGGAAGAGGATGGAAAATTGAAGTCGAGGAAGAGGTAATCGACATTCTCGAGAAAGGAGGAATCGCGGCAAGCGAAATTTCAAGTATTATTTGGAGGTAAGAAACTTCAATTTCCTTTCCTTCATGAAACAACTTTCAAATAAAGGTCAACAAGAGGCTAATAGTTTATTTGCGACAGCCACTGGCACTGGGACCATATTGGAGATCCCTCGCGATTTCCTGGCTCTACTGAGCTCATTGTCGGGCCTGGTTTCAAGGCCGAGTTTCTTCCTGGATATCCGGCGAAGCCAGATTCTCCAGTCCGCCAGAGTGACTTTGCGTAAGTCTTGAAATGACTTTTTTTTTTCTTAACTGCGCTGTGATTTATCATAGTAATCTCGTCCTCGGCTGACCTTCGTTGTACGAAAGTGGACGCAATTTACGCGAAATTGACTTTCGAGATTCGGTCCAAGTTGGCCAGTTCCAAGGACACGATTTCTTTGGTGATGGTTCATTCTACATCATAGATAGTCCCGGTCACGCCATTGGCCACCTTGGTGCATTAGCACGTACAACAACCAATCCAGACACATTTATCTTTATGGGAGGGGATCTCTGCCACCATAGCGGAGAAATCAGGCCCTCTAAACACATGCACATTCCTCAGGATATTCAACTAAGCTCAACTATTCCAACTTCACTTCCATGCCCCGGAGCTCTCGTATATCAGGAGCTGCTGATAGAGCGGACTGGGTCTATAGAAATGCCATTTTTCCGACCGAACATGGGCTTGGATATCAAACAGGCAATGGACACTATTGAGAAAGCACAAGAAGCGGATGCGGAAAGTAACGTCTGGTTCATATATGCTCATGACTCCAGCTTGCTAGGAATTGTTGACCTATTTCCCTTATCGGCCAATGAGTGGAAAAAAAGAAATTGGCGGGAGAAAACACTCTGGAAATTCCTTCAAGACCTTGTACCGGCAGCAACTTGATCTAGATATCTTCAGTTGACGGTGGCTTGGCGGTTTCGAAATTTATCTCCTACTAAATCTTCTCAAATATGATATATTTTCATTCTGAACTTTTTGAAACAATAGCAGAAAACTTCCAGAGTGTTGTTCCTCGGCTCTCTTTTGAGATTTAGCTACGGCCGACTATGATCCCGGCGTCTACCGAATGCCGTGCACAGCCCTGGTAATCCAAGAAAGAGACACAGAATCAGCATTCCGAGGCAGACATACATGTAGCTGAGATGGTATTTAATGCAACAGAGATTTCCACTTGTGTAACAATTGTTCAGTCTACGTCAGGTCACTGTTGTATCAAGAAAATCGCTTATTCACCATAATGGTTGTTGCTATCATAACTGATGCCTCGAGAGGACTTGGCAGAACCATCGCCCTTCAGCTAGCGAATGATGGTATGGCTGTCGCGGTGAGTTCCATTCCATAGTGCAACATCTCCTTTTAAATGACTTCTAACTTTTCACCACCGGAATAGGTAAATGGTGTCGAAGAGCAGATTTCAGACTTGAAGTTGCTGAGCGAGGAGATCGAGAAGAGAGGCAAATACGACAGAGCTTCTCAGTAATTTATTTCTATCTATGTACTAAAAGGATAATATAGGACGGCGTGTAATTTGCATTATAGGCGACGTCAGCAAAGAAGAACAGGTCCAAAACATGATAAGATGGGTCTGCATCCGATGATCGATACTTCTATTAGTACTCACAAACCCGGAACATAATATGTCAGCCAGAATATCGTCAAAAAGGTTTTTATATAACTACAGACAGAAAGCTATGAAGTAGGAATAGATAGACAATACCTAGGTAGTTGCCAGCCTGAATTGAGGCTTTCCTGTCTTCTACCTACTCGTAGTACATAAATTTGAATAGTAGCTCTTGTGAGTAGATGGAAAGAATAATGTTGCTCTGCTACTAGTTACCAAGCCCATGAATGTCAGGTATATGACTTAAATTGATGTGCTAGTCCTGATTTATTTCAAAGTATTTTATATAATTTAATGAAGGTGAAACATATTCCTCCAGGCCTGAAGTATTTATGAAATGATTTTGCCGAAAGAAACCCTTAGAAATGTGCAGTAGAGAAAAGACAAACTCCGAGTAGTTGGACAATCCTGAAAGGAAAGAAAATGTGGCCGATAAGGTCAACCGACCTAGCAACTGGAGATCGTGTTTTGCGGTGCAGCCGCTACTGCCAGTCTATAATAATATTCGCGTTCTCTTCTCTCTCTGCCTTGAATATATTCGCGGTGTCTTTTGTTTTCCGCTTCGAGACGCCTGGATCTCTCTGGCTCCTGAAAGTGGTACACCGCAAGCTTGGCATGTTTATGTATGTGTTGTTCGCGAGCATCGTCATCATCAAGTTTTAGCCGGAACTCTGCTTCACTTTGGACCGCTGCGGCAATTTTGTTCGGTTCCTTGTGCGCCTTAAAGAACCCGAGAAATCTTTTCTCTCGTTTGGAAAGCCAGGTGACGAAGTTGACATCCAAGAACGAGCCAGAAGTCGGAGCATTGCATAGAACAAAAGATTTCTTTCGCTCTTTGAAAGCGCGAACATCAAATAGCAAGTCTTGACACAACAGAATTTCTGATGTCAAGCCCCCAAGAATGAAGAATGTCCTTGTCGATACTCTAGAGCGACTTTTCCCCCGGGGCTTGGATTCATCGTGCACTTGGAAGCGAGCATTGAACTGTCCAAGTATCCGCGCACAGCTACGATCCGCCAACATAACTTCTTCGTAACCTGGATCGGGCTTTGAAATAACTGCACCGTGCCGCTTTGCCCACTCTGGTGATGCGAGGTTCATTTCAGCTCCCGTGTCGGCGTTAGCGTACACCGGGACACCATTGACATAGCAAAGCATCCTTTCCTTGGCCACGTTGAGATGCATGATGCGGGGGATGGAAGATGACAGGGTAGTCGTCGTCCTTTTTAGGCGATTAGTATAGCGACTCAAGGTTTCCGTGTCTTTTAGAAACTCCCGACCCAGAATCATCGGTACAGCGAGGGCGTAAAAAACCGTGAAAGAAATTGGCCTTTTGAAGGGTTTCTTGTTCCCCTTAGCAAATGACAGTGGGATCCTTACAATACCGCAGCTCTTGACCATCCGGCCATTGGCGAGACGAAATGCGGCGCTACTCTCAGAGTCGAGACCGCGCTCGATTTTGATTCCAAGGCGGCGTGCACAGTCAAACGATATGGCATTTTCATCAGCCCCAGTATCCGGCAGGGCATCCACTTCGGTATTGCTAATTCTTAGTGGAAGGACGAATCTTGATCTGCAATGTATGGCTGGTCCAGAGTACACTGCCCCGTGGGCGATCTTTTGTAAACCATCTCCATGGCTCCAAGGAAGCGTAAAAGCTACAGGAAAATTGCTCCACAAATAATTCCTCAGAGTGGTCGTCTTATCGGAGCTGATAGTGGTGACCTTGGTGGCCTTGTGGGTTTTCAATGGGGTCACGAATCTGCTTGCTGATTCAAAGGCAAATGTGGTGACCCTTGAGAAATTCTCTTGCCCGGAAAGTATTTTCGTAGTCACGATTTGGACGTGCTTAAGTATTTGGGCGACATCCGTAATGGCGTCGATGACGTTGCTCCGTTGAGCGAGCAACATGCCAGAGAGCATAATGAAAAGCAGCAGGCCAATAGAAATTCCAGATCGAAGAATCTCACTAGCAAGGAAATCCCTTCTGATCTTGATTTTGCCATCACCGTCGTGGATACTCATCATTATCCTACCCCATGTTGAATGAACCCCAACAGCTGTGACCAGGCAGGTCCCTACGCCTTCCATGATCTTGGACCCGGATAAGATAAATGGGTCGATTTTCGAAGGTTGCTCTTGTGTCTCGACTGAATAAGAAACGTCATGTGCAGATGTTTTGCGCGCCGTGTCTGACTCTCCTGTCGCAGAGCTTTCATCGCACTTCAAACCGTAGCCCTCGACCAAGATTCCATCGACTGGCACAAGGTCTCCAGGCTCCAGATGTATCACATCACCCACCAAAATGTCATAGACAGAAATCAAGACCGTTTTGCCAGAACGCATGACCTTAACAAACCGGACTTCCTTCCTTCTTGTAAGTTCCAAGGAGTATCGTTCCTTTTGTATATCATGGGCGGCGCCTACTAGCATCACTGTTAAAATGGCAACGAATATAGTCATCCCCTCGACCCGATAGGATTGAGCAGTTGAACGTGCCGTCGTCGAATCGTAAAGCTCCAGCGCAAGGATCGCCAGAGCTAGTATTGTTAACAGCCCCACGATTTTACCATTGATCGCCATCAGTGCAAAATGAAGGAAACTCTTTGGTGACTTTTCAAGCAGCTTGTTCTGTCCAAATACTCGCTTCCGATCCGAATATGCTTCATCGGTGCTGCTTGGTTCAATGCTTGTTCCCGACAACCTGGGACTCGATCTGCCTGAATCCAGATTCTGGGAGGTTGGTTCACTTTCATTTTCAAAACTAACATTGCCCTCAAAATCTGCTTGAGCAAGGCTAAGACCTCGCATTAAATTTGTCCGTAAACCCTTTTCTAACCCAGAAAGTCCGCCCAAGGCATGGAATGCGGCAAGACTCTTTGGGTTTAATAGCTTGCTAAGCTGACCGGGAGAGAAAGCGAATGGATTGTTCTCCGCGACAAACCCCAACTCCGACTCCCGTCTTCTGTTTGTGCGAATGAAATTCTCATGCATACCATCCCAGGGGCTAGAGTATGGGGGATCATGCCTACTTGACAGCTCAGGTGCCACCGGACCCTGGGGCCGTGACATCCTGTGTAGCTGGGGAGGAATGGTAGCCAGCTCTATCCAGTCTCACTATTTTTCAAGCGGATTCTCAGTGGAGAATGTCTGGGTGGTTCGCTCAGAAAATGGTAGGTGAAATATTTCGCGATTATCCGCGGAGTGGATGGTTCTGCATAGTGCAATGTAATTTAGTCAGTCCGTCCTCTTGTAAGCCTGGGGGACTGATGAACACATGTTTGTACCTGAGTGGAATCGTAATTCGGGAAGTGTCGGTTTCGATCAGAAATCCAGACACAATGGGGCTACTCTAATTCAACTCCAAATGAATAGCGATGGCACAATTTGGCGAAGTTCAAGAGAGGGGGAATATTTGAAGGGAATACAACGTGCTCAGCCTCACTTTGAATAGCTCAGCCTCTGCCAAGCATGTGAGATGACGCCCAACTCGAGCCGCCTTGTTCATGCGCCCAAATAATCCCATTTTGCTTCATTTTCATCTCTCTCTTTACATGGCTTCCTATCTTCTCGAGATACACCTATATTATTCTATTTCGAACTCTCAGTAATGAGTCTGGACCTGGAGAAGGATGGGTCTGAACTACACTATGTCAAGGGTTTTCCCTCACTGGCCCAATTCATCGCAAATGACTATGACCACACTACATTTATTTTTAAACGCTTTGACCAACTGTCAGCCCGGAATCTCCTTTATCTCCAAAGCGAGCTTGCGGACCTTCAAGCGCTCCAAGACAAATACGATCGAGAGGATATTAAGACCTCATGGGAGGCAAAGGAAGGTCGGCGAGACTGGGAAAAATTCAAGAGCAGGGCAGATCTCACCAATGGAGAATTTCCGGAAGATCAAAAGCGAATGGAACTAGCACTCAATATTAGAAAGACGCTGAAGGAGTATAAGAAGGCCATCTTATTGGATTCAGCCCTTCTCTCACTGCCGAGACCATCGAAACGAACATACGAAGCACTCAAAAATCACTCTCACATCCAAAATTTGTGTGATGAAAATTCTAGTCGCGTACCAATTTTGCAGGGAAACAGTGAAACTATCTACGATGACCACGACGACTTGTTGTCGCTGGTTCGTCCTCCAGGGGAGGATCGAATCTCATCTTTCCTGCGAGACCACTGCTCAGTGCTCTTTATGGACAGGAAACGGAAAAGAAGAGGGAACAGTCCAATAGCCTATCTCTCTTCCAATCGGATCACAGCCATTGCGACTATTCTTAACATCGTTCTTGCTGCTGCGATGTTGTTCGGTTCAATTTTCAATCTATACTACGTGAAAGGCCCGAATAAAAGGCTATCAATTCTAGCTGCTTATACTGTAGTGTTTTCACTGTTCGTTGGACTTCTGACGAATGCTCGTCGTGCAGAAGTATTTGCTGCGTCTGCTGCTTATGCAGCTGTTTTGGTTGTCTTTGTGAGTGGGGATTTATCGAGCTGATTATTCCCAATGGATCAAGGTAGTGTCTTTGTATTTGATATTTGCTGTGCATTACTATCCTATATTATACAAAAGGTCATATACATACTCTTATACTACACTGGGTGAATCATCACCACCACCATAATAGAAGCTCTTTTCAAAAGACTGTTGATTTGAGAAAATGTCTCACTACCTAGGTCATCAAAAGGTACATTCTCAAAAGCAAATCGTGGTATAAGATTTGGTCCAGCTCATGGTTCCATTTCAACACAAAACACTTGACAAGAGCAGCAATAATGACGGGAATAAGACTAGAGGAATGTTCAGAAGTGTAACATAGAGTACTACGTGCAAGAGGTGTAGGAGGTAGCTACGGAGGTGAGGTAGTAGTAGTCAGGTGGTGACTTATGTACTGCGAGCGAGTAGTTATAACTTTAACTTATTTCCCTCCACAGCTGGGTCTCATCAAGGGCTGAAATATCCCTTGTCCCAGAATACCACTGCTATGATCTTTGCAGTGATCTTTGAGCTGCTCTAAACCCTACAGTGTGGTGGGCTCCATCGACCAATAAAAGCTCGTGAAATGATTATGAATACCCGTCAAACTGGCGTGCAGTTTGGGAGCCCGGACTATTATTATGCCGGCCAGCCTTGGCGTTTATGTAAGATTTCCACCTCGTCAGCTGGAACCCGCCCTTAAAATTATTCGGGTGGAGGCTTTGGCCCCGGCTTTCGACTCAGAAGTTGCGTCAATGAACATGTGCGAGTTGCAGCACATACAATATGACCCACGATCAAGATAATTTCGAGTCAACCTTTTTTGATTTAACATATACTCAAACCCCCGGCGATATTTATGTTTGCCCCAATGAGGGCGAAAGTACGGAAACACCGATACCACCAATAGACTTTGCGACAAATGACGCTACTTTTGATACCAATATATTCAATAATCAAGACTTAGAAGACTGCGGGCTATGGAATATCGATTCTTGCAATACGCCCGCGCCGGAATCGTTGAGTTATGAAGAAGATCCGGCAATCAGTAACTTTTCGGCGTCATCTTCCATCGAGGGCTTTTCAGACATCTTCAATTCGCCACTCTTAGCGGGGAACTTCCCTCCGGTCGAAAGTGAGGCTCTAATAAGCACTGCACTAGGCGTCGCAGCTACTGCTAGTGCGCCGCCCACAGGCGATGCCAGGTTTCAGAAGACGTCTCTTCAAATCCACAGCAACCAATTCGGTCTTCCCCGACGGAGGAGTCGGTATTTTGTGTCAAATTCGGAGGTTAGAAACACACCGTCACAAAATTCAAATACAAACGAACTAGACCCAATGCAACGATGGCAGTCATTTCAGCCCGAGGACGAACCAGCCTCAGTTGCAGCCATCATGAATGCGATGCAAGAGACACCGGCACCCTATCGCACCGATCAACAATACCGCGGCCGTGGAAAGACTTCTGCTCGATCTCGTCGATCATATTCTAACACAAGCCGCGAATCCAGTGTGTCATCTGCAGATTCAGCCTGGTCATCTGGTGCCCGCTCATCGCGTACTCGAAATCGTCGATCAAAAGCGCTTGTGACCAAATCTCAGTCTAACAACGGCAAGCCTCGTATATTTTGTTGTACGTTTTGCTGTGATCGCTTCGGGACCAAATACGAATGGGTTCGGCATGAAAAATCGCTACATCTGAATCTAGAAACATGGTATTGCGCACCACTCGGGCCTTCGGTCTTCTCCTCGATCACAGGAAAGATGCTGTGTGCCTTCTGCAATATGTTGGAGCCATCGCAAGAACACCTCTCAATGCACAACTATGACGCTTGCAAAGACCTATCCAATGAACTACGCTCATTCCATAGAAAAGACCATCTGGTACAGCATCTTCGTCATGTGCATCAAGTACATAATACACCGTTCTTGGACGACTGGAAGAAGGAAATGAAGAGTTTCACGTCAAGATGTGGATTTTGTGATGTGATCCTAGATGATTGGGATGATCGCGTCTCGCATCTAGCCAAGCACTTCCGCAAAGGATCTACAATGAAGGATTGGAAGGGGGATCATGATTTTGCCCCGCACATTACAGCCCAGCTCCAAAACGCGTACCCGCCTTATCTTCTTGGATGGGAATCAGAGTGTATCGTCCCATTTTCTGCAACAAGCAAGGACGTTCGCGATCAGTATTCTTTGCTAATGTCAGGGACCAATATGACCAATGAAGATGCTGGATATCCCGAATGCCTAAAGCCAGAACCCTCCCTCGCACATGATGACCAAACATTGCCGCAACTTCCAGGATTCTTGGATGTATTTACCCGCCATCTGAGTCAATACGGTCGGAAGCAGATGGAACTCGGCGTCATACCAACGGACGAAATGTTTCAAAAGGAGGCACGAAAGGTGCTCTTTCATACCGAGGATGCCTGGGATCAAACTATTGCCGATAACGCTGACTGGCTTTCTGCATTTCGGAAACTACATCTCAACTCGACTGCCAGTGGCAGCTCAGTAGATGCTAGTACCAACTAGTAGGAGTCTGTGAAGGTATATAGTATTGACACCCCCAATTCTAAACAATGAACTACAAGTATTCAATCTTAGAATGAGATGGGCGCTGGTTGAAATTTCCTCTCAGTCTGGGACCTCGCAAACTACTACTAAATGTTTATTTTTGCAACGCGCTGAACTTGAAATAGGTTTTCGGTAAAATAAGGCGCAGCCATAATTCGGAGTATGTCCATCTTCCCACGACAGTAGATCTGGCTTATTGTCGATGGAATGTACTTCATGATCCGTAAGTTTGCTAATTTAAGCACATACGACTTTAAGATGTGGAGAACAGGGCTTCCCGTCCGCTCAGCCGTACTTAACACACCAAACTCGTTCAGTTATCAATGAGACCTTGGATTTAAAATAGCGTCGCGTTTTGCTTCAAGGTAAGTTCGGGTGATATGGGTGAGAATTCTGAAGACTAGAGGTGAGAGAGGTGAGGACGGGGTGGTGGTGATGATAGTATTATTTTACGTCCGAGGCCTCCCCGCGGGTATGCGGACTTGCTCAACTGAGGTCTTACTTAATTAAATCCAATTAAAGCACTTTAAGACTAACTCGATTTTTTTGATGGCGAGAATGGGGCGAGAAGGGAGAGAAGGGTGAGAGCAGGGTGAGAAACCCACCTAGGCACGCCCGCCTTTACCCCTAGTATATAATGGCAAATAATAGCTTAATGGCGTATATCTGGTCAGTTATTACCTTTTTATCCTTACTTCGCCAGTTAAAAGAAAATTCTTCTTGAAGCTAGACAAAAGAAGTTTGAAAAGAGGAACGCATATACTCCGTACCGATTATCTTGTTGCGAAACGAATCAGAATGGCCCCGACCTTTTTGACCCCCGACCCTTTGGCCCCCGAGCTTTTTAGCCCCAGCCCTTGGCAGCAATAATAATAGAAGAGGGGCTGTGCTAGGTTTTTCAGGATTGATCATACCTTCCTCTAACATAATTGACGGTTCTGGCACCAATTTTATTTCTACCATTCACCCTTAGGTGCCTTCTATCCATATACCCCCATAACTGTCTATCGACGCCTTTCCTCGCCTACAGGGAACCCTGGGTCCTTCCCAAGACTACTGTCAATTATAACATCTCGCCGATCGAACCTAGGTACTTGGCCATATGAATATGCCCTATTCAAGTTTCCCGACTCAAACTCCTTACACATCTGCAAGCCAGGAAACCTACTAAAACTTCAATCGGTGTGCTTATATCAGTCACAGAACATTGCACTAGCAGTATTTCGTCAAAGATGCGCCTCATGCATATCATGTCCGTTTCCCGCCTACTCAAAACTCCACGCTTTACATATGAAGCTGAAAACCCCCCCCTAGGATATTATTGCTCGCCTTGGGCATCTGGGTACTATACTGGTACTGGAGTCACAAGATACATCCCTTAGCCGAGGAGCATGTCCTCAATAGCCGTATCAAGAGGTTAACGAATCTCGTTTTTGGCGGCATAGCCTTTTCTGTGGCGTGGGAGGTTCATCTTGCCTGCCGTGACCCTTGGCTATCCAATCAAAATATGACTTACGCCGTGAAGTTTTGGCAGACTATTTCTTTGAATCCTTTCATTACTTTTGCTTTTTGCATGATGTGGATTAGATGTAATACGCTGCGTACGACTCGGCGTGCGACATCCCAGGTAAGGCACAAATCACAAAATCCCCATTATTGGAACCAATTCTACCTACCCTTCCTCGCTATGATTTGTGCGGTTTCTCTTAACTGTCGAGACTAACATGATCTGCACAAAGTACACGGAATCGAAGACAACACTCTTGCCGACAACGTCTCCATCCCAATGCGATAGCTCGGCTCAACAGCTTTCGCGGCCCTGGTCTATCCTGAGAAGTGTGAAGGACTGGTGTTTCGTGATTTCCAAGATGTATGTTTGGTCACACTGACTACCTGGTCCCATCAAATTGAAAACGCATACTAAGATTTACCTCCAGCTTGACCCCTTGTGCTTTGATAATCGTTCCTACGTATTACTTTACTTGTCACATCCTTCAAGGGTCTGCGATATTCCCGGGGAGAACGAGGCTGACACGTGCGCCCAACCCGCTCTAATGATAGGGTTGATTCTTGCGAATCTGAGCTTCATTTTCTTCGTCATTTCTTGTTTAATCGGCATTTGCTTTGTTTGCCGTGTAATTATCCAATGGAAAAGGGCCCGGCACTGAGTATCATTCATTGATGTACGATATGGCCACTGTTCGTGTGTGATTCTTGTCACTGCGCAAAAGTCAATAGCCACTGCTCTTCTGGCCATCAGCAATATCGGCCAAGGCAATGCAACTGAAAGAGCAAATAGATACCTGACATGGAAGGCGCTCAGGTATTCAGGCATCAGTCCGCACATCGACAACATAAAAAGTCAAACAGAGAGCGTTTGTCACAGGCAAAAGAAAAAAGAAAAAGGAAGTTGGTTGCCGGTCGACAGATTCGAGACCCGGAGATTCTGGAAATTCTGCAAAAAAGGCAAAAAGATCAGCCGCAACTCGGCTTCTCCTATCCCGCATATGGACTTTCCTAGAGGAACCAATTGTTCCTCTAGACCATAAGGATCTAAGTGTCAAGAGATTAACTTCTTACAAATAAAACCATGCTATCACTGTCATTTGGCAACCGATTTCGCGGTTTGTATGTGCGAAAGTTATCGCCCAGCAAAACCTCACATAGCGGAAGTGGGTTACCCTAAGCTAAGAGGTATGGCAAAGCAAAGTCCAATACTAAATGCCTTTCGATCGTGTTTCTGTGATCAACCAGACGCGATGTAGATTGAGAGTCTAATTTGGGCAATTAGGTGGGTATTGACATTAACTCAAGTGAGCTTCCTAGTATCATGATTTCAGGTGTCTCCTTCATGCTCTTCGAGATAGATAAACTGTTCCGACAAAGAGCGCCTCTTTTCTGCTTCTTGTGGCTCCCGAGACCCAATATTAATGCATTCCACACTGTTCCGTAAGTAATGCTCTCGAAACGCATTCCACAATGAATTGTCACCCTCAAACTCTTTCCCTGGTCGTGGGTAGTAAGGATCATTATGCCAAAATGCGGCCGCGGCTTGTTGCACCCCATTCGAATCCATTGCTATCTCCCTACAAAATCAGAGTCAAAGACCCATAATGGGTGGTTTCCAAGGACTTTAGATTCCATTTTGAGACCATATCCCAAACTTCTGTTCAGGTTTTTGGATTGAAATTTGCGACAGGGGTCTGGGCTTGGTGGGGCAAGGACATGATCGCTCTTTGTGTGGAAGCAAAAATAAAAAGCAGATGTCCTGAACACCCAAAGGTTGTATTCAAGTTTTAGAAACTGAGATTATCTTTAAGTGTGCTGACTCGGCAACTCCGCAATATTGTTCTTGCCGTCCAGCTCTTCAATCTGGGTTTCACTCATACTTGTAAAATTGTTTGCGCTCATAAGCGTATTTTGCATAGACGCCTCAAAACTCTTATCTCGTTTGTTTCAGCGATGTACCAGCAGCCAAATAAGCGCAAGCAGAGCGGCGAAGCCGGCCTCCCCAGCAATGAGTCCGCCTATCGCTACTCCGGTAGTTGTGGGGGTAGATAATTCGTCATTTATTTGTGAGACTTGAGATTGGGAGTAATGAGGCTGAATGTTGGGCCGGATCATGTTAGGCTGTTATTTCACCCTTTGAAAAAGCATAGCCTCCACTACGTGGGATACATGCAGTAAAATAATGTAATGTCCACTCTTAAACAGCTAATTGGCTTAATTTAAAGTTGATAGTTCCTCTTGATGTTGATATAATTATCGGCGATAGGTTTTACCCTCACATGGCCTCAATGAGTCCTGTATCATATCAAACTGAATAGATGAATAATTCCCTTCGGAAAATTATAGTGAATAGCTATTCAACTACCAGCGCTACCAGTGCAGGACATCATTTAGAGAAGTTCCTAACTTTGTCAGAGTCAAACGAAATGGACTCACGAATTGTACGCTTCACGATAATTCCTCATGACTCGAGCCCGGACTTTGACAAGACCGTTTTTGTTCACGCTAACGGTATTTCTATAGTCCGCAAGGGTCATAGAGCCGACACTAATCCCACTGGAGGACGAGTGGCTGATTTGGCTTGAAGTTCCACATTGTGCTTATTGGCCGTCGATAGGTTCTGGTTCTATGTCCCCCGCATCCGGACCCAGTGACAGCGCGGGGGAAATCTGGGGTTCGTTATGATTAGCGGAAACCTGGGGTATGTGCACTCTCGTGGCTTTACTGGCCTTCTTGGCATCGCGGAAAGTCTTGGCTGCTTCCGGACTAAAACCGGGACTGTCAACTAATCTTCCTCTTGCCACAGTCCAGGATATGTGATCTGGGATCGAGGCGGGCTCTTCTAAGTCCGTCTTGGGCAAAAATTATGGGCTATAAGTTTGTGCTTTCCTCGCCGATGGGATACCTGTCAATTTCTGTGAAAGTATTTTTTTTTCAAACCACATCGTCAACCCCGTGTTTTTTCCGAAACCAGGAAGCCAACGGCTTTGACTAGACAATATGACAACTTCAAAAACAACCACTCCGTCGGATTCTGGCATCGAAAAGGAATCCGGACACACTCAAATCGAGTATGCTAGCTCACTCAAGTTGGGGGATGAGAAGGGAGACTACTCTGGTGCGACAGCCAAGACTGATGCCAGAGAGATTGCCCTTGTGCGCAAGCTAGACATGAGAATCATGCCTATCATGTGGGCCATGTATTTTCTGAACTATGTGAGTGATATAGATGGGTTCGCGTTAACTGAAATGTATTCTCATATCGAAATTAGATTGATCGCAATGCCATTGCCAACGCACGTCTCGATGGAATCGAGGAGGATCTCGGGCTGGTAGGCACTCAATACAACACCTGTATCTCGATTTTGTTTGTTGGGTAAGCGAGAAGATCGTTCATACCATAATAGGAACACTGGAAACTGACGCAAACATTTCCATAGTTATCTCTTGATGCAAATCCCGTCCAACATGCTCATGTCATCGAAGAAGATCAGACCTTCTCTCTATATGAGTATATGTATGGCAAGCTGGGCAATTGTATCAGCTTGTACAGCCTTGACCAAGAGCTATAGGGGTCTCGTTGCTGTCCGCTTTTTCTTGGGTATCACCGAAGCCCCATTTTATCCCGGGCACTCTTTCTTCTATCGCTGTTCTATACACGAAAAGAGATTGCTTTCCGCATCTCCATTCTATACTCCGGCAACATCGTCGCGACTGCAGTTGCCGGTTTGATTGCGGCCGCTACGTTCGCTACTTTAGATCATCATCTTGGTCTCAAGGGATGGCAATGGCTCTTCATCATCGAGGGTGCGGTTACATTTGGTGTCGCAGGTCTTGGAATCTTCATGCTTCCCGACCATCCTTTGAATACAAAATGGCTCACGCCCGAGGAGCGACAGCTTGCCCACGATCGCATCCAAAAGGACACCGTCGGGGGTGAAGAGTCTAAAGGTGCTCTTGCCGGCTTGAAGCAAGCCATGTGTGACCCACGCCTGTTCCTCCTAGCCTTCATGCAAAACATGCACCTTAGTGCCTGTGGTTTCAACAACTTTTTCCCTACCGTGATCGGAAGCTTGGGATTTAATAACACCATCACCCTTGTTCTGACTTGCCCTCCCTACATTTTCTCCGGCATCTGCTGTGTTGTGGTTGGAATAACTTCTGGTCGGTACAACGAGCGAACTTGGCACATCACCATCTCTATGGGTCTAGCAGTTGTGGGGTACATCATTTCATGCACAACTCTGAACATTGGAGCAAGATATGTTGCTTGTTTCCTATTCGCTAGCGGAGCTTATGCAGTTAACTCGGTCATTTTGGGATGGGTTTCAGCAACACTGGGTCAAACTCCTGAAAAGAAAGCTGCTTCTTTGTCGTTCATCAACGTGGTTGCAAATGCATCTTATATCTATACGGCATATCTCTACCCCAAGAGCGATGGCCCTCGTTATCTTACTGCCATGTCATCGAATGCTGCCTTCGGCGTAGCAACAATCGCTAGTGCTTGGGTGTTGCGATTGTGGCTACAGCATACCAATCGCAAGATCGACCAAGGACGTATACTTGGCGCAGATACTCGTTATGCATACTAGTTTGCTCTCTTCAATTTGGTGGTTTTTACTGCACTTTTGTTGGTGCAGCCCCTAGGAAGCTCTGCCGACTAAATTCGTTAGGGCAATAGCAAATCGTGTTAGTAGAGATCATGTGTTTAGAGGGAAAAACAATAAGGATAAGGAAATAAGGGCAAAGCAACGTGTGTTGAGAGCAAGACACTGATATTATCAAGCAATACTATATAAATACGATATGAAAATATTTATGTTCGAAGTACGGCTGACCGTAGCCTGGCCGTACTACACCGGTATTTCAAACGATTGCTCTCTTGGAGACTGTATACTACGGTTGCAAAGGTTTGAAACCCCATGTTAACTGTTCTTCTCTCCGCCTTCTAATGGCGGACTAAGTAGCTACCTGAGATGGAATAGGTAAGCCAATCTATTCCATCTCAGGTAGCTACTAGTTTCCCATTAGAAGGCGGTAAATCATGGTGGGCAATATGGTTTCAAACCTTTGCAACGCCCCTGTATCAAACTTAGGGGATCCTGACTTGGAAAAACCCCGACACCAAAATCAAAATACCTTATCTTCCACAGGTCGGAAATATTTTAACTTTGCACCAGATCGAATTAAGCGCAATAAAGACTATCAGTTGAATTTCAAGATAAAAGTTATACCTTCCAAGGCTGTGCAGTCATCAGAGGTTAACCGCGGTTAACCACAACAGCAATCTGTGGTTACCTTAAGGTACCCTTCCTAATTCTCCGCCCGGGGTCCGATGATGGGCCCTGCCAATTGGCGAGTCCCCGGGGGTCGATGCCCTCGAGCAGGTGACGGTGGAGAGGACCACAGACCCGGGATATGGCCTTCCACTAACACATAGAGATGGCTAGTACGGAGTAGTCAGTACTACTTATCCACAGATTTTCTTCTGGATATCCACAATGGAGCCTAAGGTTATCTGAGTTGAATGCCCTGGGTGGGCATGGCATTTATTCACTCACTCGGTTGAGAATTCCCCACCCGCGGATTTGCCCGCGGCCAAAATCCGGGGAGAACATCAGATGAGTTTGTCCAATATTTATACTATCTGGTGTCCGGGGTAAAATGTGAATGGGCGCGCAAGTTTTTGCTATATTTCATCAATCATCATGGTTATCTCTGAGCCAGAACAGAAAACCAAAAAAAAAAAATGATGACCTGGAGTTGGGGGATAATGAACTGATGGTGCGTCCGACTTTTTTTTTTGAGATTTTACCCGTGCTAGGATAGTAAGAAAATACCCTAAGAGGAGAACATCATGTTTAACAAACATTCTAGAAGAAACAAAATGACTTATGGCCAGATATCGCTGATGCTCAATTTGCGATCAACGGTTGCGAGACTGTCGTTGTCGCCGCAGGTGAAGCCGAGAATCCTCGCCGGAACATTCCCAGGGCTATCAAACGTGTTTTCTGGTGACTTCTTATTTTTACGTCTTCGCTGCATTTGCTTTGAGCATGATCTGTCCTAGTGGCAACCCTAACTTGATGGGCGGGGATAGGACGGCCCAGTCACCCTGGGTAATTGCCGTCAACATAGCAGGTATCAAGGCTTTGCCGTCAGTCATCAACTCTCTCATTCTCATTTCCGCCATTTCATTCGGAAATTCGTATGCATTCATGGGGACTCGGTATCTTTACGCCTTAGCGCAAAATCGAAAAGCGCCCAGGGTTTTTCTGCGTTGTACCAAACAAGGAATTCCGATATGGTGTCTTCTGATCACAATGTCTATATCTCTTATCTCATTCATGTCGATGGGTTCAGACTCGAGTACGACATTCCAGTGGTTCCAGAATCTGGAAACTGTTGCGACCGTGTGAGTTTTGCACGATTCCTTCAAGTTCTCCTGCACAATATTGGAATCGTTAAACTAATCTGCTGTCTCAGATACACTTGGGGCTCCATTTGTATTGCCTACCTCAGATTCCGTGCCGCTATTCAATCCCAACATGTTGACAGATCCTCTCTACCTTTGAGCTTCCCACTACAGCCATACTCAACATACTTTACTCTGGGATATCTGTGCATCATCACCTTCTTCAATGGTTTTGATTACATTGCCGGTGGATGGAGTACACCCGGGTTTATCACATCCTACATTGGATTCCCTCTTTTCTTCGGGTTCATTTTGTTTTGGAAGCTCTTCAAGAAAACGAAATGGATCCGATCGGAAGACGCAGATCTTTTCACCGGGAAGGCTGAGCTTGATGCAGTCGAATGGCGTCAGAAAAAAGCCAGAAATTTTCTAGAGGCAATGTGGCTTCGCTTCATTTGAGTGAGATCGATGGTTCCTGACGTGGAATTCTTGGCATTCCGTGATGATCATTAGAGAATTTCCAACCACCTGTACATTTTTTGTCGATCTTTGCTCCCATACTCTAGGCTCCAGTAAAACAGTTTGAATTGTACCCAAGTAGCTACTTGTGGAATTCGGGATGTCTAAAAGACATCACCTCTCAAGGGATGTTCAATGTGGAAACATACTAAAAGTTCATCATTTAGCGGCCCACTGATTTTGTGTGCGAGAAATGGCGCAATATTGTTCGATTTGGCTGTGTTTAGTCCTAGTTCATTAATCCTTTCGGAGCTGATGTAGATATTTGGATATAAATTATTTTCCGTGTGTTGTAGACTTGACTGGGAATGCACAATGTTTCTCCAACCTCACTTGTGTTTATTCTCCGATAATTGCTGCATGCGATTCATGCAATGCAATGCAATGCAATGCACGGCCGTTTTGTACTTGTGATCACCGAGACAGGACACACACAGCCTATCTGAGGTCTACCCTACATCATCGAACTCTCCCTTGGCTCTTATCTCAACAATCTGCATATTATTCGTCGTCTCTCCACACTTCTCCAATTGTCGTTTGACCCCAGCGGTCTTTAGTCCACGAGTTTCTTTGACACCAAACCACTTTCGGGTAAAGTTGCGCTGAGTGGATTTGAACTTCAACCAATCACCAACGACATCCCCGCCGGGTCGAAAGATTTACCAAATCGGGTTCAGGCCGCCCACGGACACGGCGAATATAAAAGGGTTGCAATGGCTCCGCTGCTTCCACCTGCCTGATTCTCATCTTATCATCTTCATTATGGCGAGCCTCCACCCCTTCGACCCTATCACTGCTGGGGAGATCCAGTTGGCTGTGCGCATCCTGGAATCTGCCTTCCCTGGTGTCAAGTTGCGTTATAAGCGAATTGATCTTCAAGAGCCTTACAAGCATGAAGTCGTTCCTTACCTTGAAGCCGAACGCCAAGGCAAGCCACGGCCAGCCAAGCCTGCTCGTTTGTTGTTTGCTCTGTTCCACCGCCTGGACAATGGTTCTTTTTACAAGGCCCTGTTGAATGCCAACACCAAGTCTATCATCTCCGCCAAGGAGCTTCCTAAAGATGTTCAAGGGCCTGCAGATGTGGACGAGATGATGGAAATGGAGACAACGTGCCTGAGCCACCCGGCTGTCAAGGCAGAGATTGAGAAATTGAACTTGCCGCAGGGCATGACTGTGTGCATGGACCCTTGGATCTACGGTACCGAGGACATCAACGAGTCCCGACGTTTGACTCAGTGCTACATGTACGTCGTGTCGACTGATCACGCGCAACACAACCAATACTCTCTCCCTCTCAAATTCTCGCCCGTCTTTGATGGTATTACGCGCGAGCTGGTGCGCATTGATTACCTTCCCGACGGGGCCGACTCCCAGACCTCGCAAACCCAGCCTTGGAAGCCAGTCAAGGCTATTCAATATGCGCACGATTTGCTGGACGATCCGATCCGCACTGATTTAAAGCCTTATATCGTCCAGCAGCCTGAGGGTGCATCTTTCAATGTCATTGGCAATGCCGTCTCATGGCAGAAATGGCGGTTCCGTGTGGGCTTCAACAACCGGGAGGGTCTGGTGTTGCACAATCTGACTTATGACGGCCGTAACACATTCTACCGTCTGTCATTCTCAGAAATGACTGTCCCCTATGGAGGTACGACTCTGTATACAGACCCCCCAAATTTTCAGTGATCTAACTTTTACAAAACAGACCCTCGCGCACCTTATCACCGCAAGCAAGCCTTTGATGTTGGAGACGTCGGTTTCGGTATTACTGCTAACCAGCTCGCCTTGGGCTGCGACTGTCTCGGTCACATCAAGTATTTCGATGGCTACCGTACTGATGCACAGGGTGCTCCGGTCCATCTTCAGAACGTCATCTGTATGCACGAGCAGGATGCCGGTCTCCAGCACAAGCACACCAACTACCGCACTGGTGCAGCAACGGTCGTTCGTAACCGTCAGCTAGTCGTTCAGATGATCTGCACGGTCGCCAATTACGAGTATATCTTCGCCTTTATTCTGGATCAGGCCGCCAACATCGAGCTCGAGGTCCGTGCAACTGGTATCCTGTCCACCGTTCCATTCGACAACGAGAACGGCCAAACTGTGCCATGGGGAACCAACGTCGGGCCTGGTGTTATGGCCCCATTCCACCAGCATATGTTCTCTTTGCGTATTGATCCTGCTCTGGACGGCTTCAAGAACACTGTCTATTATGAGGACAGTGTCCCCATGCCTGAGGATGATAACAACCCTTATGGAGTCGGCTATATTACCGAGCAGAATACCATTCGGAACAGTGGCAGTGCGTCCACAAGCGTGGAAAAGCACCGTGTCTTCAAGATTCGCAACGACCACATCATCAACCCAATCACACACCACCCAATTGCTTATAAATTACAAACATCGCCTAGTCAGATGATCCTGGCCAACCCCAAGTCTTTCGGCTTGAAGCGTGCACAATTCGCGACTCGTCCAATCTGGGTGACGAAGTACCAGGATGATGAGCTGTTCGCAGCCGGTGAATTCACAAACCAGAGCAAGGAATCTCAAGGCGTGGAGAAGTGGGCTGCCCGAAACGATACCGTTGAGGATGAGGATCTTGTTCTCTGGCACAGTAAGTCTTTTCCCTTCTCAGATTGCTGCCCTTTGCTGTTACTGACAATATTTGTAGCATTCGGCCTTACCCACAACCCTCGCATTGAGGATTTCCCAGTTATGCCCATGGAGCGTGTCAGCGTCATGCTCAAGCCCGATGGATTCTTCACCAAGAACCCAGCATTGGACGTTCCGCAGTCATCCCAGTCCTTCAACAGATCGACCCAGCACCCTGAGCCTTCTTGCTGCTCTGGGCCCCAGGATCGAAGCCAGCTGAAGCTATAGATAGTTGACTAGACCAGTAACATGTACATATCATGATAATAAGATTGAACGACATACAACAAGAATGTCAATGATGAAATTCCATTCCATCTGAACATAGAATCGCTACCATCTATTCATTGAAATCTACTCTTCCCACAAACCTAGAGGGGAACACTTGGCTAAATTCGAATACAAACCTTCGAAAAATGCCGCTGCTGCTGCAAAAGTTCATAGGCCTGCTTTGTCTCCGTAAAATCAAAAACGTGATCATCGACAACTGGCTCGACTCCCTTCTCCACAATGAACCTGTTCATCTCACGATACTGATCGCGGGTACCAAGCAGAAACCCCCGAACCGTGCAGGAATTGGACAAGCAATCCATCAATGTCGGCACTGGAGTTCCATCAGGTACACTACCTAGCATTCCAGCGAGGGCAATGAGTCCATCGGTGCGAACTGCTTTCAGCGACTGTGTCAACGTAGACAAACCGCCGACATCTAGAACGATGTTCACACCCTGGTCGTTTGGAGTCAAATTTTTAGCTGTTTGTCCCCAATTCGCGTCCTCGTGGTAATTGAGAACATGGTGAGCGCCGAGAAATTTGAGACGATCGGCCTTGGCGTTTGAACTTGTTGTTGCTATGATCGTGGCTCCTGCAGCCAAGGCGAACTACGGCACAGCTCATTAGTAAATTGAGACGGTATTGCTCGAAGTACATTTTAGCAATGACTCGCCTGTAGCGCCGCGATTGAAACACCCCCGGTCCCCTGAACCAGAACCCAATCTCCCTTCTTGGGCTTCAGACTGTCGATTCCAAAAAGAGCATTCCAAGCGGTCAACCCCGAGCAAGTCAAGGTACTAGCCTGGATAAAGTCAAGGTTGGCAGGCATAGGAACGAGGGCAGTTTCATGAAGAACTGCATAAGCGGCAAGTGTGCCGTCATAGCTGTGTCCCAGTCCAGATTGACAGATATCAACCATTGTCGTTGGCTGGTTGGCCGGCAGTCCTGAAGTAAGGTGCGTGCAAACTCGATCTCCTACTTGGAACCCGTTCACATTCGCGCCAACAGCCCTAACGGTCCCGGCACCATCAGAGCCGGGGATTACGCCGGGTCGGAAGTATGGCAGTGCAGGCTCGCCCTGTCAGTAGTCAGCTGTTAGTGGATGTTGCCAAGAGCGTGGTTCGTAGGGGCGCTTCAAAGGCTCCCGACATGTACCTTGGCCACGACTATGTCCCGGTAGTTAAGCGAGGCAGCATGGATCTTGACCAATACATCATACTCTCCAACCTCGGGAATGGGATTGTCTTGGACTAGCTGGAGACTGTCGATACCCTTTTGTTCGGACAAAATCCACGCTGGTGATGTTTTTGGTGGCATGATGAATATAGGTTTCATCAGAAGAGGGAGGGAATCTCCAGATGTCGTATATTTATGAGTTGTAAGGGCTGACTTGATTTGAAATCATTTGAACTGCAGCCAAAGAGGAGAAAATCAGATCGGCCCCCAATTGTGAGGTGGGATGCGGAGGTGGGATGGGTAATCGGTGGGATGGCGGGGAGGAGCAACATGATTCATTCAACCATAAACTAGACAACCCCGCGAGTCAGTCGACCCACCACTGATGTCCACAAAACCTGGAGGCCGGTCTTGCGATTAAAGGTTGAGTTTAATATTAGCTGGTTGGTACGAATGAATTGTTTGATCTCCAAATTTCCTTGCAATAGCCAATATACACTCAGGAGATGAAAGTGCTTTTCAAATAGCCACTTGCACGATCCTGCCTTGATTACACAAAGACAAAGGATGGTGACACGATTAAAGTATCTGAATGATTGAATAGTTGATCCATGTCACTGTTATTCCGGAAACTAAATCATGGCCTGCTATTAATGGAGTGGAACACTCTGCTCCCTAAGCGAAGAGCCGAAAATGCTTATTCTGGCTTGCCATACATAGTTCGACCAGGCGAGATCTCAAATCAAGGGCGACTAAGCGTGAAGAAAAGCCAGTTCCACGCACATATTAATTCACAATCCGAATTCGAATTCGAATTTGAACACAAGGCCAGCCTTTAAGAAGACGCCTGTCCCTTGATCCGATCCACCCACTCCTCCGCATTGAAGACATCCGTCTTCCGTCCAAAGACCTTATCGATCAAAACACGGTGAACCTCTTCATCACGGTCCAAGCACAGATCCCGCAAGACAGTAATGTGGAGGTCCAGATCCTGTGCCTGGCGAATGGTTGAGAGGACGGCACCGCTAGTCGCGATTCCCGCCACGACCAGATGGTCCGTAGCCGAGCAGCGGAGAAGAAGATCCAGATCGGTGCCAACAAATGCTGAAACTCGGCGTTTGGTGACAATCGGCTCTGTTGGGAGAGGATTTACAGCTGGGTGGATCTGGACATCGGCGCTACCCTCTTGGTATTTGCCAGTGGCCGTGATTGGGCTGGATGATGCATTCAGTGAATGGATGTCTGGGTAACCTTGGCGGAAGGCTGTAACGACGTGGATGATATTGATAGACCCATATCTAGCTGCGGCGATGGTTTTGACCAGGCGTTGTAGGTATGGCTCTGTGATGGACTGGTCGAAGTTGTTGATGATCCCATTTTGGATGTCGAGGATGAGGAGGGTGGTGGCTCCCATGATGATTAGTTTTGTGGGAATGATATAGAATTGAAGAGTACTTTATCCGAGGAAAAGAGGTGGAAAGATGGAAAAGTAGAAGGGAAGAGGAAGGCAAAGAAGTTGTTTAGTCTTTTGGTGTTGGGTGTTGCGGTTCCGGGCAGCCCATCCCGGTACCGGCATGAGCAGGCCCACCCGACTACAACTACAACTGGCACTTCATGATATGAAGGAGTATCGGGGCTGTAGGAGATAATCAGATTAATACAAGGTATGAGAGATTACATGTGCCTGTACCCCCTGGGATACTAGCCTAGATAGACCTATACAGCTATGAGGAGCCAACATGGAGTTGTTTGTACTCGTTCGTATAGTTACAGAGTTAACTAGTGTAGACCCACTGAGATCATCGCTTGGCAACCAAGCATTTCAATGCTCATTGCTTATTCTTCTGAAAGTACCATAAGATACATACATATATGCCTAAGATCATGCTGATATACAATGGGATATAGATATCCGGATTACCTTTCCAGAGAAGAGGAAGCTATTATACTTCCGATTACATAAGGAACTGGTTACGTCGTCGCACCACTTCCACTTCTACTATCACTTCCGCGTCTACTTCGAGTCTAACACCTCTTCTATCCATTCCATATCTCCAGTCATGGCCCAACCCCCTCAAGGCCATATTCCATATCTTATCTTTACGAGCTGATGACTCGGCAATAACACTTCCTACTTCCCACCATGGCGCAGGCGCTAGTTCCTCTCACCCATGGCAAACACGGTCCGCTCCCACCTTCAAGCTCTCCCTCACTCAGTCACTCACTATCATACAGATTTACTCGGCAAAGTTGCCGGCCTAAATGGCCGTGTCTTTGACACCGATCCCGTCATCGCCTACATGCTGCTGGACATGTCTCTGGAAGAGCGACTTGCGTATCTCCCGACATACTGGTCCACACTCGTCCGGTCTGCCCTGATGAACGGTGCACTCATCACCGAAGCTGATGGGTGGAAAGCAGCATCTGTGATTATTCCACCGGGCAAGGGTATCGATAATGTCTGGACGCTTCTGTACGCAGGCTTCCTTTGTGTTCTATGGAAGATTGGCATCTCCGGCTCGAAGGTAAGCACTGGCAACTTTATATGTGTTCGACCTGCAAGAGAAGACAAAAAATGGCTAAACATGGCCAGCGTCTGTGGACTGAATTCTCCGGCATGACAGATAACGCTAAGCGGAAGGGTCTTCACGGTGAAAAGCGATACTACTACGTCTTCAGTATTGGAACCGAGCACGATCATCGCGGAAAAGGTGAGCCCACCACCGAGTGGCTTAAGGAGTATCAGTCTTACTCCTGTATCCCTTCTACTAACAAGAAATTCGCAGGCCTTGCCAAAGAGATTATGCGATACCATCAAAACATCGCCCGCTCCGAAAACCTCCCCATTTGGCTCGAGGCAACCACTCCAAGTTCGCGCCATTTATACGTCTCTCTTGGATTCCAAGAAATCGAAGAGATTATCTTGGGAAAAGGCAAGGTTGCTCCCGATGCTAGCATCCAGCCTGGCGGCCCTGGAGTCTCACTCTGGGCAATGGTGTGGTGGCCAGAGTCGTCGGAGCACGCCCCTAAATCGTGATCCTTATATTACTTCTCTCAAGTCGTCATTCGTTTCATTATCTCTACTCTTCACTTTGAAAAGACTTTTGACATGGGCTTTCTGTGAAGCAGGCTCATTACCTGGCTGTGTTTTTTGCATACCTCACTGAGAAGGAGAACCTGTCGGGTACGTTGATTGTTGCTAGGTAGCTTTCATAGAAATAAATGTACATGTGCAACGTCCATGCGGGCACAAATATATGGCTCAATAGTAGATTTCAAATTATTACTACCTTCCAGGGAGCAAAGTCAACGTGAATGAATCCCTAGGTCCCACTTGGTCGATCATAGTACCAACTTGAATGCTTAATTGCAAACATCCTGCAGGGTACTAAGATCCTTGGGAATGACACCCGCTTTAACCGCATCTATCAAATAGTCAGCAACAATCCAACTTCATCCACGAGGAATGCGAAACAAGGCTCGTCAACTCACCCTGATAAGACCACCGATAATCATTCAACTGAGCCTTCCACGTCCAAAACACCCAACCCTGCTGCTTCTCGTACGAATGCACCTGAGCCGCAAACCACTTGCCATAAAAGTCCGTTTGAGACTGCGGATCCCAGTCCGAGTCTGACTCAACGTCATCGGGAACTGCCAAGCTCCATTCTCCCACAATCGTCGGCGTGTTACTATCGCGATTATCGCTGCAAGACTCGCTGATATAGCTATCGTGGGATGCATCAACACTGGTATCCCACTTCAGATAGCGGTGGTCGTCATATGCAGCGTAGTACAAGTCATCAATGTACTGGTTCGGATCACCGGAGCCCCAGAGCTTGTCCATCATTTGGATGTGGAGATAATCGGCCTTGTCGATGCCGGCGCTAGTTTCATTCGCGCGGATTCGCTGTATGATTCTGTGTTAACCATGCACAATTTCCCACGAGCATTAAAGAAAGAAATGAAGGAAAAATAGATCGCACCTCAAAAGCCTTAGGATAGTAATTCTCCCTCATCGACGAAGCCTTATCATCATCCTGAACAGGCTCATTGACAACCTCCAACATACCCACATTCCGAAACTCATCCGTACTATGAATCAGCCCAGTCATCCACTCCAAAAACTTCAACGCCCGCTCATACTGATAGTCCTGATAGAACCCCGGTTCCGATGCCAACTGTCCAGTAAACGCATTACTAGCAGTCTGCGCACCAGGCGCACCATGCAGATCCATAATAATATACATGCCGGCATCACTAGCCCACCCGCACACCTTCTTGACAAAGTCCAATCCACCCTGGGGGAAGTGCTCGCTGTCCGAGTAAACCAGATCTTCGCGGAGCCAGTATCCCACGGGGACTCGAATGGTGTTTAGGCTGTAGCTGACCATTTCCGAGATATCGTCCTGGGTAATCCAGTCACCCCAGTGCTTTTGGAATGCGGTGTTGGCGGCGTCTTGACCTAGTGAGCTCACGCAGTCGAATTCGGAGCCCGTGGAGCCACATCCCATGGAGTTCCATTCGCTTGTTCCAATCCATGGCTCGAAGATGAATTGCGAGCCGAGATTTACACCTCGGATTTTGCCGTTCGATGAGGTGAAGAGGTTGTTTCCGTTGTTGGACTGGATCTTCTTGTTGGTTTCGGGTAGCCAGGCTGTGGCTAGACCGGCAAAGGCACCTAGTGCGGCTACTTTTGAAAGAACGCCCATTGTAAGGAAGAGTGAAAGATCACTTCGTTTGATTGACTGAAGGGAAAACTGACAGTGATTATTTTCGAGGTCGGCAAGACCCCTGAGCTATCTAAATACCATTAGCGATGGAGGGCGGATGCAGTACCCCAGAATATTTCTGGAAAATGCCCAGAGATCTTCAGGTGGAGCTTAACTAGCTCAGGGGATGTAACCAGCTTGCAGAACTCCGATTTGAACCGCCACAAGAAGAGCAAAGATGTGCACGTCTCAGAATCGAGGAATTTCCTTTTCGGGTAACTGCCCTTGAACATATTCCTTGATTTGACTTTACGATGAGGGTAGCTCTGTCTCTGGTTACTTCACGGTTATCTTAAACACCTCATTAAAAGTGATCAAGGGTATTTAGTATTCCAATCATTCATGAATCCGAGAAGCTAGCGTCGATTGTGGTCCACATGGCGTTTTGTGATCAGAATGCGGTGCAACTTTAGTTTCTGTACTCCGCATCGCGTAGTCGTAGTTAAACGAGTACGACAAACTGCAACAATTCGGCCCGGGTTGTCTCATGGGGCTCATTGTGGCTGTAGGCTCGTAGAGCTTACTTCAACGTGAAGATTACATCAGGGGAAATGACGATGCGACGCGGCAGTTGGGGGCGAAAAGTTAACTAACCCGATTTCGTCGACCTGGCACTTCAAGAAGAGTGGACCATGAGCATTGTGTCGGTCATTTGCTCCGCTAGAGTAGAAAATGAGTGGAGTTATCTCACGAAAGAACAGATTCCGATTTTATTTGTTAAAATAGATCAACGCAGTAATCCGTAGTACTCGGTATAATCCGTACTATTCAACGTAGCACTCCCACCTCAAACCACGCTACCTTTAGCCCGTTTCACATTTTAAGGGTCATCGCTTTCACCCCGGCATTTACCTTCCCCTAATTTATGCGTTGCATTATGACATAGTTCTTAGGTCGGAAATGCCGGTGGAATGAGGAGTTGTTTTGATAGGGTCTAGATTAATACGGCATGTTTTAGGGGTTATCCTTCTCTCAAGAGTATTTCCCCTATGGATTGCAAGATTGAGTCTGCTACTGTTTGAATGCACCCATCTCGTATAATTCTAAGCAAAATGTAAACTAATCACTACTAAGAACTAAACTGAAGTAATCACAACTCACAAACAGCAGCGCGCATGCCTCCTTTAGAAAGAAATGGCTAAAACATCAAAATCAAAATGCCAACTGCCAACTGCCAACTGCCAACTTCCAAACATGAGCAAGTCCCGTTACGCTAGCCAACCTAGTATGTACATCCCGAGCGATGGCACTGCAGATCCCGGAGCGAGAATTTGATCACGGCGAGGCCGAGCGAGCTACGTAGAAATATGACAGATGCCGCTCAGGTAAAGCGCCGCCCGGGGTGGCATGATGGATGCTATGGGCGTCTATGGATTGAAACACAAATAAAAGTGTTTTCTGAATCACCTGGACATAGACGTGGAACTAGAGACCAGCGACATAGGTACTAATACAGAGATTATCTCGGGAGTTGAAGACGCTAGTTAGTCATAGGACTCAGATCCTTCCGAGCTGTATAGTGCCATGTATGCAGCATGATATCTAGACTAAAGCAAAACATGCCATCCATCCTCAGTGATGTTCGCTGGGCATGCCGATACAAGACAAGACAGGCTTAGGCCATCAGCGCAGCCCCCATCCTTGCCCGTCAGATCAGGCACAGATTCGGTGCCAGGATCAGATCGTAAGTTATGTGCAGCCATATAATAGTCATCTCATTTATTCCGCATCCTGCAAAGAAAGAAAGGCCGTGCTCTACCTACGACTCGCCCTAGTACAGTGCAGTCCAGTGCAGTCCAGTGCAGTGCAAGAACACCGCACCATCACAACCACAATCACAACGCCGATCTTAAACCCGAGTCCAAGCCAATCAGCCCCGGATCAAGAATATTCCATCGAACTCATTCCGGAAAGGAAAGGATCAACTCATCACAGACCAGCAGCAGGAGTATCCCAAAAGCCAACCCGAATCCTCCCTCGCATGAAACTCCCACATTCCAATATTCCTCCCAGCTCGACGCTGCAAACAGCAACAGCATACGTAGCCGACAGGAGTATTGATGTAAGTAAGCAGTGGGGAAAGGCAAAGAGCAAAGCAAAGCAAAGCAAAGCAAGGCGTCGATCGCCTGATCCACCGAAAAGACATGGCCATGGCCCGCGGTGATTTCTCGGCCGGCCGAACGGTGCCCACCCCCCTTCCCTTCCAATCCAACACGAACTTGAACCCAAGAATCCACTTTGCACGGCGCAAAACCGTGAGCTGCGAATTAAATGAGCCGGATGTGTCCGGATAAAGATGTTCGGCCGGCGGAGGTAGACGGAGTGCATACGACTAATGGGACGAAGTGAGCGTGTGACTAGAGCCAGGGAGAGCGAAAATGATATAATGTCCTCGTCCGCCGCGCTCGTCGCGCGAGCGGTGCGATAAAGTTCCAAGGTTCTGAAGACTATTTTTTTCTTCTCCTTCTTCAAATTACCTTGTCTGTCTGCACGCCTACTCACCTGCCTGCCTGTCTGCTTGCTTGATTGGTCTACTTGAAATTGAGCGCCGAGATCAATGCGGAATGATATCTTGATCACAGCTGCGGTCTGTCGACTGGGCTGGAGCCCCTCTCTTCGATGACGCTTAGTGGCTCGATTGCGATAAATGGCCGTATTATGTTCTGTCCTGTGGACGATTGATATGTATGTATATGAATAAACATGGAGCCGCAACACGCCGCGTTTCATCGGCTTCGACTCGGCTGGGTTGGGCTGGGCTGGGCTGGGCCGGAGTCGCCCGTTGACTGACAGGGTATACGAAATAAAATGCCAAAAAGGGAACCAAAAAGGCTGACTGTTCGCGAAAATTGTCAGACGTCCGTCCATACCGATCCTCTTCCTCCCATGCCTCCTCCTTCTCCGTCTTGAACAAATAAAATAAGATGAAAACAAGATGAAGCTCCAGATTCCAGACCCAGAATAAAATAACGCCGTCATGCAATGCGAATATTCGAATCGAATCCCCAAAACGAACGCTCATACCGCCGGACTTTGCCCATTCAGAGTCGGGAACAGCATAACATCCGGAACCCTCCCCAAGATATTTCGCATACTCCAATCTTCAATCGGGAGCGCGGCCGCCGGCACAGGCACGCCGGCACCATCACTGCCCATAACCATAGTAGTCGGGATCTCCAACTCGGCTTCGAAGGAAGGCGGCGAGCGCCACACCAAAGGCGAGGAATTCTGGATCGGGACCGTCGGACCAACACCAGCCGAGGGAAGGGAAACAACCTTGCGCGCGCGGAAAGATTCGCGGATCTCGCGCAACGCGCGCAGGGACGAGGAAAGATGCTTCGCCGAGTCAGTGCGGTTGTTCAGGTCCGCGTCACCGTCCGCATAGACGTGGTCAGCCAGGACCGTTTCCAGGCGGTCGATTAGGATCCAGGTCTGAGTGCTGTCGTCGTTGGCGACGAGCAGGAAAGCGGAGGCGATGGAGCGCTGCAGACTTATCCATGAGCGGGAGCAGTGGGAGTTAATTTCGTGCAGTTCTACGAATGCATCGACCGTGTCGATTAGGCTTGCTATGCAGTCTTCGCGGACTATGGCGCGGCGGTGCTCGTCCAAGTGGGAGTGTGGGTCGAGGGAGACACGACATAGGATGGAGAGGAGGTACGATGAATGCAGGCGCAGTTCTGTTCGTTCGATGTGCTCGACCAGCGAGTGGCACTGCTCTTTGTAGCGGAGGTGGGGGGGTAGCTTCGGCGATCATGCGCTGGATGCGCTGCTTGCATTCGCGGATCTCGTGGAATCGGGGCTGGGAAGACTCTGGATACATTCGGGATCGGAGAATCTCGAGTGCGAGGGAGACCACGCGACACAGGGTCTCGAAGTATGTTCGATGTCCCGGCATGGATTTACGATCGAAGGGTATTTCGGGTTGGCTGACCATGGTGATGGAGGGTCGATCATAGGCAAGCGAGAAATGACTATTCTGGAAAGCCATTGTCCACCTACTGATATTAGCAAATCGGAACTGCGTGGAAGAAAAAACCATCCCATCTTACCAGACGCGGCGCCGGATCGCCTGCTCCTTGAGTGAAAATCCCGTGGATTCAACATGAAGACCAAGAACAAGACACATGCGCTCCGTCATGCCTAAATACCAGATCAGTTGAGCGTCAAATCAAAGGGTTCTATTTGAGAATGGAACATACCTAGCAAAGTGTATGAAGCACCGGCATTCATATTATATGATAAGACATTGCTGATAATAAGAAGGATTTGAATCACTTCCACCGTGGGCTGCGAAACATAATTCAACATCCGAAGACATTGATATGCACAAGAAACTAAGGGAAGTGGTCAGTAAGATATTCCACATTATCATGAGTCTCTTGCTGCCATTGCTGCTGCTGGTGCAGCTACACTGCGAACGCAGCGCAGCAGCTCGTCTTCAAACGCACCGTATACCCACGAGGTCAACTCGCGCTCTCGCTCCGAAATATCGGACAATTGGCAGCCGGAAGCGAGAACCGCAAAAAGCAGGCTCAGAAAGGGCAAATCCATTCCAAACGGTTTGACTAACCCACTGGCATCCGGCTTATAGATACCTCCCGCGCGTCGCCGGCCCTGGAGTAAGCAATTCGTCTTGTACTCCAGTTCGTCTAGGTCCGATAACACCGGGTACAACACCGCGCCAATCTTTTTATAGAAGCCCAAGAATCTGAGTCAAAGGGAAGGAGAAAAATGTCAGCCATATTATCCTGCAAATTCACAATGCCTGCGCAAGAACCCGCGTTCTACAGCACAACACAATCTCACAACAACAGCATATCATCAGCACATACCGTTTACACAGATCATCCTCGGGAATCACCGAACACACGCCCGCAATATTGAAAGTATAAGGGTCCGACGACCACAGATCTACAAAAGGGTATGCAGCCGATTCATTTCCCAACGCAAGATCCGCAAGTAGATCCTCCTGAGGTAGCACCTGCGCCATATCCGTTGAGCTCCTCGCTTTATCCAAGATATCGACCAGCGCCGAACGGGATCCCAAATGAACCGCGCCGGTACGAGATGAGTTGGCTCCATATACACCCTCCGACCGAGACGAGTATTTGCGCTCCGGCGCTTCTTCCGACTCCAGTGGTGGCTGGAGCGGGGGTGGGTGATGATCGACACGGCGGCGGGAAGAGTGGGATTGGAAGATCGAATTCAAGCTCCCGATGATCTGCTCCATCGCAGCCATCTTATTATTTATCTCGTCCCATTCGCCCTGGGACATGTCGATTAGCTCGGGGAGATCGGCATCGTCGCTGGCCTGGGAGGGCCGATCGGTGATGGTGGAGACTGCATCGGTATCATCGTAGAGCAGCGACGGTGGTTGTGGCGCTGCTGCTGCTGATGCCGCTGTTGCTCCCGGGTAGGTGGGTGGAAAAGCCGGGGAGAGGAAGGAGGAATGAAGCGGGGTGGTGGAGGAGGAAGAGATGGGAAGTCGGTTGGATGAGGGTCGGCCGTAGGAACAGGTGAAGTTGCGTTTGACACAATTGGAGCAGGGGACGTTGCGATCGCAGCGGACTTTGCTGGCGCGGCACGGTAGACAGGTCTTACACTCGCGCGGTCGGCGACGGATGGGGTATGTTGGCATTTTTCGCAACTTGTAGGTGCAGAAGGGGGTTGGAGGAGGGAGTATTCCGGTTAATGGAGATCAAGATCAAGATCGAGATCGAGTCCTTGGCTGGGCGGACAGGGGCCGTGGAGCTGAGAGGCAGAGGGTGGCATAGGAAGGATCTCGTAGGATATTCCGAGGCAGATTGAGGGAGGTCGAAGCGGAGCCGCAGCCGATGAGGTCCGGGGGTTGGGGGAGGAGAATGTGATGTGTTATAGCGAGAGCCTGGGGGGGGATGAGATGAGGATGTCCCCCTATGGTCAAGTAGAACGTACTGGTACCTGCCAGTGTAGCAAGAGAGGAAAGCTGTGGGGGGGTCAAAGTGAAGGTCGAAGGTGCGAGTGGGTGAAGTGAAGTCGATGATTTCATAAGCTGTGGTCACGGTCCTTGGTACACCACGCCCGATGCGGCATTTTAGTAGTAGAGCTGTTTATACTAGTGACGAGAGTATTCTCTAGCGATTATTTATTTAAGTTCAACTTGAAGTTTCAGTGTGATGAGTTCGAGTTCTCGGTTTTTCTCCGTGGAGGATCACCTTGTCTCCACCACGATATATTAATCTACACCCATGTCGGTAGTTCGCAGTAATATTAGTACGAGTCTAGTGCGTTTATACCGGGATGTCGGGTACAGTACCCAAGTAATATATATACTAATACTACTAGTAGATCATGATAGAAGTGTAGTAATCATCCCATCTATCACTGGTTCTTCTTCTCGCTCACTTGCGGCACAACCCACCACTCATGCCATCGCGATTTACTGCCGATCTCAGGGATCGTCACCTCAAGGTTCAACGGCTGCCCGGCCGACGGCGACGGGTTGCTCCCTAGCGCCTTCCGCACCGTTTCAATCGAAATGCTCGCTCCAATGCACGCCCGCATCGCATCCTTGACATCCCGCTTCCAGTCCTCCTCAATTGCGCTAGGCGGTTCTTTACCAGCGCCAGACCCAGACCCAGACCCAGCTTCCTCGAGGAAAGCCCCTTGAGAATGCAACACATCCCACGCCTTCCGAGCTTCCGTAATCGCCTTGCTAGCGCGATCCAGAATGATCGCATCGGAATCGCCCTCTAGCGCCGATTCCCGTTGGAACTCCTCAAAGGGAACCAGCTCGGGAAGAGAGATTGGGATAAACGGTTTCATGCGCAGTTCGTAGCGCAGTCGATCGGTGGAGTAAGCGTCCGCACCTGCAGCGCAAGGAAGAACCCCATGTCGCGTGAGAAGCACGAATAGAGCGTGTAGAGCGATTGCAAATGCGTCGACTGCTATTAGCTGGGTGGTCATTCTCTCCAGGGTCCGGAATGAGCGGTGGAAGGCCGCTGACTTTTGCGAGTCGACCGAGCGATCACCGGCGGAAATGAGATCTCGTTTGCGCGCCGCGACAGTGAAGGTGCGGATGCGGTCGAGATGGCCGAGGTGGGTGGAACAGATGTACGACAGGTACCAATACATCCCCGCCAATTCCTCGGGTGCGTAGATCGACAGTTCGAAGCCCATCTGGATGATACGTCGGATCTGAATGAGTTTTTGGTGGTAGGCCCAGCTGCTGAGTGGGAAAGAAAATGTGGTTTCACCTCCTTTCATTTGCAGCGGGTGTTCGTCGCTCAACCGTTGCAGATCTAGATCCAGCTCCTCGGCCTAGTCATAGTGGTCAGGTCAGTTACTATGCGTTGCTGGGGGTTGTGGTTCCTAGTGTGGTTCCTAGCGTACTCGCATACCTCCATTTGTAAATTGTCCCAATCCACCACGGTATGACACACGGTTCGACGGATTCGACAGCGGTTCAGACAGGCAGCTCGCACAGTATCCACAAAGGGCTGCATGGATTAGCATCTGGCCATTCAAGCCAGTTTGGGCAACATACCTGGGAAAATCGTTTCACAAACCCTTCCATCTTTTGGGCAATCTGGAACCGAGGGTCGGACGGCAATTCTACTTCGTCGGTGTTCGCTTGGAGTAACACACTGGATGGCAAGACCAGCTCCGCCAGATCGTCATACAGAAATTGCTTGACTGGGACCGCGCCCAGGATGGTCATGTCGCTCACAATCAGGGCTTGAAGGAGACAACGGATGTAAACAGACGGTTGGGGTTTCCGGGATAGCAGACTCCAGATTGCGGTCTAGACAGGGGTTAACAATCGCAAAGATAAAAGAAAGAAAAAATCAAGGAAAAGAAAGGTTGCTGTACCTTGAAGTTGCTCGGTCCCTTATAGTCCAGCATCTGCTGCATATCGATTGCATCTTGGCAAAGTCGTTTGAGATGAGCAAGAGCATCCTCGGGGCTAATTTGAACAATAGGACGAGGAGGCACCGTGCTGGCCAGCTTCCGTTGGATTTTTAGGCTAAATGCCTCTGGTACAGGTGTGCCATGAGCAACAGTTTCTGTAATATCACTCAAGGTAGATAGGCAGGACACAAAATTGTCTGTTGACCTGGTGTCAAGAACTTCGAGGTCTTCGTCAAGCGCACTGAGGAACTCGTGCCGAAACAGCAGTCTGCATCGAATAGCGTCTCGAAGCTTCCGATCTATCGTTTCTTGGGCATCTACCCACTCTACCGCCTGATCCAGCAGGCGAAAGAAGTGTGACGGGTCCAATCCTGACAGCAGGTTGCGATTGTACAATTGGGAGACAAAGTCTTCTTCCTATGAAGCGAAAGCTGTCAGCAATAGACTTCCACCCAAGATCGGACCTTCTTCCACACTACCTCATAGTAATATTCGGTCGCTATGCGAGCATGGACGAAGTCGCAAGCCTTGACGAGAGCCAGACAATATGCTCGGAGAACGAGACTGATGAGAGGGGATTCGCTCGATATGCGATCAAAACGGGCATCTCCCATGGTTTTCGGAACTGGCCAAAGTAACTTATCAAGGTAGATCGAGGTGAAGAGGGTTTGGGAGAGAGGGTGGCCCATGTGCCATGCCATCTGCAATCGGATAAGCTGAATGTTTTCCCCCATAGCAGTGGGACTGCACACTTACTTCATGGCAAAGAAGTTGATCCATCAACCCTATAACCTGCTCTGGTGTCAAGGCCTGTCGCACATCGTAATCGTCCTCCAACGCTTGTACGTGGTTTTCGCCGGGTGCGATATAACCACTATCCATTTTCGAGTCCATAATCTGTTACCATTTCGATCCATGATCAGTCTTCAATTGCTTCCCTCCAGTATATCTTTGGGGTCACTGTGTGACGATGACGCACCTCCAATGCGCCCACTGCCTCGAACAGGGTAAATAATTCATCCTTGACGAGTTGTCCAGTCTTAAGCTCTAGTATAGGGAGTCCAACAGTTAGATCTGAAGCATAGCCCACTCGAGGAATACATCAACTTACTGGAAGCAGCCTCGGTGAATTCGGCGGTGATGTCGCGAAGCACTGCTGTAGGCTGCGCAGCCCGCAGAGGGGGCAAGCGCACCTCATTATTCGGGAGCATCGCACAGAGATTCGAGGCTCTGCAATCCGCGGCCGGTCGATCTCATGGAAGGAAGGAAAATCGTCAGGTCGAGGATCGCCGAGGGGAATGGTTGGAGTCCAATGAATCGAGGGGTTGGTGGGGGGTGGGCGGAAAAAGGCGATTCGGGCAGCAGGTGTGGCAGTGGCAGGCGACAAGAGTAAGACCTCTGACGTGCAGCGATGCTTTACCGACAAAGCTCCAATTCCCAGCTCAAGCCACAACATCAAGATAATTTCTACGACAAAGCTGGACAATATAGGAATACGAAGATGGTCAAAAAAGGACGAGTGCGATTTCTAGGCTCGGTCTACCCAGACGCGTGTGCCTGTATTGCTACACATGTACAAAAGTTCAATGTCTCCCCGGGGTCCGCGCTACTCCTCCGCTTTCTGGTTTCCGCCGGGTCCATCGCTCCTCCCAACATGACGAATCTCCTGGTTTCTCAATCGCTTGTAATTGGAGATGACTGGTCGATCCGTTTATTTCTCGGCCTGGGCGAGAGCCTCGTTGTTGGCCTGTGCGAGGGACTTGCCCTCACCCTGCTTGCCGTTCTAAACAATCGCGAATCCTCCGTTAGTTTCCCGGCGGTTTCAAGTATCGTATTCGGGCGAGTCAACTAACCTCCCACTTGGCAAAACGAAGGTCCATCTGGCCGCGGCGCTCGGAGTTCAGGCGGGGAGTCTCCTTCAGAGAGCGGCGCACGGTGCGGGCGGCAATGGCCAGGTAGCGGTTGTAACTGGTAATCGGGGTGAGCGGAAGTTTAGAAATTCGGGAACCGAGAAACATACGTGAGGCCAGCGGCCTTCCAGGCGGCAGTCATTTTGAATGTGGATGGGGGAGGTGGGTGGATTGAATTGAAGGGGGTGAAAACGGGCTCGGGTGAGTTTGGAAGCATTCGATCCGGAGTTTCGGGAGTCTCAGGTCACGTGTTATCTTTGTCTCTTTCCAGTGTCACGTGAATGGAAGGATATCAGTCACGTGGTATTATGCATACTGTAAGTATACACCATTGGCAACCAAGCAATATCAGCAGATAGATGTATTTGTATTTGCATTGAAGGTTTCTTTTTCTTCTTCAATATATATAGAGGGCCCGGCTATCCAGTGGAAAGGTCCATTGCTTGAAGCATGTAACCTGGACCCTCTTACAGCCTATAAAGCTTCCTCTAAAATACTAAGTAGTACATTTCCAGTCAGATCACCATCCCCCCTAGCTAGTAAGAGCCACTGGCACTATATACACTCCTTGGTATAATAACAACTACAATTGCAACATGTTCCATCTATTTAGCTCACCTGTTGGCTCGATTGAGTGGAAATATGGGGGTTTAACAGACAATTCATGGACACTGGACACTACTATGGACTTCTACTACGCTTCCGAGTCTCAGAAAGTAGAGGCACCTTCCATCTTTGGCAACCACCCACACCACCCATACCACCTACACCATTCACCATTCACCATTCACTGCTCACTCTTCCCCAACTTTTCCCCTCGCCCCTCACCCCCCGCCTTTTTCCTTTTCCTTTCCCCTTCCCACTTCCCACTTCACCTCTCACCTTCGCCCTTTCTCTCTTCTCTTTGCTCCTGCACCCATGCCTCATGGTATTCGTGAACACACTTAAACACCCCTGAACATAGTAAGTCCAAACACCACTTGCATCGTTGTTTTTAGTGCATCCAAGCCTGCTTGCTTGGTCTGAACCAAAGCGAAGCTTGATGAGCAGTGCACTTCTTGTTCGTGAATTCTTGCTTTCTCTCTTGGTCGTATACACTCTACATGGGCTTCTCTTGGGCTTCCACATACGCCACCTCTCCATCATCGCATAGTATCAATCATGGAAGCTGTGCACACCTTCGACCCCCATCTTTCAGGCCCATTTTCGCAACCAAATTGGTCTGCTACTGACGGTAACACTCATGCAGCTTGCACGGTATGTCTGCGCTTTTTGACGGTTCCTCTGGGCAGTCAAGAAACAAGGCAGTCATATAGTCTCGAAGAACTAAAGTTCCGATCCAAAGTCAACAGAATTATCACCTCACCTTCCGATTACCCAAACAATCCATCGACTCCAACAGCAAAGGTTCCGTTTGCTGATGCAACCAAAATGGCACCAGGAAAGGCACCCGCTCAGTCCAGAAAGGAGAAGCGCAATCTGGTGCGCTGGGATAGTAAGTGCTTCCCCTGCTTTCATCTGGAATTGCCCGTGCATTTAGGTTGCTGCCTTTTCCATGAATCTTTGGAAGTTCTTCCATTGTGCTTCATCTTGCATGGTTATATGTTACTTCCGGCGTTCAGCCTTCACATACCACGTTCTTGTACTAACCGGAATAGCCGATATTGATACACACCTGTTGCTCGCCATCCAGGCTGCCTGCAACTCGAGCAACACGAAGATACCATGGGACCTGGTGGCTTCCACCATGGGCCCAAAGTACACGGAAGGTGCAATCGTGCAGCACCTATCCAAGTTGCGTAGTCGTCGGGTCAGGGATGGAAAGATAGTCCCGCCTCCACTCCGACGTGCTGCTGCTGGCTCCCACAAAGGAGGTTCGAAGGGCTCTGTTCAGCAGAGTGGTGTGGTCGATGCTCTCTCCAAAGAAGAAGTCGATGATCTCTCTTCCGGCGGTTCGGACCCCGAGTATGGGGCTCCAACCCCGCGCAAGCAAAAGCGCCCATTGACCCGTCGTGCAAGTTCAAGTGCAAGTGCGAAGAAACGCACCAAGCTGTGTGGCCGGAAAATCAGCCCCAAGGAAGAGAAAGCGTGCGTGTATGCCCCTTTCCTCCAATTCCTCCCTGCTAAGTCAGAAAATCCAACTGACGCACCCAGTGATGCACCCGAGTCTTCGTCAGAGGAATTAGACGATACTCTGAGCTCCGAGAAAGAAGAAATGACCGGCCTGAACAGATTTGCAAGTCCTGCGATTGCGGATATCCAGAAGAGCGAGATCTTCGAGGAAAAGTCTCCCAGTCCTGTAGCAAGGCAGAAACTCCGTGTTAGCTTCAAGAGTCGGACCGCTAGCATGCTTTCATCCGAGGCTGTCGACGAGCACTCGTCGACCCCGGCATCCATGGGGAGAAACTCACCAAAGACCCCGAGACTCCAAGCCAATATCGACCGTTTCTGGAGCCCCGAGGCTTTGCAGATGACTGGCGATAGTAGCCAGGGCGGTACTCCTAGTAGGGTACAGGAGTTCATGCGATCGCCGTCACAATATCCAATGCAGCCGAACCCACTGCTGCTGCAACCTTTGAACCACAAACCCGCAACGTTTCAAGGCGCGCTACAAAGCCCCGACTTCTTCGATCCGAAGACATATGTGCAGCGCGCAGCATTCCAAGAGAATCCGAGTTCCAGGTATGCACAATATCCGACTCAACCACAAAGCTGGAGATATGCTGCACGTGGTCAGCAATATCCTCTTAGCCCGGTAAACTCTCAAAAGCCGCCATTTTCCCCGGGTGGATTCTTTTACTTGCCCGAGAATCATCGATCTCTCGAGATGGAGATTAACATGCCGAGTCCTGGGTATGGTCTCCCACCTTCGTCGCCAAATGCGAACGTGATCAATCCGCAAGACCTGCTCATCAATGCTGGCAACATATCTTCCCGGGGCTTTGAGGAGCTAGTGGGTTATGAAGATGATCCCGGTGCAGGGTCCTTCTAACCCGGCCTTCCTTTGCTGTGAATGACCGGGTCCATGGAAGCTTCCGTCCGATCAGAAAGTGCAGGAGACGCAGAAGACGAGGGATTTTGGGCCTCTTTTAGGAGAAGGGGCGGGGAAGACGAGATCAAGTCATTTTGGTTTGGGGTGCAGGCAGTACGGAAATTTAGGAAAGCGAGATAAAGCATGAAAAATCAGAGGCTTAGATATGAAGATGAATATGGGAATGAATTGACTGATCTTCAAGTGGACATTATTCGTTCTTGCCTGTAGTTATTACTAGGAGTAGTACCGTGACGTTTACTAGTGAAGCTGGGCAAGAAGGTGAGTTGACGGGCAGACTAAGAAGGACCGGCTCCACCGAAAGTTGTTGGGCGGGCTGTGCCGGCCCGGTCTTGCTCCGAACACCAGGTGACTAAAGGCAGTCTAGACTGGCAGTTGATTTACTAGGAAGGCCTTGTTTTATTCAATTGAATGGGCTCTTGATTTAATTCTCAGGAGCCCCGTGCCCAGGTGGGCACACCTAAAAGGTGGTGTGCCTTCACGGTTATAATGCGAGTTTCATCCTAGAATTTGCCACTGTATATACTATCGTGTCGAATCGGCTTCTACTTCCGATACTACTACGGTTCTCCCACCGCAGATTGAAGCCCAACCATGAGAAGATTCAAATGATTGAAGATTTTACCAAGTCCATTTCAAATATCCGAGTCTTTTCCCTATATGTATTACCCTAGATAAGCTCATGGTTATGTTGTCCTATCCCATACAGCCGCCCGCCCGATACCTCGGGAACAATTCACGTGACCTTCTAGCTCTTTCTGCCGCCAAGTCCGGGGATGGGGAAGAAGCGCCGGGAAAATTTTCGAGACTTTGGCTTCATCTCCCCAGCTACCTACCTCTTCTTTCCATCCCCCTCCCAACCCTTCATCCCCAATCGGGTTGTTCTTTTTCTCTTTGCTCATCTATTTTCATTGTTTTGTTTCTTCATAATGCAGCGCGCTCTGTCTACCCGGACTTCGGTCCTTTCCGCCGCTTCCAAGCGTGCCCCTTTCTACCGCTCCGGTTTGAACCTCCAACAGCAGCGTTTTGCTCACAAGGTACGTGATACTCTGCGTGATACTCCGTTAATTCCAATCATCCTCGGTCCGATATTACGATGGCTCCCGATTCCATCTTCCGTCGATTCCGAAAGCCCTTAGGTGGATTCTAGCTAACTTCTCGACTAGGAGCTCAAGTTCGGTGTTGAAGCCCGTGCCAACCTCCTCAAGGGTGTTGACACCCTGGCCAAGGCCGTCACCTCCACTCTGGGTCCTAAGGGTCGCAACGTCTTGATCGAATCCCCCTACGGCTCCCCCAAGATCACCAAGGGTATGTCACTCATTCGGCGCAATTCGGTGTTATCGCGAACCGAAGAAGAGAAACCAAAAACAAAAGGCTAACTCGGTTAGATGGCGTGACTGTCGCCAAGGCTGTTACTCTGCAGGACAAGTTCGAGAACCTCGGTGCCCGTCTCCTCCAGGATGTCGCCTCCAAGACCAACGAGACTGCCGGTGACGGTACCACCACCGCTACCGTTCTGGCCCGTGCCATCTTCTCCGAGACCGTGAAGAACGTCGCCGCTGGCTGCAACCCCATGGATCTGCGCCGCGGTATCCAGGCCGCCGTCGAGGCCACCGTCCAGTACCTCGTCGAGAACAAGCGTGCCATCACCACCGGTGAGGAGATCGCTCAGGTCGCCACCATCTCCGCCAACGGCGACACTGCCATCGGTAAGCTCATCTCCACCGCCATGGAGCGCGTCGGAAAGGAAGGTGTCATCACCGTCAAGGAGGGCAAGACCGTGGAGGACGAGCTCGAGGTCACCGAGGGTATGCGATTCGACCGTGGCTACACCTCCCTTACTTCATCACCGATCCCAAGTCCCAGAAGGTCGAGTTCGAGAAGCCCCTGATCCTGCTCTCTGAGAAGAAGATCTCTGCTGTCCAGGACATTATCCCTGCCCTGGAGGCCTCCACCACCCTTCGCCGCCCCCTGGTCATCATCGCCGAGGACATCGAGGGTGAGGCTCTTGCTGTCTGCATCCTGAACAAGCTGCGCGGACAGCTCCAGGTCGCCGCCGTCAAGGCCCCCGGCTTCGGTGACAACCGCAAGAGCATTCTGGGTGATCTGGCTGTTCTGACCAACGGTACCGTCTTCACTGACGAGCTCGACATCAAGCTCGAGAAGCTCACTCCCGAGATGCTCGGTACCACCGGTGCCATTACCATCACCAAGGAGGACACCATCATTCTCAACGGTGAGGGCAGCAAGGACAGCATTGCCCAGCGCTGCGAGCAGATCCGCGGCGTCATGGCCGACCCCGGTACCTCCGAGTACGAGAAGGAGAAGCTCCAGGAGCGTCTCGCCAAGCTCTCTGGTGGTGTCGCCGTCATCAAGGTCGGTGGCTCCTCCGAGGTTGAGGTTGGTGAGAAGAAGGACCGTGTCGTGGATGCCCTGAACGCCACCCGCGCTGCCGTTGAGGAGGGTATCCTCCCCGGTGGTGGTACCGCTCTTCTGAAGGCCTCCGCCAACGCCCTGGAGAACGTCAAGCCTGCCAACTTCGATCAGCAGCTCGGTGTCTCCATCATCAAGAGCGCTATCACCCGCCCCGCCCGCACCATCGTCGAGAACGCCGGTCTTGAGGGTAGCGTCATTGTCGGCAAGCTCACCGACGAGTTCGCCAAGGACTTCAACCGTGGATTCGACAGCTCCAAGGGCGAGTACGTTGATATGATCGCCAGCGGTATCGTCGACCCCCTCAAGGTTGTCCGCACTGGTCTGGTTGATGCCAGCGGTGTTGCCTCCCTGCTCGGTACGACCGAGGTTGTCATCGTCGATGCTCCCGAGGAGAAGGGCCCTGCTGCCCCTGCTGGTGGCATGGGTGGTATGGGTGGTATGGGCGGCATGGGCGGTGGTATGTTCTAAGCGCCTTCGTCCCTCATCCCTCATCCCCATCTTCCTCGTGTCTCCATGTGTATCCATGATGATTTCCGATCCCCCTGATCTCTTGCATCGCCGTTTGACCCTAGACGGCCCCGGAACTTTGTAATGTGTTTTATTTTGATCTTTTCCTATACCTGTATTCTTGTGTGTGTTGTGTGCTGTTTCTTATTCCTCTCCACTCTTCTCCTGGGGCTCGAAAAAAGGTTCCGGCGCAACTATGTATCATACTGTTTTATCTACGTCTAATGCATCTCTGATCGGCATTCTCATTTGTCTCCTATTGGGTATGGTGGATCTTCACGCTTTGTGCGGTTCTTGGTGGACCAGATCGACCCGCCCGATCTGCAACGTTGTGAAGCATACAAATAGTCTAGTAGTCTAGTTTGACTGTACTGTACTCCGGACCTCGTATGTACCTAACTGCGACTCATAGCTACGATGGAATTCAAGTTTTCTCAATGTGATGGGTCTGGCGTGGGGTCATTGGTCACGCCCGTCGGCAATTCCAGCCTGGAGAGTGCGGAGTGCCCGCTGCGGTCTAGACTTAATCTGGCATTGCCACTCGGCCTCATTCCTCGTTTCTCTCTTCCTTTACCTTCTCACCCCCCCTTCGTCACACTTGCTTCCTCTCCACTCCGCTATCTCTTCTTTAAAAGACTGGTAACCGGTGACCTGTGCCTTGTGGAGACAGCGCGTGAGACTGCAGTACTGATCAGTACTCACAAGTACTTCTTTAATGCTCATGTGTCAGATCGCTTGTCTATCCGCTCCACTCCACTCTACTCCAGACCGAACCAGACCACACCAAACCTTCTGCTTTTAGGGCCTGCTCTCCATTCATCGTGCGTTTCGATCGGCCCACCCCCAGGTTTCATTCCTTCACAAAGTCAGCTTCCACTTCAAACCCCCTCCCCCTCCCCCTCAGTTGAATCAAAGCTCTTGTCTTGTACTCCCCCACCTGACCCTCTTGCAGCTGAAACAAAGACGCAGAGGTCGTCACTTTATTGATTCAATTCGATCTATTCCGGCCGACTCTGCTCGACTCTGCTTTTGTCATAATCCCCAGCTCAGTTCAGTTCCCAGTCTCCCCGTCACCATGGCGGCACTGGTGGACATGGGCCGACCAACTCTGGTCAGCGACGCAGACCTATCTCAAGCGCGCGCAGCCCTCCAACACCAACAAACACCCGAAGTCTCCGTACCGCGAGAATTCATCTCACTAATCGTGGACGAGCTGATCTACCGCCGCGAATCCCACAGCGCAATCGCCGAGGTCGAGCACGAATGCTCCGCCCTCCGCAACGAGCTCCGAAAGTCCACACACATCAATGAAGCATTCCACAAGGAACTCCGCGCCATCGGTGAAATCGTCACCCAAGTAGCCCACGGTGACTTATCCCAGCGCGCACGCATGCACCCGCTCGAAATGTCGCCCGATATCGCGGCCTTCAAGCAAACTATCAACACCATGATGGACCAGCTGCAGATTTTCAGTCAGGAGGTGTCGAAGGTCGCGAGGGAAGTTGGCACGGAAGGGGTGTTGGGTGGTCAGGCGAGGATCGAGGGTATTCAGGGAATTTGGCACGAATTGACGGTTAATGTGAATGCCATGGCGAATAATTTGACGACCCAAGTTCGCGATATCACGACTGTGACCACGGCTGTGGCGAAGGGAGATCTGACGAGGAAGGTGCAAGCGGACTGCAAAGGGGAGATCTTGTTGCTGAAGAACATTATCAATTCGATGGTTGATCAGCTGCGGGAATTTGCCTTTGAGGTTAGTCGGGTTGCGCGGGAGGTTGGGTCGGATGGGACGCTTGGTGGTCAGGCGGTTGTTCATGGAGTCGAGGGGACGTGGAAGAGTTTGACTGATAATGTGAATATCATGGCTTCGAATCTCACGCAGCAGGTGCGTGAGATTGCGAAGGTCACGACGGCCGTTGCTCGTGGTAATTTGACGATGAAGGTGACTGCCGATGTGAAAGGGGAGATCTTGGATTTAAAACTAACCATCAACGCCATGGTCGACCGGCTCAATCAATTCGCCTTTGAGGTGAGCCGTGTGGCGCGGGAAGTGGGAACGGACGGCACACTGGGTGGACAGGCTCAGGTCGAAAACGTCGAGGGTAGATGGCGCGACCTGACGGATAATGTTAATACGATGGCGCAAAATCTCACGCTGCAGGTCAGACAGATCTCGAACGTGACACAGGCAATCGCCTGCGGAGATCTGAGTACCAAGATCGAGGTCCATGCCCAGGGTGAAATATTGACCTTGAAAGAGACAATCAATAGCATGGTTGATGGTCTCGGCCAATTCGCAAGGGAGGTGAAAGTCGTGGCGAGAGATGTGGGTGTCAGGGGTAAACTTGGTGGCCAGGCCAATGTCGACGGTTCCCTGGGTATATGGAGATCTATCAGCGAAGACGTGAATACCATGGCAGACAACCTCACCTCGCAGGTCCGAGCCTTTGGAGAGATCACCGAAGCAGCGATGAGCGGTGATTTCACAAAGTTGATTACCGTATCGGCCTCGGGCGAAATGGATGATCTGAAACAGAAGATCAATAAGATGATCAACAGTTTGCGTGACAGTATCCAACGGAACCAGGCAGCCCGTGAAGCCGCGGAGTTGGCGAATCGCAGTAAATCAGAGTTCCTTGCAAATATGAGGTATGTGGTAGAGAGTTGATCAAAGTAAATGATGCAAGCCATGCTAACAAGCCCATTAGTCACGAAATCCGAACTCCGATGAATGGAATTATTGGTCTTTCTAGTCTGGCCCTCGATACAGATGACCTTCAGGCCCCTGTTCGAGAGACCTTGGATATGGTACACAATCTTGCCATAAGCTTGTTGACCATCATCGATGACATTCTTGATATTTCAAAGATTGAGGCCAACCACATGAATATCGAGAAGATGCCCTTCAGTCTTGGCTCCACCGTGTTCGGCGTACTCAAAGCCCTAACAGTGGAGACTAATGAAAAGGCATTGAGCTTGGCATGCATTGTTGATGGAAACGTGCCTGATTACCTTCTGGGCGATGCTTATCGGCTACGCCAAGTAATGTTGAACTTGGTTGGCAATGCAATCAAGTTTACTGACCACGGAGAGATCAAGGTGTGTGTTAGGCGTGTTCAGAATCATGACCTCCAGCCAGACGAGGCTATGTTCGAGTTCTCGGTTGCAGACCCAGGTATTGGGATCGAGGAAAGCAAGCTTGGTCTCATCTTCGACAAATTTCAGCAAGCGGATGGCTCGATGACTCGCCGTTTTGGAGGAACAGGCCTAGGACTTGCAATCTCGAAGCGCCTTGTTTCTCTAATGGGCGGTGATATATGGGTTACCTCAACACTAGGCCAGGGCAGCAAGTTTTCCTTCACTTGTCGGGTCAAAGTTGCCGAACAACCAGCCGGATTTGCAGAGCAACTACTTCCTTACAAAAATCGCCGGGTCTTATACGTTGACGATGGTCAACTGCCAGACTTCCCCGCTGCTCACATGCTATCGGAACTCGGCCTCCAGCCAGTAATCATACCCGATTCACAACTTCCAGGCCAACCAGGAGCAGACTGGAACTGCGCCATCGATGCAATCATCGTATCAACCGTCGACACAGCAATTAAACTACGCATCTGCTCAAATCTCTCCTCAATACCCCTAGCAATTATGGCGCCGGCCATCTCAATTCTCCTGAAATCAGCCGGCGAGCTCGGCATCGCCTCCTACATAACCACCCCCTGCCGATCGATAGACCTCTGGAACGGCATCCTGCCCGCCCTGGGTAATCGCGCCAGCCGCATTTCATCAGGCTTCACCCGATCCCTAGCCATCCTCCTCGCCGAAGACAACGACGTCAACCAAAAGGTCGCCGTGCGAATCCTACAAAAGGACAACCACAACGTGACTGTCGTTGAAAACGGCTTACAAGCGGTCAAAGAGGTAAAGCTCCACCGGTACGACGTGATCCTCATGGACATCCAAATGCCCGTGATGGGTGGTTTCGAGGCAACGAACAAAATCAGGCAATACGAGAAAGTGAACACGTTACCACGCACGCCTATTATTGCACTCACGGCCCACGCCATGATGGGCGATAGGGATAAGTGTCTATCGGCGGGCATGGATGATTATCTCTCCAAACCGTTGAATGGTAATATAATGATGCAGACGATTCTCAAGTGCGCGGCTATGAACATCACATCTCTGCCTTCGCAAGCGACCGAACCGTCCGACATAATGCAACAATGAATCTCGTCATCGCCACTCCACACCACATCACATCATCTGGGAATCATATCAAATCTATCCTTTCGTCTCGTTTCATTTTCACCCCTTTTCTCTCTCGGTTTGTCACCGATATTTCCACCGATCAGCAAAACCAAGCATTGTTTTCGTCCTATTCATCAATATTTATATCCTTATCGTGACTTTGATCTCTTTTATCTAGGGATTTTTCTTTTGTTAATTCCCATACGTGGTGCCTGGTGCTGTGTGGGAATGGGAAAAGCTCTTTCCAAGAAAACTTCAAGTTGATATGCGCATGGATGGTGTTGTGGGGTTCTTCTGAATGTTTTGAATTTTCTGTCTCTCTTTCAACATACGATGTAGGTTATGAAGATATCTATGAAATAGTAGTAGGATTGTATTTTGCCTCCATTCTCCAATAAAGTGTCTTTCAAGTTTCCTGCCAACCTGCCTAGGTGATACATTAAGCTCCTACGCGGATGAATCAAAGAGGAAAGAAATGGTGCAAGATGTTGACTCGTCTGCGTTTGCATCTAGGTGACTGAATGTCAACATGTTGTCCCAGCCAAATGTACCGGGTATCCGGGATGAAGATCCAGAAAATATCAAAAAATCTTGCTTTGGCAAAATATGAGGACCAGGCTTGTTTGAACAGGAGCTGGTGGTGAGAGGCAGCTCTTAGACCAACAATCATGACTCGTATCGAGATTATTTAGAACCCCCAGCAGGGATCCGACTTCTCATCGAATGGTGTGCTCGCGCCGTGGCTTAGATAGGGGAAGCCCCGTTCTTCACAGCTTGGCAATGTGCTGTCGGCGTCATGACTGCCGAGGCGAGGAAACATGAACAAATAGCAGGGGAATCTGGAGTACAGAGATAGTGAGAGGGATGGCCATGTTAGAGGGGACGGAGAGTGAGAGCCTCACCTGCAGTCAGTCATTGCTGCCTGAGGCAATCGAGCGACCCTGGCCCAAACAAACTAACGTAATTCCCGGCCGGTCTGCGCACCCGGTCGAGCTGCGCACCCCAAAACATATAGTAAATGCAATAAATCACCACTTCATATCTCAACAACCATAGTTTATTTTTACTTAAATATAAGAATATAGGCTTTCCCTAGCATATGAAATAACATGTCTTAGTTTTAAGCAATTCAGAAGGCTATTTCGATGCGTTACCATAAAATACAGCGTAATTTTGACGTGGGTAATAAAAATATATTTATCTCTATTATTAGTTCCAACAATTTCCTCATACCTCGCCAATAGGTTAGAAACACTATCTTGATCATATTATGTTAACATCTTATCATAAATAGATATGGTTGTTGAGATATGAAGTAGTAATTTATTGCATTTACTATGTGTTTTAGGGTGCGCAGCTCGACCGGGTGCGCAGACCGGCCGGGAATTACGTTAACTAATAACGTAATTCCAAAGCGAGCTGGCCACCCACCCGAGCTGGCCACCCCAAAACACATAGTAAATACCATTCTCTGCCCCTCTATATTTCAGCCACCAATTTTTAATGTTGTCTAGTTTTTAGGATACTGGCTTTTCTCTACATCAGACATAATATATTTAGGTATTGAGCTACTCAGTTTAATATTTTATTATATTACCATAAAATACCATGTAATTTAGACAGTTAAGCGAAAAATATACATACCTCGTCCGTTAATTGTCCTAGTACTTTCATACTCTAACAAGGATTTTTAAATACAACTCAGACTTAATAAGTTTATTTCCCGACTTAAGTTACACCTGGTTGTTAAGATATGAAGTTGTAATTTATCGTATTTACTATGTGTTTTGGGGTGGCCAGCTCGGGTGGGTGGCCAGCTCGCTTTGGAATTACGTTAATAGAAGTTTGTAATGGGGGCCAAAAATTGCCAGTGATAAACACCCTTAAATAACTAACAGAAAGGAATCCCTCGGTTATTCGGGGTTATGTTTTGAATCTAAGAAATTTGTTATGCCTATCTACAAACCTGCGATTGTAGAAACATGAGATTAACTTGTCATACTTTCTCGATGATTGAACACGAGACTGTTACCGAGAGTTAGATAAATATGAGATTGAAGAAGAAGTTCTCGTTCAGTCGCGTTTAATATTAATTCGAAGCTGTCTAATTGCTTCGCGTTGAAGTCGTACGCTCGTAGATCTTACCACCGAGTAGTACCAGGAAGGCTACCAGGGATGAGGTACCTGCCCACATAGCAGCTGGTGTGTATTGCTCATGGGAAAGGTGGATAATTGCTCCCCCTAACGGGGGCCCTGTCAAAGTGGAGAAGGAGGAGACCGTGCATAGAACGCCGATTCGGACACCCCTTGTGTGATCGTCCTTCGCGAACGAAGAAGAAACTGCCAGGAAAAGAGTTTGAAGGGTACCAATGACAAGACCAAATGCGGTGCATAAAGCATATAGGCTACCAGGAGTCTCAACTCTCGACCAACTGTAAAAAATGACTGCTGCCAAAGCAACACCACACATGAAAATTTCTTTGACGATCCGATATCTATCAGCCAATAGTGATGTGGTAATACGTGCCGGTATTCCAACTGCATTCACTAGAATCACGATATTGAAAGTTTGTTTGGAGTTAAAATGCAGAAAGTCCTTGGCGTATTGTGAGATCTGTGGACAACCATTAGGAAATTCCGCGTTATGAAATGGTGTGTCAACAGAACTCACATAATAAAAGCCAAAATAGACTGGCCAAAAGGCGAAAAAAACGGAGATGGCAAAAAGAATGTAGTGGAGGTCCTTGAGGGTACGGAATGGAAATGTTTTTACTTTCTTCCCAGAAGTCGGAATCGGTCGCAGGAAGGCCAGTCCAATGATCAATAACGTAGAAACTATAAAGCCTGCTATACGTATAGACCACGGAAGTCCCAGACGGGGAATTAGCTCTCGGAGGAGTGCTGGGAACACAGTGCCCCCAGAAGCACCACCGCAAGTGGCCAGTGCAATAGCGAATGAGCCATGTCGCTCGAAGTAGGATGATAATACCGCAATTGTAGGAGCGAACATCAAACCAGCGCCAATTCCGACACAGAGGCCATGTGAGATAAATATCTGCCAGAAATTGATCGCGAAACTGGCTGCAAAAAGCCCAAAAACTTCAAGGACCATGCCGGCAATGAATACTGCACGAAAATGACCAGCGTCGGCCATGTGGCCAGCAAAGACCCCAAGAAAGTTGACAAGGCAGACTTGAACAGACCCGATCCATGATATTTGCGTGGCGGGAATGTCGGGTAATAGAGTTGTGTAGACTGCTTGGTAGGTCCCGAAAGAATTAAAGTATCCTTGTGTGGAGAAGACCACTAGAAAGGCTAGCAATGCATGGGCCCATGAAGCCGAGCTGTCTTTAACAGACTCGGAAGGAACTTTTTCGGGATGACCATTGCTATCAGTGTAGCCACTTGAATCAGAGTTGATTGAAATGTCGGATTTCTCCTAATTAAAAAAGAGTCAGGTTTCGGATTTGGAAGCTGATAGAGAAGAGTAGTACATACTATGCAGGCTGCCATGATATGGAAACTGAAGTAGAACAAGTTTTCTATCCGACTCGAAAATATCACGCCATTTGTGATAGATCTTGCGAGATAATATATGGAAAATACCAAGAGCAATTTTAGTAGTAGTACGTCAGTCTGGAGGTCCCTGTGGCATGGGATCTTCCCAAGCCTGTCGGCATGCCAGGCCCCGAGACCCAATCATTGAATTCAAGTTCACTGATGACGCGTATCCATGGATCGCATTTACGGGGAGGGCTGTATTCGGAACCAAAAATCCCAAAGTTAGTATGATAGATGATCAAGGGATTCACGGACAACAGATGTGAGTTTGTATTGCCTATGCTCATTCAAATACCTATTGTGTGCTTCAAGACAACCACATCCAGGAGAAGCAAAACATTATGAAGAACTACTACTGTATTTATTGACTTCGGGTAGATTTTCAATCTTCCCATTGAATTTATCCCTTGTTATCACTGGTCTTATCATCCAAACCCCGATTCCTTAATCAGGTAGTGGCATTCATGTGTCTCCACCGCCAAAGAAGATCCCCCCTAGCTGGACTCCTAATTTGTGCAATCCGGTGCGTAATTGAACTTGGTGGCTACGGCATATGTCCATCTTTGCGGGGTTATTATACGTAAGCCTTCCATGCAGCCTTGCCGCCTAGCCGCCAGATTGAATATCTCCAGTAAAAGGGTGCTTGTGCGTTCCTTGTTCTCACGTAGCCATTGAATCAACCGGTACCGTGTTATCCCTCCTTTGCTATCAATTCAATGCATACTTATTTCTAACCCATCTATTTCGCCTTTTCAAACGGCTCATGGTCATACTCGGGCCCAGATATCATGGGTTACGATTGCGATTTGAATCTGGATTATAATCTCAAACGTTTGAAAATACCAGTAGTCAATGAGATACCTCAACCGTATCTAGTGGTGATTCGAGATAGCTTACTGACTACATACGATATAACTTTCAAGATTGATGACATGCAATAAAAGAAATCCTAGTATGTGTGTCATGTTCTGAGCCGGCACCATTTTTGAATCTTCCTGGCAATCCCGTGATAAGCGGCAAGTTCATGATTAAGCTGCAAATCAATTACAATTACTTTTCATCCGAGAATGCGTGAATGATGATCGGCGAGTTCGGGGTGGAATGCGGGAAATGCGGGAAACTCGGGGAATTCTCGCTTCGGTGAATCCCCGTGCTTAGTAGAATTTCAGTTGACTCAGACTCAAAGAATTGGTTTTCTCCTGGAGGATCAATTCTTGCATTTCCTGGTCTAGATAATTCTCTGCGCCCTTTTAATACGTTTACTTGGTATTCTTTCTGCATTTCGCAAATTTTCGAAACTGCGTTCGCCACTACTGGTATTAGCTTATGTTCTGGCCAACGGGCGTCATGTCCGCTTACTTTGGGCCATTCAAGCTGTAGAGGTCTTCCATTAGCTGCGCGATACCTTTGGCGCAGCAGCCAAAAGCCTAAGGGAATGATTTCTGAAAACTTTGCATGCCTGTTTCCTAAATACTTCCTTCGTTTGCTGATGAAGAACCCTCTGGTGAATTTGGCGGCGGGTAGTCCCGATACATTAGATCGTTGTACTCGATAGGGAAAATCGGCTCCATAGCTATATAGTGGCGGGAGCGGAACCAAAATGAGATGGAAATCGATGGATGGAATGATGTAAGAGGGAAACTCTCTCAGAGCAATAGCTAACACTAAATACTAATGCTACTACAAAGGACAAACGCAACAAAGGCCACAAAGCAGTGTGGGCTGCCTGAGCCGCAGGCCTCAGAACTATGAAACTCCAGGGAAATTAAAAGAAGTCGAAGGGAATGAAATTAAACCGTGGCAGAAAATGCGTTCGATAAAATAGTATAGTTCATTTTGACTTTGCGTTCCTGGAAAAATCTATGCACTACTAGTTACAACTTCAGACACCCTCTTTCTTCCGCCTCGCCTTTTCAGCAAGAACGGAAAGCATAATATCAGGCTCCTTAGAGTCTCCTACTCCGCGGGTCTGTCGCTCCAATATAGCAAGGGGAATGTCATTTTTCTGGCGTCGCTGCCAAAAGTCCTCGTCAAACTTCACCCTATGGCGCTCATAGCCCATATATCGATCGAGTCTTTCCCGCATACTCGAGTCGTCAGAGACTGCCACATTGGGTACTTTGCTCTTAAAGGATTGCCAATGCAGGAAAGACTTTGCAGGCAGGACCAAGAAGTCCTTGAATAACCCTGAGCCTATTTTATGCAACTTTCTTACCGCTCCACGCAGTTTCTCACTGAATGCCATGAGAAGAGATAAGCCGATGATGGCAAAGGATGCGGGTGCTTGAAGAAGGGAGTGTCAGTCCGCGTTAAATAACAATAAAGTCGAATAAAAGTCATTGCCTTACCAGCTATCTCCAGCATTGTTGCCAAAGTCAGATTGGTAGCTTCACCACTCCATTCACGGGCGTTTATACCGAACAAAGATGTGAAAAAGGACAGTGGGAGAAATCTTCCAAGGTCAGCAGTAGAACTAAATTGAACCAAAGAGACATTGTCTTACATGACAGTGAAGATGGTAAAGACCATAACGGATCTCGACTGATTCTGAGTTACCTCAGCCTGCCACCGGGCCATCTTAGCCTCGTCTACATTTGCCTGTTTTTGCTTGAGATCAAGGAGAGTTTCCACCTGACAGAGTCAGAAAAATTGACAGTCAATCACACGCCCCGGGGGTAATTAGTACGTACAGCCTTTTGCGCGGTATGACTATTTGACTTCATATCTTCAATCTGGGTGCGATATTCATCGATCCTAGACTGCGCCATGTCCAAGAATACCTTGCCGTAGGTTTTGCGGTCGAAATACTTTTTCATACTTTTTATGACAGAGTCTTGCTGTTCGAGAAGCCTCAAGATGGTCGAAAGTTCATCCTCAATATCCCGGAGCTCAAGCAGAACAGATAAATCGTCTCGGTTTCGCCGTGCGACTTGGCGGTCTCGCTGATCGCGCTGGCCTGCCGTCATTATCCTACCATCTGGATTTCTGTCGTGATCAGCTGGCCGATTCGTGAAGCCTCGATTTCGGAAACGCTTGAAAGACTTTGTGACGGATTCGGTCTGTTTTGATTAGAACTTGAAAGGCAGGCTCGGAAGTCTTTTGTAGGTGCGGTACTTACTAGTATACTGATAGATTCTTCGAAGATACGCAGCACCTGCAAGTCGTGATGAAGAGTCTTATCGAGAAGAACTGTCGTAGCGTGCAACATGATAAGAGCCGCAAGATCACCCGCTGTCTCAAATCGGCGTGCGAGATCCCCATTTAACTCATTATAAATGCTGCTATGAAGGTTCGACTGCTCGTAGAGTTTGCCTTCAGATGTTGTAGCCTCCTGATTAGGAAAGAATGTGACAACAGTCTTCCGGTCAACAATCCATATCCAAAGTTGATCGACCATCAACACATTGCCGTCCATGAACTCAGTAGGCTCGGCGTCCTCTCCATCTTCTTCTGCAGCTTCCAGATAAGCTCGAAGTTGTGCGTCAAGCCGAGCCGGCTTCCGAGTTCGTTTCCAGAGCATTTGGTCATCATCTCTAGCGACTGTAGAGCGAAGGTTAGGGTATCCGAATTGATCAAGCGTCCGTCGAAAGTGAATTGGTGGTTCACAGCCTAGATACTGCCAGATAAGTTGGGCTTCTAGACTTGACCTCGCAACTCGGCTGGGCACCGGTCGGGAACGTCCTTGTCGAAGCCGGTCTTCCACCACCTTTCGTCGCTGAATTAAGTTTCGATATGTATCCCAATGAAGCTACAGAATATTAGCAGTGTAAGCTGTTCTCGAAAGGCTGACATACATATGGAGACTAGAAAGTGCCACGTTAGTTAGGAACGAGAATGGTGATCACTATTGGACTTACATATAAAGCAAGCTGAGGATCCTCTGATTCATCAGAATCAGTTCCGTGGGAGATATCCATCTGTCTCGAATGTATGCATTGTGGTCTCACAAATCGTGCATGGGGCTCGAGGTGGCGAGCCCTGTTCAGATTCAGGTACCAATTCTCATCATTAATAAACTTTCTTACGCTGTATTTGTCATTAGCTCCGATTATTTAATTCGATGAAGCAGAATGTGCATACAAATTTGGTTCATCGCGATCTTCACATGCACGCCGGATCACTTGTGAAACCCAACCGGTATGGGTATAAGGGACGTGAATCCAGAGTAACTTTTCCGTGTCAGGTTCCGGACGGTCAAAGCGAGGAATAGAGCGGGGTATATCTGGAGCCTCTGCATCTTGGTTTATGCGGTCTCGAGTCGAGGGTGGTATGGCTAAGAAAGCCGATTGTCGCGGTGGGGATGCTGAGCTCGATGGAGGCCGAGAGCTACTTGCTTGTGAGCTACTATCAGATCTACTACGCTTATGAGCTCTAGTAAATGGGATCAACCCTAGAGCTCTGCTGATAGAGTTGCGGCGTGGGCTTTCTTCTGGCGGCGGTGAAGTTTCACTTGGCGAGCTGCCTGTGTCGAAATACCCATCCATTGCCGCCTCGGTAATATGGATAATAGGAGATTGATGTGAAGGGTCTATGAAACTTCGACTCTGTCTCATTTTCGGTCGTGGTTGTCTCACGTTGGCTTCTTGGGGAACTTGGGGCTGCTCTGTGCTTTCATGAGTCTCATCACCATCCATCTCATCCGGGCCCGGGACGATATGCGGAAATGAGTGACGGCTGTCAAAGCTACTGATGGAGGAGTCATCAAAGCCACCAGGCTGAATACGCTTCAAACGTTCTCGAAGACATGCCGACGGACCACGTGCCAGATAGTCCTCAAGAGAGACTCGTGCTGACCACATCTTGAGTGGAGTTTCATCGCTAACCCCAAGTGCCGTATCCTCGAAGAAACCATTCACCTGAACGATGACTTCCCGTTCAACGCGTAGAGGGGTATCTGGGTCCTTGGATAGTCTCACTGCTCCAGTTACCGCTTCCTTCAGTTCGCGCAGAAACGTGATGCGGGCAGCGTCCTGGCCTTGAAATTTAGCAGTCCCCGCGTGGTCTGTTGCCATAGGGATCTCGGTCTCATGTTCAATGCTCAACAACCCCGATCGAATCGATGTGATCGGAGCATGTAACTCCATATACTTGGAGGTTTCCGGGTCTTGAACACGTAGCGTAGAATCGACCGTCTCAAGGAAAGACCAAACCTTCATATCAGCAGACAGGGCTTTGAACATGTTGGAAAGGTGCCATAATCGAGCGGATCGTGGGCGAAATTGTTCCCTCAGAGACAAGGGGAGATCCCATTCGAGGTGCAGGAGTCGGCGAATACTCGGAGCATATTCATTAGCCGAGAGATAGCTCGACCCTTGATGGGGGGTTGCGAAGAAGGCGATTCCATGGCAGCTGGTGAGGATGGCCTGGTTCGGCTCGGCCCGTGAAGCTAAAGCCAGGCAAGCCTTTACCACGAGGCCACCTGTACTATGACAGATAAAAAAGATAGGTCGGCTCGGGCTGTAACTTTTGCGTTCAGTCAAAAGAGTGTTTAGTAGTCGCTGTCCCAAAGCCTCGATTTTGTCATGCTCTCGTAGCTCGCCATGGTTATACAGCAGCACCCGCGCTCTCGGCATATAACCCAAAAATCCACTTCCTAGCCATGGTGATCGCGAGCCTTGCGCCGTCCAGGATTTCTTATGATGCGCACCAATGGGTGGGACGGCGACGATGCTAAGAAGACTCAGTTAGTAGGCTGTTGTTTTCAAGTTTTGTTCCTGCGGGGAATCTTACTCAACGTTGGTCTCAGGAGTCGCAAGTATGTGATCGAAGTATGGTGGACGCGTCGGCCCCGTCGTGGACCGAGACATGGTTCATTTGAATCGCGCTCTCGACGCGAACCTAACTGAATCGTAGCTTGAAGGAAAGAAGCTCGATAGGATGGGGGCGCCTTAAAGGGGGGAAATATGGCTCTTCAGCCTCATAATCTGATCATCTGCTCGCGCCCGGTGCGCAAACCCCGGTTTGCGCCCCCCAGGTCGGCTGTGCGCGCCGATCATGAGTCAGTGCACATCGTATAAACGGGATAGGTCGGGTGTTTCTTGTGTCTTATTCTCCAGTTTGATTATTTGATTCTCACTGCCATCGAGTCTCGGGAGGAACAGGATGTTTCGGAAAGTGCTCTCTCTGTTTGCTAGAATAGATCAGTCGTCAAGAAAAGAAGTTGGAAAGCAAAGAGCATGTCTTTTTTGCTTGGAGTTCGGTGATTCTCATGATTCTGCGGGGCAGCTAAGCCTTCTTGAAATAGTTAGCTGTAGAGGTATAGCATGCTCTAAACTTACGATTGCGTGACCTCGACTTTGAGCAAACTATATGGAAGAGCGAAGTGTAGAGATATTGGAGAGTAGTTGTATTTTTGTAGTAGATTATTCACGAACACCACATGTACAGCAAGGGGGGGTGCTTTTGATCCCAAAAATCACTCCACCGGTGTCCTTGGAAGAGAGACGAAGAAAAAAAACCACCAAATGCAAGTTCTATAGTTCAGTCGATGCAGTATCATCAAAATGCGAACGCCGAAGACAGAACAAAACGAGGCAAAACAAGAGCTGTGAGAGAGCGTTCAATGGTCGAGCGCATGCATTATAAAATTACAGAGAGGAGATAAGGGGCGATAGGATTAGGAGTCTTCGGGGTGTCGTCGCTCGTTGACATCACGAGCCATGCGTTTTCCGAGCTCATATGTCGATATCATGATAGCGCAGGCGGGCGCCACTTTCAAGCAGCGGGCTGCCCATCCACTGAAGAGTCCGGCGAGGCCTTCCTCGCGGAATATGTGCATGAGAAACTTGGGTAGAGAGAGCTGTTCCGGGACAATAGCCTTCGGAATGAGAGTGGATCGGGGGGAGGGAGAGATATGGTCATCCATATGCCGGAAAACTTGTTGCCGTGTCTTTCCAACATCAAAAGGCGTTGTTACCAGCGCCGCTACTGATCCTGAAGTGGCACCGGCAATGAAGCTATCGACAAAGGCAGTCGCGGTCGAGACGTGCTCTGCCTCAGAGCCAGAAAGATGAGGGGCGCTTTGCCGCGCTCCTTCCAGGCCTTCCTTGACCTTCTCATAACCCCACCAGTAGAGGCCCGAGAAGGGCACATCGCGCCACATGGTAAGGGACAGACCTCGCCAGAGAGATGTATATCCTTTCACCTGGGTCATTTGGTACAAGCCTTCTAATGTTTCCTTGAAGTGTCCAGCGCCAGTTCCCGGCGTGGCTTGGAGACGAGTCCTGAACATTTCCACGGGACTTGTGGCTGATGCAGCCGCTGTTCGAGCTATCGCGCCAGCGACAAATGGCGCATAAACATCCGAAACGCGTTGCTTAATAGGACTCCGCTCGTCGGTACGTAGCCAATCATACCCAGCGAAGTAGATAATGTTTGCCGGAATGCCCATCATCAGAGTTGGGCTGAGACCTCGCCACAGGGCAACCATGCCCTCGTTGCGGGCGATTTTGCGCAGTCCATCGAAAGTTGATGTGAATGTCCGCCTTTGTGTTTCCTCGACGGCGCAATCCATGGCCTGGGCGCTGAGTGCCCCGCCCTGCGGACCCAGCATACACATTTGCGCATTCTCTCCAACCCAGAAGACCTCTCGGCAGCAGGCCGTTATTCCAATGTTCGGGGGAAGATTCTTCAGCGTTGAGGTGGTATATTGGGATGGGTTGACGCTCTTAACGGCTTGAGACTGTAAACGGACGCGAACGACATCGAGAGGAGTGACTGATTAGGGGTCAGTGAAAAGCCTCGGAGGAAAGTATCGCGATCGCGATCGGGAAAATGCAGACTCACCGAGCAGACCGGTTAATATGTTGCCCGCGGATGCAGATATCATGCGCTGGCTAGCTGAAATACCACCATTTGAAGAAGAGGCATTTGCAGGAGGCACGGAGCCATTCCCTGCTGTCGCCGCCATTGTTGAAGGGTCGTCAAAATGCGACGTCCATAACGCCCCCGCAGAGGAATCTATCTCGGGCCGGTTCCGAAGATGAGGTCCAGGGCCAGCTTGGGAACGTGTAGAAGACGAGATATCCAGCCCGACTGGCATTCGATCAGACAAAGCCGATCGTGAGATCGTGAGATCGAGAGAGGTTTGGGGTAGTACAGAGATGGGAGATGGGCGATGAAGAGGGAAGAGTGCGTCACCGGGAAGTTTTTCGGGGATTGGCGGGTGGCGGAGGACGAAGGGCGGAGGGCGGAGGCCGGAGGAGATAAGCCGGGATGTTCTGATACTCTCCAACTCTTCCCTTTCACACTTCACACTTCACACTTCACCAAGCTCAAGCAATCACAACTGAGATATTCAGAGTCAATGGCGCTCGGAAATCCTTTGATCGCTCTTTCTTAATTGTTTTATCCCTTCGATCTGGTGGATCCCTCGAGGGGCTTATCTGTCTAATCGATCTCCGACACCGGACATCGGGTCCCCCGCCATGACAGACAACGCGGAGCTTGAGTCGTTTCGTCGCGAGTGGCGCGAGGAGGTTTCTCGTCGATCAAAGCCAAGGTCTCAACCTACCACCCAGTCCACTCAATCCACCCAGTCCACTGCGCCCACTGCGTCCGCCCCTCCATCCGCTGCGCCCGCCCCATCCCGACTGCCTCCGTACCATGAAGCTTCTCACCACAAAGATTTGGAGGAAGAGGCGGAGGGGGAAGAGGAAGATGGACCCCCATCGGCTGCATTCGATCCGGATGGGCTGGCACAGCAGGTCGGAGAGCTGAGTGTGAACTCAAGAAAGAAAGCGGAGGAAGATATCTTCACCCGAGGGGTGGAGGAGGAGCCCAACTCAGCCTTGGAGCACTTCGAGCGGGCGGTTGAGAAGGAGGCTGCAGGCAATCTTGGCGACAGCCTCCAGCACTACCGCCGGGCATACCGAGTGAGTCGAGCTGGAGGGGTGGGCTCAGGCGTGATCCATCCTATATATACTAATGCCTTGATCAGCTCGACTCAGCCGTCGATAAGACCTACCGCAATAAGCACTATTCCCATGTGTGGAAGAAGCCCGCTCAACCCCCTCCCAACGAGTCAGCTGCAGTGCCCGTGACGGCCCCAGCGCCTGCTGCTGCTGCTTCTGCTGCTGCTGACGCCGAGAACCTTTCTACTGCCGAACTGATCGCTTCATTTGCTCATCTACCCATTCCGCAAGCCGAACCCTTGGTAGAAAACACGCCTCCGCCTCCATGTCCTATCGCGAAGGTCCCCTCGGAGGTATTGATCGAGATACTAAGACATGTTGCTGTGCGCGACCCTGCGACCTTCGGGCGAATGGCTTTGGTGTGTAAGCAATTTGCTTATCACTTCGCGCACCAACAAAATATCTGGAAACATCTCTGCCAGCGGCCCGAGTTTGGCTTCGACGGGATGCAGTATGCATTCTCTTGCGATACTCTTGGACAGCCCATATACACCCTCAGTGGACAACGCTACACACCTTTCCCGATAGGGGCCTCTTTGGATATCCCGCAACCGCTATCCTCCTGGAGCCAGGTGTTCCAGTCCTACCCACGAATCCGGTTCACGGGTATATACATTAGCACGGTCAACTATATGCGACCCGGAGCGGCCTCGGTCTTCCAGACCGTCTCATGGAGTAGTCCCATCCATATTGTGACGTACTATCGCTACCTACGCTTCTATCCAGACGGATCAGTGGTCTCACTACTCACGACAACTGAACCAGTGGATGTCGTACCGCACATCAGTAAAGAGAACATGATGGCGGCGAGGGCTATCAAAAAGGGTGGCCACCATCTACGGGCCTCCGAGATTGCCAAGACTCAACCCGAAACAGCCGACTATGTTCCTCCAGTTGCCATGGATGCGCTGAAATACTGCCTTCGTGGGCGCTGGCGTCTGACACCTCCAGTTCCTCCCGAGGATGGTCCTGAGGAAACAGAGTTCTCCCCCAGACCGGGCCAGGAACCTACATCAATTGATCCTCGCAATCTCGTCATTGAGACGGAGGGGCCGGCCTCACACTACGTCTACATGATGCATCTGTCACTGCGATCGCCGACAGCATCTAAGTCGCACGTGAACCCGTCGAAGAATACCAAACTTGTTTGGCAGGGATTTTGGAGCTACAATACGATTACTGACGATATAGGCGAGTTCACTCTTCGTAATGACCGGCCATTTGTGTTTCGCCGAGTTAGGGGCTGGGGGCTGTATTAAATTATGACTGATGATTTCTACGTACAACGAAAATAGGTTCTGGCGGATACATACACCAGAATACAGAGAATAGATTACTTTACTTAAAGGTATTCCTGCAAGCCAAGTGCCTCGTTGAAGCAATGTCGGCGAAGTTTTATCGTATCACCTCTCATACCATCTTCAACAAAAGTTTCAAAGTTCTCAAGGCTATGGTTCGGATTAAATAAAACAGGCTAAGTATTCACATGGTGCAAAAGGGAAAAGGGATATATACACAAAATAACATCGAAAGAAAGAAAAAAGTCTGTCTAGGCACGGATCCATCTAAGTGCGCCAATTGATAATCTGTTCCTCATCATCGTCAACAATAACAACCATCCACACACCAACCTCACCATTACTCGCATACAAAGGTGTACAGTGAACCCAGCGATTACGGCCCTCGGTGCTGAACCGCGTAACCCACTTGATTCGTGCTGTCACACTGCGCCCTTGCTCCATCGCTTGTACGAGTTCATCTTTGACTGCGTTCGAACTACCGATTCGAGAGAGGAAGGACGACTGGAGCATGCCGGGGATTTGGAGAGAGGGTGATGTGAAGAGGACTTTTAAGGAAGGGTAGGGTCGGACGAGGAGGTACTGTTCAAGATAAGAGCTGTTAGCAAACTGTTCATCGACATCTTGGGCATGGTAGATAGGGAGAGAGACAAAGAAAGACTTACATTCTCATAAACACCAGTCAAAGACCCACGCAGTAATGGCGACTTGAGATCTCGAAGACGAATTGCCTCCGACTCACTATCAAGCGAGCCACCACGCTGTAACCACTGTCGTCCCCCGCGCACAGAAGTTCTGTTATTCATCGGTTGGAAGAGATCGCCGCCATGCTCCTGTACAGCGTTGAGCTCACGCGGACTGAATAATTCGCACATTTCTTGAAACTCGTCCTTGTGTTTCTTAGCTGGCAGTTCAGCCACGCTTTCCTCTTCTGGGTCTCTGTAGCGGGATTGCAGTTCGATCAGTGACTCCATCTGTGCACCATCTAGGGCGAGACCTGAGACATCGATTTGTGCGCCGATGAAATACTTCACGCGGCCTTTGCTGTCGCAGAGAGGGGCGCATTGGAGGAGATTCATGAATGGAGAACCATCTCGGCGACTGGTGAATGAGTTAGCTTTGACCTTCTGTAGATATGACACGGGCTGACACGGGCTGACATACTAGTTGAGGAAAAGTTCAGAATGATGTCGGCAATCTCGAAGAGCCTCTCTGATTCTCCGAACACTATTAGGGTTTGTCTTCGGACCCTGGAGGAAACGGCAGTTTCGTCCGAGGACATAATCCATGCCGTACTGCGTTGTGCGATGGAATTCTGTAATGGTGAGAATTTGCCGGTGACGAATCAAAGAATAAAGCTGAGGACATACCTTCTGATGCAAAAATAATAGGATTATCTGGTCTAGACGGATCAGTCAAACAGAAGACTTCCGCCAGCGCGTTCGACGTCTCGCGAAACTTCAGTGGCAATGTGCCACGCACTCGCTCTTCAACAATCTTGCTGGTAATGGTGATACATCTCGAAGTGATGAATGCAGGAAGTTCCTCTGCCGTCAACGCTCTAAGCGCATCTGCGACTCGTTGTTCGAGAACCTTATTGACAGTGGTACCGACAGCTTCATTCGATTCCTGGACGATCTGTACAGCTGGGGGTGGAATATCGGTGGACAAACGCACGAGCGCATTGGCATATTCAATCGCTTTGAGCGCCTTGGCTGCATTGAGGAAGTATGTAAGGGTGGAAATGGAGCGGGGACGCTCTTCGAGTAAGAATTCGCGAAATCGCACGAGATACCGTGGGTTATTCAAAATGGATAACATATGCTCCGCTCCAAACATGACGTCTGTGAGACGTTCAAGCTTGTGTAGAGGCGCATCGACACCGTCCCATGGTGCGATTAGGTCGTAGCAAGCTCCTTCTTCATTAATGGGGTTGAATTCTTCTGCGCCGTCATGAGGATTGAGCTCCTGGAGGAGGGGATAGTCGTTATCTGTAGTGACCAGTTCACTGGCTGTGATATGTCGACGCAGGTTCTTTACTGATGTTTTGGGAGTAGGATTTATTTCCTCTTCAACGATTGCGTCAAGGTTCTTCCCGTTCAAGTTCCCAGATCGACTTGGCGGCCGAGGAAAGTCGTCGAGAAGTTGCTCATCATGTCTAGTCTCATTAGCTCCTGTGCTCTCTATTATCTTCTTCCCTTATTCCATGCTAACCCACCGTGAAGTCCTTCCAGATTCTGACACCCATTCGTGATACTCGTCAGGCAAACTCTCTGAAAACGAACGCAGCGATTCGGCATCGAGGCTGGTCAATCCTTCGTTCAAATCCGTGCGATCCATACTTGAGTAAAGGAAAAAAGCCGGAAGAACAAAGCAAAGAAAGAGACAATGCGACCTGCAGCACACACGCAAAAGAAATGGAGGGTAAAAGCTGGGGAAGGGCTCACCTCACCGTATTTAATAGATCTCCCACCTCCCACATCAGCTTACGACCAATGGAACTGTCTCGGATTGATGCATCAAGTGATCGACGAAATTTACTAGGACTTTTGCTAAATTTTTTTATCCTCTGCATTTTTACCGGAGAACCATGCGATTGTGGGCAAGAAAAAAAGAAACAAAGAGTGTAGAAATAGGTAGGTCACAAACGGACCTCACGATCGAACGCTCGATCGATGTGGGTCGCGGCAAACACCCCACGAGATCGGGGCCGATCCCAGACCGGTGATGCAATGGCGCAGGGGCGGAATCTGTCAAGCTGTTGGCGTGAAGAGGACTCGGTGATCAGCGGCAAGTCTATTGATTTTTGCGTTCGCGGATGGGACTTAAGGTGTTCCCTGTCGTAGCGCCGCATCAAAGCTGATTGGGTTCCTCTGTTTTGGGCCGTTTGGATTTGATACATCCATTACGCTGGAAGGCAGCCATGCGGCGAACCCGGGGCTTACTTTGATTATCGGTAGCAGTGGGGACACAAGGCTTGCAATAAATCTGTAAATGGTAAACGGTGGATGGTATACATTGCGTCGCGTCGTGTCATTGACCATATGGTCGGCAGGTAAACCCCTTCGCTCAGATAAGATCGTCCTTTTCACTGTGATCTGACCGCAGTGTGGTCCAGATCGCCCTCTAACTACTCCCGACGGCCTGGGAAGCTGGCGCCCTTTCTCATATTCTGTGTACTAACCAAATTGACAGTCTCTTTATTGCCTTCCAGCCTCGAGCTGAAAGGTTGTGGCGTGGTGATCTTCTCGAATCTGCCCTGTCAATCTGCTCAATAAGACCGTATATTGGACTATCCTGGTAGGTCTAGTGTACTCCGTAACTCTATTTGTACTCTATACCTATATCACTCCCCTTTTTCCTCCGTCCTGACAGGTAATCTCGCTTGGTGCTCCAACGTCTCAATCGCCTGGATTGCCGTCCTTGAGCCTCGATGGTGCGCATTTATTCTTCCTTATGTCGAGTGAGCTAACTCAAATGGTTTGGAGCTGAGCCCAGCCATCTAAATACAGTATATTAATATGCTCGAGCTTTCAAAGCTCTTCATCATAAAAAATGCTACTTCCGTCAAGGAATTAGTTATAACCTTTCCAAAATCGGGTTGGAGATTATCCTCGGTACACATCAGATAACACATAATAGAACGATTGAGATATTTGGATGACTCTATATGAAAGTTAATCGCTCCACCGAAGTGTCCTAGCACTAAGTCGTCAGTGCTGTTAGCATCGCAGCACCTAGGGATGTCAGGTCGAAACTCTATCTGAGTACCGTTGTCTTCATTCCTTCTTGCGTATGAATCATTATAAAGTCGGGGGCTTGAAATGCTCGTCCACCGGGTGGCTGCAGTACATTGTTTTCTCAATCGATCTCAGATGCCAAATCGGGCCACTGGCAGCCACCCACGAGCCATAGAACCATGACTCTTGGTTCAATGTGGGAAACCCCATTTTCTATGATAGCAGCATAGTGAATTTTTTTTTCGATATCCTTATATATAATATGTTAGGCCTAGGGTTTGAAGCCATGGATAATATATTGTGTTAGCTATTTTGATGTATCTATTCCAAGTTGGAGATGATACTAGTAATATTAGTAGTACTGCCCAGGTGTGCAGTGATAGTATTAGTTGGCAAACTGGCAATTTCTGGTACTTTCAGGCGTTAGACAGTCCGAAAGGGCTATTCAATCTTTTCAATCAGCATTTTCATAATTATCTTTGCGTCAGTTCATGGTGTTAGCTCGGAGTTCTCGCGAGGGTTGTCAGAATACTGGGCTGTTGACACGGAGAACGTTACAACGGCCAAGTTCCGAGATAAGGAGGAGTATGAGAAGATACTATGTAAGCATTTTGACGACGCTGCTGATCATACTTGAACACGAGACTTTGTATATTGATATATATCTTCGTTGCTTGTAAATCAACTGGCAGTGTTGGTATGTAGTCTGTAGTACTAAGTTTATGGCCGCCCCGCAATGTTTTCCATGGGTGAGGGTGCCAAGCCTTCCTTATCGATAACAACGGAAATTTGGATTTTTCGATCTCCAACTGTTTCCAACTTGAACCTTTGCCAATTATTCACACCAACAATGCCGGAGCGGCTGAAGACATACTTCGGCGACGCCGACAACGAGCCTGCCCAGCAGGTCTCAAAGGCTGTCCCCGACCCCGCGCCCGAGGAGGCCGACCGGAAGAAAAAGCGCAGCAAGCGGAAGCGCGATCAACCCTCCGACGAACACTCACCGCGCAACGAGTCAATTCACAAAGAACCCGTTAAAGCCCCTTCGCCAGTGGTTGATAATGTCGCATCAGAGCCAGCGGAAGCCAACGGCGACATGATCCAGCAAGAACTACCCAGCAAATCCCAACAAAAGCCTAAATCAACATACCAGTCCAAACCCAAGACCTTCGATTCCAAGACGAATTTCTCCTCCCTCCGCGAGAAGGCAGCTACCCTTTACGAACAACGCAAGAAACTCCCCATTTTTGGCCATGCCGACGAGATACGGCAGAAGCTCCGGGATCAAGATGTGATGCTGCTGGTCGGTGAAACGGGTAGCGGAAAGAGTACGCAGATCCCGCAGTTCTTGGTCAATGAGTTTTGGTGTCGACCGACCGATACGAAAATTACAAAGAAGGATGGTTCGGAGAGATCAGTTAAGGTTGGTGGCTGCATCGCTATCACGCAGCCTCGTCGAGTCGCTGCCATCACGCTTGCCCGCCGTGTCGCCGAGGAAATGGGGACACCGCTTGGCTCATCATCGCCGGCAAGCAAGGTTGGATATTCGGTACGATTCGATACGTCGACTTCGCCGAGTACCCGGGTCAAGTTTTTGACAGAGGGAATGCTGCTACAGGAGATGCTCCACGACCCGTGGCTCACCAAGTACAGCGCGATCGTGGTTGACGAGGTCCACGAACGAGGTGTGAATGTCGATCTGGTGACTGGATTTTTGCGCAATTTGGTATCCGGAGACAAAGAGGGCAGAGGTGGTGTGCCGCTCAAGGTGGTGGTTATGAGTGCTACGGCAGATATGGAAAGTCTCCAGGGCTTCTTCCAAGAAGGCTTCAAGTTGGAAGTGGAGGAACAAAAGCGCATACAGAACGGGTTCGCGAAGGCTGAGAAGGAAGACGAGAAGATCAAAGATATTTCGGTTTGTCATATCAAGGGTCGCCAATTTCCCGTCAAAACAATCTACTCTCCCGAGCCCGTGCATGATTTCGTGGACGCCGCTCTTAAAGTGATCTTCCAGATCCACTACAAGGAGCCCATGCCTGGTGACATTTTGGTCTTCCTGACTGGTCAAGAAACCGTCGAGGCCCTCGAACATTTGGTCAATGAATACGCTATTGGCATGGATCCGGGTCTACCCAAGATCCTGGTTCTTCCACTCTTTGCAGCTCTCCCCCAAGCTGCTCAACAGCGAGTGTTCATGCCCGCACCACCTCGCACACGAAAGATTGTGCTCTCGACTAACATCGCTGAGACTTCCGTCACTGTTTCGGGGGTGCGATTTGTGGTGGATTGCGGAAAGGCAAAGGTTAAGCAATTCCGGTCGCGACTGGGACTGGACTCTTTGCTGGTGAAGCCGATTTCCAAATCCGCAGCCATACAGCGAAAGGGTCGTGCGGGTCGTGAAGCCGCCGGCCAGTGTTTCCGTCTATATACTGAAAAGGACTATCTGACCCTCGACGAAACGAATACCCCCGAAATCCTGCGATGCGATCTGAGCCAGGCGCTCCTGAACATGAAAGCGCGAGGTGTCGACGACATTGTCCGCTTCCCCTTTCTCACTCGCCCACCGCGCGAGACACTTGAGAAAGCTCTCCTCCAACTCCTCAATATCCAAGCCCTCGATGACACTGGCTCGATTAGCAAGATTGGCCAACACATCGCCAAGTTGCCGCTGACACCGACGCTGGGTCGTGTACTTCTTGCGGCAGCGGAACATGGCAGCGATTGCCTGACAGATGTCATCGACATCATCTCATGTCTCAGTGTGGAGAATATCTTCCTAAACGCTAACTCGGAAGAAAAGAAGGAAGCCGCCGAGACGGCCCGACGCGATCTTTACCGACGCGAGGGTGATCATCTGACAATGTTAGCGACAGTGCGTGCCTACGCAGCCGAGAACGCTGACCGGAAAGCGTGGGCAGAGCGGCATCTGGTCTCGCATCGGGCGATGCAGTCTGTCATGGTATGTTTTCTTTCCTTTGTCCTTTGTTGATTGATGGATGGCTTGACATCGAAAGGAAAGAGTCGACGCTAACCCGACCACTTAGGACGTCCGCAAGCAACTGCGCACGCAATGCCGACAGGCCAAAATGCTGCCGGCCGACCAAAGAAATGACCACTTCCCGGACCCCTCGCCGATTCTCATTCTGCAAAGCTTCCTTGGTGGCTTTGCGACCAACACTGCTCGCCTGGTGCCGGATGGCAGCTATCGGACGGTAGTTGGCAACCAGACCGTTGCGATTCACCCATCTAGTGTACTATTTGGCAAGAAGGTAGAGGCGATTATGTATAACGAGTTTGTTTTTACGAATCGCACCTACGCACGCGGAGTTAGCGCCGTGCAGATGGATTGGGTTGGGGAGGCCTTGGCTGCCAGTGGTTGAAGTCCATGGCCAGGCCACTTTGGTCAAGTTGTCTATAGGAGAAGTAGCAGTATATACCCCGATGAGTTAACGAGTGCCTATATTCCATCAAATCTACACATCATAGCCCTAGACGATACCCTAACTAAGTCTGTTTGTTCCTGGGATCTGAGCGTAGTCCACCTTGCATCCTCCTCCAGCCCCAACAGGAGGCAAACGGGGAAACGTCGGTCAACGTCGGTCAGGATGAAACGATCGACATACTTGGTCGATCCGTCGCCACAATCTCTCCACGTCAGACTTGTCTAGTCCCAAATGGGTTGTGCGCAGGGCAGCGAGGCCATCACACGCGAGCAGTCACATTGGGGCCAGGGGTGTTCCTCGCGTTATCAGGCTGAGATGATGATATCTTTTATTTTATTTCCCCCTTCAGGTCTGTAAACAGCCCAACAAGTATTCAAACAATCCGCACTATCGTGACTAGACTCTACAGTTGTACCCTGTTGTACTGCAGTGGTCCGATACCGCGTCTTGCATCATCCGGGACTCCACCAGGGCCACCTTCCTATAGGAACCTCCAGGAACCTCCACTCTTTCTTATCAACGCATCATCCTCCAACCTTGCGAGTTTATTTCCCTCCATTCTCCCCTGTTTCCTTGTATACTTTCCCAACCCTTTACTTTTACCCTTACCACCCTTCTCTCTGCACTTATTCAACCCTTCTACTTGACCGATCCTCCGCTTCTGACCGCCCGTGCGGTCTTTCATAGCGGGGATCTCCCACGTCATTCATCTTGGTCCTACGGTTATCTGGCCCTAAAGCTCGGTCTGATCCTCCATATCGATCACCATGGCCTTCCGCGTTCCAGCGCAGGCGCCGCGACGACGGACATCCTACTCAACCCCCCCAGCGCCCGACTCCTCTCGATATCCCTCCCTCCCCAACTGAGCAGCAAGAGGAAGATACAGCACAATGGGTTCTGTTCTCGCCGACCGCTCGCACTCACACGACATCCACAGATAGAACACGCACACATCTAAGTGACTTCGACTCCCTGGGTACTGCAACGCAATCCGCTGCGGGTCCAGAGATTGACGCCCAGGGAGACGAGGCTCTAGATGACCAGCTCGACGAGGATGGTACCGAGCTGGACAGCTTGGATGATGGGCTGCATGCTTTCCGCGCCCCATCTTTGTCCCCCACATCCCCCGCACGGGTGGATCAAGGGCAGCCGGCTCTCCTCCCGGCCCATGATGGTCTGGGGAGCTTCCAGGCTTCGAGCCAGTTAGCCCAAGACCAACTGTGGCAGCATGAGCAGTATAATCCACACCGACGGCAATCCTCTCGACCTCATCGTCATTCCAGTGTTCAGCGACACCTCGATACTGTCGATGAAGGGGTAGCGGATGTCGAGCGTGATCGATGGCAGCGCATCGAGGAGTGGCGGATGGATCAGAGTCGGGCCCTGCTGCAGGAGATTCAGCGGGAGACCCGTCGACGCCGGGGCAGCCGGGCCTCGCAATTTAGCATTCCGCGGTCCGTGGAGGATCTCTCACCTGCCCGAATCGTGGAGGCCCATTCAGAGGTGATCTCCTCATCTCAGGCAGATGAGGAGGTCAATGATATCAAGGATATCAAGGAAATTGATGAGTCGTTCTGGCGTCGCATCACAAGAAGAGTCATTCGAGACCTCATCGGTATCGATGACGAGCTATTGAGCGTCATTTTCGGGGAATCCCTACCGCAAGACGACCAAGCCTCCTCTAAACACTCAGAAGAGCTGGATATGGAAACTGTGCTAGCTCGTGAGGCAGAACCGGAGCACGCAGACTCACCTCTCTGGCAGAGCCATGTCTTGCAACGCATCACCCGCGAGCTGGGTATGCTAGTCCACCAGCTCTGCGAGCACCCGGGAGCATTCACAAGCTATTACCAAATGACGAAGAGCATCTCCAGTGAATATGCAGGCATGTCACTAGATAGGCTCGCCGAGAGCAGCGCCGCCCAACGAAACACCCAGTCCACTGTCCAGCTCTCTACCGAACCCACCACATCAGACTCTATGCCATCACCACACTTCATCCCAACGCTCCGCGACGCAAATCGCGAGCACGAAGCGCACTGGGGAATCGAAGACGACGACCCAGCAGGTCCAGGCGCAGACCCCGTATCCGAATCAACCCGCATCCACCAGGAACAAGAGTACTGGGAGCGCGGCCTAGATGTCATGATGGTTTTCCGCTACCTTCGCACACGCTTTAGTCGTCGTGGCTACATGCCAAACGACAAGTACACGCCGACTCAACCTCCCCGCCACACGCAAGACGCCTCCCGTCGCGCTGCCATGATCCGCCAACATCACCCGCTCGTGGCTCGCGCCCATTCACGTTCTCAAAATCAGCCGCGCCGTGCATCTCAGTATTCCGGTATCTCTGGGCCTGCGGGTGTCTCGTCGCCTCTTCTTCGCCCGCATATGAGGAGGCCGAGTTCTAGCTGTGCAAGCCAGAGTGCCAAACTCTCTGCTTTATCCAGTCGGCGCACGCTGACGGGGTCTAGCCGGAACTATTGGGATATCGGTGGGAGCGTGGATAGTGGCAGTGCGATTGGGATTGGGGTTGGAGCTGGACTTGGGACGTGGGGTGAAGTATGATGAGCCCAACTTACCTCAGTATCTCATTAGCAACACCTCGAACCGTACTATTGGGTTGGTGTTTATGGCATTGGAATTTTACATATAATCTGAAGAAACGACATTTTGACGGCGACGATGGATGAACATTTTTTGATAATTTTTTGATAATCTGTTTTTTGCATGGCTTTGTTTATACCTGAGTTTGGCGTCTGTATGTTCATGTTCATGTCCGGGCTTGGTACTCTCATCTCTGTTTTATACTCATCTTGTCAACCATTTTGGAACCCATCACTGGATACAATCATATAAATGCATACACAAATGACTCCCAGATCCCCCTTTTGGTTGGGAAGTCCCTTCAAGTTGGAGCTTGAGTCTTATCATATGGGCAAAAAAAGCAGATACTAAAGCATAGCAATAGTGCTAGTTACTAGTCACTAGTACTTCTCAACCTCAGCCCCCCCAAGCGACCTTCTCATCAAACTTACCCAACCCTTTCCCCCGCGGCGAATTCTCATCAAAATCAAACCGATCCGGAACCTCAAGTCCACCCTCAAAATGATGTCTAACAAGCAACATCGACACCCCATCCCGATACAACCAAGGATCCTCCGTCCTGCGCTGCCACGCCTCAACCTGCTCCCGCATATCATCCAAAACGCCCGCGTACTCCGGATCCTTAGCAAGATTCCGCACCTCATGCGGATCAGCAAGAACATCATACAATTCCTCCGCAGGACGAAAGAAATAATCCTTCAAAGGCCGCGAACCAATCATCTTGGCGTCCGAATTACGAATATCCTCCCAAGTCAACGAGCCGTAGATATCGGCCGCAAAAGGGAAATCCAATCGCCAGGCGATATTGCGGTGATATTTGAATCGGTCATTGCGCATGAAGCGTGTTGGCCAGTAGTTTGTTATTTCGTGGAAGGTGTGTGAGCCGAAGACTCGCTTCCATGAATCTTGGAGTGAGGACTGCGAAAGGATGGGTAGGAGGGAGCGGCCTACTCGAGTTGGGTGGGGATTGGCATCCGTTGGTGCTGACGGGTGCGAAGACCAGTCTAGTATAGTTGGTAGAATATCGACGTAGGAGACCATATTCGGGTTTTGGATTGAGGGTGGTGATCCGGGACATTTCATTAGGGAGGGGAGACAAACGCCTGCGTCGTAGAGGGTTGTTTTGGAATTGATGAACGGAGGCCCGTTATCGCTCATGAAGATGATCAGCGTGTCGTCTGCTAATCCGTTCTTTTTCAGTTCGCCCAGTACCATGCCCACGCCTTGATCCAGTCGTGAAATGGACTGGTAGTATTCTGCGAACTCGAATCGGACGCCGGGAAGGTCGTTCACGAATGGTTCGACAGCGACGTCTTCACTCGTGTAGGGGGGTTTTCTTCACGCGCGGGTCATAGTCTTCCGTATTACCGAAGCCCGAGCGTGTGAGGTCTCGGTGCGGATCGATGTATCCGATTGTCAGGAAGAAGGGTTTCTCGTCCTTCTTGCAGTCTTGGAAGAAGGCGGAGGCTTGGTCTGCTACTTTGGCGACGTCGCGGCTGTCACTCTCCGCGCGCATATCCCATGGATAGACGGACGAGGGACCGACATGGACTTTGCCGATCAGACCGGTTGTATAGCCGTGCTGTGAGAACAGAGCTGGTGCCGTCTCGACGTGGTCGAAGGTCGTGAAGTGATGTCTACCATTGTGCAGTCCATACTGGCCGTTCTGGTGGGTGTGCAGTCCGGTGTAAATGACCGAGCGACTGGCGCTGCAGGAGGCGGTGCTGGTATACGCCTGGTCGAATCTTGTTCCTTCGGCGGCGAGTTGGTCCAGGTTGGGCGTTTGGATCTTGGTGTTTCCATAGCAGCCCAGTTGCTTGCCTAGGTCGTCGGCGACCATGAGGAGGATGTTTCGCTTCGCCATATTGGTGGGAATGGTGTGCTCTGAGTGAAATTGATGAATTTTCTTGCAAGAGGCCAATCACACGTGTTATATGCGATTGATTTTATGCTAGAATTATAGACTGGGCTTCTGCCCGACGTTTCTTATCTATGATGTTGGTGCTGCCGGGTGTCGGCTATAGAGACGCGCATGGGACAGGCATGGATGTCGGTTCGGATGTCGGGGTTTGGCGTATTTTGTGGGGTTGATTATGCTTTGCGCCATCTTGTGACTTTATTTCGCGATATAATCTTAGTCAATAATTGTGGAAGAGGCATGTGGCCCCGAATGGTTGCTTTGAGTGGCGGGGTGGTAGACAGATGTCTGTCCTTGTCGGGAAATGCCAGTGGATACCAAAAGACTTGTAGATTGGGACCCTCTCCACGCGAACTCCGAAGTGAGATGTCGAAACGGAGTGACAGCCATTTATGTATGATTAAATCATCAAGAAGGGGTTTGACTTAGTGATAAAACCCGTGTGTTTTATATTATACCGTTTTTGAATACGCAAATGCATAGTAGGCGTGGGGAGGTTACATCCATCAGTTGCCTAATGACTCAAATACAGTGATAACTTGGCTAGGACCTTGAAGTGTTCGATGAAAATATATTTGTGATTATTAAGTACTAGCTGCAATATTCTGGGTTTGAATGGATCAAAATCAAATGTACCTATTATACAGTTGAAGACTTTTCAGCCTCGACATGATTGATATCGACCTTCCCAGCATCGAGATCTTCCTTCGCTTGCTCAATATCAGCCACAAAACGGCTAGGCTCCTTCTTAGCCTTGAAGGCCCAGATACTTTGATTGTTGAAAACGTCGTCAATTTCTTCTAAAGACTTGCCACATGTTTCCTGGAAAAGGAGAAAGACGTGCAAGGCGGCAAGAAGGCAGAAGGTGCCGAAGATACAATATAGCTGTATGCTGTTAGAGATGTTATGAGAATGTATGAACCAATTCGAGAGATTACCTTCCACTGGATGTTTTGAAACCCAGGCGGGGTAAAAAACGTGAGGGCGAAGTTGCATCCCCAGTTGAAAAAGGTGGCAAGAGAGACAGCCTTGCTACGAATGTAGAGGGGAATGATTTCCGGAGGGTAAGCCCTGTATTAAGACTGGGTCAATATTTGAGTTAAGAAAACGTGGGACTTTGTCTTGAGATTCACGAACCACCCGAGTGGACTAGAGTTGAGATCTGTTAGCTTGTGCGATATTGAAAGTATTGGCCGAGGAGACTGACCCCCATGTGGGCGCATATGTTGCAATGAACAAGTATGAACAAGCAATGAGCGCCTTCGACGCCTTCGGATTCGTGACTTTCCAGGTGACAGTAGGCGACCCAGGCAAGCCACCTGGAACATAGTGGCCATAGGTGGCCATGATACCAGCCTGTGTGAACTGAAAGACAGCCATACCAAGGGCCCCAAAGATAAACAGCTGGCGGCGAGGAAGCTTGTCGATGAAGATCAGGGCCGGTAATGTCATGACAACATTAATAATATACTGGATAGAGGCGGAGATGAGAGTTTTGTTTCCAGATAAACCAGCCATCTTGTCTTTATTAGTCGAGATTCAAAATGCGGGGATCTTTTGAACTTACCTGGAAGATATAAACGATGTAGTACATCAGAGCGTTGGTGCCCGACAATTGGGACCATACGTGGGTGAAAATGCCACAGTGAACACGAATGATGTTGCGAGAGTTGAACAGCTCCATCCAGGACGTGCTCTGGTATTTCTTTTCCGCGCTATGAGAGAAAACCAATCAGTGCTGAGAAGGATATGCAAGAGGGAGACGTAGGGGGCTGACTCAATCTTCTCCCGAATCTCGGTAGTTTGTGCAATGACGATAGGGTCTAAAGTATTTCCCTTGGCGTGTAGCCTGGCAAGAACCTCGACTGCTTCCTCCCATCGATCTTGTGCCGCTAACCAACGAGGGGACCGCGGCATCAAGGGAAGGCAAAATAGTAGCAGGATTGCTGGCAACATCTGAATAGCCCAAGGGAGACGAAATACACCATTATTTCCCATGAAAGATGCGCCGTAGCTGATAAAGTACATGATCATGATCTGGCGACGGTCAGCATCCGATACAAATGCCGGAGTCAATGTGATAACCTACACCCCAAGTGATCATCCATTGTTGTAAAGAAAGTAGACGGCCTCGTTGGTGAGGAAGGCTGATTTCAGCTATCAGGATAGGACTGTTCGAAAGTGTGTCAGTGGCGAATTCAAGATAGTTTGTATGGCGGGGGCAACTTTATTTACCCTTGACTAGTGAGCATGCCGACAGAGAAGCCATTGATGATCCGGGCGACAATCAACATAGGCACATTTTGAACAGCACACATCAATGTAGACCCAACCAACCAGATGATGCATGCAATAAACAGAGAATCACGACGGCCAAATCGGTCACTGGTCCACGAGGAAACCAATGAGCCGAGTAAAGAACCACCTGCCATACTTGCAGTGATTCCACCCTGCAAGACTGCATTAGGCTTATGGAAGTATTCCTTATACTGATTGGTACCAATGATCGCAGACATACTCGACACATCAAAGCCCTGAATAAGGCCTCCGATGGTTGTTAGTCCACTGATCAAGTATACATTGCTGAAGCTCGGAAGCTTGCCCATGGTGAACAGCGGCGAATTGTTCCAGTCAAATTTTAAAAAAAGGAAGCTGGTGAAATACTGAGCAAACAAAGCAGGTTGTATGTCCGGGGCCCCGGATTTTTATGTACTCCACCAGGTCTCGAGCTCAGCAAGAAGTCCAAGCTAGAAGACGAATGGCAAAAGAACTGTAGCCGACATCCGACGAGGGCCGACAACCGACTGAGGGTCGTATTTTGCACTTGTCACAGCCCGTTCGTCAACTGGATGGCGGATGGTGCCATCCAAGGCGCAAACTCCACAGGCCATGCGCGATCAGACATTCACTTTTTTTGGTGAAGAGAAAAAATAAAGAGGCGTTCCAAAGCTTGCCGTGGCGATACGAGACTGAATCTGCCGGGGCCCACCGCCCTGAACGTAGCCGACTGCCGTGCGAGAGCCGCTTCTTCTTGCATTCTTCTCTGCATTCCCCGGGCAAATCATGTCGCCAAGTGGAGATGATAGTCCGAATCCTTCCTTGCAGGAGACGAGTTCTGCTGGTCCTCGAAGGTCTCGATCAGGTCTGTCATTGGTGGATGCTACATGGTCCAGCCTTTAGAGTATAGTCCTATCCATTCTAATCTCGTTTCCTAGGATGTACACTCTGCCGTGCCAGAAAGGTAAAATGTGACGAGAGATGGCCGGTTTGTCTACATTGCGAGCGTCTGAAGCTGGATTGCCCTGGGCCACCTGGCCGAGGCCACCCATCCCACCCAAACATTCGCAAAGCATCGATCCGTGATGCCGAATTCACTCAGGCTGGAACAGTACGGCAACGGGTAGCCAAGTCCTGCTTACCTTGCCGCTATGCAAAGTCAAGGTGTACAGGTGGTACATGTTGTGACCGTTGCTCTCGTAAGGGCGTGGATTGCATTTATCATCCCGAGCCAAATCGCGCGAAATCAGGGGGGAACAGGTCTATGGGCTCGGAACAACGGGATGATCAAGCGGTCGCCAATTCTACTAGGCAACTCGCGGGAAATACCTTGTCTTCGGCATCCAATCTTACTCATGGTTCTGAGAGCTCAGCCGAAACCCCTTGGTCTTGGTAATTCTTCCCTTTGAAAATAACCGCACTCACCGGTGCCATCACTGACACCCAAAAGGCTTTATACCCCAGAACTTCCCGACGGTAACAAACTTTGGGCCTTGATCGAAGAATACTTCTCTCACATCCATCCCCTGCGATGCTTTGGATTTGTGCATAAGCCTTCATTCATGCAACGAATAGATGAGGATGTTGGATCGTTCCGTGACGAAGAATCATTGCTCCACGTAATATGTGCGCTTGGTGCGAAGTACGTTGTCGCAGAACCTGCACTAAAATTCCCGATTTAACCAACTTTACAGGTTTATTGCTTTGAATTATGCGCCTCAATTGTCTCCTGAGCTAATGCTGACCGCGGGAAATCAATGGGCCAAGATCGCCAAAGCTCGAATATTTGTCGACCTAGATGATCTTTCCATTGAAAAGTTGATGGTCAGTATCTCGATATACTTAAAGGAGATCCCTTTTTGAGAATTTATTGACACTAATACTTCAAACTCGAAACTTTCGCAGACAGCAATTCTTCTCTATGACCACGATCTTCGAATCGGAAGCTATGCGAGCGCATTCATGCTCAGCGGGATGACCGCCCGAATGTCACAAGCATTGCAATTAAGTCTAGAAAGCTCGGCGGATGTGCTTTGTTCAAAGTCAGACTCATCACCCGTCGTCAATGAAGCGCGACGTCGTTTAATGTGGAGTTGTTATGTCATGGATAGTTGGGTAGGCAGTGGCGTTAATCAACTCACTCTACTGGAAGATCGAGATGTCAAAATCCAGCTGCCATGCCATAGTCATAACTTTATCCTGGGTATCCCCTGCATCACAGAAACGCTCGATGCTGGCAAGGTCCTAAACTTCGTTTCCGATAATCAGATTCCTCCAGATCCGTCTCAAAATATGGGAATAGAGTCATATTTCATTCGTCTTGTGAGCAGTCGGAAGAAGGTATTGCGGTGAGCTTCTCCTCCACTATAAATGATGTTATGAACTGATAGCTGACTTAATCTTAGATATGTTAAGCATCTGGATACCTCTGAGCCCCCTTGGCAACCTCGCTCCGAATTTCTATTACTGTCAGCCGAATTTGACGCATGGCGCCGGTCACTCCCGCAGAGCCTGACGTGGAGTCCGGGTGCCATATATGCCCGCAAAGAATCATCTCAACTTGGCGCGTTAACACTACTCTGGTGCACTTTCCATCAAACATTGGTTGATCTATACCGTATCGGAATGCCAATTCTGTTCCGAATACAGAAAGACATCGATTTCCCTCCCGAACAACAAGAGTTTCTGGACAATTGCCGCAGAGCTTGCTTTGATAATGCCCGGGAGGTGTCTACCATCCTATCCGAGGCATTCAAACACGGAATTAAGGTGCTTGCGGATACTTGGCTCTGCATCATTGCCCATGACAGCACCAAGGTCATGCTTTACTACTTGAAGCTAAACGAACGCTCACGCACACTGGATCAGAGAGAAGTCGACAACACAATAGCGTTGGCGCAGCGAAACCTTGAAGGACTACTGCAAATGAGACCTATGGTTGCAACTGCGGAACACTGTGTAAGCTAAATGGCCCAGAGGTACACACTGCATCTCTAGAACAATCTGCTAATCACATACTTGTCAGTACTTGTCTGTCCTTAAGATGATGATTGCTGCTGGCATTCAGCCCCAGATTTCTCACGGTGCTATTTCTGCTCCCCGAGCTCCCAATGAAACCGAGGCAGCGTATGTTGAGCTTCAGCTTCCCAAATATTCTTTGCTAAATTGCACTCTTCAGACCCTCCGCTCAAGGATCCCCAATGCAAGAATCCCCAGAAAACGTGCTAAACCCACTTGCCATCTACCGAATGGCACGAACAGCCCTGCACGAAAAAGGCGCACAATCGTCTGCGTCGAATTCTCCATCTACTCAAAACACTGCTTCACCCGTGGCGACACGTTCACGCCTTGGTCGGACTCGACACCGCGATCAGTCAAGAGTCGATGTTATACAAATGCCTTCCCCAACTTCAGGCCAAACGCTTAACGAATTTCCTGGATCTAATATATACCAAGGCATGGAAAATTTCTACTTGCCACAACATAGGGAGGACCCATCACTAGAAATGGCGAACTTAGCTCCCATGGCCGCTGGCCTTGGTGGGACTTGGGACCCAGGCGATTTAGCCGTCATGGACATACTAGACGGCGGCATCGCACCATGGACAGCGGACTATTTGACAGATGGCCAATCCGGGGTAGACCCTTTTCTGTTTCCGTTTTAATGGGCCCATGTGCTACGTGAATCGACGCCAAGTATACTACTTAATCATCTAATAAAAAAGAAACCCAGCCTGATGAGCGCATCGAAAGTGTAACTATGCCAGTTCTGGCTGTTCAGGAAATTATTCCCAAAGCTGCTTTGTCGGATGATGGATCTGTGCTCACATCTTTTCCCGGTCCCCAAAGAGAGAATTGGCGATCTCTCGAACGGTTCAATGAAAATCTCTTGATCGTCAGTTCCTTATAGTGTGACTCGAAGGCTAGAAAGTGTTCAGTTGACAATATAGTGAATATCGGAAGAGAACGGATTTCCAACAGATCGTCAGAATACTGATCTGTGTGGATATGGAACCAAACCAAACTGCCAGTTGAAAGGTGGTGACGAGTATTTGTGACAAAGCACCCTTTCATGCGAGATTTCCACCCGGGTGATTGACAGTTGCGCCTCTGGGGGGTTCATAGCCAGATAAGCAGAGCTGCTGATGTTGAGGTGTGATGCCTGGGGCATTCACAGCCACCTTAGGGCGGGGTTCCCCTTTTGGTTGATAGGCTATAGCTTCGCTCTCGTCCTGTTCCATCTGCCCGGGGCCCGAATTACCACTTATCAGATAGGTCTTAAGGTCCCCCGTCTAGTTATCCCATTGGAAGTAAGGTACTTTCCCTGTTCAGTCTAAGTTAGACTGAACATCACCTTCCTTATCGACTGTTGTTGATTTAGGAAAGTCTTGCCGTCACGTGGAGTTGACACTTGCGGGGAAGAACGACTGCGACGCACGCGATTGGCAAGAGATAATATTTACTACTTACATAGTACATACTACGTACTACTCACACCTGGGCAGTATGTAGCCCAGTCGCTAGGAAGGTCTCGCCGATCCTTGTCAATCTTCCGATTCTACCCTTTCCTCCACCATATACGACATCACGGCGGGAACGTTGGTATCTGTGCTCTATAAAGACCGCAGATACTACTATCAGCTACTTCCAAAGTAATCCCAAACCACATCGTTCCATCAGGTCTTCGCCATGGGTTCCACCAACGTCGAGAACTACGATGTCATTATCATCGGTGCCGGTCTTTCTGGAGTCTGCAGTCTTTATCACTTGCGAAAGCGCTTTCCTTCGTGGCGCATCCGCGTGCTAGAGGCCGCTGAAAGCGTCGGTGGAACTTGGTACTGGAATCGCTACCCTGGCGCTCGTGTTGACTCGGAGTCTTTGTCTTACGCCTTCTCCTTTGACAAAGAGCTACGCGACGAGTGGCACTGGAAGGAGTCGTTTGCGCCTGCGTCGGAGATCCTCCGCTACGTCGAGCGCATCTCCGAAAAGCACGATCTTGCGAAACATGTCCAATTCCAAACAAGCATTAAGTCAGCCCACTGGCAGGAAAATAGCCGAAAGTGGCTCTTCACCGATGAAACTGGGGCTCAATACCAATGCCGCTTCTTCGTTAGTTGCATGGGCTTCCTCTCTAAGCCTCAGCTCCCGGCGATTCCTGGCGTCGAAAGCTTCAAAGGCGAATCCTTCCATACTTCTCGGTGGCCAAGGAATTTCAATATGTCGCGTGACTTCGCCAACAAACGCATCGGTGTCATCGGAACGGGCGCCACGGGCATTCAGACAATCACAGCAGTCTCTAAGGAGCCTAGTGTGAAATCGGTGACTGTTTTTCAAAGAACGGCAAATTGGTCCGCGCCTCTTCGAAACGAGTCAATCAGTCTTGAGCAAATGAAAACACACTGGGAAAACTATGATGATATCTTCCAGCTCTGTGCCGAGACCCCTGGGTGTTTTATGCACCAGGCTGACCCTCGGAAATCAATGGAAGTATCCCAGGAGGAGCGATACGCTCTTTGGGAGGAGATTTATGCTAAGCCAGGCTTTTCGAAGTGGCTAGGTGCTTTTAGCGACACATACACCGACAGGCTGGCCAACAAGCTCTACTCGGATTTCATCGCAGACAAGATTCGCCAACGCGTGCACGACCCAAGGGTTGCGGACAGCCTCATCCCCAAGAACCATGGCTTCGGCACTCGACGAGTTCCTCTAGAAAGCGGGTACTTTGATGTCTACAATAAGCCGAATGTTCATCTCGTGGACTTGCAGCAGACACCCGTTGAGAGCATCACCGAAACCGGCATCAGAACCAATGACGGCAAACACCATGATCTCGACGTACTTATCTACGCTACTGGATTCGATGCCATTACCGGTGCCTTTAGCGCTATCGATTGGCGTGCCAAGGATGGCCGACCCCTTGTCGGTAGCAGCGACTCCCAGCAAGGCTCTCAGGCTATTTGGGTCGACCACCGACCACGCACCTATCTCGGTTTGACGGCTAATTCCATGCCCAATATGTTTATGATCCTCGGCCCTCACCAGCCATTTGGAAACGCTCCTCGGACTATAGAGCACGCCGTTGCGGTGGTGTCCGATCTTCTCCAACACTGCAAGGATAACAACTACACATATGTGGAGCCGACAGAGAGAGCTGTCGAGGAGTGGACAGAGCATGTGGTGGAATGCAGCAAAGGATCCTTGTCCAACGAAGTTGACAGCTGGATGACCGGTGTGAACAAAAACATTAAAGGAAAGACTGTTCGCAGTGTTGCTAGGTACTCTGGCCACGCAGTTGAGTACCGCCGGAGATGCGCCGAATGTAAGGAGAGGGGTTGGAAGGGATTCAACTTCGAGACCGACCAACCACAAGTGCTTGCTAGAATTTAGACATTGTATGCTTTTTTATTGAAAATAAATTTCTTTTTGTATTCTGCCCTAAAAATACCGGCAAGTGGTAGCTTTTGCTCGTCACCCTAGCTTCCTTCCATCTAGAAGCCATCCACATCTGTCCCAGGATTTCACTCCGAGTCAAGATTCGCTAGGAAACTCGCCGATGGGGCAAAAAATGTTGTCCCCGTTAACGGTTTCGAGAAATCCAGAATACGATCATGCAATCCCGGCGGGTCTCCGAGGAACATTCGCTCCAGCATCTTCTCAATCACCCACAGTCGTCGAGTATACCCGATGAAGTATGTTCCAAATTCTGCAGATCCAGGCGATCCAAACGGCATATTATCGCGTAGAATGTCATGCTCATCCCCATTTTCATCTTCGATTGTGTTCAACGTCTTATGCGATCGCTGACCGGACTCAGCATCATCCAACTCGACATTATCAATCTTCGTCCGACCGATGATTTTCTCCTGCTGCTCGGTAGAAAGGTGTCCCCATCCAGGCAGATCATGTGTGTATTTTTGCACAACTATATAGCTTCCGCCTTCTGCAGATGTATCTTCTCCGGCGACTAGAACGGAAGCTGGCACGGATGGACCGACGGGGTTTGCTGTACCGTCAACAAAGCCCAACAGATCACGCACATCGAAGTATCGGAAGCCGACTGTCTCATCGACCACTGAGACTGCATCACCCAGTTGGTTCATCAATTGGCGTTCGAACTCGAAACAGATATCCCGCCGGTCGGAACGAATATGGAATAACAAATCGCCAGGCGTAGAGACAGCGATATGCTTTTCGCCTTTCACCTCACGGAAAGAGTGCAGCTCTGCAGGACGAGGGAGGCTTGTGAGATCATCCCATATGTCGCTGCCTATCCCGACTGTGCATGCGAATTGCGCACTCAGATCTCGAATAGAGACATTTTTCGCTAGACTATCTAAACCGGCAAGCGTTGAACGGATTGTGGTGATTGAATCTGGCTTCTTCGTCGCAGTCACGACCAGAAATGTTGCTGACTGGGTAAGAGGAGCGTCGACTCGCTGTGGTTCAATTGGTACCCGTTGGCTGTTCATATTTGCCTTCGATAATTGGATTATCCCTTGGGGGTGGCTATTTTGATGCGTTGCCGAGATTGTTCGTTGCTTAGCTTGGGATGAAACAGGTCGTTGTAAAGCTTTGAGTAATGAGGAAGCCGGACTTCTCCCGGTATGGCTCATTTGCACTCCTAGGAGGGATAATGGCTGGCTGGTTATTTTGAGAAACGTCAATGTCCCAATTCTAGCACTGCGCATCGTTGTCGGAGCGAATCTTAAAACGACAATCTCTATCCCACGTCTGATAAATTTGTAAAAACCACTTGAGGTCCCATTGATTATTTAAACGTATTTCTCTATTGGTCGGAACCATTGGTCCTCCCGCTATAACATAGTAATGTAGTCGATGATGACGGCTTTGGACGGGTGATGAGGTCACACATCCGGAAGCGGTGCCAACACTATAAAGGCACTCAACTTCTAGAAGAAATCAAAATAAGATAAAAATCGGAGTTGATTTCCAGGTAAATATTGATACTCTTCCGTTCCCGACACTAAAGGTCTTAGGACGTCTACGAATAATGCAATTCCAAGTGAAGATAGTATATTCAATTTGACACGGTCATTTAATCATTCGAATCTAACAATCTGACATGCAATCCTTTCAGCGCTGTGTATATCCACCGTCCACCATCAAGGCAGTTCCAGTTACAAAGGAGCTCCTTCCACCACACAGGTAAATCACACCATCTGCGATCTCCTCCGGTCGGCCCATCCGCTCCATCGGCACCGCTGTCCCAATTCTCTCCATCATCGCCTGGAGGATCTGAGGAGACTTCGTAGTCAGAGGTGTCTCTGTATAACCGGGGCAGACCGCGTTGATCCGTAGTCCATCCTTTGCGTAGTCCTCAGAGGCCGTCCTTGTGAGACCAATAATGGCATGCTTCGAAACTGTGTAGGCCGTTGATAGAGGGATTCCAACCACACCCTGAATAGAGGAAAAGTTGACAATCGAGCCCCTTGACAAAGCTCGACCATCAATGTTTGATCGGATAGGCTCTTGCTTCAGCATGATCTTGGCGGCAGCTCGGAGGATAAAGAATGTGCCATTCAGGTTGATGTTCAGGATACGGTCCCAGTCGGCAGTTTCCACAAACGCTGTGCCTCCGGGGTGTTTCATGGCAACTCCAGCAGCATTAACGACATAGTCGAGACGTCCGAATGTTCTTGCGACGCTCTCGACGACCTCATTCACGCGTGCTTCATTTCCGACGTCTGTAGGGAAAATTTCGACTCGGGCAGGGCGAGTGTGGCGGAGTTCTCGTTGCTTTGATTGGATTTCGGTCTTGATTTGCTCCAATGCTTGTTGGTTCAGGTCTAGGAGGGCAATGCCAGAAACTCCATCTCTGATCAGTCCGAGTGCACAGGCACGGCCAATACCAGAGGCACTGCCTGTGACCAATGCGATGCCGGGAACGTCCATTTTAGGTGTGAGGATGAAGGGGAGGAATAATTGAGAAGAAATGAGAAGAGATGGACGAAATTAATCTTTTTCCTTCCATAATTTCTGGTGGGCAGCTGATAATAAGTAAATGAGGAGAGCTCCCATACTCCTCTACTGCCTGTGGAGCTTGTCGGGGAAGCCTTCCTAAATTTGCAGCCACCACAGGGCCGCGGAATATTGGCCAATCTCCACCTATCATTGCTTTATCGGGATCCAGTAAATTAGGCAGTCGGCAGGTGCACCAGGTGACACGCTGTTCGCTCGAAAAATCTTTAAAAAAAAAAAGTGAATACTGAGGGGAAGCGCGGTTAGGATGGTAGTCACATTACTGAATGGAGAGAAGACAACAAATTTTGAGATATCACCCGGGCATCTTTTGCGGAACACGATTATCAGTTTTTCCTTTAAGTTAATTATCAAGCAAATTAATAATTCTAAGTGTAGGAAGATTTCTAATCCCTAGTGGTAACAATTATCATTGTTGTAAAGCTACCGACCTCTTCATTAAGTCGACCCAGGTCGTGCTACTGCCATTTGAGTTGCGTTTCTCCTCCCATACTTTTTCAATCGAAGCCTGGGTTTCAGCAAAGGATAAAAGCCCACTGCGCTGTGCTGAAACCTCAAACCAAGCAGAAAACGATTCCTGTACCTTACGATCTTCTGCTTCGCAGGCTGCAATAAATGCTGGCCAGATGAAGCCAGCGGAGCCGTGCACCACGCTCGAATCGGCATATTCACATTGAAGTAGGCAGTCACGTACATCGGCTACCTTCTTTTGCAGCATTGATGCATCCAGATCGTAAATTCGGCGATAGAAGTAGATAGCCAAGGCCTGTCGCATGGCCTCGAGCATATTTTCCAGAATATGCTGATCGACGGACGACTGATGGGTTCCGAGACCAGGTGCGATTTGGCTTGGCCTTTCAAGGTGATTAATATAGTCTTCAAGTGCCTTTGCACGATTGATAAAATCTTTGAGGTTTAACTCGTTCGGATTGTTCTGCTGTTCTGCGGCATCTTTCTCGGTTCCGAGTCGAATAATCATCGATAAGAGAATCATCCAAGTTTCTGGAATTCCAAATATCTCTGGGTATAGTGTTGCTGAGAATATTCCAGGTCGCTCGAGATGAAGATCATTTTCTCCTTCTTCCCTGCCTCTGACGCGCAGCATCTCTTGGTGTAAATTATTGTATTTATAAAGACGGAAAGACAATCCATCGACACTTGCCGGAGCTAGTCCACTAGACTCAATAGCTCGACGAATGTGCCTTCGTTGATTTGAATTTGCTCCACCAAGAAAGATGCTCTCGTGGAACATCCGCTCAAAGACGTAGCAGTGATGGAGAAGTCGGACTTTTCGCGACTTCTTCCGCTTCAGTCCTTTCAAGCGGATAAATTTCTCTGCTTCCAAGAAATACCCTTCCGCTTCATTTCGATCTCCACAGAAATTTGACAGCTGCACCATAGTAAGCAGGGCCATTAATATCGACTTGTATTTGGCCGGCTTGGGGACGTTGTAGGCAGCCATGAGCATCTTTCGGGAATGCTCCTGTGCTTGGCGAAGATATTGATGTCCTTGATCAAGCCATGACTGAGACCGGGAGACTCCACCGAGACTAAAAGCACTGGTAGCCAGGGTGCCATAGAATGCGCATAGACTGGCATTATTAAGTTCCTCACCCAGTGCGAGTGCGGCAAGGCAGTCTTTCGCATGCGGGATGAATAGAACATGCCATGGTGTCTTCTTATGTCTGACGGGTGTCATCAGACTGATAACGGTGGAAGAGTAATGTTTGAGGAGGAACACCGCGTCTTGTGGAAGGGCATCGGTCCCACCCGGCACAGAAATAAGAGAAGGGGGAGAGATGGGAGCATTGCAATATGAGTCCGACATTATGGAAGTTAGTTGACAGTCGGCTGGATCTATAGTGTGATTATCAAAAGGAACTTGGTCCATGATCATATCCAAAAGATCTGGGGATGACGAGCTCGGATCTCCGTCAGGCTGCCCCAGAATCGATTGCATAAACCCTGGAGACCATGCCGCAATTCCAGATGCAGCCGGAAATGGATCTATCATCGGTACTACATCTTCTGGAGGACTCAATTCGGTCGTTGTATCTGATCCCTCGACAGGTGGTTGTCGGTCGCACGGAGATGGAGAGACAACTAAGACTGTTTGAGGCGGTTGCGCTCGAAATGCCCCAAATGGTCCATAGGATATGTCAACTTCCTCCGACACAGCTGCATTCTCACACTCTTCGTCTATTTGTGCTAAAAGCTTATGTGTCGATTTAGGCGGCGCAGCTGATACCAGCCACTCGCTCATGTGAATGCGTTCCTCCTCCGTAAACAAAGGTCGGCGAAAGCGAATCCGGCTGTCAGGGTTTTTCGAGTCAAAGAAGATATCTTTCTTATAGCCAGCACATTCCAGCCCAAAGTATGTGCACATAGAGCAGGTCGGTCGGCCTTCGTCGCATTTGACATGGCGGCTTCGACACTGAATGAGTTAGAGCGATGATTCCGGTTTATCTCATGGACGCCATACCGTTGAACATCCTGTAAACGAGCGCGTGTGCGATCCCAGCTCTGCACGACCAAGACCATTCGACATGGTCAACTCAGGTGTAGAGATGCATCGTACGAGTACAAGCTGCAGAATATCATCGGGGTGCCTCCGAGCAGGTTTGCGGTTGAGTTTGCGGGGGATTGAGATCATGTGGGGCGATAGGCAAAGCCTGCCTCTTTTGCCCCTTGGTATTGGTGAGATAATTGGTGCGCGGATACTTGCCTCTTCGTCGAGACTTGCTCGCCCTGTATCTATACACATGACCACGCATGTCGATCTCCCCGCAAGGCCGCAGGGTATTGATAGATAGAGATTTTACCTGGATCTCCTCTATCTAGCAGGATTGAATAATAATTTCTGGTCTTCCAGAATTCTTTGCATCGATATCGGCAGTTGTCTTGACAGAGTGGCGAGTGTCAAACATATCCACAATTTCCAATTCAACCAGCCAACTTTTCCTTTTCTGATGACACCTCACAATCGCTGCCGCATGATCCAGGCAATCGTCAACGAGACTCGCTAGAACGAAGCTCCCTCCAGGCTCGCGAAGAACGATTGGGCTTTTGCCTGATCAATGAAGATTCTCCGAAATTCAACATCAAATCACCAACACAATCGGCATATGTATTTCATAGTCAACCAGTCTAACCGGGTCCCTGCATGAAGGGTGGCCTAGCCGATACAACAAATGAAACTGTTCTTTATAATAGCAGCAGTCTGTAATATGGAAAATGAGTGAAGTTATCGAGCAATCATCAATAATACTAGCGATTTAATTCAAATGCTATCATATACCATGAGAAACATCACACTGAAGCCTGCACAACCCGTGCCCAGTCACCAAACCCATATGGGCCAGGAACATTCTCGCCATCGAACAAGCTAGCCATAACAACCCGATCACTCTGGTCTCCTTGCCACGGCTCCCTACCATGTTGAGCAATAATATTATCGTAGACCAGCACATCACCCTCCTGCCAACGATGCAACACACGAATCTCGTCTGTGATCTTGGCCAGATGCGCAACATACTTCTCTGGGATTACCGACCCATCACCGTACAGTTGCTGTGTAACGTTTCGTCGCGCGTCAAGATCAACCTGCGCCCTCTTCCAATAGGATGCCAGTCCTGTGAATAAAGAGGGCAGATTGGTTCCAGGTTGGGTACGGATCACAGGTAAGCGATGTGTGAGCACCAACCCATCATCTGTCCACTCCCAGGTCGTATATTTTCCCCGTCCATATCGTTCAATCTGCGCTTCTATTTTTCGCTTTTTGGTCTCCTCGTCGTCTCCTTCCACAATTTGTTTACCGAAAGCTTGTCGAAGAGTCGAGCCTCCCTCGTATTGCTTATCGGTTTTGTAGGTCACCCTGCTGAGGATGCCTTTCTCTGTGATCTCTGCGATAAAATCCGGGATTTCTTGCTGGGCGCGATTGAATAGCTCAAGCGAAGATGAAACGGGTGATTCGCCTCCACTCTTCGGAGCATTATGGCCATAGAAAAAAATATACTCCGGTGCGTGAGGAACTTGTGGGGATTCATTGTGGTTGTAAATGAGTACTTCTTTCGGTGCTTCGTTCGCCGGTGCGACATTAGGTGCCAGTAAAGGTCTGTCAACAACTATCCCAATAATCTCGTGTGGCTTGTACCCAAAGGCAAGGGCAAACTTGCTAAAGTCTTCGGCATTGTGAATGGGGAGGCCTCGAAATAGTAACGTGCCGTGGCGCGCGAGCTTTTTGGTGAAAATTCCCTCCCGCTCTTGAAGAGTCTTGATAGTATCCACAATAGTGTCTAACTTTGGTGGGGAATCTTCGTTTGTGAGACGCAGGGCGAGAGGGATCACTGTGTTAGGAGGGTGTGGACGCCCAAGCACACGCTGGTTAGAGGAGGGGAAGCTCAAAGGGCTCGAAAGAGACTGCGGTGGCTTCTGTATCGCCGAGGTGCAGCTTTTCAATATTTATCTGCTCTGTAACTGTGCCCATGATGAATCTTTCTCGTAGACTGGTAGTATGCAGTAGTATGGAGAGGGATTATAATTCGGTCCGGGCTCTCCTATTAAATAGCCGAGATGCATATTCCAACCCAAGTGAGGAGAACCTCCTCATTCACGCCAAGATGACGATATCCAAAATATACTATTGGATGACGATAATGGACCAGTTAAATACAACCTTCGGTAATAGTTTTCTTGGGGGCGACTATCGTCCAAGTTCAATCCGAGGCAACAGCATATTGTGTCATTTTACCATGCGCATACGTGCTTGCGGGGACACAAGACCTTAGGCAATCGGACGCCCAGATAATTATGAAGCTATATTAGCGATTCCATATCCATTCATTAAATTTTGATTTCTAGACTATTTTTCTCCGTGTTATTTTCGACATATCCTTCTCACGATGGTGACTGCATCAAAACCAGAAGGAATTGTTGATATCGAAACTGATATTCAACCAGTATCAGAAACGTCGACAGAGCATAAAGACCGGCCACCCTTTTTTCGCAGTACTCTTTTCCAAATTTTAGTCGTCGGGCTATGTGCCTTTTGTGCACCGGGAATATGGAGCGCGATGAACGGACTCGGTGTCGGCGGTTCCCAGAGCCCCGACCTAGTTAACGCCGCCAATGCCCTTCTCTATGCATTCATGACCATCACCTGCTTTGCTGGCCCGTGGATAACAAATGCCATTGGCTTCCGTTGGACCCTCTCTTTAGGTTCAATAGGCTATCCACTTTACGCCGCTGGTCTGTATCTGAACAATCGAACCGGTGCTACGTGGCTTGTCTATCTCGGTTCTGTAACATGCGGTATTAGTGCTGGCTTCTTCTGGAGTGTTGAAGGGGCCGTCGCGACAGGGTATCCGGAGCAACACAAGCGGGGTCGCTACATTGCTACATGGTTTACATTCCGCAACTTTGGCAATATTATCGGAGGCGCTGTTGCCCTTGGGATCAACCACAAAGTTAATCAGCGAGGACAAGTTGGCTACCAGACCTACCTTGCTTTCATCGCGATTCAATGCTTGGGTTTATTCATTGGTCTGCTTCTTTCAAACCCTGATAAGGTCCAACGAGATGATCACACTAAGATCGAAGCACCTCGCAATATCCATTGGCGGGATGAGATGAAAGCAATGTGGAGACTGGGTATGAGCAAGTCAATTCTTCTCCTGGTTCCATTATTTTGGTACTTTGGGTGGATTCAGGCATATCCTGGTACATATCTGGCGACCTATTTCACCGTCAGGTCGCGATCACTGGGCAGCTTCATGAATGCCGTGGTAGGCACGTTTGCGACGTGGCTTGGCGGCTCACTTGTTGACCTGCCATGGCACAAGAGCCGCAAAGTACGAGCTATCACCACATTTATTTTGATTGCGGTGCTTAACAGTGCAACCTGGATCTGGGCAGTTATCATTCAGGATGAATACAGGCGCACTAAGCCTGTCCTAGATTGGTCCGACCAACGTGCATTCGGTCGCGGATTCGGCCTTTTCCTGTTTGAACGCATTAGTCTGGGTATAGTCGAGAACTATATATACTGGTGCATTGGAAATCTTTCGGACTCTCCTGGTGACCAGATTCGATATAGTTCGTTGTTACGGGGGATCGAGACGGCTGGAGTGGCCGTGGGATTTGGTGTGCAAGCTGTGCCCACGGCATTAATCATTACTGCTGGTATCAATTTCGGCTTGTGGTTCCTGGCATTGCCTTTCAGCTTTTATGCAACCTTGCAGGTGGTGCGAAAGTTTGAACTGCTAAAGCATGAGAATCAGAATCCGCTTGTGTCAGAGCGATAGGTCTTAGTCTATTGGACCGACATTTCTTAATCAACAATCAGTTATGGATTGTGCTATACTGACCCGGATCTTTATGAGGAAATATTTGACTGTATTTTAGTATCGAGCTTCAATTGATAGATAACGCACACCAGTCTGTGTCACTGGCCCTTCGAATTTAGACTTGGTGCATCCACTCAAAGGATTAGAGTGTAGACGAGCATGATGAATATCCTCCTTCCTAATGCAGCAGGAAATAGCAATACCTATTGATATTTAGAAGGTGTTCACTCCATATCGATTTTAAGTCCCGATGCTTCTGCCTATTTTGCGCGAATTGGGCTCCTCTATGGTGTGCTAACAATCGCGACGCCCTCAGAGACAGGCAATCTACGGCCTGGAAATCCTCCGATAGATCCATCCTGACAGCTAGTACAAGCCTCTATTAAAAGATGACTAGCTAAATCAGTTCAATTTAACGAGCTTCATGACGTGCTTGGCAGGTGTCCTTTTTCATGGCTTCGACACATTGGTATAAAATTTGCGCCTCCCGGTATCGCTTCCCTCAGGTTGGGATATTGTACGAACAAGATGGTGGCAAGTTCAGATTCTTCGATTGAGGTGCCAGCATTGTCCAAAAATGGTACGACTGTGATCGAGACTCATGACTATGATGAACCGATCCGTGATGTTTTTGGAGATGTTATCGACGATGGTCTTCGTCGAGGTCTAAGGGCCGCCAGTTTATGATCATTGCTTTGGGCAGCATCATTGTACCTGGCTGTTTTTACGGACTTGGATATGGTATATACGAGGCCGGCCCTCTAGGCCTATTGATTGGCTTCTCCGTAGTTGGTATTTTTATCAATCGACGTGAAGATATTTATCGAATTTTCGAACTGACCAACCTTGGAATGAATAGGTGCTATTGTGTGGATTCTCATGCAAAGTGTGGGCGAGGTAGCTACCTTATTTCCAGTTCATGGGGAGTTTGTCGAGGTAAATAATTCCGCTCTCTGGTGGCCATTCTATCATTCTCATATCCGGATATAGCATTGTGATCGATTTGTGGATCCAACACTCAGTTTTTCTATGTCATGGCTTTACTACCTTATGTGGAGCGTTTTCTTAGCTTCTGGTAAATGCGCTATTATCTAGCTTAGCTTGGCTGTTGGCTGACATGGTACTAGACTGGAATAATGCGACGGTATTCCTGCAGTTTTGGATCCCTGACACTAAATTTCCTGTTTGGGCATGGTATACCCTGTTCTTCGTCTTTTTCATTATCTTCACCACCCTCGGTGTCAACTTCTACGGAGAGACGGAGTACTATTTTGGCATGTTCAAATTCATATCCCTTATTGTACTATTTTTCATCTGCATCCTTGCCGATGTCGGTGCATTTGGCAATGGCTATATCGGATTCAGGTACTGGACACCACCTTATGGTCAGTGTTTTCCTTAAAGCTCCCTTTCTTTACTCTCCACTGACGTCTTGCAAATTATCACAGGTCCAATCCAAAATGGGATCAATGGGTTTGGTCAAGTGCTTGTTCTTGCTGCGGCGTACTATGTCGGTACAGAAATCGTCTCAGTTGCAGCTGGCGAGTCGAAAAATCCCCAGCGCGACGTCCCTCGCGTAAGTCACTGAATTCACATCAAAAGCAAAGGCTGACCCTTTTCAAAGGCTACCAAGTCCATTCTGTATCGAATCTTAATTGTCTTCATTGGCATGTCCTTCCTCCAAGGCTTGATTTGCCCCTCGGCTTCAGATGACCTAGTACGCCCAGACTCCAAAACAGCATCTTCTCCATTCACGATCGGCTTCACGCTCGCAGGATGGAAATCATCTGGTCATTTTGTCAACGCCATTATATTGATTGCCTTTGTTTCAGCCGCCAATGGAGTCGTCTACATTCAATCTCACACTCTTTACTCTCTAGCTCTGAAACTCAAAGCGCCCTCGCTTTTTGCGATCACGAGCTCCAGGGGAGGTGAGTTTATCAAGCAGAAAAATCAGTTTCGCCCAGTGAGCAAACGATGATCTAGTCCCATATCCTGCGATCATATTCTCCAACATGTGGGGTTTCCTGGGCTTGATGTCCCTAACAACGACCGCCGGGAGCCTCTTCTCGTATTTCACCTCCTTCGGTGGTACAGCAGCCTACATTGCGTGGGCGACAATCACCTTTGTCCAATTAAGAGTTCGCGCCGCCGCCAAGAAGCAGAATATTGATATCCAAGCATTCCCGTTTACTGCCCCTGGACATACTCTAATTTATTGGGGGGACTTCTTTAATTATTTTCTGTTCTTGATCCAAGGATTCACTGTCTTTGAAACCCCGTTCAACTACCAGTCATTCATTGCTTCATACATCAGTAATCCGGTTTTCTTCGCCCTCTTCTTTGGCTATAAATGGTGGTTTGAAACAAAGTGGTGAGTCCGAGTCCTATTGTGAACTTCTATGGTTACTTGGCTCACATTTTCTTAGGGTGCCACTCGATCAGATTGACTTCTCGGGCAGACGCCACTGGACCCTTGATGAAACGTCAACAAAATCAAGATCATGGGGACGAAGGGTCCTGGATGCTTTGAAAGATTGAGATATACAATTATCAGGCTGCTTCTTCAAAGAGCCTCTAGCCAACATATCATAAATTCAATTGAAATCAATTATATTTCCCTGCCGATTGTCCCATGAATTATTATTTTTTTGCGTTCCAAAAGCCACGGCCAGTTGTTTGGTGCTTCACATTCCTGCGGATCAACCCCCCATACCGCAGATCACCCTAGTGGCAGACTTGTTTACAACAACATCATCGACAACAAAGAATGTAGCCCTGAGAGAATGATTTATTATCTAGGAGTGTCGACAAGGTCTTCATGAAGTCACTTCCTACTCATACTTCCTCCCTATACACAACCACCCCCACATCCTAGTCTTGAATTGAAACCTTGAATCCATCTTCCAAAATGAAGCTCTCAATCTTCGTCCCTCTTGCAGCTTTCCTGTCCTTCGTTGCCGCCGAAACAAGCGGTTCTACCGTGAACCCTGACGACATCAGCAACTGCCTGGTAAGTTCCACATCTCGATGTGCCATGTTCCTTGCATTGGTATATTTTCTCTATTTCCAGAATGATACTCATTACTATATCTTGTCTGAAGTTTCGATGTCTGTCGGAAGCTGCTGCTGTTGCAGGCTGTATCTCGGCCTACGACAATAAATGCACCTGCCCGTCGCCGGCTTTCAAGGACACATTGACGGTCTGTCTGAAAGTGGCTTGTACCCCGGAAGATGCACAAGGTAAGTCTAGGCTCTTTGAAGCTTTACTGCACCCTTCCTCTCGACGGGATTTGACTAATTATGCTCCCCAGTCGCTGGACAATTACATGTGGAACGATGTGGAACACCCGCGCCTCAACTTTAATAGCTCTCGCTGTTTATACCTAGCTGAAGTACTACTTAATATTCACTGTAATAATCGAGAAATAATATGCAATCTGTCATTCATCGAATTCGATATTTCTTTCCAGTCTTTTTTCAGCTGGAACAATTCCTAGCTCGAAGTTGGAAATTGGGTGCTCCAACGTTTAGCTTTTGCCCCTTCAGTACTAGTAGGTATCGTATATACATTTTTGCACAAAGTTCGACTCACCTGGGCACGAAGAACTAGCCTGTTAGATGACCATTGTTCTCACATAGGCATTTTCATCCTCATCGAACCAATCTTTTCATTCTAGCGTAGTTGTAAAAGCAAAGCAGAATTTTGTTGGTTCCTCAAAGTATTACATAGCCATGCGCGTGCCCAGGTGGAAGCCGTCGATGGAGATCACATCTCTCCCGTCCAGTGGGAGCTAATTTCAATTTGGAAGCCTAGGCACTGACAGCTTGGGCATACGTCACCGAAGATCGCAAAATACTTTATCTCATTTAGAATACGAGGATTCCAGATAGAAATTAGTATCAATGTCTATAAATCTACTATGGGGGTACCCCAGACAAGATTACTAGTACGAAAGAACAAATTATACCCATGGAATAACTCCATTAAGATTGCACACGAGATATCAAGCTGGGAGGAACAGAAAGACAGTTAAGAGAACATCCATGTATTTTTTTTTCGTTCTTGAATTCGTATTCTGGATTCAACCCATAACCATCTAAGCCTGAGAGAGGTTCTCGTAGGCTTCGGGGAAACGCTTCATGTTCTCAGCGATGGTACCGTGACCACGGAGGAACTGAACGTAGGCACCGTCCTGGCGGAGCTTGCCAGCCTGGCGGAGCTCGGCGTACTCCTCGCGGCGAACGGGGGTGAAACCCCAGTTCTTGGACTCGATGATCTTTTGGCGGCCAGGGAACTTGTACATGGAGCGGCGGAGAGCCTCGATGGCGTTGGCCCGGTTGGAGTCACGGGTGCGGACGGACAGAAGAATCTGGCCAATGTTCACACGGGCGACGAGACCCTGGGGCTTTCCGAAGGCACCACGCATACCGGTCTGCAGACGATCGGCACCAGCGCACGACAACATCTTGTTGATACGGACGACGTGGAAGGGGTGGACACGGACGCGGAGGTGGAAACCTTCCTTACCGGCGGTCTTCACGAGGTACCTGGAGAGAAGAAATAACGTTAGGATACTGCGGGTTGACTGGTTCAAGGGTGCGGGATAGTTCCAGCGCATAGTGGCGTAACATACTTGTTGGCACAGATACGGGCGGCCTCAAGAGCCTCGGAGGACAGCTGCTCGTACTCGTTGGAGACAAGGTGAATGCAGGCGGGGAAGTCATCGACGGAAGCCTTCTTGCGACCGAGGTCGAAGATGCGGATCTTGGCATCGGGGACACCACGGTTGAAGCGCGACTTGGGGTACGGCTAAAGGAGAAGCAAGTCAGTATATTGAAGTTCGATGTGTGCCTGGGATTTTCCATTTCATCATCGAACGAATTTCCCCTTCCAAATAAAGGAAACTTGTGAACGACTCGGACCGCAAAACTAGCGAGGTGACGTCTCGCCGTGGCGCAACCTGCGCGTCAACGGGACTGGCGAGCATGGTGATGGTATATTCGAGTCGTTCACAATTTTCCTTTGCTTGGAAGACGGGATTTGATCGATAACGAGGGTGGCGAGCGTGGTGGTGATGGTGGTCGTGGTGATTCCCAAATTTTCCCCCACAACCGAGCTTGCGCACACAAAATCCTCCGGGGGCACGAAAAGTCGCAACGCACCTTGTTCTTGCAGTAACGGTAGCAACGTGCGGGACGGCGAGCCATTTTGAGTGCGGAAATGAGGTGACGGGCACTTCCTGCGAACTAGGTGTTGGATGTCGGTTGGTGTCGAGGGATCGAAGGGAAAGAAAAGAAAAGGGCCAGCGGGTCACGGGATTGTTTGATTTCCAAGCAGTTCAGTGGCAAAAAGCCCTAAGCCCTAGTGATCGGGCCAACCACGTTCCGAGGCGAGCTGATCAGCTGAGTCATCGCCTAGCGATTAGAGCCTGAAATACAAGGTGGCAGTACTGGAGGAAGTACGGGATAAGAAGAAAAGTGGGACTGATTGGGTCAATTGGGTCCATTTGGTCCATAATTCATTCAGAAGATCGTCATGCATATCATCACGGAGTACATATTCCGCCCTCCTGCTCCCTGGTCGGCCAGGATATCCGAGTCACCAGCATCGAGAATGGCCATAGTGGAAGAGCTTGCCACAAGCAGTTCCCAGCTCGATCTATTTGTAATCAACATCAGCATCAGGTTGATGGTTGGCATCTCGTTGGTTCCAGATGATTTGTAAGTACATAGACGTGTTACTCATACTCACATTATTTCCCGCAAAGTGGTGGACAGGCGTCTTGGCCAAACATGGCATACTGAAATGCGCAGAGGGGGAGCATTTCCCGCAATAATAACCAGCTTGGTTTTGCCCGGACGGAGTCATTTCATAGTCGACTTTGTGCCCAAAGTGACCTTGCCGGATTTCATGACCAGGGCGAGCCGGGCATTGATCTAGAAGATTATATGTTAGTGGCAATTATCTCCATATGTATAGGGTAAGTGCGACCAGACTCACATTATCGGCACCTTTCTTGTTCTTCTTGCCAGCCATTGTGATGTAAGTCGACTTGAGTTCAACTGGTGGGGTAGACTGGAATGCGTTCCGGTGGATGTGGATAGAGCGGAGACTTCAAGTTGAGTACTCCGTACTGGTCGATTCATTGGCGGTTGCCCGTTGCTTCCCGTTGCGGTGGGCTCCTCCATGCTGGGTACTGCCAATGCCCACCGCCTGCCAGAACCATGCCGGATCACTGACATCACCTGACGGGATATCACCTGACATGTATCTGAAACGGTAAACAGTCAACCTCAGGCATCACTTCACCCTGTTTCGCATCGCATAGCATTGCTTCGTATCTCCCTCGTGTTTGCTTTGTTCTACAGGAGTTTATTTATATGGTTCATGTGCTATTATTACTCGGCCCCAACTATAAGTCTCGTGTCTCGTGTCCTTAATGTTGGCCCCCAAGACCACCGAGTCTGCCCAGCGTATTTTTAGATTAGAGTAAGGGAGTGCGAGTGTCCGCCCGCATTCCTTACAAAAATAAGACTCGCTCCCGGCGCGCTCTCCTTTTGCAATCGGCCATTTCCATTCCTCTTTCCTCCATTCCAGTCTGTTCTCGTCTTCGATGATTGTTCCACGCTTCCATTAGCCATGTGGCGATCACTCAACCTATGACAACCTTCATTACATACTTCCTCACCCCATCTCCACCCGTGTCCACCAATTTCCGCTTTCTGACCGCCACTGATTCACACCTGGACTCTCTTCTCCCAACCTTCTCTTGACCCTGGAGTGGACACTCCGCCATTTGAATTTCGACTCCTCCCCATCCCCTATTATATACTTCGCACTTCCCCTCCCACGCCGAGTCCACGGGCCTTGGGAACCTGCACGATGTCAGCAACGACGCCTCGCAAGCCTGGAACCCCGGGCAATTCCAGCAAATCATCGACCGTAGATCCGCCCTCGACCAACGGTTCCACCACACGAGGACATGCACGTTCGCCCAGCACCGCTACCAACGGTCTCAACCGTTCTCCCTCCCTTCGAGGTTCAACCCCCGTCTCCGCGCGCGCCGCTGCTAGAAAACCCGGTCGTTCCAACCTGAGCATGTCCAACGTCCCGCGCATCTCGAATGACCCCTCCGAGGAGGAGGCGCGGGCCCAAAGTGCCTCCCTCATCGAGGAGTTGCGAGAGCAGCTTCAGAAGGCCGAAACTGCCTCCGAACAATATCAGAAACAACTAGGCGTGCTGCAGATGCGCCTCGACGAATCCGTCAGCGAACAAGGAAAGTTGGAGGATCAAGCCCACGAGCGAGACAACCGGATTGAAACGCTCAGTGTTGAGATTCGAGAACAGGCACGTCAGATCCGTGACCTCGAGCAGAATCATGAATTAGAACGCAATGCCATGCTACAACAGAAGGAACAACAGAACAGCCGGGAGGAAGAGTTGCAGGCGACCATCCATCGTTTGAAGGAATCCGCTGCCCAGAAGGATCGGATCACTGCCGACGGCGAACGCCATCAGGTCTCCCGATCTTGTATGATTTCGTCTAATCTAAACCAATATGTTCCGTGATGCTAACTATTTCTACAGCCAGTTTCCGCAATCGAGCTTCCCCGGATCTGGATGCCCAGTTTGCGCCATCCTCGCACCTTGAACGCAGCCCCTCTCGCAATAACTCGAACCTCTTGCTTCAGAAAGATAAGGTCATCGAGTCCCTTCGTCTGGAGTTGGCCGAACATCAGATCAAACTGGTCGAGATGGAAAATGCAGGTGGTGGTCGGCAACGCGAGTTGGAGAAAGACTTGCTGGAGGCTCGCATGGCTAATGCCCGCCTCATGGAGGACAACGAGAGTTACCAGCTACTTCTCAGCGAAAAGACGCTCACTGGCGACTTCACTAAAGGCGATTTCATGCAGCACGTCCATCCTGATAAGCAGTCCAGCAGTGGTCTAGGATCCTTGGCGGATGAGCTTGAGTCGGTGGATGAAGCACCAGAGTCGGATTCGACCGGCAAGCCAGATGGTGGTGAACTCAAGAGCCTCAGAGATCAAAATAAGGCCCTGACGCTCTACATCGAGCGCATCATTAGCCGTGTTCTTCAACATGACGGATTCGAACACGTTCTGGATCGCAATGATGATGAAACCAGCGTAACCCAGTCCTCGGGTGGTAATGAAAAGGACCTGCCTCCCACGCCTCCGGAGAAGGACGACTCACCAAGTCAAACCCTCTTGCAGAGAGCCAAGTCCGTGGTTGCGGGCCCTGCCCGGCCCTCAGGCCAGCCTCGGTCTCGCCCGACCAGCATGATGCCCCCGCCACTTCCCCACAGCATCGTCAATGAGAACCCAGAGACCGCCCCCAGCATTCCGTTCAGAACTCAATCTGTCCGGGCTAGCCACCGCCGTACCCGCTCTGAACAGGTTGACCCGAACGCTGCTTCCGTCGTTGGAGCGATGTACCGTGGCCGTAACTCTGGAGGCGGGCCTATGAGTCCAACTGGTATGGGCCCAGGCTCGCGACAAAGCATGTTCTCTGGGGCAGCTAGTTATATCTCTGGAGTGAGCCGGGCTCCTTCCATGTCCAGCCAAACGGATCGTGCCAACCGCAGCAGCTCCCCGAGTGTCACCAGTGACATTCACCCCGATACCAGCTCTACTGGGGCGACTTCCAGCCCGCCCCGGTCAAGCAGCGGTATGAACAACTATACTGGAGCAGTGATGACCCAGAACAAGCTGCGCCCCTTGCGACTAGTTAGTGATGCTGCGAAACTGGAAGAAGAAGAGACTGCTCGGAAGAAAGCGAACCGCGCGAGCTGGATTCCCGGTTGGTTCAACCGCCCCGCCAATGCTGAAGAACCCCAGTCTCAGCCCCAGCAGCAATCGCCTCCTCCATCTGCTCCGACTTCCCAGCCTTCGCAGCTCTAAACTGGGTTGCCCTCACGCTACTGCATGATTTGATGTAATATTGGAACCGTCTTTACCATATTTTTCATACCCCTTTTGTGATGCACATAACGCGACTCATGTCATGGAACGTATGGCTCAGGATCGAGCGAGGATACCGCGGTGTTGTGCTGCACAATTTGAATTGCTTTTTCTCTTCTTCTTTTTCGCCCCCTTTCTCTTGAATACGTGATGAATATTGGTGGAGCCGAGATTTTTTGTATTTCTCGTTTGGATTTTATTTTGTTATCTCTTTGGACCAGAGACTACCCTATCGAACTAATGCCCGTCAATGTATTCCCCCTTACGCGCTTGTGGTTGTACCCAAATGATCTGTAGATGATTTATACCCCATCTTTCTGCTACGTGAATTATATCTTATGCCATTTATAAGCTGCCTCGCATGATAATATAATCCTAGCCATAATCAAGACACGATAATAGAACTAATCGACTTCATGCGTAGTTCGTTACCTGCATACTACTACTGTACATGTACATACTCGTAGTAGGGCGGAGCACACCCGCGGAATAACATTAGTGCGTCTCCGCCTGCGGCGAGCGGCCAGACTGGCTCCTACAATCAACAACCAACTCGAGTTCGCATTCTCATAATTGCATTGCTCCGAGTCCTCAAATAACAATCCAATTCACCATGCCTGGTCCTCTATCTCTATTTTCCGTCAACGCGGTCCTCGTCATGTCCGCCGACGACGGATCCCGCATTTTCGCGAAATACTACTCAGCACCACATGCCCCCGCGGGCACAGCGCCCAACTCGACCGATTACCCCGGTGCCAACCCGTACCCTACCGTGAAGGAGCAGCGAGCTTTCGAAAAGGGTCTCCTCGAAAAGACCAACAAGTCGACCGGCGATGTGATCCTCTACGACAACCGCATTGTCGTGTTCAAGATGGAGAGCGATGTGATGCTCTACGTGGTGGGCAGCGCCGATGAGAACGAGGTCTTGCTGTATAACGTTGTTCTGTCGCTGCGCGATGCTCTCGGAATATTGTTCAAGTATGTTCCATTATTTTTCTTGTTCTTATGGGAATCGGAATTGGGGCTGCGAGGGACAATTATTTGAGACAAGAAGAGAAAACTAATCTAGATCCTTTTTACAGGGGCGCCACCGACAAGCGCACTATCGTCGAGAACTACGACCTTGTTTCCCTCACTATTGATGAAATCATCGACGACGGAATCATCCTCGAGACCGACCCCGTACTCATCGCCTCGCGGGTTAGCCGCGCTCCCGCCCAAGATGCGCCTAACATGAAGAACATCGATCTGACAGAGCAGGGTCTGATGAATGCGTGGGAGTTTGGCAAGCGCCGACTTGCTGATAGTCTGCGGCAGATGTAGGGCTGAAGCTGCGGGCTCTCTTTTGCGATCAGATCATTTGCGAGGGAGGGGGGTTGCGTGTAGGGCTGGATTGTGATTGTGATTCTTGTCTTTATCATCAGCATGCCCATGTTTTCTGCTTTTGTTTTTTATTTCCTTGTTTTCTTTACTCGTTCCTGGCTGGCCATGGCGTGATACGGTTCATTTCATTTTCTTATAATCTTTTCCTTGTTGGTTCCAGTCTGACTGTTTCCCAATGTCGGGTCGGGGGCATCATATCATAGATCCTTTGTGTTTCTCTCTGCATTTTGCCAAAAGCCTGTGATATTCTGTGGCTGAAACTGAAACGATGATGGCTACCATGAAAGATCCAATAATAGGTCCACTAGTGCTAACATTGTGTAAATGTAATGCCTAATAGCTTTAACTACTAGTTAGTGTAGTCAAGTATGGAACTTCCCAGAAAGGAGCCCGACTTCGGTTCCTGCCCCGCATACGTCACGCTCGAAAATTCCTTTCTTCTCCAACATCAGCCCACGATGAAGCAGAGATTCTCGTCCATAGATGTCAAGGTATGGACCGCAATTATGATCTTAGACTATCTAAAGAGAACATTACTAACGATTTCCCCCAGGTCATCACCCAGGAGCTGGCCTCGGAGCTAGTCAACCTGCGAGTCTCCAACATCTACGACCTATCATCCGTACGCCCTACCCTATACTCTACTCTACCTCAAGACCTATGCTAAAATAGCATCTCTTCTTCTAGCGAATCTTCCTCTTCAAACTCGCCAAACCAGACCACCGCCGCCAACTCATCGTCGATTCCGGCTTCCGCACCCATGTAACCCAATACTCCCGCACAGCCGCGACCGCCCCCTCACCATTCGTGACACGCCTACGCAAATTTCTCAAATCGCGCCGTATCACTGGCGTCGCGCAGATCGGCACAGATCGAATCATCGACATCTCCTTCAGCGATGGCGCCTACCACATGTTTCTCGAGTTCTTCGCCGGCGGCAACATCATCCTCACCGACCGCGATTATACCGTGATCGCATTGTTCCGAAATGTCCCCGCCAGCGCCGGCGAGGAGGAAATGAAACTCGGCCTCCAATATAACCTTACCAACAAGCAGAATTATGTGGGGATCCCAGATATCACCCCAGAGCGGGTGAAGAGTGTGATTGAGAAGGCGCAAGCATCGTTCTCCCAGGAGGGCGGGGCGCCGAAAAAGTCCAAGAAGAAGGCTACGGATATCTTGCGAAAGGCTTTGTCTCAGGGGTTTCCCGAGTATCCGCCCCTATTGCTTGATCATGCTTTTGCTGTCAAGGAGTTCGATACTACCACCCCGCTCGACCAGGTTCTCGGAGACGAAGCTCTCTTAAAGAGGGTGGAGGAGACCTTGCGAGAGGCCGCTTCGGTGTCGGATAGCTTCAATGTTGGCGAAAGTCACAAGGGATATATCGTGGCGAAGAAGGACGAACGAGCCTCGAAAGAAGAGGAGAACACATCAAAGACCCCAGGTCTTTTGTATGAGGATTTCCACCCTTTCAGACCGCGCCAGTTTGAAGGGAAGCCGGGAATCTCGATTCTTGAATTCGAGCGGTTCAATGCCACTGTCGACGAGTATTTCTCTTCCCTGGAGTCCCAACGCCTAGAGTCCCGACTCACGGAACGTGAAGACGCGGCCAAGCGCAAGCTGGACTCTGTCCGAGAGGAGCATAGAAAGCGCATCGATGCCTTGAAAGATGCGCAGGAAATCCACATTCGCAAGGCTGCCGCTATTCAAGACAATGTGTACCGCGTTCAAGAGGCCATGGACGCTGTGAATGGTCTTGTGGCTCAGGGAATGGATTGGGGTGAGATTGCCCGTCTAATTGAGATGGAACAAGCTCGAGGAAACCCCGTGGCACAGATTATCAAGCTTCCTCTCAAGCTCTACGAGAATACCGTCACGCTGATGCTTGGGGAGGAAGAAGAGGAGGAAGAAGAAGAAGAAGACGCCGAGTCTACTGATGAATCGGACTCCGCTTCGGATTCTGAGGATGAGCACCAAGAGCAACAGAGACGTGCAGATGCAACTTCACGCATGCTTAAGATTGATATCGATCTCGGTCTTACACCTTGGGCTAATGCCTCTCAATACTATGACCAGAAGAAGACTGCCTCGGAGAAGCAGCAGAGAACTGTCCAGTCTTCGAGCAAGGCGCTTAAGAGCCACGAGAAGAAGGTTACGGCCGATCTCAAGAAAGGTCTCAAGCAAGAGAAACAGGTCTTGCGACAGGCTCGTGTGCCATTCTGGTTTGAAAAATTTGAGTTTTTTATTTCCTCCGAGGGATATTTGGTTCTGGGGTAGGTGTTATAGCTCTTCATACTTCATCTGTGGTTTAACTAATTTTCGCTCCTAGTGCGCGTGATGCCATGCAAAGCGAGCAGCTCTACCGACGCTACTTGAACAAGGGCGACATATTTATCCACGCCAACCTCGAGGGTGCACTTCCCATCGTTGTCAAGAACCGACCCGGCAATCCCGATGCGCCCATTTCGCCCAGCACACTTTCTCAAGCCGGCACTATGTGTGTCTCAACATCGGCGGCTTGGGACTCCAAGGCTGTTATGTCTGCCTGGTGGGTGCATGCGAATCAAGTGACCAAGACTGCGGCAAATGGTGGTGGGATTCTGCCCACGGGTAGTTTCGAAGTCAAAGGCGAGAAGAATTTTTTAGCCCCGTCGCAATTGGTGCTTGGGTTTGCCATTCTGTTCCAGGTTAGCCAGGAGAGTGTTCGGAACCACAAGCAGCGATTTGAGGGAGATGCTCCTGACGAGTTCGGTAGTATTGCGCCAGTTACACAGCCTGCTGCCGAGCAAGAGACCACGAAGCCTGCAGAGCCTACTGAGGAAGCCGTGGAAGAAAAGTCAGCCGAGGAGCCCGCAATCGAGACCCCACAAGAAGGCAATGCATCCGACCAAGAAGACGATGAGGACACAAAGCCTGCCGGGAATCCTCTGCAGCGAGGTGACTCCGAGGGCCCTGTTGATAAGGACGAGCAATCTCCTGAAAGCGAATTCGAAGAAGAGACAAAATCAGAGCCCGACGTCGTCCAAGAAGACGAAGAACTCGAGCAATCCGGTGACGAACCCGAAGGAGACGAGACGGCACAACAAGCAACTGCAAACCAAGAACCTACATCCCCCGAGGATGCACGGAAACAGCTGACAGCGCGAGAGAGACGCGCTTTACGCCAGGGCAAGCCCGTCGATCTACCCGGCAAGGCAGAGCCCGCACACGCACGAATCGCACCCACCCGAGGCAAGAAGGCCAAGGAGAAGCGAGCGGCCGCCAAATACGCCCACCAAGACGACGAAGAGCGCGAACTTGCTCTCCGCCTCCTGGGATCCAACAAAGGCAAAGCAGCAAAGGCCGTCAAAGCCGCCGAATCCAAAGAGCAGCGTGAACGTGAAGCAGAACAACAAAGAGCCCGCCGCCGCGCACAGCACGAACGAGCCGCCGAGGCAGAGCGCAAGCGCCAAGCCCAATTCGCCGAAGGCGCAGACGACTATAACGAGGAGACTGCTGCAGCTGAAGCAGCTGACCTGAGTTGGTTGCCCGCGCTCATCGGCACGCCGACGCCAGAGGATGATCTCCTAGGTGCACTTCCGGTTTGCGCGCCGTGGGCGGCTTTGACGCGGTATAAGTACAAGGTTAAGCTGCAGCCGGGTACGGTTAAGAAGGGGAAGGCTGTCAAGGAGATTCATCATCGGTGGGTTTCTGAGACGACGACCGGCAAGGTTAAGAAGGATCATGCGGAGGATGCGGGCGTTCCGCGTGCTGTGGCTGAGGAACTTCGGGCTAAGGAGGGAGAGCTTATTAAGGGGTGGAAGGAGTCTGAGATTATCAATACGATGGTCGTTGGTAAGGTGCGCATTATGACACCTGGTAGTGCTGGGGGTGGTGGTGATAAGGGGAAGGGCAAGGGTGGAGGTGGTGGTGCAAAGGGAGGAAAGGGTGGCAAGAAGAAATAGATAGACTTCTATAGGTACTCGAACTTTAGATGTATATTGAATTGACTCGGACCTATCCAAGTTTCCAAGGGTTACTAGTACTATGTAGTATCCATTTGCTTGGTCGTAGTACAACCTCGCCCGTTGTATGCCCCTGCTACTGTTAGATGCCTTGGTGGATAGTTATATATCAGATCCATACCCTGCTGAAAATTTGAAGTGCCTGCAGACCTCGGAAGTCCACCACCTGGGCTTGTACTACCTAGTAGTACTAGCTACTCGGAATAAATTAGAGATCAACCGAGCTTACTTCAAGTTCATCTTGGAAGTTAGTTTGTATACTCGCAGTATATTCCTCAATGGATGCTTTACTACTCCGTACTAATACATACTAAAGCGCAAACCCCATCTGAAATTCCCAAGCTGCACTCAAATCGCTTGGATTTTTTCTTCTCCCGTTTTATTCTTCCTATACTAGCCACTAACCACTAGTATTAAATATTAAATGCTAGTTAAAAGTTAGCTTGAACTGTCGTAGGGCGATGTTCGTGCCTGAAAAGCTGAGTCATCCGACGTCATGGCGCGCGATTTTTTTCGTCTTTTCTGCGACTTCAAGGAAAGAAAAGAAAAAGAGTTGAGCAGGAAGAACGACTGAGGGCTAAGAGCAGGCCACGCGCGCAGACAAATCTAATTGGCATCATCCATCCAACATCTGTGGTGACTCAGGCCTCCCAAAGGGATCAGTCTTTTCGCCCCTCGAAGGTCATTTTGCGTGTGCGCGCAACCACCCAACTGCGTCATTGACCCTCCTCGGTTCCTCCTCTCCCTCAAATACCTCATACTTCATATCAAACTGCTGTTTTCCCGAATCCTCGCTGGCAGCAGTCAGCGCAGACTAGCCAGCCGTCTCAACTTCACCACAATGGCCACCTCCGACACAAGAGTCGTCTCCGTGCAGCGACTAAACTCCGGCCCGGGCTCACGCTCACTATCAGAATGGTGGGCCGACGAGCGCAAGAACTCCACGCCCGAATCCAAAGCCGTCGAAGAAGCCGCCAACCTCCTCCGCACCAGCGATATCCCCGTCGCATTCCCCACGGAGACCGTCTACGGTCTGGGCGCTGATGCGACACGCAGCACCGCCGTCCAGGGCATCTATAAAGCCAAGCAACGACCATCTGATAACCCACTGATCATCCACATCGACTCACTAGAGATGCTGGACCGCCTCCTCAACCCAGCCTCAACCAGTCCCAGCATCACAAAGACCCCCCGCATCTCGATTCCAGAAATCTACAAGCCCCTCATCGACCGCTTCTGGCCCGGACCCCTAACAATCATCTTGCCCAACCCTTCAGGCTCCGAACTCGCGCCGGAGGTAACCTCCAAACTAACAACCTTTGGCGCACGCATGCCCTCATCCCCACTAGCCCGCCTTCTAATTCACGCAACGGACCGGCCCCTCGCCGCTCCCTCAGCCAACGCCTCGACAAAGCCCTCGCCCACAACAGCGCAGCACGTCCACCACGACCTGAAGAACCGCATCGACCTAATTCTCGACGGTGGGGCCTCAGGCGTCGGCGTCGAAAGCACCGTCGTCGACGGTCTTTGCTCTCCACCCGCTATCCTACGACCGGGCGGGATAGGTATCGATGAGCTGCGCCAGTGCGCGGGGTGGGAAAATGTCACCGTCGCTTACAAGGACGGCACGTTGGATATCAAGGACATCCCTCGGGCCCCCGGCATGAAATATCGACACTACTCGCCAAAGGCGCGAGTCGTTCTCTTCGGGAGTGGGTCCAAGGAAGAGTGCGTCACGAAACGTGTTCGGAAAGATCTGTCCGACTCGGCTGTCGGCGCACACACCATCGGTATTGTGCGCACGAGAAACTGGAAACAAGGTCTTGGTCTTGCTCCGGATGATGTGATCGCTAGTACGGTGAAACCGGTTGATGGTGCGGCCATTGATAACTTGACCAGTTTCTCTATACCCGTGCAGCAGACCGGTAGTTCGAATAGCCGGACCAAGATGGCGTATGATTACCACCTTGGTTTGGAGACGGAATCTATTGCTCATGGTCTATTTGCTGCGCTGCGGGCGTTGGATGAATTCGACGTTGACGTTATCTATGTGGAAGGCATTAATGACCGGGATGGTGATCTTGCTGCTGCCGTTATGAATAGACTTCGCAAGGCGGCTGGGTCTGAATTGAAGGTTTAAATGGAATGGCTTTGGCTTTGCGGATGTTTACATACATGACTACTTGGGTTGCAGATAGAAGGAGAAATATGGATTTATTGTACATTTTCAGCGTTGATATCAATCCCAATAGATAGGAAGTCATATGGAAATTCCAAATGCATATCTCCATGGGGTGAACAGAGTAGGACCTACTAGCGTGCATGAGTCAAGATGTGCCAATCAATCCTAATCTCCATCCATACTATAAAGGACTAAAAGGTAACATAATATGACTTGATAGGTATTATAACGTTATACACAGTTAGAGAAAAGTTTGAAACATAAGCCCGCAACACTTTTTAAAGCTGATCTTCCCTTTTCCCAGGGTGCTTTAGGGCCAATGAAAGCCCTGTAAGTCCCACGCAATCCATTGTCCGTAGATATGGCTCAGCTGGCTGAGATGTCCTGACTACCGGCTCTGTTATCTCCGGCTCCAGGGCGCCGCTCATATCAGTTATCGGAGTGATGCCTTCCTCTACTAACGGCGATGGCAAAGGGAAGCAGTCACGGGGCCCAGAGGGTTTCGCTGCTATAGGAAGAGTGAAATAATTCTGGTCCAATGGACTGGTATGTAAAGTATCAGTTTCTTGGCTAGGCTTATGGCTGCTTCCTAGTCCAAGTGTCTTTTGTAAGACAGGACAGGTTCGAACAACGAGATTGCGGAAAGATGGAATGCATGCGATAAGGATGGCAATGCAAACTTCGATGGATGACCAATTCAAGGCCTCTACAAGGTCCCCTGGCGAGAATTAGCCTGGAAATAGAGGGAGGAAAGATGCAAGGGAAGAGAAAGCTAACAAGTCAGATCCTTCTCAAAATGCCGTATATAAGCGACACGAACTATGCTCGTTACACATACCCTGTATCATACTTAGAGCAGATCCCACATGAAAGCAAAGACAAGAGTAGATATATAATGACTTACAGCAATCCCAAGCCGAACATCACTACCAGGCCAGCTTTTACACCAAAAGGCATTTGAAGCCTTAGCACATGTGGGATAGGTAAAAGAAAAAGAAGTATGTCAGTAGCCAGCCTCGTAGCGAAGGAGATGAAGTAGAAAACATAAAGATCGATACAGCTGCCCGCTACTGTTGTAGGGTGGAAAAACTTGCTGACTGGTGAACATTGAAAAATGACAACAAATAATTCTTCGATGAATTGGCAAGTCACGATCACAATGACCAAGTAGTATAACCACCTTAATTTGGTAATCGAAAATACCTTGAGGTATAGGAGACAGAAAGAGATCTTTATCGATGCTAAGGAGATGAGGTAAGAGATTTCGAGAACGAAATCAAGCTATACAGCATTTGTCAGCGATAAAAATGATTATGCGACCTCGATTTGATTTTATACCTTCAATAACATAGTCACCTTCGTCACGTCGGCCTCGATAAGTGCAAATCGTCTTCCATAGCCGTAGCGAGTCACTGCAAAGCGATGAGATACGTGGTTGACTGGGAGGCTTAGATAGGAAATCCATGACTCACACCACATGGAGGTGAAACATAAAACAAAGGCAAATACCTAGGGGATTATCGACAACAGCAACATTAGAAGTGTCCGGTATGAATGTGCGTTACTTTTCTGGCAATTACTTACCCAGCTTAGTAGTAAAAAACCTGGATCATGGAAGATGAGCCTAAGGAGACTATAACCCGTTTCAATACCGGAGCCACGTACCGTCATCGACATCAAAACGACGTGCGTATGTTTGGGCTATCATCCGAGCACAAACACCAGCAGTAGCCAGCGAAATGCAGACTGCGTTGCAGCTGATGATACTTGCCACTTTCGATCCCTCTAGGGAGGTTGAAGGTATGGATTTTTGTTGCATTTAATCGTCTACCAGCGTCGATCCTGTTCAAAAATGTACACGATTGAATAGTTCTTGACTTGATGTCGATTTTTGCCTTTTTTGTTGTTGCAGCGTGGGGAGGCAATACCGCACAGTGACGGCATGAAGTACGAGCGATGGGCACTTCCGGGTATTCGAACTGAGGAGTCAGATTTTCCCCGGAGACTCGATGTGTTGGCAACGTTGAGATAAATTGTTTGTCACAAGGTGCAGATATGTAGTTATATAGCTAGCCTGAAAAAAGGCCGGGACAGTTTCTGCGCTTTAATCAAGGTGAAGAAGCTCGGCAAGTGGATATGATGAGACCCTTTTCTACCGGGAATTTAAGCTCTCCCCATAGTTTGTGGTGTGGGCTCTCAAGGGGCGAATCCCCCACATTCCACTGGAAGCTTTCCACGTTCCGAAGATGCGGGCGGGAATTCAAAGGTCATCGCGTCAGTGGCATAGATCTGGACTGCAGTGGCCTACCCAATCTACTGGGAGTACCATTCTCTACGGTAGTCATGTGATACAGACCTTGGTTTTTAAGACACCATTTTCTTTGCCATGCAGTATAAGAACACTCAAAGGAACACCTTCATGAGTGATAACTACTAGTAGTACGCACTAGATGTACAGGTATGAGCGTGCTATTCGTAGTTGTGACAAAATATATGACTTTATAACCATAGCAATTCAGAAACAGCTAAAGATTTAGTAAAATACAAATGCTGATTGGACAAAATTCAGGGGTTGATTTAAGCGCCCAATGATCATTGAGCATTAGTCATGCTTGACATGACTGGTCTAGCATGGACTTGACTTCGTATTGGCTGGCCCGATCCGTTGGGCATGTTCAAGTGCTGTCATTTGAAACTTGCTGAAGATCAACATATACTGAGTGCGGGACAAAAGCGCAGCCTCGCCTTCTATTTACTAAATACCTTCAAAGTTGGGGTTGCTGAGCTGGGCGCCTGTTACCAGCCTTTATTAGTCCTTCGCTCTACCTCCTTTAGCTTCATCTCTCCTTTTCCATCTTCCTCATGTCCATCCTTCCAAAGAAAAGAATAAAGGAATTGTATAAGGAGGGGAAAAAAACAGATGGGCTGCAGCGATGTGGGCAAAGTCTTCAAGAACCACATAAAATGACATTTTCATCGATACTACCCAAGCAGTACTGCCAGCATAGAGGCAATGCTATTAAGAACGGCCGCCCGAATACTCAAATCATCATACCGAGTTCCAAAGATCGATGCGAAAAAATCCCATGACGCGACTGCCTATAGAGAACTGCCATGGGACCCCAGGAGGTTGGTCCATGATAGGCCTTCTATGAGCAATCCCACTGGATTTTGTCATGTCGTTCGTTGTACTGGAACAGGTCCTTGAACAAGGAAGGCGGATGTAGAGTTCTGACACAGCTCCAGTCTTCTCAGAAATACAGAACCATGCATTCGGTATCGGCACCTAATCTAACGGTGTGATACCTATCAGACTGGCTGCCATAGTGTTTGATTATGGTAAAATCTGATTGTAAATACATAGCTTTGATGCCCTGCATATTCTCCTGGACTTTCCAGTTCAGTCTATGCGGAGTATACCCAGCTAATGCAGCTGGTCTGCAACTGTGGAGGCCAGTCGGAGACCTCCGAGCCAACTAAGACAAAGCTTATCAACGTGCCTGAGCCACGAAACGGCCAGTATTCACTGGGTTTGGGCGGGGAAACATGTGGGTGTCGAGATAAGAAAGCAGAGCCACGGCCCCGCTCGATTAGGAGAACCAATTACCCTACCCACATGCCACCTAAACTTGAATATCTTGGGGCATTCAAATCTTCATCTCGGCGGCGGACCAAATAGGCAAACCCACCCGCCCCATAAGTACACGTACAAGTTCAAATCCAAATCCAAATCCAAATAATCTACCCCTGGGCTGCTTTTTCATCTCTCAAGTCTCAATCTACTTTATATTTCACAATGTGCAAATCTCCGCTCCACGACTTCCTCCATGGTCTTCCCAAATGTGAACACCACGTTCACCTGGAAGGCTGCATGTCACCAGAGTTGATCTTCACCCTGGCTGAGCGCAACAACATCACTCTCCCAGACCCAGCAACAAACCCAGCCTACGGCTCCATCGCCGCCCTGACAGCCCGATATGAGCACTTCAGCTCCCTGGACGACTTCCTCGCCTTCTACTTCCAAGGAATGGCCGTCCTGATGAATGAAGCCGACTTCGCCGATCTCGCCTGGTGGTATTTCAGCAAAGCCCACGCCGACGGCGTCCACCACGCTGAAGTCTTCTTCGACCCGCAGGTCCACATCGACCGGGGTATCCCCTACGAGACCGTCGTCAACGGATTCTCCCAGGGCTGCAAGCGCGCCGAAAGCGAACTAGGTCTCAGCACGCGGCTGATCCTCTGCTTCGTGCGCCATCTGCCTGTTCCTTCTGCCGCGGATGTTTACGAGAAGTTCATTTCTAGCGGTCACTTCGAGGCGGGTGTCGTGCATGGTCTTGGTTGGTCTTCTACCGAGGTTGGACCGCCCAAGGACATGTTCCGGGCCCAATATGCCGATGCCGTGCAGAAGGGTATTCCGCTCACTGCGCATGCTGGTGAAGAGGGTGACCCGACCTATATTAGCACGGCGCTGGAACTCGGCGCTACCCGTATCGACCATGGGATTCGCCTGATTGAGGATCCGGAATTGATGAAGCGTGTTGCGAGGGAGGGGACTTTGTTGACTGTGTGTCCGCTGTCGAATGTGCGGCTGCGCTGCGTTCCATCGGTGGAACATGTTCCTATTCGTCGGTTCCTGGAGGCTGGAGTCAAATTCTCGATTAACAGTGATGATCCAGCTTACTTTGGCGGGTATATCCTGGATAATTACTGCGCGGTGCAGGAGGCTCATAAGCTGTCGGTTCTGGAGTGGCGGATCATTGCGGAGAATAGCGTGCAGCAGAGTTGGATTGAGGATTCACGCAAGGCGGAGCTGCTGGAGAAGATTGAGAGCCATGTGAAGCAGCACATGGTCGTGGAGGTCTAAGTTCGAAGAGCTATGTGATATGATTGTGCTGGTGATTGACATATCTGATACCCGGTGATTCAACATTTTGTGTATATACCACCCTTATTCCATATTTTCAACCTATACATTCGAGAAGGAAAGCTCTCGATTGGCGAATTCAATGAGTATATCATTATATTTTCCATTATATCCTCAGCACAAGTGCCTTGTTCACCAAGTTTCATGCTAATGCCTCAGGAACCTGGCATCCAGAGCATAACTATAGGTCAGCAAGCTTAGCCAAGACGACAACCATAATCCCTGCAACCGACCAGGCAAGTTGGACCACCCCGCATGTCCCGGCTTCTCCTCTCAACCTGGTCTATCGCCAGAGGTCCCAATCGGCATCAGCTCATCCACTACGCCTCATATCCATTGCGCAAAGCTCACATTCCCTCGTGTCGATCGGGTGCTACGTCTACTACAACATCTGCACTGCGCAGCACAGGCCTTGCCGTGTTGCCCGACCGAAGGATGTCTACATCTACGCCTCACTCTGGCGAGACCAGAAAGGACTCAGGTGCTCGTGCGGATCGCTACAAACTCGTTTTCTTCGTGCCGACCGAGAACACGGAGACCTGCAAAGAGGCCATCTTCGCGGCGGGCGCGGGCTCATTCCCAGGTGGAAGATATACCAAATGCTGTTTCCAGACCATCGGAACAGGCCAGTTCCTTCCCAACGATGGTGCAAATCCGGCGATTGGGGCAGTTGGCATCGTGGAGAAGTGCGAAGAGGCTCGGATCGAGGTGATGTGTTTGGGACGTGAGGTGATGCTTAGCGCGGTGGATGCCCTAGTCGATGCGCACCCGTATGAGGAAGTCCCCTATGAGGTATATCGAATGGAGAATGTGTAATCAAAGCATTTCAGTTAGTTGCGGCCAATGTCAATGGTATGATAAGATTGTGATATTGTGAGGAGTGTAGAGTGTAGAATTGTAGAGGAAAAGGGTGGAGGGTCAAGGTGGAAGTAATCTGTCGACGCTGATTGGTCAGCCACCCGCAAAGCCCAACTCCAACTTCATCCGCTTCTTCTTCCATCTTCACTCCGTCACTCTACTCCCTTTACCCCCCCCCCAATCCTCTCCCACAATGGCCTCGAAACTATTCCCCGTTTCGCGCGCCACTCGCGCCCTGCGCCGATTCCCTACTCCTACCCCCTACAGATCCTTTTCCGCCGCCCCCCAACGGTGCAGCGATGTGTTGATGATCGTACGTGATCTTTCGAAACCCCTCCGTTCTGGCTGGCATGGGCTACTCCAGACCACCTTCGAGAATTATCCCAAGAAGGCCAATCGACTAATCTCAACTCAATTGAATAGCACCGCAACAAGCCGACCAACAACCCTTCCCTCCCCTTCAAGTTTTCCGACCAGAACCTCACGCTTGCCGATGAGATCCTCAAGCGTTACCCTCCCCAGTACAAGAAGGCCGCCGTCATGCCCCTCCTGGATCTCGGCCAGCGTCAACACGGCTTCACCAGCATCAGCGTCATGAACGAGGTTGCCCGCATGCTCGAGATGCCCCCCATGCGTGTTTATGAGGTCGCCACTTTCTACACCATGTACAACCGCGACCCCGTCGGCAAGTACTTCTTGCAGATCTGCACAACCGTAAGTCCCGGATCCTCACATCTACCTCCCCGTCACTCCTGGTTACTAGAGTCTAACAATTGGTTTCCCCACAACAGACTCCCTGCCAACTAGGCGGCTGCGGCAGCGACGCTATTGTCAAGGCTATCAACGAGCACCTCGGCATCACCCCCGGCCACACCACCGAGGACGGCCTCTTCACCTACATTGAGGTCGAGTGCCTCGGTGCCTGCGTCAACGCCCCCATGGTCCAGATCAACGATGACTACTACGAGGACCTGACCCCCGAGTCCATCAAGACCCTCCTGACCGCGCTCAAGGACTCCGCCTCCACCACCGGCACCAAGGTCCCAGCCCCTGGCCCTCTGACCGGCCGCGACACCTGCGAGAACAGCGCCGGCCTGACCAACCTGACCGAGCCCCCCGTCTGGAACCCGGAGACGATGATGCGCAAGGACAACGCCCTGGACGAGCAACCGCAGCAATAGAGGGGCCATCCCAGCAACGCCCCCACTGTTCTTTGTTTTTTATTTTCCTAACGGAATGAGTTTCCTTTTTTTTTTTTCTCATAATGAGGGCTTCTACTTTGGTCGGGCCCGGCGCTTTCGATGCGGAGCGAAAAGGATAGAAGACAAGTCGGGTTTCCTGTCAAGCGCCCCTTTGTTCTTTTACCATGTACAGTACGTGGCTCCTGCTTTTTGGGAGCAGATCTGTTGAGTCACTATAGGCATCAATGCAGTTCAATCTCTTTAGTTTTTCTTCCATGGGATATTTGTTTTAAGCCTGTAAGGGTTTCAAGGGTAAGCCCAGGCCATTGTTTAACGAGATTATGGTTAAGTAGGCAATCGAATGCGACAACATACTTCAATTCTTTTCAGTTCACAGCATACGTTGTACTATCATTGCTTCCGGATTCTTCAGACTTTCTCCGCTTTCAAGATGATACTACCCGAACACTACACCATTCTTGATGAACTTCTCATCATGTACGCTTGGCAAGGATCGCCATAGCTCTGGAGGATAGCAGCTCGGTCGCGTCTTAGCTGGTTCTTTGACGGACACGCCGCTCTTCTCCCAACCAGTCGTCGCTTGGCCTCTTCACTAGCGCGAGGATGGGGTCCCTTCTGCGTACGACGTGGCCTTCCCACTTCTCGAGGACGGTGACATCTGCAGTTTCCTCAGCTATCAAGTGATGCACGTAGACTTGCTTAGTCTGTCCTGGACGACGGACACGACCGATAGCTTGTTCCATATCATCTTTCCACTGGTCATGGGTTTCGGCCAGGCGTGGATTGACAAAAATGACATGATTTGCGCACTGGAGATTCCTGCAAAACATATTTTTGTTAGTTCAACTTCATTTCCAAGGCTTTTTCTCTTTCGGATCTTGCAATTGGCTGAATCCACTTACTGTCCAGCCATGTCCTCGCCCCCAAGAAGCAAAATAAGAACTTTGTTGAATTTGAAGTCCTTCGCTTTCCCCTGCTTCTTTTTGAATGTCTCAATCGAGCTGACCACTGGTTTTCCCTTTGCACAGATACACTCAAAGTTGTCTTCCAAGTTTTCCTGGAGCAAGCTTTTGATCGTCTCGAACATAGGCTCGTATTGGCAGAACACTAACACCTGATCGTCCGGAGGGTGTGCTTGATGATCCGGATAAGATTTTGCAGCTTCGAACTGTACTTCGATACAGTTTCTTTGTCTTCTTCGTCTTTACCGAAGTCCTTTATTTGAACCTGGTCGGATATTGCTGCTGATCCTGAGCATTGATGTACCCGGCATGTCCGAGTCTCATGTTGGACCTTATCCAAGCACGTCTGGCAAAGAATATGTCCGCATGATCGCAAGATGATGATTGCTGATTTTTCAATTGTCTCCCGGCAAGATGAGCAATGAGCAATGACAGTTTGATTCAACTGGTTCATTTGCGTCGGGGTGTAGTCGACAGGCTGTGGTCCAGAATCGGATATCTTGGTTCATCTTGGCCAGGTGCTCAAAGCGACACACAATTTGATCAGTGACTTCTTCAGGAGAATTCATCTGAGAAGGGTTCTGATTACCCTCACGAGATTCTTCTTTCGATTCTGCTTCCTTCTTCCTGTCTTCCTCTGAGTCTTCGTCATTCATTTCTTGCTCGTCATCTGGCTCGTCATATTGCCTGTCATCTGGTTCATCATCTGGCTCGTCATATACCGAGCGTTCTTCCTCATCCCCTTCCTCATCTCCTTCCTCATCTCCTTCATCTGCATGTTCAATCTGACCGACCTGTTCATTCTGTTGATTCTCTTCGCTTCCTGTACTCGCCTCCCATTCATCCCACTTATCTGCCATCGTCATGACCTTTACTCCATGCTGGACGTCGTGGATTGACTTTAGCAGGTACCCAAGGACTCCAGTCACGCGAATCGAGAATTCCGGATCTCCGAATCCGCGGATTTCATCTTTATCTTGCAATTTCGCCATGATCAACTCGGACAAGTCCTTGAACAAGTCCTTGTGACACTCGTCGTACATTTCCATGAAGCCTTTGCACTCCTCCCTCAACTTTTGCCAGTTCGTCTTAAATCTGTCTTCGGACTCTTTCATCCTGTATTTACAGATATCAAAGCTGTAGGGCGAGCTTTTGTATGTGGCTGAGAGAGAGCAGAGCAAAGGCGCATGCTCGTATCCGCCTGCCTCAATTGCACACTTCATGAGTTCCTTAAAGCAATCTTGTAGGCTGGGGGGGGTACTCGATTGCTCCGGTCGGAGATGTCGCCATTGCCCTGCTCCCTAAGGAATCTTTCAAGGATCAGATACACATGTCGTTCATCTGCAGATTGCTGGAACCCGCCATAGAAGGCATCAAATGGAATCCTCTCCTCGACATAATTCTGGCGCGCGAATCGATTAAGAAACTCTTGGGCATGATTCCGTCTGTTCTTGTACCAGGCCTCGCTGTGAACGGGTTGAAACCTCTCAAGTTTTTGCAAGTGGGAGTACTTTTCTCGAGTGTAGGCCAATCGTTTGTTGGCTGATGCGATATCACCATCGTCGTCGATCCCCAGGTGTGCCCCCAGTAGCCTCGCAATTGTCTTGACATCAGCAAAGTCCTCCAACCCCGGCGTGCCTGACAAAATCCATTTCGTATAGGCATTTAGACAAAGTATGGCTTCCGATCGGGATCCCTTCCCATTGTCCCATAAGAGATGGTATTCATCGACGACAAGCCGAGCCCAGCTGTATTTTTTCAGAAACTCGACACATTCAGAATGATCCAGAGCACTGAGGCTCACAAGAACAATTCTGGCCCCTGCAATTTGAGATTTTCTCTTCTTTTTACCCTTGGGATTTTTGAAGTCGGCAGCCGTTTTAATATCAACAACAAAGTTCTTTTTCCGATAGTCTTTTGTGAGAAATTTCTCGGTCTCCTCTGACCACTGCCCGATGATGTTCGATGGAGCGATGATGATAGTTGCATTGGTTTGCTTCAGTCCAGACTCTGTATTTGGAATTCTGTCATTCCACCCATTCTCCCACTGACTGGAAATCAGTCCTAGCATGAGCGCCGTTTTACCGAAGCCGACTTCATCGGCGCAGAGACCGCCTCGAATAACCGTCTCAACAGTAACTCTAACTTCAGCTCGCCAGGCAAGTGCGGACAATGGGGCTTCATCCACTTCCATCTCGACGAACGGTTCAATGTTTGGTCTTTCCTGGTCAATCATCCAATCCAACGATCTTTGTTGCTCTTCGCGAAGAAAAGCTGGTAGACCCCTGCGAGGAGAGACCTCCTCAGTATTCTTGAGCCGGAACTTCCCATGGTATTTTCTGCCCACGTCGAAGTAGTTCGACTCGAGCCGCCAGCTGATTTGAGGGGCCTTGCCTTTCAGCAAAGGAAGCATGTTTTGACAGGCTGTGTGGGCCATGGCCCGAATGTTGAGAGCGAATTGGAGTTCTAGGTTGTCATTTTCGAGCTCGCGAGTTCGAATAATCCATTTTGGCCACTTTGTTTTCATCAGGCGCTCGTAGGCAATTGCTTCTTGATCATTTCCAGGTTCAGGCATTTTAGGATGGCAAATTTCGCAGATCGTACCCTGTTGGTGCTGAATATCTCCATCGACGGTGACGTCTCTCCATCCCTCAAGCCCCATCTGCAAAGAAGATCTTTCAAAAGCCCAGGCAGCTTCTTTCAATATCTCAGGGGACCTTTCAATATTATGATGTTTCCAGAGCGTGGAGTCCTGGGGAGGAAGGTTGAAAACCGCCATGGGACCGCTGGCAATCAGTAGACGGCTGAAACTATGGCCGTTGTCTCCGCCATCAAAAGTCACAGTCGGCCGAGGGATCAGTGGTTGACATGACACTTCAGAATCGATGAATTCCATCAGCATAACCTCCGGCTTAGTTAGCCATGCTCGATAGAAAAGGTTGACAGGCTTGTCGGTGGCTGTGACACTCTCCGGCCTCCATTCATGAGATAATTCGGCAATTGTAATGCGAGGGGCATATCCTGAAATGCGATCATGTTCGAACGCAAATACAAACGAATCATGTTTAACATCGCTACATTTCTGGGGATCAAAGAAGAGGAAGATGGGTGTATCCTCGTATCCATCTATACTCGCCTCGGTCTCTACCCTCTTGTAGAGGGCGCCAAAGGCCGTACCGCAGTTAGGCAAAAGTTCGTAGGTGCCGCATAGATCCTCCAGATATTCATTTCCATTCGACTTCACCGAAATCCTTTCATAAACCTTTTGGCGGGTAATGGAATTTTCGGAAATTCCACAGCGAACAGGGTATACTGGAAGCCGAGAGCTCAATGTGTTGTCTATCCCACTGATCGTGACCGACGATTGAGTACTGATTGGCTGGCTGATCTTCCACCGACCTTGAAGAATCGTTCGGTCTGGTGTCATTCTTGGTGTCATTTTTGCAATTGGTTTCGCAAATATCTCTCGGAGCAAGCATCGGGCAGGGTAATCGGCTGGCGGCTTAGCGAAGAAAAGCCATTGGATTGATTTCCTGCCGATTACTAGCTGCAGCGTGCTATTGGGTCCCTCGTAAAAGACAGCCCAGGATTCTGCACGCTTAATGTTAACAAAATTAACGGTATCTGCGACAGCAGCTCCAATCACACTTCTGTATTTTTCCCGATCATCGGGTTTGGGGATAATATTGCTGCTTCTGGTGCTAGTGGTCTCGTTGCCGGTGGTCTTCTTGGCGACGGTCTGTCTGACGATAGCTTTTTTGGCGTAGCTCTTTTTGGCGGTACCATTGCCCCTTTTACATTTTTTTGTCTTTTCTTCTCCGTTGCTTTCTTCGCCTTCGCTTGCGCCATCATTAATGTCGATACCGCCGTTCTCACTCAGGGTTGGATCGAGAAATTGATCAAACATACTTCCATCGAGCCCCGGCAAGCGGAGCCTCATCGGCAGATCTTTCCGCAAGCTCTTGATGAATTCAAGTGGTTCAAGGCGCTGTATCGAGGCCATAGCCGTTGGGCCATGAGGAGGGTCCCTGTTACAGGAGTTGCATGAGGTGTGTCCACAAAGATTACACATGAAGATTTCCGACCGAGTCTCGGATTGCTTTTCACAGTAGCAGTATCGAGAACTGCCTCTTGCCCATTTCTGCATCCTACCCATATCATTGCACAGGTTAGACACCTGTTCTTCGGGGTCTAAAACCTCTGAGGGCTTTGCAACTTCACTGCAAAACATCTCTTTCTCGTCAAACTTTGCTTTCTTAAGCTCGGCCTCAAAGTCTAAAGCATTCGTCTTCTCTTTGTTTTCAGGATCGTCAGTTTCTCTCTCCTTCAGAAATTGATGGCCATGGATAAGCGTCGCCAATGTGACTGCGCATACAACGGTTGAAGTCATCGCATTACCAGCTAGTTGCTGGAGCTCGTCTTGTGTCTCTCGAGTGAAGATCATTTGCGAAAGTGGCAGTCCTTGCATTGCAAGCGCCTCTTGTCCTGTAAGTGGGCCGCCACGAGTAGAACAAAAGTGAATGCCCTTCGGTGTTACGCATGCCACATTGCCGAATCCTTTGGTCCCCTTTCTCTGCCGATCGACAGCTTGTGAAATATTCATCCATCTTTCCTTGAAGCTCATGTCAAATGTACTCTTACCACGACCGGTGGGTGTCATTGCCTTTAGGAATATGATATCAAGGAGGTCCTTCTCTCGTTCACCTCTTGAATTGAACCACGTATGCATGTAAAAGTCGGGTCCTTTACGGGCATCCATTTTCGACCCGGGGTTGCTGATAGGCTTTTGCTGACCTAGATCGAATTCCTGACGTTGGTTTCGGTGCAAATTCTGTGCTTTGGTCCATTCGGTCGAACTGTTCTTTTTCGTCACAATGTCGCGATCGTTGACGATCTGGTTCATCTGTTTGCTGTTCTCGTCAAGCAAGAAGAATCCGCCCGGGCAACTTGCTTGTCGCTTCAGACTGTTGACCAGGGTCTTCACCTGAGTAAGTTTTTGCTCAACTGATCCCTTGGGACCATTCTCCTTCCTGATGCACACCATGTATCTTCGCTGGCGTGTTTGCGGCAGATAAAAGTTTTTGGTGTCAACATCGATGATCTCTGTTGCATAACCATGCGTGTTGTAGTGGTCCGCCATAGCCTCCCAAACTTTCGGCTTGGCTTTCACATTCTCCAGGATGAGGATTGCAGGTTTGTGCTTTCTCACGTAGTTCAAAAGGCCAAAAAATGTTTTCGAAGATTCGCCTTTGCCCGTTTCGGCAAGTTCCTTTTTGTTGTTGTTCAGGTTTGAGAAGTCTACGCAGGAAGTGCCAGCGATCAAAAGATCAACGCTGTCAGGTACGTCCGCGTGGACCCCATAGGCTGTGTAGCTGTAAGGTGTGAGAAATTTTCACTAGATCAATTCAAGACTTTGGAGAACCTACGCCTTTGGCTCTTTCAGCTCTTTTATATCTCGAAAGAGGAGCGGAGGGCGGCAGGTGCGTTCAATGTACGCTTGTCGGTAAGCAACAATCTCACAACTGAAAACATGTTCGAATTCCAAATCCAAGCCGGTTTGGAGTTTCTCCAGGGCTGCAGCTAGCGTGGTCAGAACTATGTGCATCTCGCAATGCATGGAACAATATTTTGAAGGGTGACTTGATACTCGCCTTTCTTGACCATGTTCATAGCCAACAGCGGGCTCTCAGTACCCGAACATACGGTTGCAACACGCAAAGGTCGATCCTTCAATATTCTCAAGGCTTTTCCAAGATCATTCGACAATGCATTTTGAGTCAAGTCTACGAAGATGTCTTCGAGGCGATACAGGGGAGGCTGGTCGTAGTCGAAGTAGGTTTTGTCCGAAGAGGATGACCCTCTCATCTCCTCCGGAGACATAGCCCCTTCACGTTGCGCCATATTTTCACGGGCCCGAAGACTAGAAAGTCTAGCAAGAAACTCTTTGTCTTTTTTTCTTTGCAAATTCTTGGAGGTCTAATATAGTACCGTCAGCGACAAGATCCAACTGCGTTCTCCTTTACTCCGAAGACAGAATGGAGAATCTCAAGACCAAATGAACTGAGCCCTCGGTCTGATCATCTTATTCTCTCTCATATGGCTTTCATTTCTCTTATGTTGGTCATACCTGGGATAGGTGCCGTTGAGGGCACTGCTGGTCACGTGTGGTGTGTGTTGCTAAGTGGATGTGCGTGGTCAAGATTCAGACATGCGTGGAAAATGAGAAACAGGGTTGGGGTAGGGGGAGCGGGGCGTGGCAGTTAATGTCACCTGCGGTAAGGGTGCGTGTATTTAACCATAGTACGTGACGCGACGCCCTGTCTCTTGCAACAGTGTTCTGAAAGGCTAGAGGGCATCGTAACTATTGTATTCCTGCAGTTTATGGTCATCTTTTGATTCTTCACAAAATACCTTCTTCCTTCACTATAACTTATTTGTGACCTTTTATCTAAAAAGCCAGGATCACGCATTTTTCATAAGAGAGTGCAGGAATTAATTGTCTTTTGAGAATGAATATTCGAAATAATAATGCATGCACAAACCTACTGTGAATGCCTTTAACTGTCTGTCGGGACTATCCGTTGTCAATAACAAACAGTCATTTCTGAAGTTAAGCATTTGAACGGCAAAGATGGGACGCCGCATGGGATAATGATCAGCAATACATGGATAAAGGGGATGATCCTCGAAGTAAACATTTAAATTGTAGATTTCATATTGTAAAGTATTCGAACAGTAAAATAGCTGATATGCGGAATGTTATGATTGAAACAGACAACTCCAGTTACGCCGTCCTTCGCCGTGGCAAAAGTCATCCAGGGGGGAAAAAAGCAAGATAGGTCCAGACGTCATTCAAATAGGAAGACAGCTCTCTGATGGATGCATTGAGGGGGAGGCGAGATAGGCCTTTCGGGGCCAGGTTCGGTGGATGAATGGAGTAGCGGAAATGAAGGATGTTTTCGTTCTGTCTTTCGGGGTTCTGATGGATTTTCGGGTAGTTGGTGATTAGATTTCGATTGTTTCTCCTCGCACTCATGCTGTCGAAGCTCGGTTGCGATTACCGCATACCGCCCTGCATTAACTGCTGGCGGAGGATCATGATCTGATTCCTCTCGTTCGGAGGCAGGGCATCAATTGCAGCCTGTGGCATGCTAAGAACCTGCTGCAGAAGTTCATCTTGGTTTGGGATCTGAGGAGCAGCTGGTTGTGGTGGAGGCGGGGCGAAAGGTCCGCCAGCCACAGGGGGAGTCCCAATGTGACCTGGCATAGCTCCGTATCCTTGGTACTGGGGTGCAGGTTGAGGAGGCGGCGCTGACTGGGATGCCTGTTCCACAATTGATCCCAAGAGTTGATATTCCACCAGGTTCATCAGCAGCATGGCCTGAAAGATCGCAAACGCGAGCTGGGGAGCTTGGCGCAGGAGCTCTGTTGCGCGAGCAGGGTCGGCCACTGCGAGAGCCTTCATCTGGGTGAGGACATCGAGGAGCCGGTCCGGTGAAAGAGTTGCAAGAGTGTGAGAAATGACACCTGGGGTTTCGAGATGGGGCGGGACCTCAACTCCCGGCGGAAGAGGAGGGAGGGGTACAGATCCGGGAATCTGTTGCATCTGTTGTGATGGGTCTTGGGTCATGGGTTGCGAATCTTCCGGATAGTCTGTAGGTACTGAGTCCTTTTCATTGTTATGCGGCCAGTCGACCCGAATCTTGCGGCCCATGATCTCGTAGTCGTTCAGGTTGCGCACGGCTGACGCTGCAGCATCAGCGTCGGAGAAGTCGGCAAATCCATATCCTTTTGGTTTTCCCGTCTCAGGGTTCATCATAAGGCGAAACTTTGTGACAGTGCCTGCTGTGGTGAGGATGTCTTTGACTTGCTCCTCAGTGAGGTCTGAAAGCACATTGAGTTAGCATAGGCAACCAAGGTTCCGGATTCCTGTGAATTGTACGCACTGTAGGGGATGTTCCCCAGGAACACACTCTTTCCTGAGCGATCTGGCGCCATGTTTCTTAGTTGATGGCGACAAGGTCGAGTGATTGAAGAAGGAAGGACGAGTCTCGCTCAGCTAACTTGTGAAAGATGATTCTGCCGGACTTTCCATCTGACCGCCTACTGCTGACCTTTGCTCTGCAACCTTCCCGGACGCATCCACTCAACCAACACCCCGTCTCTATTCACACTCACACATCATGTCTCAGAATCAACGAGAGGCTTGGGAGCGCGTGCAGCTCATGCTGCAAAAGCGCAAGGGCAGTTTCCCTGGAGGTGGTGGTCGTGGCAGCTTTGGTCTGGCCGGTACTCTCATCCTGCTTGGTGTCGGAACCTGGGCAGCTTCCAACGCTCTTTTCAACGGTATGCAATCTGTACCATGCTCGATCGAACCAGTTTTTTGACCAAATCTACAGTTGACGGTGGTCACCGTGCTATCAAGTACTCGCGAGTAAGTGGTGTGCGGAAGGAGATCTACGCCGAAGGTAAGCCCCGATTCCCCGGGAAAGCTAGCACGACGAGCCAGTCTAACATCTCGGCATTATTACAGGAACCCACATTCAGATTCCCTGGCTCGAGACCCCCATCATCTACGATGTCCGCGCGAAACCGCGCAACATTGCCTCCTTGACCGGCACCAAGGATTTGCAGATGGTCAACATCACCTGCCGTGTTCTGTCCAGACCCCGTGTGGACGCACTACCCCAGATCTACCGTACCCTCGGTCAAGACTTTGACGAGCGTGTGCTTCCCTCGATTGTCAACGAGGTCCTGAAGAGCGTCGTGGCTCAGTTCAACGCCAGCCAGCTGATTACGCAACGTGAGAACGTCGCCCGTCTGGTCCGCGAGAACTTGGCTCGCCGTGCCGCCCGCTTCAACATCGCCCTTGACGATGTCTCTCTGACTGTATGAGATGCCCTGCGCCCCCAACTCGAGATAGAATTTAGCTAACATGTATGCGCTCTACAGCACCTGACCTTCTCCCCCGAATTTACCGCCGCTGTTGAGGCCAAGCAAGTCGCCCAGCAGGACGCCCAGCGTGCCGCCTTCGTGGTCGACAAGGCCCGCCAAGAGAAGCAGGCCTTCATTGTCCGCGCCCAGGGTGAGGCACGCTCCGCCGAGCTGATTGGTGACGCTATCAAGAAGAGCAAGAGTTATATTGAGCTGCGCAAGATCGAGAACGCCCGCCAGATCGCCCAGATCCTCCAGGAGAACGGTGGTAAGAACAAGCTTTACTTGGACAACGAGGGTCTCGGCCTGAACGTCAACGCGGGGAGCGACGATAACAAATAAATCACATTAATTGGGCGCCGGAGTGGTCAAATCGTCAAATCATGTACAAATAGCTTTATCAGAGCATTGGGACGCGGTCTCTTCTCTTCCATTTGATTCTTCTCTCATTTTTTTTTCAAGTTCGAATTAAGTATGCATTATTCTTGTATCATCCAAGCTCCAAACTCTCCAAAGCCGTAGATATAGTATATCCATGCATATTTCATGCACGCATTCCGCCTGACGCGGGGACGAAGGCGGCGAGCGGGTCTCCACCAGCTTTTTTTAATCGCCCGCCACTTTTTGATATTCGGTCTCACAGACACTCCCAAGGCTTAAATATACCTAATTCGGGGACCACTCGGTAAGTACCAGTAGCCCAAGAACATAATTGACACCCTTTTCTCGCTTTCAAATCCGATTCCCCGCTAAACTAACCCCCAACCCCCAGAACCCCACCACCAAAATGACCGACGCAGGACCTGAGATAACCTTCGGCCAAATCGACGTCGACCTAGACATCCAAGGAATCCTCCTCGCCTCCTCACAACACGATCTCGCACAACTCCGCCGTCTCGTCCGCACACAATCCTCTCTCCCGGATGCCGCAAACGTCAAAGACCCCGAGACAGGCTATACACCCCTCCACTCCGCAATCGCGGCCTGCGAGCCCGATACCGACGAGACAGAGACCAATGGCGCAGCTAAACCACCAATCGACCCCGAGACTCTCAAGTCCGGCGTCAATACTGTCAAGCTCTTGCTCGAGGAAGGCGCTATTTGGAACGATCTAGACAACAATAACGAAACGCCCGGCTGTCTCGCGCGTCGCATCGGCGCAACAGAGCTATACGAACTCATCGTTGACGCAGGCGTGCGTGCGGAAATGCTTCTAAACCGATTGGACGGGTACGAAGAACTCTCGGAAGACGAGGACGACGAAGAAGACGACGTGAAAGAGAGCGGGGCCCAAGCCGACGACGAGACAGCGCCTGAATTAGTCGAAGTATCCGCCGAACAAGCAGCAGCAATCCTCGCAACGGCCGAAGCTGAGACCGCCGAAGCCGCCGAAGAGGCTAACCCCGGCGTCACGAATGCGCGATACCTCGACTCGAACTTGAATATTCAACAAGATAAGATTCTGGACTCGGATCAGAATGGTGTCATGATGGAGTGGGAGAGTGATATCATGAAGAAATCTGCCGTTGCGCTGCTCCCGCGGCCCGGGTTGAAGGTGCTTAATATCGGGCACGGGATGGGGATTGTGGATGGTTTTTTTCAGGAACGGGAACCTTCCGAGCACCATATTATCGAGGCGCATGCGGATGTTGTTGCTGAGATGAAGAAGCGTGGTTGGGATTCTAAGCCCGGTGTCACTATTCACGAGGGTAGGTGGCAGGATATTTTGCCTGGACTTGTGGGTGAGGGTGTTACCTTTGATGCGATCTACTATGATACCTTTGCCGAATCTTATGCGGATTTCCGGGACTTCTTTTCTGAGCAGGTTATTGGGTTGCTTGAGCAGGAGGGGGGGCAAGTGGGGGTTCTTTAATGGAATGGGGGCGGATCGGCAAATCTCCTATGATGTCTATCAGAAAGTTGCTGAGATGGATTTGTTTGAGGCTGGGTTTGATGTTGATTGGGAGGATATTCCTGTGCCTAAGTTGGATGGTGAGTGGAAAGGTGTGAAGCGGGCTTACTGGGTGGTGGACAACTATCGTCTGCCGCTGTGTCGATTTATGGATTGAGGGATTGAGGGGGTAAATTTAGCTTTCAAAACTATATTCTTTATATTTGCATTTATTTGAGCTGAAGGAAGTTTGATCTACGAGTTACGAGAGGTCTAAAAGACAGCCTGGGCAGTGTTGCCATGGTATAGATTCCCACCAGGGAAATGATTGTTTTTATGAGACAAAGTATGTGACGCTCAAAATATGCTATGCAAGAAGAAGAAAAAAACAAGAAAGTCCTCCAAGTAAAACAAACGCTCATGGAATGCAATAAATTACAACTGGATCAAGTCCACCTCGGAAAAGTCGGGCGGACTGCGACTGAATATTGTCCGGCACTTCCCATCAAGTGCTTGGTATTCATTGCTGATCCAGATATGTTTGCTGAATCGTTGTGTTCGATACACTTCGTCATTGCTGACTCCAGTGTCATCACGAGGAATCCAAATCACGGGCCGTTTAGCACGGAGAGCCTCATGTTGGAAAGCGCGTTGTACTAGCTGATCACGTTCATCGGGGGTGAGATCTTCCAATTCGTCGTGAATACCGGCGAACAGAGCCTGGCCCATCTTGTTGGATTCCGGTCCTTGGGCCTCGGCATCCTGTGCCATCTTTTCTCGGAGATTCTTGATAGTCGGGCTTGCGGTGGCTGAACTGACACCAAAGTATTTAGACCTCCGATTGGCCTTCGGGGAACGGTCAGCCCAGGATGGCCGCTTTTTGCCAAGCTTTGGTGTGGATAGTAGGCCTCCCGCAAGTTTATTTTTGCGATGTTCTGGGTCGGTATCAAGGCTCTTCAGCTCAATATCCTTCTCATTTTGACCCTGGCGACGTTCTTGGCGTTCATGCTCGGATAGACGACGCTCGAGACTCTTGACATCGTTTTCTTCAGCTTCGTCGTCTTCGTCTTCGTCAACAGTCAAGCCTAGGCGGGCATGCTGGGCACGCTCGAACTCCTCATCACGTTTAATCGCCGCATCTTCTAGCGTGATAGGCAGGTATCGAAGGAGAGGACCAAACGCCTCATTGAGAAGAATTTGATACCCGACAGTCAGGATGAGGACGATAATCATGCAAATAGCCTGGCCTTCGCAAGCAACGTCGCCCTTGTCGTCTCGGACGAGGAAGAACAATCCAATCAAGCACACCTCCATAACGTAAAGGCCGGTGAAGAGCTGGTTAATCGCGCGAGGGAAAAGAAGACCACCGGTATCGAAGCGGAACTTTGTGACATACAAAGTGTTATAGCGGTAGACAAACCAGAAAAGGCTGAATGTGAGAATGTTGAAAACCAAAATAAGAGGGGCAACAACGCAATAAATCAGTCCTAAGAGGAACGTCAGTCGGTCATGTTATTATCTATATAGCAGGTTGACTTACCGATAGATGCCAATGTGGTATAAACCGGGAAGAAAGTACCCCATTGCATTTGATTCAAATTGGTCGTTCGAGCCCACTTCTTTCTGGCAGTGGAGTCCAAGATGGGAGCGAGAATGAACCAGCTGATCAAACCGAAGATTTGGACAAGCGCACCAGCACTCACGGACATCGCTTGAAGAATCATGTAGGAGAAAAAGTAGTTGCTAGACTTGGGAATATTCTGGGCCAAGAGCTCGGGCCAGCTGGTCACGTTGGTGATGTTTTCGAGGATCGTGGAGAAACTGGAGGCGATGGTGACAACCAAGAACAGCTGCACGAACAGGAACGCAAAGAAATAGTTTTGTACAGTCAACTCAATAGCCATGCCCGTGTGGAGACCCTGGGCGCGACTGAGGAATCGAAGAATCAAAGGAAGGAGTGCCATGAGAATGGCCAAGAAGAGGGCAGGAAGAATACCCTGGATGGCAGAAATGAACCAGTCTGGGAGTTTACTCAGCCACTCTAACCATGTGAATGTGTTCTTGAGATAGGACAATTGTGAGAGGAGACCGGTAAAGGCAACGGGGAAGGCCCAGCCAACAACCATGGCACAGACCAGAACGACGATTCCAAATGTGCGCAGATATCGCTCCCACCACTTGATAGACATGTTATCCCAGATGACATCGTCGGGAGAAATCTCCACGACACGGGGTGCCATCTGTTTGGGCACGTGGTGAGCAACTGCTTGACAGGCCATATGCGCAGCGACTTGGTGATTGAATTGAATGAATGCCGAGTTCATCAGCGGGAATCGCTCCGGGTTTTGCTGATCAACTTCGATCTCCAAATTCAAACGAGCCAGCTCCTTTCGACAATGATCAATGGTGTCGACTTTCTTGCCAATCAACCAGAGAGCTGGCATCCACTTCCATCCGAAGATGGGAAGACGCATAGTGTCTCGGTCCTTTGCTCGAATGTACTTTTCCCAAACTGGTTCTCCATAGTCCTCGTTAACAAAATCCTCGTTATAAGCAATCGGATATTCTTCGCCCTCAACTTTCTCCCCTTCCTTGAGGCTCTTGCACTTGCTCTTGTCTTTGCTGCTTTTGGTTTTCGCAGATCCGCGCCGATTCGAATCCTCGACGGGCGTATCTGGGGCCGTGAGTGGATATTCATCAGGCTCAGGCACAGAGCCTTTGGACCGATGGGAGGAGACACGGGATTTCCAGGAGGGTCGCTTCGGTGGTGCTGTGCGCTCGGGGAATGTCGATTGCAGCGTCTGATCTTCGGGGGTTCGGGGGACAGGAACGGAGTGCATGGGCCCGGCCATGACCTGATCGGTTGGGGAATCCTCCTCGTTTATAGAGGGCGCATTTCTTCCCCCTGCTCCCGTATCGTCGTCAGTGGCTATAAAGCCCCCAGTCCGAGTCAATTTGCCGTCCAGACCATTCTCAACTTTCTTGAAACCGCCCAGGACAGTCTTGCCCAGCTTTTCAACACCTAACCCGACAGCCCCAGCTGCTGCAATGGCGGGATTGAAGACACCACCCACTCGTGCACTTTCTCCCGACTCGTTTCTCGAATGACCCTCTACACCTTCTGGTTTTCGGTGCAGAATTTCACTGAGTGTATGAGCTTGGTGGGGGTTACCAGAACTGACACCAGGACCCATGGCCATCTGGGATGCGCGTTGGTCTGTGGCTTCCTTCTCACGATCTACCACCTTGGATTTGCTCTTGCCAGCGCGTTTGGCCTCGGCCTTGGCTTGTTTGAGCGCGGCCTTCTTGCATTTAACAATGAGATCCGTTTCTCCAGCCTCGAGTTTCAAGGCGAGTTCAGTCCGTTCCTTCACTTTCTCATTCAAGTCATCAAAGTTGCGATTAATCCAGATATTCCGAACCCCTCCCGGGAAAACATCGAACAGAGTATCCAGAGAGTCGAGGTTCAGCCAGCTTGGTGGAATAGCAGTCACCAGAACGGTGGTTGCTGAGGCACGTAGTCGGTGCTGTGGGGAGGTCATATAGGCCTGTCGCATGCGAATATAGCCGCGAAGTTCATCGAAAAAGATTGCACAAACATAGAAAACCACGATAACGGCCATGACTAGATGAGCCCAGTATCGATGGGTGTGCTCGGGTTTCACATTACCCCAGGCTAGTTGATCCAGACCGGACACATCCCAGTGATTGCCATTCTCGGTGCCATTCATGGAAGTCTTGCCCTTTCCACCGACACGGTTGAGAGGAATTAGGACTGGTAGAATTAAAACTCCGAGGGGGAAGAATATTTTCAGCAGCATCCGTAGATATCGGAGGAAGAAGTAAGCATCAAGCCCACATTTCTGAATGAATTCGGAGCTGGAGGTTCGAAACACCGGGCCAATCCAGCGGAAGAGACCCGGCGGTGATGGCGCTGTTCGTTCACGATCAGGGACTAGGTAGGTACGGGGTTGACTGCGTAGGAGAGGATTAGCTTAATGGTTCCATAATTTCTTCACCGGCCAACACATACTAAATGCGGGTCAGTTTCCCTTTCAGGAGCATGAAGCATAAGACTTCGACAGCAAAGACGACCATGGCTGTCGCCAGCGAGGCCAGAAACGTCTGGATTGAGACCCCGGAGGCCGTTTTGCCATGGCCGCCAGTATGCTCCAGAGCCTGTTCAAGCTCGGAGGTCAGGGTCATGATGATCGGCGGTGAATTTGATGCCGGGGTAGAAAAACGTGAGAGGATGTATTTTTATGGGTCGTCCCCAGGAGCATCTGGCGTACTCCTTAGCAGGTGTCTCCCAGGTCAAGACGTATTTTCCAGGGATTCGAGGGGGGTTCAGCATGATCTGGGGAGGAAGCAAGTGTTGAGGGAGCAGAAACAAGAAAAAGAGCATGGAAAACAAAGGTGCCAATGGATGAACGGGGAAGGGGGTGATCGGCGGTGGAGTGGCCCTATGGTTCAGAAGCGCGGTCTTTGTCCGTGACAAAATGACAACAGTGGCTGGTTGTGTGCTGGTGTTTGAGCTGGCGCCCAGCGGACTGATATCAGCCTGCCCTGTTTGTCTGGCAAAGCGAGGACAGGGATGATTGGAGGAATCGTGGAAGCGCCGATCGGATGTGGGATGACATCAGGCGCCTGGTGAAACAGCCAAGCAGATGCCGGCGGCTTCAGAGAGATTGCAGTAGCGTTGGCTTATTTCTTTTTCCCGGGAGCGATCAGCCAAGGTGATTAGGTTGTTGATGCAGACAAATTCGAAGGTTCCCACTTGGTGCATCGCTTAATTGTAAGTGGAAAGAACTCTTCCCGATTCGGATCGAACTTGAACACCGAAGATTCTCCTGTTGCACTCTACGTAGTGAAAGGGTAAACACGCCGGAAAGGGGAAGGCGCCATTGGATGGACGATTGTGATTGGTTGATCGAGGGTGGCGGTGGCGGTGGGGGTGTCTTTCAGGGACACAAGCCACTCTTCACTCCCAATCGGGATGTCGCATTGTCACGTTGCTCGGAGCTGCTTTATACTCCGATTTTTCTAGTAGGTATACTAGGCCATCTTGATTAGGATTTGAGTAACCGACGGCGATATCCCTGGATGAGAGCTTGAAAGTTGAATCATCTCAGTGTCAATGATTGCCAGCTTAAGTGCGCAGATATATATCATTCAACCTTGGAACCACTAGCAGTTTAGAGGTACTAGATGAGAAGCTCTAGAACGAGCTATCCATCCCAGCAGGTTTATGCCAGTACATTCCAACCTAGAAGGCTCTGAGATTAAATTTGAATTGGCAAGCAACTCCGGGTCGAAGAAAGAAAACACCAGCGGACTACAACACAACTTGATAGGCGCTCCCGGCTGCCAGTGCCAGTGAAGGCAGTGAGAGACCCAGAAACTACCTAAGTTAGCAGTGGCCTCTTTTCAAGATTCATGATCTCGTTGAATTAAGTAGTACTAGGACCAGCACTAGTATTAGTATTATATAGTAGTATAAACCTGCCAGTGCAGTTGGATAGCGTTGCCCACTGCTCAGGCGGCAGCTGAGCTTAGAACTTCTCAGCTCGAGTCCTGGTATCTAATTCTACCGGTATCTGCCGCCACTGTGGATGTAGCTCTGCACAGCGCATACTAATACTATACTCACCATTCAATTCCGCTGGTCCTTGCATCCCCCCACTGGCAGACGGGGCCACATGTATGGCATCAGCTTTATCTGTCTCCTCGAACTTCGAGTTCTTCTTCTTGCGCCGGACCATCCAGCACAAAATCGCGATTGTGACCATCATAATTGCCCCCACTGCCGCAGCTACCCCAATTCCGGCCTTAGCACCCGTGGAAAGTGTGTCGCTGGTCCCGTGTGTTACACCTTGCGCAGCAGCTCCTGTTGTAGATTCGCTGCTGGGACTGCTGGTAATGGTGCCGGCTGTCGTTGTTTTAGGTGCAAAATCGCCAGATTTCCAATATATGGAGATACCCTGAGCGTTGATCCCATCTGCTCTCACCGTGCTCGAGGTCGTGCCGGCTTTTGTGAAGGTCCAAAGTTGATCCGAGTAAGCATTGTAGGATGTACACACATTGTGTGTATATTAGGCCAGCCTGGTAGTATCCGGATTGGCTGTATAGTTACTGCACCAGATCACCAGTTAGAGTTAGAATTCCCGAGAGTACTCTAGTAGCCCCGACCAGAGGAAACCGGTCGCTACGCTTGCAGAATCCACTTACTCGGGACAGCACATAGCCTGTGTTTCCGCCTCACCATCAGATGTCATCGTCTGGTCTTTAGCAGCCCAATACCCCGAGGGACATATCCCTGGGGAGTAGTAGAAGTCTGTGCTACTGGCCTGATAGCTCGAAGGATAACAAGATCCTGTTCTCTAGGACCCAGACTCATCCACCAGCTAGTATCGGTTCCGGTTCCGATCTTGTCGTAGTAGTCGGTTCCGGAGACGTATTCGATCAGCCACGTGTTGGTGAAACATGCTGCTGGAGGGGCGAATGTTGTGATTAAGGGTATAGGACTGTCAGTGGTGGCCGACATGATGTCCAGCTGCGCCCGTATGCATAGGTAGACAAGGTGGAGAGGGCTTTCGAGGGGAAATGGCCCCTAAATAGCGTCTTCAACATACGCGACACGCTAATTATGCAGTGACTAAGTCTGCGACGGGCCTTCTTTGTGATGCCAGCGCTTGAAGCAGTAGGTGGATTTCCGCATCCTATCAATTGAGATCGGCTCTAACGAGCTATACCCAGAGTGGGCCAAAAGACTTGAGATGCATCACCGTTCTGTTCTAGGTCTTGAAATTGTGGGCGTGTGTCTGGACTCTGGACTCTGCGGTTCTTCATGTCAACAAGTCCAGCATATAAGCGTGGATGTTGTACAACGCCACATCCTGCAATTACGGAGTAGGCGTTCTGTACTCTGTAGTACTCTATGTTCTGTACCTTCGGGAAGTGCCGCTCCCGCGTGGGCCAGCTTTACCTGCTCTGTAGCACGTGATCACAGCCTTCACTGAAGCATATCACATGACATCCAATCAAACACGCTATCCCAAAGAGGAACCACTTAACGCGTGGGCGCGTCGCAGCGCGTCGCAGGGACCGCAGGAAAAAGTCGCAGGGACGATTCGTGTTCCTCCCTTTCTCCAAGTCCAGGTCCGCCCCATCCTCACCCACCATCAACCATCCAACCCCCCATCCCACCCGAAGTCATACACATTCATCATGTCTTCACCGGCCAGTCGGAGGGGTCGCTCCGCAAAGAAAGCGACCGCATCGCCTGCCTCGTCCGCTCGTGAGCCTCCTAGCAGCCCAAGTCAACAACAGACTACCCCCCGCGCCGCCCGACGCCTTGCTGCCGAACGAGCTGTCCCATCATCATCCCCAATGTTCTTCCAATCATCACCTACCAGATCAAACAGAGGCGCTGAAACTCCCGATGTCCGCATGGCCGAGGCTAGTTCAACAGTCGATGATGGCGAGAGGACACCAAGGGCCAACAATGGCGGTATTAGAGGTATGCCGAAAAAATCGAAAATCAAAGATCCGACCATCCCGACACGGTCGATTCTCAGCGTTGCTCAAGCTAACTCGTCCAGACTCTTCCCCATCAATTACATCCCCAGCTCCTCACCAACCCGGGGCTTCGCCCGCAATGATATTCGTTCCGACATCCGCTCAGATGCCAACAGTATAAGCAGCGGCTTGTTTGTCTCCCCGAACCGCCAAGGTCGCAGTACAGGACCCCGTCGTAGTGACCTCCACTCGGGCGTATTTGGATCGACTCCTGCTCGCCGAGCCAGACTTTTCGTTGACGCCAATGGCATGCCCTCTGGTGATAATGTGGCCCGCTCGGATGCCACTTTCTCGAACATCAACCCCGGAACTTCCGAGGCGGAGGCGATGGCTGGTAACTCCTCGCGTGTCATTTGGGGTACCAACATTTCGATCCAGGACTCCATGTCCGCTTTCAAGAACTTCCTCTACAATTTCGCTACCAAGTACCGTTTGTGGGGGGATGGAGCCTCAGAGGACGAAACCCGATTCCTTGGGGATGCCGCTGAGAAGCGCGAGTATATTACCATGCTTAACGATATGCGCCGACTTGGTATGACGACTTTCAACTTGGATGCCCGCAACCTGAAGTCATACCCCCTGACCCAGAAGCTATGGCACCAATTGCTTGCGTACCCTCAGGAAATCATTCCGTTGATGGATCAGACCGTGAAGGATGTGATGGTGGACTTGGCTCTGAAGGAAATGGACATCCTGCGTTCTGAGAACCAGCGTGGAATTCCATCCCGTGATCGCCGTGGCCAGTCTATTCTTACATCGGATGGTGTTGCTCCCACTGCGGAAGTACCCGACCTCGTGGGTGAAGTTGAGGCCATGTCATACAAGGTGCTTCCGTTCGGACTGGACCAGACTGTGAACATGAGAGATCTCGACCCAGCTGGTATGTTGATATTAGCATGCGCTCATTTCAGAGGGATACTGACATCATGATAGATATGGATAAATTGGTTAGCATCAAGGGTCTCGTCATCCGTACCACCCCTATCATTCCGGATATGAAAGAAGCATTCTTCCGCTGCCACGTCTGCAGCTACGGTGTTCAGGTCGACATTGACCGTGGCCGTATCTCGGAGCCTACTGTTTGCCCCCGCGATTCGTGCAAGGAGAAGAATTCTATGCAACTCATCCACAACCGTTGCTCATTCTCCGACAAACAAGTCATTAAGCTACAAGAAACCCCCGACAACGTCCCCGATGGCCAGACACCTCACTCAGTCTCTCTCTGCGTCTACGATGAACTGGTCGACATTTGCAAGGCTGGTGACCGCGTCGAGGTGACTGGTATCTTCCGTTGCAACCCCATGCGAGTGAGCGCTCGCCAGCGTTCTCAGAAGGCTCTTTTCAAGACCTACGTTGATGTTCTGCATGTGCAGAAGGTTGACAAGAAGAAGATGGGCATCGACGTGTCCACAGTTGAGCAGGAAATGTCAGAGCAGGCAGCTGAAGCTGACCAGACCCGCAAGATCTCCGCGGAGGAGGAGGAGAAGATTAAGCGCACTGCCTCGCGCCCTGATCTCTACGAACTACTTTCTCGCTCGCTCGCGCCTAGTATCTATGAGATGGACGATGTGAAGAAGGGTATCCTGCTGCAGATGTTTGGCGGTACCAACAAGACTTTCCAGAAGGGTGGTAACCCCCGGTACCGTGGAGACATCAACATTCTCCTCTGTGGTGACCCATCTACCGCTAAGTCTCAATTGCTGCGCTACGTTCACAAGATCGCCCCGCGTGGTGTGTATACCAGCGGTAAGGGTTCTTCAGCAGTCGGTCTGACAGCCTACGTGACTCGCGATCCCGAAACCAAGCAGATGGTTCTCGAATCTGGTGCTTTAGTTTTGTCCGATGGCGGTACTTGCTGTATTGACGAATTCGACAAGATGAACGAAGCCACCCGCTCCGTCCTTCATGAAGTTATGGAACAACAGACTGTGTCCATCGCCAAGGCCGGTATCATCACAACCCTCAACGCTCGCACATCCATTCTGGCTTCCGCCAACCCAATCGGCAGTCGCTACAACCCCCGTCTCCCCGTGCCTCAGAACATTGACCTCCCCCCAACCCTGCTCTCCCGTTTCGACCTGGTCTACCTGGTTCTCGACCGCGTCGACGAAACCGAGGATCGCCGCATGGCAAAGCACTTGGTTAACATGTATCTTGAAGATACCCCCGACAATGCCAGCTCGCAGGAGATTCTGCCAGTCGAGTTCCTCACAGCCTATATCACCTACGCGAAGACCCAGATCCACCCCGTCCTGACTCCTGCCGCGGGTACGGCCCTCGCAGACGCCTACGTTGCCATGCGCCAACTAGGTGATGACATCCGGGCCACGGAGCGCCGCATCACGGCCACGACCCGTCAATTGGAGTCGATGATCCGTCTGTCTGAAGCCCACGCCCGTATGCGCCTCTCTCCCGAGGTGACGGTGGGCGATGTTGACGAAGCCGTGCGACTGATTCGCTCGGCCATCAAGCAGGCTGCGACGGACGCGCGCACGGGTCTGATCGACATGGGTCTTCTCACGGAGGGTACTAGTGCCAGTGAGCGACGCATGCGCGAGGATCTCAAGAAGGCAGTGCTCGCTCGGGTGGACGACCGCGGTGGCGTTGGTGGTGCAGCCGTTCGCTGGACTGACTTGTTCCGCGACATGGGTGAACAGAGCGATGTGCCTATAGACCACAACCAGTTTGGCGATGCGGTGCGATCGCTGGAACAAGAGGGTGCCGTGCACGTCTCTGGAGAAGGCCCACGCCGAAGTATTCGCCGGGCGGCCATGGGGTTGTCTTAAGAGGATACGGCGATGATCTGAGTGAGAGATCTACGATGAAATGATCGACCGGGTAGCATATTTGTTTTTTTTTTCTTCTTCTTCTCTTCTTTTTCGCCCCCTCTTCTTCTCTGGGTTGTTTTCTATTTTCTTTCCTGCTTGCCTTCTCCAGTGCGCGGAGCTGTTACGAACCGACCCGGTTTTTGCAAGTAATTCGGCGTTAATTGGGGGTGTCGCTGCATGTTTCTAAAGAGTACATCCTGAGCTATGCGGTGGTCGCGTGAGGTCCTTCCGGAGTGGGAGGGATCGACGGCGCCGTCGTCATTTGGCTGCATAATGTAAAAACATTGAATAATCTGATACAGTTATCACGTCAATAATTTCTTTTTCTTTTTTCTTCGTCCCCAGCCGGCACATGTTCGAGATGCATATTTCGCACTAAGATTAGCGAGACGAGTCGGGAGTGGTAGGGTGGCGAGCCAGCATCTAAGCTTTCCCGGATGTGGCAGTTGAATTGGAACTTGAAGTGTTTAGGCTGTACTCGTAGGCTGTGTAGATAGTACTCCATCGTATATGTGGATGTGTACAAATGGTAGTGTTGATTTTAAGGTCAATACTATAAACCTTTTACATATAACAAAAATTTAAAATATCAATCTGGGCTATGTGAAATAAGCAATATCAATTGGAGTAAGGAGGAGTAGGGAGTAGGGAGGGCTGGGTTGGTAGTGCACATGGCTGGCTGTTATGGCTGTTACACAAAGTCTGTGAGCTGGGACAGGCACAGCAGGGGTGGAGTATACACACCGTATCGATACTCCTCCGAGAGTACGACTCGTATACCCATACGAATATTCACCTACTAACTTTCTACCACAAATCCTAGTAGTTCTAGTGATACTATGTAAACACTCAACTAAAGTAAATCTAGACTCCACCGTCAAGAACAAGCGCAGCACGTGCCGTTGTGACTGGCAATCGACGTCAGTGGGGTCGGATGAGTCAGCGAGCAGCTAGCAGGGATCCACCCAATGGGAACCAATCACAACTCACCATCGGCAGAGTGTACATCTGTTAGTTTTGTTAGTTTTGTTAGTTCCAGCCACTCCCTGCGAGTGTCGTTCTGGTTGCACAATAAAACCTGAGGAGCTCCATATCTCCGTCGACTTGGTACACCCTACCGGTAAATTCTGATGTTCAT